AACTCTGATATTATACTAGACACCGGTTTTGAAAAAAAGTGAATGAGTGATGACGGAGTGAATTGACAAGACATACACCATTCGAAAGCTAATCGCCTGAGATTTTAGCATGGCAAGTTTCAGCTCTTTTGCAATCAAATTACGCCGACACTGGGCGAAAAACTCTGATATTATACTAGACACCGGTTTTAAAAAAAGTGAATGAGTGATGACGGAGTGAATTGACAAGACATACACCATTCGAAAGCTAATCGCCTGAGATTTTAGCATGGCAAGTTTCAGCTCTTTTGCAATCAAATTACGCCGACACTGGGCGAAAAACTCTGATATTATACTAGACACCGGTTTTAAAAAAAGTGAATGAGTGATGACGGAGTGAATTGACAAGACATACACCATTCGAAAGCTAATCGCCTGAGATTTTAGCATGGCAAGTTTCAGCTCTTTTGCAATCAAATTACGCCGACACTGGGCGAAAAACTCTGATATTATACTAGACACCGGTTTTGAAAAAAGGTGAATTAGTGATGACGGAGTGAATGGACAAGACATACACCATTCGAAAGCTAATCGCCTGAGATTTTAGCATGGCAAGTTTCAGCTTTTTTGGAATCAAATTACGCCGACACGGGGCGAAAAACTCTGATATTATACTAGACACCGGTTTTAAAAAAAGTGAATTAGTGATGGCAGAGTGAATTGACAAGACATACACCATTCGAAAGCTAATCGCCTGAGATTTTAGCATGGCAAGTTTCAGCTCTTTTGCAATCAAATTACGCCGACACTGGGCGAAAAACTCTGATATTATACTAGACACCGGTTTTAAAAAAAGTGAATTAGTGATGGCAGAGTGAATTGACAAGACATACACCATTCGAAAGCTAATCGCCTGAGATTTTAGCATGGCAAGTTTCAGCTTCTTTGGAATCAAATTACGCCGACACGGGGCGAAAAACTCTGATATTATACTAGACACCGGTTTTAAAAAAAAGTGAATTAGTGATGGCTGAGTGAATTGACAAGACATACACCATTCGAAAGCTAATCGCCTGAGATTTTAGCATGGCAAGTTTCAGCTTTTTTGGAATCAAACTGCGCCGACACTGGGCGAAAAACTCTGATATTATACTAGACACCGGTTTTGAAAAAAAGTGAATTAGTGATGAAGGAGTGAATTGACAAGACATACACCATTCGAAAGGTAATCGCCTGAGATTTTAGCATGGCAAGTTTCAGCTCTTTTGCAATCAAATTACGCCGACACTGGGCGAAAAACTCTGATATTATACTAGACACCGGTTTTAAAAAAAGTGAATTAGTGATGGCAGAGTGAATTGACAAGACATACACCATTCGAAAGCTAATCGCCTGAGATTTTAGCATGGCAAGTTTCAGCTTCTTTGGAATCAAATTACGCCGACACGGGGCGAAAAACTCTGATATTATACTAGACACCGGTTTTAAAAAAAGTGAATTAGTGATGGCTGAGTGAATTGACAAGACATACACCATTCGAAAGCTAATCGCCTGAGATTTTAGCATGGCAAGTTTCTGTTCTTTTGCAATCAAATTACGCCGACACTGGGCGAAAAACTCTGATATTATACTAGACACCGGTTTTAAAAAAAAGTGAATTAGTGATGGCAGAGTGAATTGACAAGACATACACCATTCGAAAGCTAATCGCCTGAGATTTTAGCATGGCAAGTTTCAGCTTCTTTGGAATCAAATTACGCCGACACGGGGCGAAAAACTCTGATATTATACTAGACACCGGTTTTAAAAAAAAGTGAATTAGTGATGGCTGAGTGAATTGACAAGACATACACCATTCGAAAGCTAATCGCCTGAGATTTTAGCATGGCAAGTTTCAGCTCTTTTGCAATCAAATTACGCCGACACTGGGCGAAAAACTCTGATATTATACTAGACACCGGTTTTAAAAAAAGTGAATGAGTGATGACGGAGTGAATTGACAAGACATACACCATTCGAAAGCTAATCGCCTGAGATTTTAGCATGGCAAGTTTCAGCTCTTTTGCAATCAAATTACGCCGACACTGGGCGAAAAACTCTGATATTATACTAGACACCGGTTTTAAAAAAAGTGAATTAGTGATGACAGAGTGAATTGACAAGACATACACCATTTGAAAGCTAATCGCCTGAGATTTTTGCATGGCAAGTTTCAGCTCTTTTGCAATCAAACTACGCCGACACTGGGCGAAAAACTCTGATATTATACTAGACACCGGTTTTAAAAAAAGTGAATTAGTGATGACGGAGTGAATTGACAAGACATACACCATTCGAAAGCTAATCGCCTGAGATTTTAGCATGGCAAGTTTCAGCTTTTTTGGAATCAAATTACGCCGACACTGGGCGAAAAACTCTGATATTATACTAGACACCGGTTTTAAAAAAAGTGAATTAGTGATGACAGAGTGAATTGACAAGACATACACCATTCGAAAGCTAATCGCCTGAGATTTTAGCATGGCAGGTTTCAGCTCTTTTGCAATCAAATTACGCCGACACTGGGCGAAAAACTCTGATATTATACTAGACACCGGTTTTAAAAAAAGTGAATTAGTGATGACGGAGTGAATTGACAAGACATACACCATTCGAAAGCTAATCGCCTGAGATTTTAGCATGGCAAGTTTCAGCTTTTTTGGAATCAAATTACGCCGACACTGGGCGAAAAACTCTGATATTATACTAGACACCGGTTTTGACGACAGCACTGTGGAACATTTTTTCGCTGTGCGACAGCGAAAAAATGTCCAGGCACTTTGTGAAAATGCTAGTACCCAGGCTTCCGCTGGTGGGTAAGCTCCCGGAATCCGGTGGACTTCGACCTTCAACGTCGTCAGTGCTGCATCCTCTATTTTTGTTCTTCCTATCCGGCCGGCTGCGGAATCACTGCAAATTGGGCACCGGGACGTTTATGGGCACCCGAATTTCCTCGCACGTTGCGGCAGTGTTCTTCTTTCTGGTCGTAACCACCTTTTGTAGAAGTTGTGTTTTATGCTCTGACGATAGTGTAAGAAAAGCGGTTCGCCATCAAACGACTCGGGAAGACGGGCCTTAGATTCAGCCAAATCCAGCTTTTTCTAGAATTAATTCAGAATAGCTGGAGCAAGAAAATTTAGCAGTTGTCTGACCAGCTTAAAACAGTCTAAATAGAACTGTTGCTGCATTTTTCATCCATGAATTCTACCGGGTGACCTTTGATCCGAAGGTTTTCGGGTCAAATCAATCATAAAAGGGTATCTGAAACGGAGATTCTGCATTGACTCGTATTCGGATTTCTATAACCTTTTCTGTGGCTGGCAACTTTTCGTCACAAATTCAACGGCCTCTTAATGACGACCCCTGTCAGTCATCTCTTTCACCCTAATTTTATCTTGGGTCATCATTGATATCTGGTATAAAATGGATTTGTTAACAAAAACACCAGGCAGTATTATCAAACCATCTGATGCTCTCTCAATGGTAGTAATCATCTTGCCAATTCACTTCAACACCTTAAATTATGCTTGGTCACCATTGATGTCTAGTATAAGATCGGATTTGTTAGCCTCCACGAGGCCTCGTGGAGGCTAACAAATCCGATCGCGAGGGAGGATGAGATCAATCGAGTAATTTCGGAGGGGTAAATTGTCTGTGTTCTCTATACAGGGTGACAAATAAAAAATGCAACTTTTTTTCAGGGCTCCTGCCGCGAAAATACCATTAAACTCTCCGTGTTTTTTTGTCCTAGTCTCTCAATTTTCATACCCATATCGGTTGATTAGCATGTTTGTTTCGAGTCGCAAACAGAGGGACCCCGATTTTAAACGTGTCACGAAAAGAAAAAGGACAGTGAAAGATTACTAAATTGGTCGGTGTAGGAAAACCTGCCGTACGAAAAGCCAGCAAACGATTCAACGAGCTTGGCCACGGTGGTAAGTGTTTAGAAATTAGAAGGAAGCGCATCTTGAAGACTTCTGCCAACCCTGAGATCATCAAAAAGCGAGTGAAGCAAAATCTGATGGTGTCCATGAAGAAAATTGCCCGGGAGACCGGCATCAAGAGAACAGCGGATCGACGAATGGTTATCAATGTACCGTAGAGCAAGCCTTACAAGCTCCAAAAAGCTTAGCGCCTCACGGAACACTACAAGCAAGCACGGCTAAAAAAATGTCGAAAACTCAACCGTCGCGCCGCAGCTCAGCGATGAGAGAAGGTCCTGTTCGCGGATGAGAAATATTTCAACACCGAGCAGGCCTACAACCACCAGAATTGCACGAGTTTGACTGTTGAGAGTCAAAAACCATCCGCCATTTTTAAACCCAGTAAAAATCCGACCTCTCGTGGCCTGGGGCAAAGTCTTGCGCCAGCGGTGTGATACCCTTGGTTTTCTTGGATAAAGGGGTCAGAACCAAACCGATAAGTCTACCAGCGACATTTTGTACACCATCGTGATTCCGTGGGCTCAGTAGCACTTTGGCGGTTCAAAACAGACACCGTAGCAGGATTCCGCCATCATCCATAAAGCAAAAAAGACGCAAGACCAGGAAAGGACCTGTTTTCCCGATTTATGTGGTCTGCGAAATGGCCGCCTACTTGCTGGATCTGAATCCGGTGGACTTTGTTTTTTGTTTAGTTAGAAGCCAGGACCTCTAGTTCACGCCAAAAAAGTTTGGAGCCGCTAATTGATCGCTGCGGTAAGAACGGGACCGATTTCCCCAAAAAAGCTTCGGCGAATCGCCCAAAATTTAAAGGCACGTTTTGAGCTCTATCTCGGGGCCAAGAACAGCCACCTTGAAACTGGCTGAGCATACTATTAACAATACTCTATGTTTCTGATATTCACCGTTACTTTGGTTAAGTTTGGTGTTTTAGACAAAATATGGCCATAAATATGAGTTGCATTTTTTCTTTGTCACCCTGTATATCTCCATTCATTTTAGATGAGCCCATGTTCCATCCATTATGTATGATAACTCTGTATGATAACAGCCCAAGAATATTTGCCGAAACTTGCAAAAGCTGCCAGGTTGGTATTGGTAAGTATTTCTGATGTTTTGTCTTGGACTTCATCAATTTTCATTGATTTGTTTAATCGCTTAGGCCGAATCTCCAAGTGGACTGTCGGGTCAAGAGGAGACGGAGATTCTTCGTGCAGCTGCTCAGTGTCATATTTGTCTAACTAGTAAAGGAATTCAATCTCAATTCGACTACGCTGAATCCATCGACAACGGGCAACCACGAAACAGAAAACATCGTGCTCATTTCCATCGCATGGTCTGTCAGTTTGAAGTGAATGGCATCCAAGTTCACTACTTCAATTTTAGCTCTCCCGCACAAACTTTGGGCAACCTCAAATTTACTGGAATGTCGGTGTTCCAAGGTTTACCCGACCAATGATCGTCTAAGTGTGAAAAAAGAAACGAGATCAGTATTATTAGTACTACAGTCCCATGCGAGGTTTTCGAATCTTCCTTCAGACACAGATCAGACAATTGATGTTCTAAATTTGAGATGGCTTTTATCTAACCATACATCTTTTGACCTCAAAGCCTTCTCTAATCGCTTTCTACATTGTTTTTGATCTTACGTTTTATTTTTATTGTGAATTTGAATTTGATACTGAATAAATATTGGAAGCCAAAGTTATTTCTAATAGTAAGCCAAACCTCGAGACATAACTTTTCAGTAATATTAATCATAAAGTAGCTTCTTAAAGCTTGTCATCTCTTTACTTGTTTATGTTTACCCTAACCTTGAGTAGTTGGCTTTTGTTGGAGTCTGAACTTGAATGTGTTGCTTGTCTTGTCGCGTCGCAACGTTTTTTCGATGACTTTCGAATCGTTTATTGAAATTAGCGACGTTTTCTCGATGACTTTCGGATCATTTATTGACGACTTTTTTCCAAAATTTACCCTTTCCGAATAAAATTTTTTATGAGCTTTGAATACTGTGATTTTCAGGGGTTATAATAGATAATAAAAACAATGAAAATGGTATTTTTTATCTTTGATGACGTTACATTTACTAGATCACCTCTAATTTGCCCTCAATATCTTCAAATATGCATTGTCGAAACGTGATGTTCTACGAGTTAAAAATTAGTTTTTTTGATCTCTCCCTCAACTGTAAACAAAATTGGAGTTGAAACAAGTAATTAAAACACGTATTCCCTTATTTCTGAGAGTAATTTTTACTTTTTTTCTTTTCCTCAAAGTCAATTTTGATGACCTTGAAATTATTTTTCGATATTTTCTCGTCTCGTAATCGAATTCTCAGTGCAATTACCGTAGAATCTAATCGTAACGATTTTTTTTGATTTTTTTGAGGAAACTGAGGAAAAATTTTTTTCGCGAAAAGGGTTACTATGTAATATTAATGTGTTCGGTATAAAAATTAGACCAAATTGACTGAAATAAAGTTTAAAAAATGTCGTTTTCAGTTATAAAGCATATCTTTTTTGATGTAATTCAACTTTAATGCCACCTAAAAATAGCCAAAAGTTCTGTTATCTTCGTCATAGACGCCTTCAAAACATCTGCATCTCCACTTGACCCTTCTTTTTATTGTTTTCTCCAATTTACCGTAAATTCAGCCCCCGTCTGCCATTCTTGGAACGCCGCGGTTACTTCCTACTGCATTAACCAACCCGGTCGGTCCATGTTTTCTTTTACAGCATATCAATTTTCATCGATCTTATTTCCCAATGTCTTCAAACCATTAAAATCAGAAAAAAAACGTTTGGTTTTGATGGTAGTGTAATATTTCTGATGTATTCCTTCCTACGCAAACTTGAATATCTCTTTAACACGTCTGACGAGCGTTTTCAACGGCGTTCGCTAAATTTAATGAGTCAAAGGGCAATTATTCCGAGTCTTTTTGATTACTTTAAGTGTCACAGGTGTATACTATAGTGAAAATATTGGTGGTAAGAAGGGTGGCTTCTAAGGAAATGGAGGTTCTGGGTAGTAAATTGACTTTTGTTTAGTCTGTTATAAAAAACAGCATATAAACAGTGGAGTGTTTTACATTAGGGACTTTGTTTTCAATATTTCAGACCCTTTTCATAATTTTTTCGTTTTACATAATCAAAAAAGAGCACGCGACGATATGCGTAGCGTATTTTACAGTACCATAAAGAGTTACTCATATCCTACCTTCAGAAATGACTTCTCAAACATGGATATTAATAGCGTTTATCCTCCCTATATCTTACACTTGGGCTCAGCTTAATTGTGCTGAAGCCCCAACCCCATCGTTGAAGATTATTTGCGAACAGCTGACTCGATGGGACAAAAATGCCAGAGTAAGTTAATGTAAGGTCAAGTGTACGGTTGTTTAGAGTGAAAATATGTCAATTGTTGTATTATGCAACCTATAAAAGATTTGATGACATAAAAATATCTTGACAAAAGTTATCTTAGAATTATGCATAACATCAGAGTGATTTATAGGCGAGTCCGGCAGCCAAGAACCCCACATCCAGAGTGGCTTTACCCCCAGGCATTGACCCCAGTATGGCCACGCAAGGCTTTGATCTTCCCACTCAACCAACCACGCTGGAACAATGCACTGACCTTGGATGTGTTTGCAGCTTCTTAGGAGGTAATGTGACGTCTTAAAAATACCCCACCAACTTTCGCTTTGCCTCTTATTGAAGTTCTTACATCCTTACGTATTTTAGGGTCTGGCGGGAGTTCCTGTACTTTGAGGAATGGTCAGCCTCTTCGAAAGGCCATTCGAAAAGAATACAGGACCCTGACGGATGACGAAAGACAAAGATATCATGCTGCAGTGAGGACGATCAAGAATAATGGAGCTTACGGGAGAATCAGCAAGGTGCATTCGGACTTTGCGACTTCCGGAGCTGCTCATTCTGGGCCGGCCTTCTTAGCGTGGCACAGGGAATTTATCAAACGGTAAGTTTCATAAGCTTTAATACTCAGAATTCGTTTAAAATGATGTTTGCCAGGAGAAGATCTCAAGGGAAATCTGTTGAAATTGTCATATAAACCTCTTGCTTTGATTTCTAATGTAATTACAGATACGAATTGGCCCTCCGAGCCGTCGATCCAACTGTCGCTCTTCCTTATTGGGACTCAGTATTAGATAACAACCTTCCCCGCCCTCAAGATTCAATTTTGTGGACCAATGACTTTGCCGGTACCACTGACGCCAGCGGAAATGTTGTCGGAGGACCGTTTGCGCCCTGGACCACTATGGATGTAAGTTGAAACTAAACTCGGGTTACGATAATTGATTAAATAAGAAATTGATTTTTTTACTTTGAACCTACCATTAGATGACTAATTTTTTCAGAACCGACCTAACGCCCGCCGTGCCGTCGGAGCTCAAGGATCTCTCTTCCGCGAGACCGAGATCGCCTACGTAATGGCCCAGACTCAGGTCGAGAATGTCATGGCCTACTCTGCTCCCCGTCAAGGATGTCCCATCAGAGCAGACTGGAATTGGCTTGAATATACTCACGGAAATGTCCATATCTATGTTGGAGGAGATATGCTGGATCAGTCTACATCTTCCAACGATCCCATCTTCTTCATGCATCATTCATTCGTGGATCTAATTTGGGAAATGTGGCGACAAAGCAGACAGGTAGGATAATATAATTTTATGTCGAGAAAATTATGATTCGAGAAAAAATTGTGATAAATTGATTGAAACAATAAACCTATACTAACACAACGTTTTCTTTTAGACCAGAGCCCAACGCGAATCGGATTACCCAGTAGACATGCAGGCCTGTTCCGCTCCTCAGCACTTCAACGGCGCTTCAATGGCCCCATTCACTCCTTGGTATAACCGAGATGGTCTTTCTAACAGATACACCGACTTTATGTATGAATATGCTCCAAGACCCACTTGCCCATCATGTGGAGGTAGCAAGTACTTGTTCTGTATGAGAAGTGGAGGACAGCCACGATGCGCAGCCAAGGTGAAGGTCGGCGGATCTTGTACTGGACTTAATGAAGGTAACTCGACTTTTTAACGCTCATCAAAAAGGCCATTATGCCTTTTACCACTTTTTTTTTAATTTTGGAACACTTATTTATTGGAGTAATTAAAATCATCCTTTCCTTTCCAGCCGACCAACCCTGTTTCAATGGCGCTTGCCGTGGCGGAATTTGCGTCCAAACAGTCCAGACTACCCCCACCCCAGCCACCACCCAATCCCCCGTTATTACACCCATCGTTCCCCCACAAACCGATGAGACCTGCTTCAATGAGAACGAATGTTGTTCCATATGGCAAGGTCAAGGCGAATGCGGAAAGAACCCTGGATATATGAGCTCTTGGTGTAAGGCCTCATGTGGAACCTGTCGTCCCAAGTACAATCTTGGAGTCGAGTGTTCGGATCGTCATCCAAACTGCGTGACTTGGTCGCGTCAAGGAGAATGTTCGAAAAATAAAAATTGGATGTTCGAGAATTGTCGCAAATCATGCGCACGGTGCAGTTCCCCTCGAGCAAGTGTCTGCGGAGGTGGGCAGAGTGTTCAACCAGCGAGGCCAGCACCCACTAGTGGATGGGCGAGCAAGTGCACGTCTCCGGGATGCTTCAACGAAAACATTTGTTGCTCGATCTGGGCCATGGACGGACAATGCCGAACAAATGCCACTTGGATGGCGTGTAATTGCAAGGTTAGCTGTGGGGGATGTGTCCCGCAAGAGTATGTGTATGGAAGTGAGTTTAGATCCAAGTTGGATTACAATGACTAGTCTCAAATAACAATTAAGCGTATCTTCAGCCTGTACCGATTACAACAATAAATGTTCGGGATGGGCGCGAGCCGGCGAATGCAACAAGAACCCCTGGATGAAGGAGAACTGCCGCGCCTCTTGCCAGACCTGTCTCAACGGTCAAGAACTGCGTTCCATTTGTCGTAGCGGAGGCTCAATCCCCACCCGGACTTCAGCTCAATTCAATCAAGGCTGGGGCCGACCTCCCCCGCCCCCTCCATTCGGAGGATTCGGATTCGATGGAATTGACGTGGGACCCTTCGCTTTCCGATGGGGCAGAGACGTGGAACATGTTGGAGGAGCTCCAGCTGAGAATCTGGCAGAGTAATTTATCAGAAAAGGCCTTCAGTTACATTGTAATCCGGTAGTTGTCAAGCAATTGTTTTTAATAAATGAATTACATTCTTCGGGAGAATAATGTACTAAGAATCTCGTTTTAACGACCTCTTGAGCCCGTCGCCGTTCCGTCTTCCTCCCCATTCCCATCTTAATCAACCCATCGTATGTCCGACAATCCGTTTAACACATTTGGTGATTAATTTACTCCAGTTTTCCGTTTTCAGAAACCGGATCCGAAAAATTTTTACAAAAGTGGAAAACAAAATAAGTTATTCACCGTAAATGTGCAGACAAAAGCTACCTAGAAACACACTAGCATTAAAATTTATCAGCACAAATTGATAGATAGTTGTCATCAACTCAACGCAAGAATTTCTCATCATTTCAATCCTTGTCGCTAAAAATTAATGATCCCAAATAAACGCATTCCCCAAGGTATTAAGTTCCGGATTGATTCCCTGCCCTGGATATTCGATATCAACGGCACTTAAAAAAAGTGAAATCGCCGAAAATTGGGGCGGCGACGGAAATCAGATAAATAAATCCTGCCTGCAGCGGTTTTTTCGGCATTCCCACCCCCGATCTTCGCACAACGACGGTAAGTTCTCAAAAGCTGAATTTTACATTGTATAATTGCTATTAGAAGTATAATATTCGAGCTCTTTTTAGAGAATGGAGGGTCTGTATGAGAGCGAGGACCAACGTCAGATGCGACGAGTCGCTTTCATCGCTACCGTCATCTCGACTCTGGCCGTGATCGCTTCAATTGTCACTCTCCCCATCATGTACACTTACGTCCAACACTTCCAATCTCATATCACAATTGAGACCGAGTTTTGCAAAGCCAGATCTCGCGACATTACTTTGGAAATGCATCAACTCCAACTCCATCAACGAAGAGCCAAACGACAAAGCTACGGAGCGCCCGCTTCCACTGGCTATGGCCCAATTTCAAACCCCGAACCAGCCGGCTGTTGTCCTTGCCAACAAGGACCACCTGGCCCACCAGGAGAGCCTGGAGATGAGGGAACTCCCGGTACCGATGGAACAGCAGGAGCGGATGGAGCGCCAGGAAAGGAAGGACAGATCTTATCGAGTGCCCTGCCACCTAAGGAACCTTGCATTATCTGCCCGCCTGGAGCACCTGGATCAGTCGGACCTCCAGGACCTAAAGGACCTGTCGGGCCCAAAGGTAAGATAATACAATTTTTTTTAAATCTTGGTTTTAACTGCTACCTCAATCTGACAAGTAAAATATAAATTATTTTCAGGAAAGCCAGGAGACAAGGCTCCAGACGGCAAAAAAGGAGAGACTGGACTACCTGGACCCCAAGGAGCACCAGGACCACTTGGCCCACCAGGTCCCCCCGGACCTCAAGGAGCTCCAGGCCGTGTTACCCAAGTCAACGGACCAGCGGGACCCGCCGGAGAGCCAGGGACTCAGGGACCCCCCGGTGCCAAAGGAGAACCCGGACCTGATGGAGTCCCAGGCTCCGAGGGCAGCATTGGAGAACCCGGTCCGACCGGAGCTATTGGAGCACCAGGCAACCGAGGACAGCCCGGACCAACCGGCCCACCAGGAGAAAGAGGGCCGGAAGGACCTTGCGATCATTGTCCCGAACCAAGAACTCCACCTGGATATTAGACTAGACTATGAAACAATAACTCATAATAATAGAGGACAAAGCTATTACCTTCTTGTTATGTTAACCTTCATTTCCCATCACACCAAAAAAGCAGCAACAAAAATGTGACGTTGGGACAGCAGCCAGTCGGATCATGTGTAATATAAATACGCGGGACAAAACATTTTAATACTTCCGAAGTTGAATCTCATGAAAATAAACTTCTACAACATCGAACAGACAATTTATTTTTTCCATAAAATTCTATCAGTATAAGAGTGAAGCTGCAAACTGCGGATTTGTCAAAAGCTCCAGGGCGCAGGTCTAATGGCAAAAAATAATTTTCCTTGAATTTCGGAAAAGAAATAAACCTAGATGTGCATGGACGAAACAAGTTCTAAAGACAGCTTCTGGTAAGGAAAGGATGGGAAAGCCCGGTCGAGCCGATCGTAAGTATTCTTGTAGTTCTCCTTACCCCGTTTTTAGGCTATGTTGAAAATAAAACCAAACGATTTGCAGCTGAAGAGACCCTGGAGCTCATCGACTGTCTTCCTCTTGAGTTTGTTGAGTATGCATTTGCCTATGGCTCTGGAGCAATCCAACAGGCCAGTGAAAAAAAGGAAGAAAAAATGGTGGACTTTATTGTTGTTACAAAGGACACAGAGCACTTCCATCAACTAAATCTGGAGAGGAATAGATCACATTACTCTTCCATTGCTTGGCTAGGTTCATCACGCTTGACGACATATCAGAGATACTTTGGGGCAAGACTATTTTATAATACAAGGGTCAGATCAGTTGGAAGGTTGATCAAATACGGCGTTATTGACACGGAGGTAAGTGGAATTGTTTGATTTGGCATTTAGGTAGAACATGATGTGAGAAAGCTCCTCTTTAATTTTTTTTGTTGGGTGATTTTTTCCGGCAATTACGGCGTCTGCTTTATATTATTCTTTAGGACCTAAAAGAAGATCTCTTGGAATGGAGCTGGCTGTATGCCGCTGGTCGTCTACATAAGCCGGTATTAGATGTTATACGTCCAGAAGCAAGCTTGAAGACTTGTTTGGACGAGAACCGGCGATCCGCCTTGCAGATTGCTCTCCTTCAAATGCCGGAAGCTTTTACGCTTACAGATTTGTTGAGGACAATAACCGCGATTAGTTATAACGGTGATTTTAGGATGAAGTTTGGTGAGGATCGAAGAAAAGTAAGTGCTCTTCTTGTCTTGTCTTTAGCTTACATTTTTAGATAAACAAGCTTGTTGATGGGGCATTTGATGAGTTCTCCGAGCTCTACCTGCCCTTGCTAAAGAGCGACCCTCGAGTATACAGTAATAAAGAGAATTTTGAACATGATCTCAGCACCCCAGCCCTCTATCATCGACTCAATCTGCTTCCCTCCACAGTTCTCAACAGATTGTCAGCACATTATTATGCAGGACGAGATCCGAGGAGAAGAGATATCGAAGAAATGGTCTTCTCCATTGCCCATCGGCATGATGTTTGTGAGCAAGCGGCAGCCATGACTTCACAGATTGTTGCCAGATCAGCAATAAGGCAGACGGTTAAGAACGCGACTACTGCTGGGTTTAGAAAGGGATTCTTATATTCGATGGCAAAGGTGGTGAAGATGATCAAGAGTATAAGGTGACATGTTAACTGCTTGTGCCTGCATTTTTGCAAACGCACAGTTGGTCCGTTTACACGAATATTAGGATGGATTTTTTGTTGATTTGTTATTGCTTTCATTTTTCTTGTTATCATTTCTTGCCATATATAATTTGATACCGGTAAATTTTTGTAAAATACGCGAGTTTGCGTCCCTGAAAGGTTTATTCCATGATAGACTTTACATTGCACTGGGCATGGTTAATATAATTACGATCTTTAGCTATGACAGAAGTCTCTTCAGCCATTCAGAGTCTGAATTTGAACTCTGAAGCGTCTCATAAACTCAGATTCAAGTTCAGAGTTCTGGAAGAAGAGTTTGAAGCCGAGGCCATAGCCCTAAAGGAATGTGTTGTTTTGTGGGCTGGCCGAAGGAGGATCTCTGAGATCTTGTTTTTCGCCCTCGGAGAGCTTAGTCTGCACATTTCTGGAGATCCCACACCAAATCATTTGATTTTCCTTCAACAATTAACTGTGAAATTGGCCAAATTATTCAATGGGAAACAGGTAAAAATTGTTGTTTTTACGCTTATTGGGTTTGTTTAGGTATATTTCTCCACGGACCTTGGAACAGATAACTTTGACAAGGCCGAACCGTTATATTGGAAAAAATTCTTCGATTCTCTGAAGACACAGATCGATCTCCACAAAGAATTCTTTAGGATAAATTAAATAAATCGCATGTACTCAGATATTGACTGAATGGGTTAAGGACCTAGATTATTTATTTTTGCGTCTTTTCTGTTCTGTTTAATATGGTCAACTTGGTTTAGGATGAGTTCCAAAGCCGTGAAGGCGGCGGCCGAACGCTTGGCAAAGTTGGAGATCAGTCAGAATGAAAGGGCCGCCAAGTATGTGGAACAAGCCCCCAGGATACGGTTGGACGATCTCAGAGATAATCCTGGTGCCAGGGTTAAGGTGAGTAAAAATATAACAGTTTTTATTTTCTGTAATGTATACCGTTTACAATCGAATCATTACAGGGTCGCCTCGTGAAAGCCCAGATCCACAATCAGGGCGGTCACACGGTCGGAGAACTCCAAAGAGCAGCCAAACCGCCATTGGGATGGGTCTGGGGAGACTTTTACAAACCATGGCAAAGAAGATTCCCGGGGGAGAAGCATTTCAATGGAGATGTGAACATCAGAAGGGAGTACATCCCGTTGTCTTTGATCGAATTGCAACGATTGATTGATCTGAATTGGCTGGACACTAGTAGAACGATCGATGTCACACAAATTTTCAACACAAAAAGACTGAAATTGGATCCGGACCTAAGACAATTCGGAATTGATCTCACGGATGAGGTAAGGACAGTATATGTTTTATAGGGTTTGTCCACTAAATGGAAGAGTAAATGATTTATTAATGTTTTTAATGTTTCTCATCATCAGGGAGCAGAAGTATTCACAACCCCAATTGATATCGAAGTCCAATGGGCCAGTCAGACGGTGATCTCGGCCATAGAAAAGGTCGGTGGACGCATTCGGTTGGCCTATTATGATCTGGAAAGTTTGAGAGCAGCCATCGACCCAAAGGCCTTCTTCGAATCAGGCACTCCCATCCCCAGAAGGAAACAACCTCCGCATTCACTCATGAATTTCTATAGAAATCCTAAAACCCGAGGGTAAGGTTGCTGTAGAAAAAATTATTATCAACTTTGGTTTCACTTTTTAATCGCTTTTTCAGTTACCTTGCGGATGAAAACGAAATCAGAGCCGCTTCTGAAGAACTCGCCAACATTGTTGGGTACAAATACGAACCCCGACACATCGATTCACCTCACAGAAAGTCTCCGAGCCAAATTTTTGCTGGCCTCGAACCCGGATCTTTAGTGTCATTGGTCGATAAAAAGGTTTTCCGACCCACTAATCCAGTTCATGAAGCGTTTTACAAAGGAGAACAAAATGAAGTCGCTGATCATCTTCGTTGATTTCGTATATTATACTTGATGTTTAGGATTGTTTCTTGTTTTTGTTAATAAATTCCGACTCTGATTACTGTATATACCTTTTATCGATTGATTACCCTTATAATACATTAGAGATCAAGTGTTTAATTGATCTTTCTCTTCTTGGCCGTGGGTCGGTCGAAGACATCCTTCATGCCTGCGGCATGCTTCTGCGTGAACTTTTGAGTGAACCCAGTGGTCTGAGACCACGCCCCTTGATGATCGGTGGTATCCTCGGCTGTTAAGTGGGTCCATTTGGTTCGAGAAGCCTTTCCAAAGTTCTTGACTTGCATAACCTTGGGTAATATCGACTTGTCGAATTCATCTTCTCCCGTGGCCTCGGCGTAATTTCTCTTATAGATCTCATCTTCCTGATCCAAAAAGAACACACCACGATGATAATACTTCTGTAGGAACTTGTATTTGCCCTTGTCTTGCTTATTAGTCACGATCTTTGGATTGGCTCGGAGGTAATCTTTGCGCTCTTCTTCTGTCATATTGTGAACCTTCTCGATTTCTTCCTTCTCTCGTGCCAGTCTGAAATACATTGGCATGAATACCAAGGTAACCGAAAATAGTTATATTGTACTCGACAAACATACGCCTCTCTTTCATCTCTGTTCCTTTTCAATCTCTTTAACTCCCGAATCTTCCATCGTTCATAGGCCACTTCCACATTTTCGTCGTCCGTGTTAACCGCCTCCAGATCTTTGAGGTCCTGTTTCTTAGCCTTGGCCATCTCTTCTTCGTGTTTTAGGGTCTGCTCCATGATCTTTACACTCTCTTTTTTCCGTTCTTCTTTTCGTTTCTCTTCTTGTATTTTTAATTCATCAAGTCTTTTCTGTTCCTCTTCCAGTTCAATAAGGGTGACACGATCCTTTCTGAAAAAAATTTCATTGAATACCACAAAGAGCAAGCGATCTTACTTTCTAACAAACACTGGTTTGAGCATGGGCCGATCATCCTCTTCGCTTTCCTCTTCACTCGATTCTTCTTCGCTACTCGATTCTTCCGACTCCTCTTCCTCTTCTTCGAGCTCCAATTCTTCTTTTTTCACCTAAAATCCAATATAAAAATTGTTCAGATTTCAAATCTAAATTATGCAAACTTTCCCAAATGAAACAACTTCTCCCCAGACTCCCCGAATCGCCATCATTTAGCACCAAGTCAATCCCGAGGACGGTTGATCTTTTCGACGGCGCTTTCCTTGGCCAGATCCAAGCTTCCTAGACCATCAATGCAGAAGCAAAAGTAAGTTCAGTACCTATTATACTCATTCATTTCTAGACAATCCAAAAGGACGACAAGGAAGACGGTCAAAGAGGATATTGGCGCTGGTTCCTGTGAGTCCACTCAAAAGGCATCATCGAAATATAACAATGAGCCAAAAACAAGTACTCGAAGGCGCAGAAAGAGCACACGTCCCAGACATAGGACGTCAGTCATGACAGCAGAAGAAGTAGATGCACCTCGAGCTAGTCGGACACGGAGGAGTCGAGGAACTCGCACTTTTGAGACCAGAGAGGACGATCAAGCAGGTATAACACCACTTTTTCACTTCTATGAAGCTTGCCTACCTCGGCGCGTTTCGCTGATTTCAGCTTTCGAACAAATCGACGGATTTTAAAAGAGACTTCGCCAGTTGTGGAAGGAGGGTCTGCCCTAGAATTTGACCCCCACTTTTTTCTGTCTTAACTGATGACGTATAGGCTGTTAAACAACTTGGTGAATTTTTTTCGAAAAATTCGTCATCATGACCGAGATATGACACATTTATTGAATTTCGTTTAATGTGATATATTGTGCTAATTTATCGCCGAAACATTGCAGAACTGAGTACACATACGTTATAGGCCATACTGAACAACTTTGTAATTGACCCCAAGTTTGTCAGGATACTGTAACATACCGTAACGCCCATGCTTGATCAATAAATCTCGATTTTCTCGATTTTTTTCAATAATTTTCTCGGAATTTTTTTGCATTTTTGGAATCAGTATCAAATTCTGCATCGGATAGACTATATGCGCATCTCCAGATAGGTGTACAAAAATGTCGTGGCGCAACCGGTAGTGGGTCGGACTACCATTCAAAAGGTCCCGGGTTCGAGTCCGGGTGGAAGCAAAAATGCTCAAACGCGCTGGAAATTGTACCAAAACAGTTTTAACCTATTGGAACTGTGTTTAAAATAAATAATAATTAACACTGTTGCCTAAAAAGGCTAAATTTTGGATTTTACGAAATTTTTGAAAATCATGATTTTTGTGGGCCCAAATCTGCCGAAGAAATGAAAATTTTTTGTAAGCGATTTTTTTGTTTAGAAACAACGCATGGCACATAGAAAGACTATTCCTCAAAGGATTTCGTTCAGTTTTGCCCAAAACACCAAAAAAATTTCGTATTTTGGCACTTGACAAAAAATTGAAATAATGACTTTCAGGAGTCCTTACGCGGAATCGTTTCCAATTTTATAGGGCAGTATTTTGCGCTGCTTTCAAATATCCTTCTAATAGCCGCGAAAATTTTCCACAAAAAATTTTACATTTGAAAATTTGTAGATATTCACATATTTCATGATGTTACAGTATTCAAGCTTGTAAAATTTGCTAAGAATTCGACTCCCCATAGTGGAAAACATGTGTATCCACGTTTGAATGACGTCACTTCGGCTTACTGGGTTCTGGCGGTGCTCTCCGATTAAAACGAAAAAGTTCAACTTTTTGGTGTTTTGGGCAAAACTGAACGAAATCCTTTGAGGAATAGTCTTTCTATGTGCCATGCGTTGTTTCTAAACAAAAAAATCGCTTACAAAAAATTTTCATTTCTTCGGCAGATTTGGGCCCACAAAAATCATGATTTTCAAAAATTTCGTAAAATCCAAAATTTAGCCTTTTTAGGCAACAGTGTTAATTATTATTTATTTTAAACACATTTCCAATAGGTTAAAACTGTTTTGGTACAATTTCCAGCGGGTTTGAGCATTCTTGCTTCCACCCGGACTCGAACCCGGGACCTTTTGAATGGTAGTCCGACCCACTACCGGTTGCGCCACGACATTTTTGTACACCTATCTGGAGATGCGCATATAGTCTATCCGATGCAGAATTTGATGCTGATTCCAAAAATGCAAAAAAATTCCGAGAAAATTATTGAAAAAAATCGAGAAAATCGAGATTTATTGATCAAGCATGGGCGTTACGGTATGTTACAGTAACCTGACAAACTTGGGGTCAATTACAAAGTTGTTCAGTATGGCCTATAACGTATGTGTACTCAGTTCTGCAATGTTTCGGCGATAAATTAGCACAATATATCACATTAAACGAAATTCAATAAATGTGTCATATCTCGGTCATGATGACGAATTTTTCGAAAAAAATTCACCAAGTTGTTTAACAGCCTATATGTCATCAGTTAAGACAGAAAAAAGTGGGGGTCAAATTCTAGGGCAGACCCCCATTTGAGCCTGCTTCAGCAACTCGCGAAGTGTCTTTTAAAAAAAAATTCGAAGCATTGTACCTTCTTTTTTCAGAAACTCAACAAGACGATTTGAGCCGAGGAAACCTTTACAGACGAAAGAAATCGAGCCGCCTCAACGACAATTCCCCACATGACAGGAAACGTAAAAAACGCCCAGTTATCACTTTGGCAACAAAAGTTGGCTCCGATGGTATCACCGAAAATGACGCCGTTGTAACCGCGGAAGCAGAGGAAGGAGAAAATCCCGGCGTAGATGAAAAGAAAGAGGAAGCCGAAGCAGATGCTCGTCCCAAGGAAAGGGTAAGCCATCTTACGCACACAAGTCAGATATAATACTGCATTCCGTTGCATTAATCTTATAATATTTTAGGGAATTGATCCTGCAGAGCTCGAAAAGATTGACTTCTTCCATTACTACCTCAGCCGCGATGATTATTATACAATCCTGAACGAGGACGGAGATTTTTTGATTGCATATAATGTCGAGAAGAAGAAACAAGTGGATCTGGTGGTCAGATCTGAGCAGGACATCAAGACCTTTCCCCTGATCTACAATTCGGATGGATATTCGATCGACGGCAAGCATCCGCAATACACTATCCCGGCTTACTTGAAGTATAACACTTGTATCATTCTTTATCTATCTCATTTTAGATATCTAACCAATGAAAAAGTCAATTTGGATGGCGAGACAGTCATCGTGACGCCACAAAAACGTAAGCCCTGGATATTCGAAGAGCAGAAAGCCTGTGTCATCCACGACAAAAAGCCGTTCAAAGGAAAGGATTACCTTATTTTCAATGGAGAAATTAAAACCCGAGGCCGAAATCAGAACGTTTACGTCAAGAAGAGCCGCAATTTCAACGCCCAGTTCTTGGAAGAGATCTCTCAGGAGCACCGACTCTTCAGACACATGATAAATTGGTCTCCGTTTGCCGTCGAAGTCATTGGATATTGTGCATCACACACTGGAGTGGGAGTGAGTTCTAGTCTAGCCAGGGAGAACATCAAGAATCTTTTCCTAATTTTATCTCATTTTAGTTGATCCTCGAGCGAGATGATGGCATACGATTAAGCGACTTCATCGAGAAAAGCTCGGTAAGAATGGCCACGAAAAACGAAAAAAAAGTAATGTTATGTTGTAGGTAACGAAGGTCCAGAAGAAACTATTCTGTTTTGATGCCGCAATCGCTGTCTGCTTTCTTCATTTGAGTAATGCTGGGATCGTGCACGGAGCGATTCAACCCGAGAACTTCGTAGTCGACAAAAAGTTTATGATGGCCAAGATTACCAACTACAAGCATTCGTTCGCTTTGCCGGAAAGAAGAATTGCTAATTTTAATCGGATACCACCGGTAAGACTGAAGTATTGTTCTCCGGAGATTGCCAGGGAAGGATGGTCAAAGGCCAGCGATGTCTGGTCATTGGGGTAAGAGTAAGATTATGCGCGATGTTTTTTAGTATCACTATGTGGATGTTGCTGAATGGAATGAGCAAGAACCCGCTTGCTGCTCTTTCTGGAGGTTTCCCATCCCAGTTCGAGACCGATCCCAAACTTAAACCAGTTCTAGAGGGGCATGGAGACTCTTGGAAGACACTATTCGACCAGATGACCAGTATCGACCCCAATGATCGCCCTAATGTTCAGTTCGTTGCTCAGAGACTCAAGAAGATCATTGACAAGCCGGTAGGCCTCAGGTAAACAAAATTCAGTATATCCACTATGTCTAATAGGCACAACACGGCTGTTTATTTATCAATCTTCAGATTCGAAGAAGATGGAAACCTATGCGAACACCTAGGAGCAGTAATGTTCCCTGAAAGTCACTCCAAAATTCAAAGGAAGGGCGACAAAAAAGTGGGCAGTGGGGCCACCGGAGCCGGATGGAAAGCCAAATGGGGAGCAGAAGTTTGAACGCGAACCTTACTGTGCTTGTAGAGGCGTTGCGAGTAAATAATCAACCGCATTATGTGTAAACCGCCTTATCTAGTTGTAATACGAAATCAAACCCACCTCTTTTTTGATATCCTTCTTTCTGATATCTTCCTTGCTCTCTTTTTTGATCTTCTGTTCTCTAATTTTATCGCGCTTTCTCTGCATTCGTTCCTCGTCCTCATCTTCATCAGGATCCTCTTGTTCAATTGGCGCTTCTTCCACGGCCTCTTTCTCCCGTCGTTTTTGAAGCGCTCGTGCTCGGCGGCGTTCCCGTTCTTCCTCATCTTCTGAATCGGATTCCCTTCGAGTCGCCTTCTGCACTACACGGGCTTCCACTTCTGGGCGACGACTAATAAAGATTAATTATAATTAGCATAATCTTTTAACTGATACCTAAAGTGAAAAGGCAAACAATTTTTACTTACTCATCTCGCCGATCAAAATTACGATCTCTCCGGCGATCGTCGTATCTGTCCTCGCGGTATCTCCGTTCTCTACGATCGTCCGGACTCCGCTCTCGTCGATTGGTACTTCGGTGACGATCCCGACCTTCCTCTTTATCTGTTTCTTCATCCCGCTTCAATGTGAAGTCATCCTCGTCCTCATCCGAACTCTGGGCATATCGCGGTCTGAAACAAGCGTACTAACATCTATGAAGGCAACTTCGTTAAGTATAACATCAAAAGCTGACCAAACCCCTCTTAAATTCAACAAGCAATATCGAAACACAACTTACGCTTGACCTGCAACATATCGCTCTACTTTCACCTTCTTCATTACCACTTGGCCCTTTTCATTCTTGACAGGGATAGCTCCCAATGTAGGCAGGGGCTTCCGGCCCATTGTTCGAGTATCATTTCGCTCGAATCTCGGCTCCAGATCACCCATTATACTATCCTTTCTACTCCACAACTTTTTCCTCACAAAAAAACAATATTTTGTTTCTTGTTATGGGCGCAGCTCGGCATGTAAGGTAGGTGCAGCCTGTGAGGGGCATATTATACGGTGAAACATGTTCAAATTATTGTAGTGACGAATGTTTTTATCTCTCCTTATTTTAGTATTTTAGTGACTAACATGAAATCCCATGCCATGCACGTTAAATCCCGTTTTATTTATTCTGGAATAAAATACAGTTGGAAAAATATATTTTTATATTATTTTCTGATATCTTGGTGGTAATAGAGACGATAGACTGTGTAGGATGACCTGTTTTTTAATTTTTTTTTGGATTTTCAAGACAGAGATTTCCAGTATGCGCTCACTGCAAGCATCCAGTGGCAATCAGAAGATCGGAATTACTGCCAAATGATGGGAAATTGGAATGATTATTAGACATTTCGGGTGTGTAATCAAGATTTTTAGAAGGTAACGGGTGTTTAATGAAGTTTTCCGACTACATTGCGAATGGTCAAAGCTTTCCCTCACCATACGTCATACAGCTATCGCCAAAATTGTCGAAAATCCCGTTCCGTTTTACCTCAAAAACATCAACAAAAACGTGATGTCAAAATCATTTAATGAAAAGCCGCAGTTAGACAGACATTTGTTCCAATTTACTAGCAAAACTGAATACAACAACAACGAAGCCAGACAGCTTAAAAAAACAATTCCCAAGGTTTTGCCGAGCACTTGTATTGTACTCGGCGACAATTACCGGATTAATCGAAAAAAGAGGATGTAAAAACTGATGTGAAATAATAAGAAAACATTTAATTATAGGGCCGTGACACCGTGTTATAACAGAATTGGAGTTGGACTAGGCTGAAGGTTAAAGTTGACATCCTACTTGCTTCCTCTCGTTCAATATACTTCTCAAATCCAATCTGATTATTAGCCCGCCCCTCCAATAAAGACAAATCCGAGCGGAGGAACGATGAAAGACATTGTTATAACACGATATTACCGATTCAACAACAAATAGGTCAAGTAAGACGTCTAGAACACCATGTCCGTGAGCTGGTCGTCCTGCCGATGGCGGGGCTGTTGACGATGGTGGTTCTGGGCGTTCCCGTTTTGCATAGTATGGTTTTGGGGACGGCGATTCGCGTGTGCACCTCGACCGGCCGTGAATTCAAAGATGTTCTTCTGCAAATATCATCATAAAAACAAAAAAACAAGACCCATCACATCTATTCGATAAAACCACTTACCGGTAGCTGATCCACAACATGTTTAATGTTTGTCCGCGTTGGGATTGGATCAGTAAAAAAGAAATCGTCGTCCAATGCCTTCTCGGCATCTATCCTTTGAGATGGGTCCAGAGTGAGGAGTTTATCCAGGAGATTCAGGGCATGCTCATCCTAAAACAACAAACCATTAAATTCCCCCAATCCTTGACCAACCTAAATACTCCAAAAACACAAAAAAAGCATTATCCTTACCTTTGTAAAGCCACTCATCTTTTCCCTTAAGATCCGTGGCTGTTTCGGTCTCAGATCGACCCTCCTATACAAGGGAAGCTGCTTCACATCCGGCCAGACTTCTTCGTTTATTCCTCCGCAAACATTCTGAATAATCTCCAGCTGTTTCTGTTCCGTATCACCTTGAAGGATAGGTGTTCGCGTCCAGAGTTCCGCCATTATACACCCCGCTCCCCAGATATCAATCTGTGGTCCATAATTCTTGGATCCAAGGAGTAATTCGGGAGGGCGGTACCACAGGGTGACCACTCGATTCGTGTAGTTCTGTTTGCTTGAAGATTCTGAAATGGTTTCAATGTGAAATGGTGCATAAGCCAAGGGAATCATTTAATCTTCAAACACAAATCTTGACTTACTCAATATGGGTCTTGAAAGTCCGAAATCGGCCAACCTCAGGACTCCTTCGTTGCTAACCAAAACATTGGCAGCCTTCATGTCTCGATGGAGGATATTGGACTTATGAATCTTGAAGAGTCCATTCAGAAGATGCTTCATCAGAATCTTCACTTCCTCCAGACCAATCTTTACAGCTTGGTGGGAGAGGAGACCGGCCAAATCGTAGTCGCAGTAGGTAAAGACCAAATAAAAATTCGACTTTTCCCGTGAACTTGCGCCTAAAAGATTATGAGTTAGACTTCCCGTTTCATTCTCCTTCTAAAAACATAACACTCGCAAGTAGAAAGACTTACCTTTCGAATTGCAGACCTCTATTAGGTCAGTGATATGCTCGTGCTTCAATCTCTGCAACATCTTCACCTCTCGAATGGCAGTAATGGGAAACTGTGAATAGAAGAAGTCAGTCACCAAAAACAGAAACCTACGCCTTCCCGCTCATTCTCCATCAGAATCTTCTTCAGTGCCACGAAACGCTTCGACTTTAGACAGCGGGCTTGGAAAACTTCCCTGAAATTAAATTACCTTACAAATGATCAAAATGTGTATCAAGGACAATCAAGAAGGAACAACCTTGTAAAATTTAGTAAAAATCAAAGGTCAAAAAACGAGCAATAGTGCCAGAAGAATTTCTGTTTTATAAGCATCAAACCAAATTACTAGCGACTCACCCAAATGTCCCTTGTCCTATTTTCGTGATCTTGTTGTAACAGCTCACATCATGTATATAAGGGTACTTGAACTGGTTCACGTATGGATTATTCATCCTCTTCGAGATCGTTTTGGCAAAGTTCTCGGCATACGGGTTAACTCCAGCATTGTCGACGATCTGCGCCAGGTTCTTATGATGGTCTGGACGGGAGTGTTGTCTATGACTGGAAGAAGCTGCAGCCTGATGATAAGGGGCCGGACCTCCTTGATGAGGTGGTTGGTGATTCTGATGCATTTGGGGTTGGTGTTGCTGAGGATGGGGAAGAGCGGCATACGGTTTCTTCATGGGAGGCCCGTTCTGATACTCTTGAGGAGGTCGGGGACGCTTCGAAGAGGTAGAGGCATACATTGCTGATGATTCAGAGATATCTCCACTTCCCTTTGTAATTGATTCGACCTGTACTCCCACAGCCAAACTCTTCTCAACACCTCGAAATTAACCGGCACTTTAAAAAGTCGATAAGTTGACCAACAATTCGAGTGCAACGTACAGACGACCGCTCGTGTAAATGTAATACGGAACTCTGGAAAAGGCAAAGTTTAGATCTCAACACCAAATCATCCATAACGCAAATTAGTACGAGGAGTAGAACACAACATACAAAAGATAACGAAAACAGCCGATCAGACACCGGAAAAGCAAAAAATCGATGCCATGAAAAAAGGGTTAAAACGGCGATTATGAGTGGAAGATCGGCAGAATTATCCGTTCACGTAACATGCATAAACAAACCAAAAGATTGCAGTAAAAAAATCTCCACCACAGAAAATTTTATAAGCACAGAAAAAAGGCCATGAAGAACACAGCAAGCTCCAAAACATATTCCGAATATCTAAAATTGCAAGAGAAAACAAAGAAAGTCTTACCTGGTTGGACCCTTGAGTGAATCCGACGACAAAACACCAAGAAGCGATCCAAAGACCAAACGAATCCAAAGATCTTCTCCTTCCTCGAACAGCCTTAGGTTTTCACAAGTTTTAAAGCCAAACCAACTCAAAAATTGATCGTCGGGCCTTGAATTAGCATTTATAGTCTTTTAGGAAGTCAAAAAACTCAGGTTGAATCGAACAAACCGGACTCGACACCCCTATATTATCCATGACATCTGATGTGGGGAGAGGGGCGAAACTCGTAAGTCTTATCATGTTTTTGCTATTTTCTGACTCCCTATAAAAATTCCGAGGACATGTTTGACCTACTGTGCCAAAAAAAAGTGTAAATTTCGAGTCATTCCGAGTATTCCGACGAGAATCCGCCAAATCACAAGATAACGCCATTTTTTTGGATTTTTCAGCGAAAAAAGGGGACATTTCAATGAAAATCTATCTAAAAAATACAGGAAAGTCTAGGACAATATTCGACTAAAAATTGGGGCCCGATCACAGCTAGGGCACGAGAATCCGGAGGTTGCGTCAGGTTCTAGAAGAAAATTTGATGAAACCGAGGAAAATCGTCGAGTCCCCACAAAAAAATCCAGTCGGACGTCAGGGTGCATAGCACAGCAGCATGGAGAAAAGAGACGCACCACGCGCTTTCCCTCTCGTCGAAAATGCTAGACAAAAAAAGAAAAGCTTTGGCGGGACCAAGTATTCAAGAGCAAATATCGGCGCATTTCTAATATTATAATGCAGCCATAATAATAGCCGATAAGATTAAACTGGTTATTTGGCCCTGCATTCTAAACTTTTAATAAGGAAATGGGAGAGAAATCCCCTTATTTTAGAAACTAATATACGAAATCAGAGCTATATCAAAGTTTTCCCCATAAAAATAATCTAAACCGTTGTAAAACACCCCTTAGAACGTCCATGTAAGCTAGGACTGTATGAAATGAAGCCAACTCTTAGCCCCACAAAGCAGAAAAACGGCAGAAATCAATCGAAGACGAGAAAATCAAGGAAAAAAGGCTGCCGAGAAGCAAAGGTCAACAAATCTATAATTTTCTGTCATTGCCTCAACAACAGTAATGTACACGTTTATCGGTAAGAAACAAAATCACAGAGTATTATGACAACGAAAAGAAAAAGGCACAAAATCTGGTAGAATCTCCTAAAAACCCGGAAACGAAATTGATGAGAACCTACAAAAACCGTCTTGAAATTACAAACAAGATACAAAAGAGAAACAATTCCACCTTCAACCTGCGATATTTTGCCAATAATTGACGAAAAAAAGAAAATAAAAAATGAGTTTGGCGATTTTCGTGGCAGAACTCAACTACTTTTACGATGAATAACAAAAACAAGTGTTATCGTCATAATTTTTTCTACAATTGCGTCAACTACTCTAATTTGACAAAACTCAAAACACAAAACATCGCTCTTCTCTAAAAATGGCAATGTTTCCCATCAAAAATAACTAAAAAAAATCTATAAAATCAGACCTCGTAATAAGTTTGGAAATGGGTAAACCTACGTATAACTACATTAAAAGACGTTACAATGTATTCATCTATACGATATGTCACTTTAGGGATTGCAGAAAGTCGCAAATGTCGGATATCATCTTCTTCTCCATCACATTTTTGTTTTGGCTCCCAGAGAGATTGTAGTTGAGCAGATTGGAGACAGTCCTCATCAAGGAGTGAGTTTTGTCCACAGAGACTTCAAAGGTCGGGAGGAACTGATCGGAGAGGACTCGGAGATATTCCCAAGAACTGCAAAAAGGATAACGTAAAATAAGGTAAAACTAATATCCTTGGAAGATGAAAACTCTGTGAATTCCTCATTTTATAACAAAATAAACTCTTACCCAGGCCGCAGTTTCCTTTGAGCCTTCTGTTTCAACTCGTCATTCGAATCCAGCAAGGCTTTGAATCTTCCCAGCGCCAGAGGGATCATCTCGAACGCTAATTGCTTCTGTTTTCCCACCGAGGCCTTCAGTTTCTCGGCTTCTCGATCGAATCCATATTCATAGAACATCTTGACTTCTTTTATTCTCAGCAAATCCTGATCCAATGACCATTCCTTGGCCAGTTGATTGATCAATTCCCATTTCTCATAGTATTCCTGAGACGTTTCCACTCCAATGGCCGTAACTATTTCTTCCAGGAACTTTTGCCGTCGTTCTTTGTTTCTATCGTCCGTATCAGACATCGGGATCAATGGGTGGGAATGTAGGGGTTCGAAGAAAGCTCGGTGCATTATTCCATCAAAAACTTGCTCTAGACGAACGGGAAGGCCAAGGGCGATTTGGAGCTCGATAATGATGGCAAGATGGAGATGATGGAGGACTAGATGATAATTCACGGGGGTTTGGCCTGAGACCAGCTCGGCCAGGGTGTGTTTTCTGTTCTTCCTGTAAGACATCATAATATAATCATGCCTCTAATGCTAATAAAATCAGTCCCAGACCTCGCTTACTTGATTTTGAAGCTCTCCAAGTAATCTTCCAAAAACTCTTCATACTGTAACTGCAAATGTGGCGCATAATCCAGATCAACTACACTTTTCTGCAAGACATTCAGCAAGTTTCTGATCGCCTTTACAAATTCTAGAAGCTCGGATTCCGTCACAAAAACATCTCGTTTCAAAAGTCGTTCTTTCAGAGGCTTTCCATGGGATTCGACAATCATTTGAGTCAATTTTTGGAACGGTGATCGAATAAAAGTGTCCCATAAAATAAACGCAAGACCATGGCGAAGTCTTGGAGATGAGCTGATAGCTGACAGATATGACATTGATTGAGACAGCGAATTAATTTTCCTGTTATTTTCGTCCTTAAACCACGTACTGGCCGACTCCCAAACGCAATCGCACAGGCAGAGATCACTAAAAGTAGAGTTTTTATATTACCCATGACAAGTAATAGTGCATAATTCAAATTCTTACCGATTGAAACTCTCTGGGAAAATTTCTTGAAGTCGTTTGAGTATCTTGAAATCTTTGGCATATTCTTCTTCCATCTGTTCGTCTTCCTCCTTTTCCATTTCTTCTTCCACCTTATTTTCTCCGTCCTTTTCATCTTCCCCACCAATTTTTATTTTTTTATTCTCTCTCAACGCTCTTACAAGCAAATCCACTGGTATATTATTGCTCGCTGCCCATTGTCCAATCTAAAATCCGAGTCATATTCAAAAATACTGTCACCATACCTGCTCTCGATAATATCCGAAGCCTTTCGAAGTCAGTTTCTCAAGAGATGGTCTCAGCTCTTCATCCAGTCGACTGAGAAGCGTGTTGGCAACTAAATTCTTAGTCATCAGATACCAAGAATTGGTAGTTTCGTCCATATTTTCGAATTCCACCGACTCATCTGACATCAAGCGAACCATTCCATCAACGAACCTGGTGACCAGCATCAGACTCAATGACGCTTCCGGGTTCTCACTAAAGACAAAAACATGAATAAAAATAAATCTTTCACATACCTTTTGATGGCATAACTTTCGGCCAGATGATTTATCTTTACGTCATGTAAATGATCTTTGAAGTATGACATCACAACATTAGCGTTATCCAGCAGCACCCAAGGGTTTATATTCCATTCACTGAGCCATACCGAAATGAATAAGTTAGCCAAGAGCTTCTAAAAATCACCATTATCATACTTATTGTATTGCTTACCAGATCCAAGTTCAATTTCTCCGATATGGTTTGAATACTGCCGATAACATCATCCTTACGTAAGAATAACACCTTTTGGAGTAAGATCCTGGCCAAGAACTTTTCGTCGGCCTCAGCCGTCACTAGCCATCTAGAAACAAAACAGATCACTACTATCACTAAAAAACAAAATCAAAACGTAGAAAATCTCACTTTGCTTCCACCATATTATTGAGTCTAAACATCTGCCTGAACTCAGAGAATGTGCACTTCTCAAAAGGATCTTGTTTCCTTTGGGTATCAAGTATAATATCGAGGGAAAACTCGTTATATTCATCAACTGATATGCCGAGATCTTGCACCAAGGTGTCATACGAGGCGCCGGATGGTCTTTCTTCTACAGGTGTCCGCACGGAAATAAAATACACATCTAATAATCGAATTAAGGCCTCCGAATATGCTTTCAACCCATGATCAAACTAAAAGGAGAAATGTTAAAATCAATGATTGTAAAATCCTCACCTCTTTGATCCCAGACAAGAAATCAAGTAGCTGATCAGTGCTGACCTTCCAAGCTTCCGAATTCTCAATCAATTTATCCACAAATTTGATCCGACTTTGAGTTGATTTCAATGATTTTACAGTCTCCAAGGCCTTTTCCACATGCAACTTTCCATTCTCGTTTAACTCACAATGACTAAAATCTTTCAGCAAATTGTCATCATGCATCTGGGATACGGTAGAATCCATAGCGGACAAATAAAACGGAACTTGGATTCTCTAAAAGCCAAAAATAATACAAGAGAAATACAAGGTACCTGTGCAGTTCCATTTGAACTCAAAAACACAACAGTAACATCATTATAAGGACCAGAGAGTTGTTTTTCCGAGGGTCCCATCAAAGTTGAATCCCTGCTTGACGGAATTGAGAGCAGTCTTCCCTTAGGGTCTACGTTGAATGCAGCCACTCTGGGGCCATTTTGCATTGACCAAATCTCCAGAAGCCCTCTTTTTGGGGCGAAGATCACCAAGAACAGTGTTTTGGTTCTATTTCTCTTATTTATTCCGAGATCCGAAGAGGCGGATTCGATAAAACCGCACCGTGCATTACGGTAGCCTTTCCAAATTCTAACAACTGTGCGGTATTTGGTCTATAAATAATTTCCATATCATTATAATCAAATTATGGGTAAAATACGCCTTTGAAGACTTATTTATGCTTTACTAGTCGCGACATAAAGTCCGTAGAATTTTCTGCACTGTGCATAAACCCGAAAAAGCATTTTGCACTGTGCATTCACCCGAAAACACATTTTGCACTGTGCAATTTTGTTGATTTTGCCTTATTGTCGCGCGCGATTCCCGTTTTTCGCAGCGACAAATCAACATTTCGGAGCGCGACGGAATTTGGGGGCCGCGAAAAATTCTACGGACTTTATGTCGCGACTAGTAAAACTTTTTTAAAACTAAAAATTTTTTAGTCATCAAGTAAAACATAACTCACATCCAAAAGCAAAACTCTCGCGGTCCCATCCGAAATGGCCATTAGATTCCAATTCCTCGGAGCTACTACTGTTGCCTCGCATTTACGACCCGGATCAACTAGTCTGGCCAAGACGTCAGCATTTCCAAGTTTGGCATCCGCAACAGAATCCTTTTGAGGACCGTCTTTCTTTGAAACTCCAATTCCCAATAAAGATCTGAATCCGAATGAGGGCATCTGAAGAGTTCGTATGTTAAAATATGCAACATAACTGTTTCCACATAAAAAATGAGACCTACTTGAGCAGCGATTGTATGATAGGCCTCATGGAGAATATTGGTGCCTTCTGTCTCTTTGTCATGCGATAAGAAGGCGGCATAACTTGAATTCGTAGCGCAGAATAAGTTCATATAATTTGAGGCGCCACTTTTTGTTAACCTAGCCTAAAATGTTCATGACAAAAAAGAGGGAAAAAAGACCCACCTTTTCGCCATAATCACTTAAAGATGCTCCAAAATACCGATCAAAGTCTTCGGGACGACTAACATTCAACAATTGGAAGTAACTGGGTTGTTTCAGATAGTCTAATTGCACTGCATGACTAATAAAAGAGTATGAATTACAGATCTCTTCAAAGGTTTTCTCTCCTCGAGCTATCTAAAAACCATAAAAAAAATCGAACCCGTACTCACTTCATTCCTAGCGTGTCTGAGACCATGGAACAATGACATTCCTTCCACAATATACACTCTTCCCATAGACATTGCTGACAGTCCTTGTTGCCCTTCATAAACTGAAGGTCCAAATCTCAATTCCCTAATCGGATATGCCGAGAATTTCTCATAGAGGATCTCGACTCCCCGATCAGTATAGAAATGAACGTATCCGGAGCTGCAGGCGACCGCTAGACAATGCCAATCCACAGTTGAGGCTTCGGTTTTGCGCGTCGAGGCCAAGGAAATGACCTCAATGGCGGTGATAAAGGCGTCCTTCTGTAACGGTACGGATGAAAACTAACGACTCTATGAATCAACAACGTAATCGGCGAAAAACCTTACATGAGCTTGCATATTCATCCTAACCCAGGACAAAACCCGAAGTTTTTCGTCCTTTTCGGACCTCTCCAACACCACAAATCGTTGAACAGCTCCAATAACGATTACTTCAAGGTTGGCTGACGAGGCTATCATACAATTTCTAAGCCATTTACTCTCCACACTCGACAATTTCGCATCATTTTCGCTGAACTCACTCTGAAAATAGTTTTTAATAACGCACAGTGCAATCATAACATACGGATAATTATTACGAAGGAATAAGTGGATTTTTACTTTTTAAAAATAAAAATGAATTAATTACAGAGTCAGGTTCCCAGTTTGGCCATTTATCTCCATTGTCGTCGATGTCTTCTCCTTCCGAGTTGTTCTCCAAGAGATCTTCATCATCTGGAGTTAACAGCGAAGACGGCTTCCCTTCTAGAAATAAGTATACATTAGTTACAGTATACTCTCTAGTAGTGATTTTGCATATAACCCTCTAAAAATCAAAAAACTATAAAAAGTACACATCGCTTACTTCGATTGGATGGACTCCCCTTGGCCGACGAGACTGGTGGATCTTCATCAAGAAACTTGTCAATTTGATTAATTTGCTCCGAAGAGAATCGGAAAAAGTTTTTTAAAGCGCATGACATGTTTTCTACCACAGCCGATAACTACTTCATCAATCGATGGGTTACGGTAGGTATGGTGATCACATAAAACTCATTGAATACCCGTATATTATTGATAATTGAAGGCCGAATATATGTAAAGATGACTCTATAATACGGTATTAATGACACAAATTAAGTTGCGAAGACATCATGAGTTGATGATGACAAAGGTAGTACGTATGTATACAAATATGACATAAACGAATATCTCGATAAGCCGTTTTTTTATCGCATATCACGTAAATATAGTAAACATAAAAGGTATATGCATTACATGACTTATATACCCCACAATACATCAGCTATTTCTATAGCCCTCTAGCCGTCTCTTTATGGAAAGAACTCCATCGTCGTTCTCTAACCACTCCCTCTTATCTCCATACTCTCTCACAAAAGGACACACATTTTCTCTGACATCTCTTCCCTTTCCACACTCTATCTCATAATTTCTCTAACCACGCTCCTTTTCTACCGTACTCTCTACCCTGTGCGTCCGCGCCTGTCAATTGATCCCAGGACCCCAAGTTACCCAAAAAAAAGGCAAATATGAATATTCAAATCTCAAGTTCCAAAGAATTTAGTATTCACACCCTGAAGGCCGATTTATCGATGTAATTTGCATTACACCGAGGGAGTCGACCCCCAGAAGACTCGTTTTCCGAATTTTCCGCATGCTATTCTTTTTTGCTACGGAATGCCAACAATCTGATTTTCGCTGCGGAAGAGAACGAAGAGCCTCGAGTTCACAGTACTGTAAGTTGTTTTTGTTTTCTTCTTTCGGGAAAAGGCCGGAGTGAGCCGACACAATATCCAGAAGATCTTTTTTGTGTTCGTGTTACAGGAAGAAAGAACAAACATTTATATTGTTCTTTTGGTCTGTGGAGAAGAATTTGGTTTAGAGATGGGCTCTGTTGTCAAGAAAATTGCCTGAGGGCTGCGAATCTTCGGAATAATGTTTTTTACATTTCGATCCGCCAAAGAAACAAAAGGGTTGAAAGTAATGGGTGGACATAGGGATAGCGTTTTAGACGGCTGTTTTTTGGAGGGGAATAGGTATAAGACAAGGTGCAATTTTTACGTTTGGTTTTTATAATGATGATGAAACTTCTGATCTTCTAGGTTTTGTTTTGTAAGCTCGAATTCTTTGTAGAAGTGTTTTATTCTTGTCAAATCACGTATCTACTGCGTTTTTTTACATTCCATGGTTATCTCTATGGATTTCCAAATCAGGGCACGCGAGATTCCTATAGTTTTCTTTTGCTTATTCACTCCAAATGACTAACCTCCCTTCCAGTGTAGACAAAAGCAAAAGTGATGGAGATTTTTCGAAAGAAACGTTCCCTTATTTAGTATTACAAAATTATCGTCAAAGGAGTCGAATCGCGTTTTTGTCTAATTTGTAATCATTCGTAGAGATTTTCCGATTTTTGTGTTATGATACTGTCTAAAATAATATTTTTAATTGATAGTGACAATTCAATTCCAATTTGTGAATGACAGTTTAAAGAAGTGCATTTTATTGCTGTAGTTTTGAATTGGATTTGCTTTCGACTTTTTTGCAGAACCCGTTTATGAGACAGAAAATGAGATGCCAGCTGTCAGTCCCCAAGTGATTATCATTTTTGAACCAACGTTTGCTGAACTCGTTCTTTATCCTTCCCATTTCTTATGTTACCTTGTTTTTTATTATTACGCTTGTTCGCGTTTAGTATGTAAATACCTTTATTTGTCTGCATCCAAATTATTTGATGTTGTTTTTAGGTCAAAATGCCGTTGCCAGCCCCAGTTCAGAAGTTTATTGACGATGTCGACAAGACTCTTCATCAACCCAACAAGGCCACTCAAGTCCTGGAGACTCTCGAGCAAAAGACTGGTGTCAAGAGACTTCACATTGTTGGAGGTTTGTCGTTCTTGTCATTTGATTAGTATTTAGTAAATTTTATCAACAACTGTCCTTTTATTTGTAGGTATTGCCGCGCTTCACGCCCTTTATCTTCTGTTCGGTCACTTTGCTGCATTGGTATGCAACTTTATCGGCTTCCTGTACCCGGCCTATGTTTCCATCACGGCCATCGAGTCCATTACCAAGGATGATGACACCCAATGGCTGACCTACTGGGTCGTGTTTGCCCTCTTCAACGTGCTCGAATTCTTCTCCCACAGCATCACCTACTATTTCCCATTCTATTGGCTCCTGAAGTGCGCCTTCCTCCTCTGGCTATACCTCCCCATGACTCTCGGTGCCCACCAATTGTACCTGCGATGCATTCGCCCATTCCACCAAAAGCACCACACCAACATCGATGGAGCCCTCAAGAACGCCGGTGACCGTGCCCGCGATGCCTACAATGAACACTTCAAGCCTCAATAGAGCTAAGCATCATATTCATTTTCTAACATTTCCATTTTTGTTATTCATTATATTGTTGTAGATCTTATCTCTATATTTTCAATATGAAAGCCTGTAGATGCCTCAGTATTTGCCATAATAAATTTAGAATCTTGTTTTTGGCGGTCTTATTATTGATACTAGGTGACCCAAGTGCAGCTAAGACTCTTTGAATATTGCACACGAAAGCATTGCACGCTTCATCAAAATTTTAGCGTCGAACTTCGGCCACTTACCCCGTGAGTTGGATTCTCTTCAAAGCTTCCCTACAAAGACCTGCCTGTAAACCCCGAACTGAACAGAAAATAACATGCTTATACGGATAACAAATGTATTAAAAACAAAGAATGTTTAGTAACATCAACAATATACCAATTTTACTTTTATAAACCCATTAAATCAGAGAGCGGGCTTAAGCGGTGTTGGAGTTGGGTCCACGCTTGCGGCCGGGTCCTTGAACGGCTTGGTTAACGAATCGTTTGTTGTATTGCTGACGTCTCCAGGCACGTCCACGCTTCTTCTTCCTCTTCTCCTGCTTCTCGACTTTGGGGGTTTGGGCACGAACTTTACCGGCACGAGCGAGGGAACCGTGAACCTTACCTGAAAAGAAAAACATTCAGCAAGCCAAAGATTACAATATTTTTACTCTTGCAAAACGTCGTCTATTCGTTAAAAATACTCATTGTACTCTATATCAAAAGTGAACGAGAAATGCGCGTCGCCTATCGGTTCCCCTCTAAATGCCAAATAAATGAAATTGTAAACACTTACCTCCGAGCAAACGAGCACTGCAGTTGAGGGTGCTAAGTTCAGCAACTTCCAACTCTTCCAAGGTGGCGGATTCGTTGTCCAAAATCTTAGGTCCAAGAGTCAAAACGGAGTCGACACATTCCAAATCGGCCTGAATTATTAAAAGTAAGTTTTGCAACCATGCTCAAAATTCAAAATCAAAAAAGACAAACTGATGCAACGCTTACCTTGATGTCGGCGATGGTGGTCTTGGGGGTAACGTTGAGAGTCACAACATCTCCGCTGGCGGAGTTCACGAACACCTTCATGGTTTCGGGAGTTTCAACCCTAGAGAAACCTGAAATAACACGCATAAGTTGGAATACAATCGTTACATTATAATCACAATACAAATTTACGAAAACAAAGCAAGTTACACGTAAAGGGTACCAAAAACAATTGAAAACGAGTAAAAGGGCTAGAAATTTGCGAAAGGAAAATAAAGAAAAAGAAATCCCACCGTAATATTGGCGTGCAAATTTTTCGCTGTGGGACCAACTTCACGGTTCTGTGTAATAAAATTTTCGGTTTTTTTTGGTGGAAAAGAGATACTAAAATCTACTAAAATTTGCAACAAACCTTTTCATAGCGATTGTTTCTCTGGTTTTCAATAGCTAGTTATAAAAATAGAAAATTCGCAAAATTGTGAAAATTTTATGTAAATTTGATAATAAAAACACGAAAGGTAATAGACGTGGATACAAATAAATCACTTCACGGTAGTTGATAGTTTGTAAAACTTGCACAGAGTGTGGTATGAATTCTGATGCGAATTCCGATGAAGAAGGGCAGGTTTCCGCTGAATCTGAGGACGAGATCGCGGTAAGATCTCCTTTCTTTTTTCCTCTTCCCCTCTGGCCATACAGACTCCTGATGATGCCTCCTTGATTTTCTAACCTTTTATCTCGTATTTTAGCCATTAGAGCCTGTTGAAAACATTGTCGAGCCAGAAAGTGCATCCGGTCCCTCTTCGGAAAGTAATCTTGACCTCCAAAGAACGGAAGAAGAATATCCGGAATGCTTCAACGGTGTTCAAGGCTTTTTTAAAGCGTCTTACAGCCTTAACTTCCCCGATGATGATGCTCTTTTGTTTTTATGTGGGCCTTTTTGGATCACTCCGCGAGATTCTCCCAATTTTGTGAGAGTAAGGCGGATAGATACGTCTAGTCCTATGTTTTAGTATGACAAGCCGTTCTCGGGGTTTAGTAAGTATTTGAAAGGAATTGCCAGTACGATGCACCAGACTCCGCACAATTCCATGATCGTTTTTTCCAATCCCGTTTGGTTCGAGGGAGACGATTCAGTTCAATTTCAACGGCGGAATCTGATAAATGGGCTTCTCAACTATTACAAATGGGTAAGGATACTGTAGTTTGGACGCTGGAAATTGAGGGAGTTTAAAGTTGTAGTCATCACTTTATCTGAGTCTTGAATTAAAGGCTTTTTGTCGTTTTTACTATGGTAAGATGGGTGTCGTATTAAAATTGTTATGTAATGTTGTTATGAACCTATTTTCAGATCATGAACAAGATCTTGAGTCGAGTTCGTATCGATTTTTTCGTGGCCGGATTCCCCATCGACCCCAATCAGGGCAGTTTAAGCGAGGATCTTGATTACTTTAATCAAAAAGGTGCTTGTTTATTTGGCAATCGCTTTATTTGGCCGTCCACTTTCCTCAAAATCCCTTTATATCTTTTGCCCGACCAATCAAAGGTCATTGAATGTCTGTATTACATCATCAAAAGTTACGCTTACAGTATTTCGGAAAGTGATCAGGGAGAAGATGGAGGTCCTTCATTTGGATTTACTGTAAGCTAAAACTACGACAGATGTATCTCGTAACGTTTAGGAACAATACAGAGAAGAGACACGGCGATATCAGCAGCTATTTGCCCCGCTGGTTGATAGATCACCCATGGCGGTGGTCGTATGTGGAAGATACTGGCCGAAGATAACTCTGGAGGAGGTGGATTACATCAGTGTGAGTTTGGGGATGAAATGGCAGGAGTTAATGAAACCATTTTTTATATTAGTATTTCTGGAAAGTCGCCGGATTGATTTTTGGCGTTGCACTGTGCGAAAAAAAGTCAGGGTGCGAGCGACAGCCCCAAAAAGCACGGTGCAAAAACCAAAAATTGCACAGTGCAAAGTGAACTTTCGTTTTCGCAGAGTGCTTGTCGCCGATTCGTCCGGCGACAGGACTAGTATTGGGGTACCGGTCCTAAAATTGACAAAATGGGGCCCGTTTGCCACCCCTGAATTACATACACATGACGGTCATTGAATTTCAGGTGGATATCTCGTGTTCGGACTTAACCAAGTTCACTTATCATCTAGCTGACTTCCTGGAGCAGGCTGACTACTCTTCTGTCCTCGTCTTCCCTTGTCTTTCGTGGATGGCGCAGACTGTAGATGTTCAAGAACGTGGCCGAGTGATTGGAGCTCTGGTTTCTTTGCGGAACCGTGTCTCCAAGAAAATGAATAATGATTACTGCAATGTCTTCATTTCCGGGTATCCTATCGATCAGGGCAACTTTAACTGGTTCAATGTTAGATCCACAACGCATTTCGGATCTTGTTTCGTCAATTTCAAGAGCTTTTTACCTCCAAATATGGAGGATTTCTTCAAAAGTAATGCAACCAGACATCAGAAGAAGGCCGTCTTGGGCAAAGGGATGAAACTGATCGTCAATAAAGTCAGACGATTCTCGGTTGTAAGTTTACACAAGAAAACAAACCTTTTATGACACATTTTCTGGATTAATCGAAGAAATGTGTCATTATGACAGATTATTTAGAGTATCGATCAGGACTTCGTGATGCACTCAATTGACAGTTTAGCGACCTCTTAGTTGTTCTTCGTAGAGAATAGTTCAATGATTGGGTTTATTAATCATTTATTACATTTATATTGTTTACGGTTAAATAAAAAAATATTTTCAAGACATCACGCTTTCAGGCACTCGCAAAGGGAATGTCGGTTATCTGCGATGATCCAATGGATATTGCTTCAGATTCCGAAGAAAAGGACGAAATTGTGAGTTTTTGTATGACACTAAAATAATATAACTTCCCGCAAAAATTAAAATAAAGATGATGAAGATGTGTGAAGTAGGGTTGAATCTTGATTTAATATTTTATTCGGCCAGCTTTTTTCTCTACAGCAACATTGTATTCCAGATTGTATTGGAGAACAACCCTCCTATGGAAGTGGAGGATGGAGAGGTGAGCTCGGCCGATTCGGATGACTCGGTTACTCTCCTATTCGACAGTGCGACGGCGAGAGGGGCAGTATCCAAAAAGAAGAAGAAAAAGAAGGGAACTGTTAACATCAATGTAAGACTTATGCAATTTGATAGTTATTTCGCAATTTTAGGCAAAAGTCACAAAGTCCAAATTGACTTCCCAACCACAAGTTCCTGTTTCTCCTCCAAAATTGTTATTGGCGTTTAATAAGGGCTTAAATTCCTCTGCGTCCAATCCAAGCCTTCAGCCAAAAATCGAATCTCGTTCATCGAGCGTTGGCTCCAGCTCGACCGCCCCCACGGTAAAAGCTTCGTTTTGCATCATGTTGCATTTTTAGCCCAGCCCTCAAGATCCTCGATCGTACGGATTTTTCAATTCTTCATTGGCTTCCAAACTTCCAAAGCCCCCGACGCCTCCGATCAGCTCGATCCAAGTAACAAATAGAGCCAGCTACGTGAATGTTCTCCACAATCCCCAGTCAGCACTCCCACCATCTAATTTCGATCCGCAAGGATTGGAGCAGGCAGCTCGGAGTTGGGCGGTAAGATAAGCAATTGTCTCTGAATTACGTTTTGTTCTTTAGGAATCGAATAGCAGTGTAAATCATGGTACAACTGAGCCACCGAGTGGGTTTGGCAGCGAACAAGGGAGCAAATTCCTGAGTAACCAGCCTAATATAACATCGATGAATATTCAGCAGCCAATCCGAACTTTCTTTAATTTTAATGTGAAGGAGAATGCAAATGCAAGCGCGACTGTGACTTTGAATAACAGTACGGAAGCTCCATCTTCTAGTGGAATCTCGTCCTTATTCTCAGCATCAGCAATTGTCCCCAGCTCGGTTAGAACATTGGATCCCAGACTTCAACCAAGAAATAGACCGGCCGTGACGAGCACAGTGACTTCGGAGGCCTCTACGCTCCCCTATAAATCATTTGCAAATTCCATTCCGGCCCCAACTTCAAATGCAGGGGTTTCTGTGAGCGTTAGTGGGCTCTTCAACATCACCAAGAGCTCAGGAGATCCAAAAGTGTCAAACTCAGGAGTTACTAATATTCCAGGACGACCCCCGGTTCAGGCCCCGTACAATATGAATAAAATACCGCTGAATGCCAATCTTGCTCAACCCCCACCGATTTTCTCGCCCTTTTCTGTTGGAAATCCTCTTCCGATGTCGACCGGTCAGGCGCAAGGTTTAGCACAGCCTTCTCCGATTCCTACCGTAACCCACGCACAGCCAACCGTACCTAAAATACCAAGCCTCTTGTCCTTTGTACCGACTTTATTTACAAAGTCAGGGCCAGCAAACACAACCATCGAACAGCAGAAGAAAGTGTTACTGGATTTCATTCAGAACAATGTGGCAACAGAAGGCTGTTTGGGAGTGAGCAATAATGCAGACTTGAGGGATGGAAACAAGTCAAACATGGACTCAATGTATGCTGGAATGGTAAGAGAAGGGTGAATTTTTAATTTGGATTTGTTGACTATTTGAATTTGTATTATTTTATAATTTTATTATTATAATTGGTTCCAGAATCAAGCGACAGCTCAAAATGTACAGAAGAATGTTTTTCAGCCGGTACCCCCTCCGAATTATAGATCGGTGAGACCACAGAACCTGAATCTAAGCGGGGGAAGTTACAGGGACATGGGTGGTGAGTATATTTATTATTATTTTTTGTATTAAGAGTATATTATTGGCTGTAATGGTCAATATAACTAATGGTTTTTAATGTCATAAAACAAGTAAATCTAGACATGCAACGGTTCAACCGATCAAACATCAGTTCCGACTCTCTGGATTCGAGCTACAGATCGTTTAGAGAGCCAGCAGGAAGCTTGCCTTGTACTCCTTTATCAAATTCTTTATGGGATATCCTGAACAGTGTCCCCGCCAATACGAAATTCCTCTTGATTTTATGTGGAGACTGGCCGGAGCCCGTGGAAAAGAATGGGTGCACTGTTATCAAGGTAAGTGGAAGTTGTGAGTTGATGAACTAATGTTATGTGTTATGAATAGTATAATATGTTATGTATAATGTAATTGGTTTCAGTTGCCATCTGATGGCCGAGTAGGACAAGTGCTCCGAGCAATCTTGAAGACAAATCTCTTTGATCGCGCCGAACATGTTATATTGGCACCGAGCAAGTCCTGGTGTGAGATGGAGCGAGATGTTGAAGTGGGTGATATTATTATATAACTGAAGTGTTTGTAGAGACATAAGGTCAAATCAATAATTCTTAAAATTTTAGTCTGTGGTCCATGGATTGAAAGAGTTCTCGTGGTCGATCAGGGACTCCTACAAGTATGACCCCAGGCCTATCAATCGGACCTTATCCATCCTTGGTTTCCCTGGACCCTCGGGAAAATTAAGGCGATTCAATGAAACGTCGTGTTATTATCTGGGAAGAGAGAGTTACATTGATCTGGACATATTTAGACCAGAGCAGAGCTTGGAGGGCGACAGGTTGATCCAAGTTTTGTTGGAAGGGGCTGTTTCTGGAATAATCCGTATGATGAAATCCATGGATTCGAACCCCAATTGAAGAAGGGATACTTTTTTGTGTAATATAAATCTACGTTATTAATAATGAATGGCCTTAGTTTCTTTACTGTTTTTTGATCTTTGTTTCCGGGTAAATTTCATATTTGTACTGATCTCAAAGCATCCTCCATTGACCTCAAACCCCTTGCGGTATTGTTATATATATATTGTATGTCAGTTTTGGACCTTATTGTAATTGGAATATAGCACTGAATTAATAAATCTTATACCACATTATCACCGAAAGGTTTATTTTATTATCGAAAATCTAATTTCCTAATGGTTATTCGAATGAGATGACAGCCTTCCCGCCACCCTTCATTTGACCCACTCTTTCATAGGCTTCGGCGATCTGGTCCCTCTGATAGGTCTTCTCCACGATCGGGACCATTTTTCCCTCATCAATCATGGTGGACAACAGGTTGAGGGCATCCTTGTCGGGTATGAAGTAGGCGTAGATGAAAGCGCGGCCTTTTCGGAAGTTCTGAAATTGATTACAACGTAAAAAATTAATTCTTTTTAAAATCTATTTATTACCTCCAGATTCCTGCAGAGCCAGGTTCCGGTAGTCGTGGCCAATCCGAGTGGAACTCCATAACGATCCGTCTGTTGCATCAATGGGCTAGTCAGGGTGAGATGAATAGAGTTTCTCCACAATCCAAGCAGTGTGTCAGACCAATCCGTCAGCTCTGTTCTGGGGGTGCAATCAAGGATAAGGTCGAACGGGGCTTCCTTCAAGAGATCATGCTTGATATTTGGATCCGCATAATCATAAGGAATCGCCCCCAGTTTCCTCACAAGATCCTGATTCTTCTTGGAGGCAGTTGCTACAATCTTTTGGACACCCCAATATTTGAGTATTTGAATTGTCGAAGTGCCGACACCACCAGATCCTCCATGTATAAGGACTCGTTGATGGCGACAGTTGACCGAGTTCAGACGACCGAACTAAATACATCACATTTTAACGCCCTTATAATTCGATTAAAGATAAAAAAAATGGGTCAGATAAATCTTACCGTAGTCAACGATGACCAAGCCGTTGCTGTTGCGTAAATCATTGCAGCGGCATGTGCATGATCCACTGCATTTGGTTTGGGAACTATACAATCAGTTCTGGTGACCACATAGTCAGCATGAGCGCCTGGCCAAGAAGGTGGGACCACTCCGATTACCTCATCGCCAGCGTGGAAACCACTTCCGGTGGGAACCTAAAACAAGATTTCCTAAGTGTTAATTCAATGTTATTTTAAAGCCATGAAGATAAAAATAGAAAAAAACCGCTTACTTCCACCACAACTCCACTGAAATCTCGTCCAAAAGTAATCGGGAGTCTTGCGTTCGCGGCAAATCTCCCTGTCTCAACATTGCGTACAGCAGTCATCAGCTCATGCGCATACCCTTCGGACATCCAAACATCAATGGGGTTTACACTCGACGCCTAAAATACGGACAACAAAACAAAAAAATCTTACTTTGACTTTGATCAACACCTCCTTCTGATTTGTTATTCTAGGTGTCACCAGCTCCTTTAAAGCTGGTCTGTGATGATAGTCTTCACACACAAAGCCTTGCATCGACGAGGAAATACTTCTACATTTATTTGCAAGGCCAAACCACCGTGATTTCAAGAACATTATACGGCCACTCATCTAAACCATAATTACTATCAGAAGTGCGACATAAGATGGATAAAGTTTGGGGACTACCATTCAGTGAGTAGAAGACTGACAACTATTCGAAATAAGTAAATTTATTCTATTTGGCAATCAAAAATAAGGCATTTTATACACTCTTTTCCTCAAGTTTCTGAATCCCTAGGTGCTTTTGATCGAAAATCGCGCAAAGTTCCCGCTCCAGAAGCTCATGAAGTGAAGTTCCAGTCCGTTTGTAAATCCATTTGTGGTTCTGAACATAGTCGTATCTACAATTGTAACATGATTACATTCAATTCCACTTAATGACTTTACCTTTGAGGTCCCGATAAAGGAGAAGACAGCCAGATCTGTTTGTTAGGAGTCTGTTTGTTGATAACATAAGTTCCAGGATGTCCTAATACTACAGTCAAGACTCCCATCGAGTAAGAGACATCATAATCCATGGAGATGGGAACTTTCTCTGGAAGTGCATCAAAATATTCACTCAAATTCTCCAAAGTCTCCTCGGATATTCGATCAAACTGGTTTTCGGTCAAAGGCTTAAACTGGACATCTTCAGGTTTTGTGGACAATGTTCTGTGGAAAGCATACTGTAAATTTGTTCTTGAACCGAGAAGTCTGAAGACCTGCGAAGGTGTCGGTAATAACATCTGAAACAAAAATAATTGATGAAACAACCGCTGTAAGGACTCGTGATGTTCATGTAAATGCGGAACCACAAAAATCCTGTACTTCTCAATTACAAAAAGGAGACAAAAATAGAGGCAAAAAGGTACTCGCTCCCGGGTGGACTCGAACCACCAACCTTTCGGTTAACAGCCGAACGCGCTAACCGATTGCGCCACGGAAGCACGCACTCCGCTCCTTTTCTTTCTCGTTTCGATGCGGGGAAAACGGGCCTTTACGAAAAAAGCAACCCCTTTCAGTGCTCAAACCAAACAAATTTTTGGTTTTTAGTGGACTTAGAAGCATAAAATCAGCGGTACGAAAGAAGTCGTCTTTATTCTAAGCTACCCAGAAATTTGTGGAGTAATTTAGTGACCAAAAAAAGTTAAGGATTCTCCTAATGTAAGATTACTTCAAAACTCCATAAAAAATCTAACTAAAATTATAGTTAGTAAAATTCCCGCAAGATAATAGGATAAAATGTAACCCCGGCTCGAACACAAACTCAATCACAGTTCTACTTTTCACTTTATTCAAAAACAACGAAACATTAATAACAAAAACGGTACTATCCTAATCTACTTTCTGCTTTCGTGCCTTTCAATGACTGGTGGAGGATTTTCCCAATCCAATAAATGATCCGGCCTTCGTTTAAACAGTAGTGGGAAGTTCGCCCGTTCTTCATCCGTGTATTCTGTCGACTTTTTCGGTACCTTTTGCACTTGTCGCAGTTGATTTCCAATGTTTTTCCTAATGAATTCGGGCATTTCATCGTCAGCGAAAAGATGGAGACGTTCAATCTGACTTCGACGGATCGGTGTTCGACCTAGAGCTTTGTAGACTGCAGCAAACGCTATCCTTGTTGGCTCAAACTCGTGGATTTCAAAGGCCGGAATGTCGTTTTTACTCTTGGGGTATTCCTGAAACATGGATAATATAAAATAGCCAAAAAATTTTCTTTAATGAACACTTCACTGACCTTGTTAAAGTGGAACATCATGTGTTTCCAATTGAACGCATGCATCGCGACATCTTTACAATTAATTATAACAACATTATCTCCACAATCCGTTAAAGGATGGTAAATTGGTTTCCATTTCCCACTTAAATGCCGGGCTGCCAAGTCTCCAAGTGCAAACACATCCTAAATGTAAGATTACAATAATACAAAAAGAAAGTTACCTGATTTGAACCGTCAATAACATGCCATTGCCTTGAGAAGAGAAGCCACTGGTTTACACGCCGAAGTCGAGAAGTCATGGTCTGAAATAAATCTAAAACTGTACAGAGCTGTATAAAATAGATATAAAAGCTTTATAACTATAAGAAACTTTGGTTTACTTCTTATAAGAAGTAAACTAAAACATTAGCTTTGTTTTTATCAAATTGGGAAAAATATTTTTCAGCAGCTTGCGCCCAGTATTCGTGGAATGTGCGAAAACTTATACGAAAGAAGAAATAAATTGTCATGACGTTTGCAATTTACAGCGAGAGTACGAGCCAAAAATGCGTTCAAATTGTGTTTAACGATGGTTAAAACTTTTCTTCAAACTGACTTTCAAATGAACTTAATTTTACAATGGATAAATTTACTACAACTTCAAGGTTCACTTCGCGATCTCATCATTGTTTATTCGGAGGCTGTCACATATCAATTTAGCGCTCTCCCAGACCAATGCATCCCAAACTGGCCATTCATCCGATAAAAATAATTGCGCAATCAAAATCACCCTAATCACCGACTTCGAATTCGAAACCAAAGACGGCAGCGATACGAACACTGGCCTTCAGAAGCGCGCTGACGCTCGCCCCATCCTTCATCGAGGATTCGGAAGTTTTTTTGAAGGAGAAAAGTCATTGAATCTCCTTTTCTGCTTTCGAGACGTTGTTCTTTTTCGTTCGAATCAGCTGCTTTTTGATACCGATTGGGTGGTTTTGATTTTGATAGTAATTACCTGCCCGGAAGGGCGTGCGAGCTTCAGGAAGTTTTGTATTGCGAGATTCGGGATTGTTGGACTAAAAGGAGTCACATTTATTAAGTTTCGGTGATTTCTGGACTGATGACTATTGAAATACATACTATAATATAATACAGTAGTAGCCAGTTTTTCACCACTTCTTAAGCGAGTTGGACGAATTACTGAGTCATTTTCTTCTAAATGTGCTTGTTAGCGCTTATTTTTACAGCAAAACTTCAAAAATGTCATTTTTGCTTTCTTTGGCAGAATCATTTTTCCTGACTTGCAATTTGTGGTCCATTCTTTTGATCGACCTCCACTTGCTCTCCTTTCCGAAGTTTCATTAACCCGTTAACTTCCTAGCTGTAAATTCGTCTAGCTCTGATTCTGTTTCGATTAAAAACAACAGTTTTTTTGTAAACACGTTTTTAACTCTAAAATTTTAAAATCCTGATTCAAGATGCCTTGCACTTTCATAATTGATAGTTAAAATTAATGACATTACATTGGTTTTTTCGCCCCGCGAAGTTTGTAATTTCAATTTATTAGCGGGATATTAAAAGAAAAATTTATTGGGCGTTGATTGAAGGGAGTTGTTCCATCAACCGGTTTTTCCATCAAAGAGTGTTGACGAAACGCGTTGATGAAAGATGTATGGATACATGGTGAGTCCGATTTTGCTGCAAATTTAGCCGCAAATGAGCGATGTTTAAGCAAGACTATTTCAGCGTTCCGCCATCTCCACAGAGCCCGCCAAACCCGCGAATAAATCGTCGATTAATCAGCGGCGCAGTCAGCCCGTCTTCAAATCCCGGCGACGCAAAAAACCTGGATTTTTCCAACGATTGCGACGCAATAAACCTTTTGTCGACAACAAAGAGGATGAGAAACAGGAAAGCATCTTCGATTCGAATGAGATCACCAATCTGCATAAGAATGCGCCCAGGAATTCCTATATTCACATGGACCCAGTGGACAGTTACGTCGACGAAATTTGTGGATCTTCGAATTCGAATGGCGTTGACGATGAGGCAATTGGACAAAACGGTAATATCAAATTGTGAGCCAGACCAAAAATGTTTCAGAGGACCATCTACCATCAATTCCTCCTTTATCACCTCAAAGCTCGTTCCAATCCAATTCTGATGCTGACAATACCCCATCAACGAGTACAGGTAAATCTCTTGAGAGTATAGACACCTCAACTTTTGACAATGACTCCACTTGGACGGTAAATGTTGTCCATGAAATTCCGAAGATTACGTTAAAAGAGGTCCTCAAAGATGTAGCCATGGGCACTGGGGGAAATCAAACTCCCAAAGTGGAGAAAGCCAGGATTCCAAATGATGTGGAAGGAGAACAGAGAGTCAGGATAGAGCTGCAAAATAATGGAATAAGAAGGGTTGAGAGACCAGTGAGCAGTAAGGAATTTCATGATGATCATAATATTGGACATGATAAAAGAGTTGATGGAAAGGAATCAACGTCATCCAAAATCAAGTCCACCGACCAACCTAAAGACGATTTCATCAGTGACGGATCTAATGGACCTCTTCCACCATCTGAATCAACATCAGAAGTCGCTTTACCAACCGAAGAAACTGATGGGTCCGAAGAAATTTACAAACCGCAAATTGTCCTCCGTCCGAAAAAAGTAAAGGATCAATTGATCCAACAGATCAACAGCATTTATCACCGCTATTCGATGAAGCGAAAGGAATCCATGATTGAAGTTGAGGACACTATCAGGCATTCGTTGTATGACATACAGTACACCACAACAAGTATCGAATTTTCAAACGAAAACTGTGGTGCTAATACGGACGTAGAGAAGACATTTCATGAAGCAAGATTAGATTCAATGGCATTCTACTTGATTGAAAGACCAGTTGACCGAGATATTATGGTAGTTGGAATCGTGAAGGATACGGTAAATGACGATGTTCGTTTTGAGTTGACGGAAATCGATGCCATTTTCTGCTTTGATCAGAGTGAAGATACGGCCAATTGCCAGTTTACTCGACCAGAAACATCAATTGAGTACGGTTTCTTTGCAGTTTCCACTGAGTATTTTGATCTACATCAACACGAAACAAGTGGAGAGACGGCGGAAATAGTATTAACCCAGAAGTCTTCTGAATATGAAAGCCTTTCTTATGGCGTTACATGTCTAAATTTGGAATTGAAAAAAGCCGCTTTCGATGGTAACGGAGAGACATTGGTTATCCCCTCGATTACCCAGTTGGAAGGCTGTGAATTTTCTGTAACGACGGTTGAGAACGACTTCAATAAAAGTGCTCAAGCTGCAGAAACTGGCAACTGTGAAGTTACAGTTGGATTGACAGCCAAAGATACCTGCTCATTCTCTGTAAACTCAATCGAACAAACCATTCAAGTAGCAGATGAGAAGAATTGTGAACTTTTGGAGGTTACGTTGGCAGAAACTGTAACAGGAACGCCTATATCATCGTCTGTTAAACCATCCACAGACCCTAAAATGGAAGACCATGAACTTATGCGTCTTATTGAACTGTCTGGACAGTCCAGCGAGAATCTTATCAACCGGGATGATATTGAGTCAAAAGAGCCGCTTCCAAGTTCACAAGAAGATTCCGTGCCTCCACTGACAGTTGATGTTGATGTAGGCAGCGAAGAGAGTGGAGCCTATTCCGAGGTCTCGCTCTTCGAACACTTGGAAATCAGTCCACCATTGATCCTGAAGAACTGCCGGAAATGCGCATGTGCCTGTTGGAGGACAAATGTTACGCAATCAAACAGCTACAGTGAGGTTTGTAGATGCTTCGAGATGGAGAAAGAAGCCGAGAACAAAGAAGATAACATGTTGGTCAACTCAATTCATCTTGAAGAAAAAATCGAAAAAAATTCTGGAGAGTATTTTGGAGAGATTAGCAAGAGGATAGGTACTGTTTGTACAGAAACTCTTTTCTTCGGTGCAACCTCGACTGAGATTGTATTGGAGAAAAAACAGGATGAGAATGTTTCTGGTGAAGCTCTCGTATTTCACCCCATAAAACAGTCAGCAACAGAGACCATGACAATTTCTGGGGGTTGTTTCGAACTAACGATGAATATTCCGGATGATAAAATAACTGAAATTACTTTCGCAGAGGAGCAATGTGTGAAAGATGGATTTCAGTTATGCATTTCTCAGACCGACGTTGATCTTTTCCCAATGAAAAAAGCAGATCGATCACAGAATGCTGAAATTTTTATACCCGAGGTTACGGTAGAGCAAGTGAACTATTCCGAAAACTTCTGTGATATTCAACTTCATAAGTCGGAAGGAGAAAAGAATGATAAGGATGGACATTGCAAAGTTAATATGGCTTATAACACTCATGATACGCAATGTTTATCTATAACGTCCTGTGATGCTCTCATAGCAAGCCTTGAACAAACAGAATACGTTTGCCATGACATCAAATCAGCACATGATGGCCAAGCTATTCTCAGTCTTACTGATCTTTTAGAACAATTTAACAAGCCAGGGGAATTACTGGCAGACGACATTACACTTCCAACCACAATGTCAGACATCATCAGTTATAGCGAGATTAAAACTGATGTTGATTTTGCAAACACTACTTCGGAAACCATGAACTGCAGAGTTACATGGGATGAAACGATGTTCTATCAAGTTAGTCTGGCTGTAACATGGATTGATTCTCTTTTGATGAAGCCGCAGATGTCAGAATGTGTGGAAAGGACGCAAACCGAAGTTCGCAAAGGGTCGACCTCACTGTCAATGGAAAAATTAGATTCTCTTATACGTCGGCAAGATGACGCATGCACAGTATGCTCGACATGGTTAGATAAGCGTTCTGAAAAATCGTTTGTAGACCTCAAGTTAGATGTTTCTTACAAAGAAATTGATCCCGTAAAGCAATGTCAGACAGAAGAAACCGAAGCCGTCAGAAAATTAGTTGACACAGACTCCAATTTCTCGAGAGAGTCAGCAGTCATTACCTATGCAAGATCAATGTCGCCGTCTATCGCCAGCACGTCTAACACAATGTCCGAAGTCCCGGAGGATCCATTCCATGACTTTAACGACGGTTATCTCCTCAAATATGGGGAAATGCTGCCCATGCCAATCTGTCGAAGTGTCTCTTCCATGAGCAGTGCGATTACGGTATCAGAAGGAGAAGAAACTTTGAAAAGGGAAGACGTTAATCGGATAGTGAAGGAAGTGTTGGATGGGTTGGTTGAGAAAGTCATCGAATCGCATTTGGAGCAGTTTGAGAAAAGGTTTAGCGTCCATGCCAGATCCAGTCCGGCTAGACTCAACTTGATGTCATGGTTCGACAATTCGGATCTTGTTCATGAACAAATAGCTGAAGTGCAATTTAGGCATGCAATCAAGGTAGGTACATAGATTCTCTTAGGGCTCTAATATACAACTGTAACGTCTTCGTTAACCGACCGGTTCTTCGTATTGTACCATTTTTGATTTGCGTCTTTTTGCAACCTGCGCGGCTCGGGCGCGGCTCGCCCTTTTAGAAATTGTTCTGTGCGAGAAAAATACGCGTGTTCTCACGAAAACTGTTGAAAACGTAAATATCCAGCAGGTCCTTCTCCGTTTATATAAACTTTGATTCACGATAATCAATTTTTTTAGAGTTTCCGCAGTTTCCGCGGTTTTTGACCCGACATGTTATTATTTTTAGGGATTGCTCAGGCGGATTGTAAAAATGGGCATTACGAAGTAGCTCAGACAATCTTCGGGAGGAATACCCTGCCTTTATGTTTATCAAATATAGTTTAGCGTTTTGTTTATTAAAAAGACGGACTTTTTTGTTTTATAAGATTTATGAGGCATGAGATCTGGGCTTGTTATTGTTAAAAATTGACTCGTCTGTTTCGCCTAAGAGGGTTCTGCATGACCTGTTTAGCCAGCTAATGGTGACTAATTTTAGTTTGGAGTTCCGAAACCGGTCATGTTCTCGGATGAAGATGACCTTCCCATCTCGGACGATGAATACGGAAATCCCTCAATGGACGATTCCTCGGTAAGTGCTTTTCGATTTCTTTGTCTTATAAATTTCGATTTGGGATTATAAGTGTTGTTTCCAGGCAACAATCACTTCCAACACATCAAAATTGGTTTTAAATTCGTCCGTAGAAGAGCAAAATGGAAAGAATCCGGAACAAGCCATAGAGCCGGAAAACAATGGGACGGCACAGCCCGAGAACGGATCTAGTCGTCCATCAGAGCCTCTTGGATTAGGGGGTTCTAATGTTCCACCTCTTGTGCAGCCTGCTCAGGCCAACGGAGCGGGAAAGACAGAAGATAGCGATGAACAAGCAGTAGATGAAGAGGCGGTTGTCTTCAAAAACGCCAACATTGTTGTGAGCATTAGAGCTTACGAGAAGAAAAGCGAGGGGTTCAATGCTTATATTGTGTACAAGATTGAGACCAGAGTAAGCGCGAGTTTAATTTACGTTTATTTTGATTTTAGGTATCCGGAATTCCAAACTACACCAAGTCCATGAACGAAGTTTGGCGGAGGTTTAGCGATTTCCTTGGGCTCCGAGATAAATTGGTGGAGAAGTATCAGCATAAAGGGGTAGCCATTCCTCTAGCGCCGGAAAAGTCGTTGGCCGCCTTGACGAAGACCAAGTTGAACACCACAAACGATGAGGGATATACAACGTATGGGTTCATTACTTTTAATTCCCTGCGGGAATGAATATAAAGAAAAATATATATAAATATTCTTTAGGGATGTTGCCGAGAAGAGAGCTCGACTCTTAGAACGTTTTCTCCGTCGTCTCTGTCGATCTCCCCGGTTAGTCGTTGACTGCGATGTGGTTGATTTCTTGACACTTGATGCAAATCTACCGAAAGCCACGTTTACGGCCGCTTTGAGCGCCAAATCAATGCAGAAGATCTTCAAGGTAAGTGTCGTTATAACTTAATGATTCCTGTTTTAGTCTTTTGGAGACGCTTTAAACAAAATTGCTTATCCTATGGATGAGAATGATCGTTGGTTCGAGCAAATGCACGGCAATGTCGAGGAATTGGACGATATGCTAGTTCGTTTGCATTCGATTGTAGATCAGCTGGGATCCTTCCGAAGAGAGCTGTCTCAATCCTCGGACAGTTTATCTAAATCTTTGTCGATGATTGCGTCGTGCGAAGAGAACACAGCGCTGGCCAGAACATTGTCTAAATTGGCCGAAACAAAAGAGAACTTGAGTGTTGTCCAGAAACATGAAGCTGATACGGATTCGCAAATTTTGGCTGAGGCTATCCAGGTTTGTTCTAAATTAATCCTAACGGAGTTGATTGCGTTGATTGACTTTGAAAACGAATTATTTGATGCTTTCAGGAACACCTTCACATGACTCAGGTCTTGAAGGAACTTTTCTTCGAACGTGTGAAAGCCTGGCAAAACTGGCAGACCCTGAGGCAGAATCTGGCCAAGAAAAGAGAACTCAAAGCAAGATTTGACTTGGCTGGCCGTTCTGATCGCGCTAATGTGGCCAAGGCCGAAGTGGAAGCTTGTGAACAACGAGTGGACGAGATGGAACAAGATTTCCAGGAGATGAGTAAGACTATCAGAAGAGAGTACATCAGATTGTGTAAGGAGAGGAGAACCGACCTTAAGCAGGCATTTATCGCTTATCTGGAAGCATTGGTGGAAAGCGAACAGCATGTAAGTTTTTATATTGTTAAATGAGCAGTTAAATAGTTGATCACCATTGGGTGAAACGGCTTCTTATGTTTTTTATTTATGAGCAATAATCTTCTAATGCATTGCGTCATATAATTAATTCCAGATTCTCGAGCATTGGCAGAAATTCGGCCCTGAAGTCCAGAGCATCATTTAAATTATGTTAAACGTCAACGACGTCACTATCAAGAACCTAAAGAATTTCTAATTTATTTTAATGGGTATTTATTTTATCCTGTGAATCTTCCAGTTATCCGTTTTATTAGCCTATAAAGTTTTTATATCGTTTATTTTTCTTTATTGGTAAAATGCGTAATATATAAGACGTGAAATATAGATACACACCATGGTATAACGACTATTTGAAATGTATTAGAACTACAGAGGTTGAATAGCTTATATATACTTACAATTTCAGACTAATCTGGATGTTTTAACGACTTGATTAAACCGGGTTTAAAGCCTAAAAATAATTGGGTCGTGTAGGCAGAGGTAGCGTACCGTTATCTCCGCGAAACAAACGAGGATTATTATAAAAGTGATGTGTTCTACTGTAATATAGAATAATATCACATGAAAGTTGGGGGTAATCTCAGGGTATAAACAAAAACCTCACCAGAAAAGAATCGTCGGATCAGAAGCTGTTGGTCCGTGTCCGCGTGGAGAGTGTGGATTCGCTTATCTGTCTCTTCAACATCTGAAGCCGAATCTCTCGCTCCACCGGCGAGTCTCGATGCGTGTAGTGGGGCCGTCGACGTTGATCTGCAGCTCCACAATTCAGAATTTAGAGGAGTCGGGTGAGGTTTAGGCAAAGGTTTAAGCGGGAAAACGGTTAGGGCCAAACAAGAGTTTACTCATGGCGACTCTGGGAAAAACGTGGATTAGAGAGGGAATCCGTTTTAAGTTAGTAATCAGAAGAGAAGGTTAGGTAAGACGGAAATTTAGATATTACTAGGTCCGAAGTCGAATGTCTTTTAATTTGTTTCAACTTTTATTACCCTAGCTAGTTTCGCTTTCCTCTACATAAAACTCATAAAATTCCAGAAAAAAGAAAGACGATGACAAAGAATGTAAAGATTTGCGCAATTATCAATTTTGGCTACGGAGACAGCGAACTCAAGGAGATCCCGCTTCCGGCGGTCCGCAGAGATTGAACATGCCCTAAAGCGATAGAAACGGAAGAGAGTCAGGGGCTGAACAAAGAAACTTACAAGATGGATGAGGACGAAGGTGTTGCGGAACGGGGGGTGGGGGTACCCGAGGCGGCGGTGGAGGAGGCGCCACTAGCGGAGGTCGCTTGAACTCCAAATCCGATCTGAAATCAAATAACATTGGCTTCTAATAGCGCACAAGCCTTACAATTTTGAGTAATCCCCTCCTACTTTCAAGCCTATTGAAGTATATCTAGATCCACAAAAACTCCGAAAATAGCTTATAGAATACAAGTTTATTGGTTTCTCCAAAAAATTACAATTTAGAAACATAGAAACTACAAATAACAACAATAAGAGATCTGATTGAGATTTACTTCTTGTGCTCAACAGCCTTGGACTTCTTGAAGTTGATCGGGATGGACCTCTTCTCGGACTCCTTGCCATTTCCAATCTTCGGGGCCTTGATCACCAACTCGCCCTTCTCATTCAAATCACACTGGACCTTCTCCTTCTCGTAGCCATCAGGGATGCGGATGGTTCTCTTCAGGGTTCTCTCGTACTGCTCATGCGGTCCAGCTTGCTTATGATGAGCGCTGATGGTGACGGCGTCGCCTTGATGGTTGACCTCGATCTCATCGGGCTTGAATCCTTGAACGTTGCAGCTGAAGGTGAAGCCGTCCTTGAAGTCCCACTGGCCAAGGTTGCGCTCCAGCTGGTGCAGCTCCGAGTCGAGGGCGCGCCACGGGTTCAGAGCGTAGCCATTGGAGGAGCGGAATGGATCCCACAGCAACAGAGACATCTTGAGGTAAGTCGGGAACTTGAAACTTCAAACGATTTTTGATTGAACTTGACCTCTAGCCGCGCGCTCCGGCTTTTATACCCTCATTTTGTTGTGGCCGGAACGTTGGAGAAACCTCAGGAATGTTTACGTCTTTTCAAGCTCCGCCCATTTTGCCGATCGCTGATTGGCCAAAAAGTTGCGCTCCTTTTCGAGAAATTGCCGGAAATTTTTGGAAATTTTGAAATTACGTGCCGTTTCTGGGCACTGCTTTCTTTGTCGTCGCATGGCCGGCTGCAGTGTCTCCATTGACAACTTCCCTCTCTTGTTTTCGCTTGTATTCCCCGTTCACGACCTTGCAGATTTCGAATTCTTTGGCGATTGGTAAGTTTGTTTTAATTGTAATGTCGTCTATTGCCCTTTGTTATTTACAGTCTGTTAGCATACTTTTGCGAGTTGTGACAAGGTATCTTCAACTTGTCAGAATAAAAAAATTAGTCTTGTGGAAGACCGGCAGGAAATTGCCAATTGTATAAACCAGCTGATTGTTTTATATAATATAGTTAGAGTTTGCAAGTGGACTCCCAAATTTTCCCTAATCCTCATGGGTAGTATCTTAAATAAGCTTCCGACCTACCTGAAGAGTCTCTCCATCTCGGAGGATCCGCGATGCTCCGATCCATGCCATGGAGAGCTGTCATAGTACTGATATCTGGGCGGGAATGTCATGGTTGGCATGTCGACTCCATTATCCGGCCGACTTCTTCGACACGACATGCACCACATGATGCTGTAGATGGTCGTGGTTAGCAAAACAAGTCCCAGAAGTATAGCGGCCAGCATGTAGAGGAATGTGTTGTCAATGGGAGCCATCTTTGGTTTGGGAGTGATCTCGACGTAGTCGTCGTCATATTGCACTGGATTGTCTGAGGGACGTCGACGATGTTGTTGACGGGGCCGGGTTTTGACTCGACGGGTAGGATCAGGGTGAATAGGGGTCTCTGGGCCCGATTGGAGGGCTGAGGTCATGGGAGGTCGAGGTGGAGGAGTTGTGGTCCAATTACTGAGACGAACTTGGATTACTCCGATATTGTAATCTGGAGAAGGACAAGTTGATTGTATAGTTACGAAGTTACAGATTGAGATTTTTATTACCTCAATCGGCGCTTAAGAATTCTTACCTGGCGGTGCTGTTTGTAACTGACTGATTCGTTGCTCAAGAATATCGTTTTCCTCGTTTTTTCCTCCATTCCTCAAGGGTCCCCTCGCCCCATAGGCGCTGAGAACTTGAGTGGGAAAGACCTCCGAGAACCCGTACACTGATCTGAAGATTATCATGAAGATGAACCATGAGATTGATTGCATAATTGAGGTATCAGTCAATGGAGGTTCCGCCTTCGCCGCGCTCTCATCCTTCGAGCGCCAGTTTGAGGACGGACCGGACTGGGAGCTGGGGGCGGCGGATGAGGTATTTGAAGAGATAAGGATTCTAAAATATTATGATTTAGGGTAGTAACGGTTGAACAAACGCATGGATAGCGTATATGCTAACGATAACAAAAGATAAAGCTAATTTAAAAACGGATTTTGAAAAGCCTTGTATTATATTCGACGGAAAATTTGTTCGTTAAGAGATCGAAATTTTTCTCTTGTTCGTAAAATTATTTTTATCGTCATCAAACTCTGTCAACTATCCCCATCAACCAAATATAATAAACGGAGAGTAAATCTTCGGTTATGAAAAAATGTCTTCATCAGCAAAAAATACAAAAAGCATCGATGGTTCTCAAAATACGAAAAGAATTTGATGAGAACCAATTTCGATTTCAAAATTTGTTTTGAATTTTGTGTAATTTGGAATGTAAGGTCATCTAGAATGGTTAACTGAGTAATCATAAAGGGCAAAGAGTCATGCGTCAGTACATTCCTTTCATTATGTTTGGGTAGTTGAATTGAAGTTCGAAAAAATGCTGATTGTTAAACATTTTTGGACAAAATTATATATATTTAAGCACATCCAGATAGCACCGAGGGATTTAATCTACCATGGATATTATTTTTAAACGTTCTCCTTTCAAATTCCGAGTAATCTACACCCCCATCGAATTGAAACCCGAGTAATATTCGATAAAATTCTTGCAAAACGATAAAAATTGTAAAAAATCTCGGAAAACTTTTTTGGGGGATAAAAAACGGAAAGAATCCGGGGATGGGCGATTCGTCGACGGACTGGGAAAAGAAGGTCGATAGAGCGCCGAGAGTCTCGATCGTTTCAGTGGGTGAGAGAGTGTGCTTTGCGGAGAGAGCGGCCAGAGAAGGGATGAGAGTCGAGTTGGAAGGGGGAAAGAAACCATCAAAACAACCCCCAAAATGCCGTAAAATCATCGGGGGAAATTACAGATGCCATCGGGTTGGCGACGAGATTAAATGACGGCATGTGTGAACGGCTATAACAAGTGCCAACAGTCTTGTACTTGAAGGTTTATTACTCAGTATCATTAAGGTAAACTGTATGTCAATGTGGCTTTAACGCATTAGTTTGCTGGTATATTTGGTCTGAGATGCGACGGAAGTGGGAGAGATCTCGACCACCATACTGGGTCGTCCAAGGAGCATACTCAGCTTGTTGATTGGGCCAAATATCAATGCCTTCAAATGGCGGCGGTATGGAGTTATCACCAGAATAGTGAACAGCGGATTGAAGACGGGAACCCATGACAAAATGTTGCCGGTTATAAGCGCAGCAACACCAGTATCAAATCTTGTGAAGGAGGGGACAACAATTCCAATGGCTGGGCCTACAGATACACATAAGGGAAGGATACTCTGGAAAGGAATAAAGTTCAAGGAGGGGATAACATCACGTTGGGCGAGGCATTCTTCTTTAAAACTCGTAAACTTAAGATTTATCAGTCTGGCGGGAAAATAGCATGGATTAGTCGGAGCAAAATAAAAGCGATGATGGTCGATTCCAAGTCGAGACGAATCCACAATATTTTCCCGACAGATGATTGTCTTAAAATAATCTAACATCTAGCAATGCAATCAAACTACTCACTTGTGCAATCAACGTTCTGTTTAGTTGCTCCTGCATTTTCTGCGTTTTCTCAGTGTACATATGCGCGTTTTGTTTGAGTTTTCGAATTGTCAGCACCCCAAAATACGTAGCCAGTACATAACTTCCACTAAGCGAAAAGAAGGCCAACATAAAATAGGTTTGCATGTAGAAATCACGCTGAATTCAGACATTGTAATCGTTTCAAATAACCCTTACAAAATGAATGTAAAACTTACAGTATCGCCGACTAAGAGCGTCGGAACTGGCCTCATGTCATACCAGAGAGTTGCGTAATTAAATCCGGGTCTTCCATCGCCGCTATAACGATAGCCCGGATAGGCAGTTAAGGCCATTGGGATGGAGACTGACATGGAAAGACAGTAAAGGCCAAAGGTTTGCCAGCCAGTCAAAGTCCGACCTCTGAACAAGGCTTTGTATAATAAATTACGGGAAATATCGTAAGTCTTGTCTTGCCCAAGTCTCACCTTGTGATAGCGTAATACCGACTGAAATATTGACTCGGTAGGATGGTCGCCACTAAAGTCAGATGCATAACGTATAAAGTCAGCGCGAAGGCTTGCCCATTGTAACTTAAATACTTTGCTGGACCATTCATTTTGACCAATAAAACCCCATCATTGATTTTACAAGCCTAAAAATTAAACTATGATTATCTGACCAAAAATATTCTCATAGCAAAGAGTGATTGCGTACAAACTGAACTGTCGAATCTGTCAGCCAATATCCAAAATCGCTCATTCCACATAGCAACAGGATCTTCGAGTAGGGTTTCAGTTCGCCGCGACTTCGGAAGAGGACCAGGTACAACAATATGAAGGTCAGTATTCCTCCAACACACGAACTGCATTTGTAAAGAACGTTTATTATGCTCTCAAGCGTTTCAACGGAGTTATATTCAATTTCGCTGGGAAAGGATGAATTCAAAGGCGTATCCCAAGCATAGGGATTCATGTCATGGGGATGGTAATGAAAAGTCGCCATTGTAAACTGGTCAACAATATAAGCTTCTGGCTCTGCAAGAAGAGAAATAACACGTAAAGACAAAACCTTAACTAGCACGTAGCTGACATTATGCTGTCATTAAAATTCGGTGTCAACGATAACAAAAATTTTGAGCGTCTATAATTATAATACACACATGTATGAGGCATACTTGAGACTCGAAATCGCTAAAAGAATTGGGAACATGCCAATTAGTTTGCCAAAAAGTTACAGGTAAAATTTCACATGATACAGAACGCTGTAAATGTGGGCTGTCATTGCACTACCAAGGGTATCCGAAAAGCTGCCAAATTAAGCACTCAATTTGAAAAGCTGCCAAATTAAGCACTCAAATACTGTTGTTTGAACCAAGCAACAAACAACAGTATTTAAAGCAGTATTTTATGACTAGTTTTTTAGAATGCAAAGTTTAAGTTCATTAGAATATCTAAAACTCATATTACTTTAAAGTCTGCCCGCACTTTACTACTGTAAAATGTTTCTTTTTTGGAAGTGTTCGTAGACGAATGTACTTTCGTCGTCACGAAATGTTCTCCTTTGCGTAATTCAAAGACTAAAATGGAATTTTAATATTTTTAGTGGTACTTGTTACACCTTGGGAATCCACGCGAGCACAGTAATCCGAGGAATTTGATGTTTCAGAACACCCGTCTGCACGAATTTAAATTGAGGGGGTTTCACTTCTGGGAACTACTTTTTGTTGATCAACAACGATTTTGTAACAAAAGTTCTCAAACCGATAACTCCTAACATAAAAAAAAAACATAGCAAAAATTAATTTCTGTTCAAATAGCTTGAGAATTTGATGTTCTTCAAGTGTATTTATACTCTTGGACGGGCCAGCAAAAAAGCACTAGTTGTTTTTAAAAAATGGTGATGAGTGTAAATACAGTAAAAAGTAAGTGTGAGGTCGTCTGGGGAATTGGAAGATACGCGGGATGATATTTGCAGAGCGAATGGATTAATTGGGGCCATACGGAGATCACAAAGATTTGTGGTGCAAATAACTTTAAACTGGCACGTCCAGCGCCTGAGGGGCCATGCTTGCAAAAGAAACCTTTTATTTTGGTCGCGCCACATACTAATCGCGACGTAAAGTCCTGAGAAATTTGCACAGTGCATTTTTGTTTTCGTTTCGGACCCGTCGCGGCAATTCCCGGTTTTTGCACTAGCGACATGCACTTTCGCACGAGCTTGCCAATTTTCTCGCGCGACACCCGCGACAAAATGTGTCAGGACTTTATGGCGCGACTAGTACCTTAGGAAATCAAACTCGACAAAAAATGTGGCAAAGGCTGTTTTTGCAAAAAATTCAGGCCACATCGAGTCATTGCTTACAAACTCCAGCGCCTGAACTTGGTTTGGGAATACAATTTGAGCGGTAGACCACACAAAAAAATTCGTATATTTCGAAAAAATTCAACCAAATACCAAATATTTTGCCATAAATCTGATCTTCTCGAACTCCATGCCCGCGTTTTTAAACACGTCTAACAACACAGCATAATCAACTATGCGGTAAAACCTAAAAGCGCGTGAATGAAAACTTCCGAATGCCACCCAAGATGGTCTGAATAAACGAAGATTTCTCCTCCCATCGTAATTTTTTCAATTTCTCATTCGTTTTCTTAAAACCATCAAAAAAGTGCAACGTTCCGAAGAATGTAGTTGTAACCAGCAAAGCGTCACAGCCTTTTTTACACTGTCAATTAGTCGTACGTTCCGGATAAATCAAATGTGCTTCAGGGGATTTATTTATTTCTTGCACAGTGCAAAAAAACTGGGTCCTTTGATTAGCAATTGAAAACGTTTTTTTTTAACATTCACATAGATGAAGACATAACCACGCACTTTTAGAAATAAACAAAGAAAAAGAAGAAACTTTTAAGTCTGGGGTTACGGTAATACGGAAGAAAAAAATAGTCGGTCAACAACCGTGTAAGTCTATCTTGGAGTAGAATTTAGCCCCTTTATCTGAGTACACATACCCAAATTTTTCGTTACACACGTTTTTTCTGGACCCGACAAAGTTTCCTCAATTATTGTATATTATATTACATATATTATATTATACATAATTCACCTATAATGATAAATACCAAAACCCAGACAGAAGTTAAGCTCTATCTTTTAAACTTTCGGTTAAATAGCATTAAGATTGCAGGGATATAACACAATAATTGAGTTGGTAATCCTTTATGAAATTAATTGAGTAATCCTGCAAATATTTTCGTAAGTAAATGGTTAAGTGGTAGTTCTAAAGGATTTGAAAGACACAATGGTGAATCTCAGATGTGTAAAATTAGATCAGAAATGTTGTATACCGTATCAACGTAGCCAGAGGTTTCTTCTCTTACAGCAATTAGGTAAAGAAGGGAAACACTTGACTCATGGGGAACGAAATGACACGAGGCTCGCTCTGTCGGAAAATCTGTTGATCGACAATTTTTTTGTCGTAAAACAAGATCTTTTACTTTCTGGTGATGTACGATTTACCTAGCTTTTACCCGATTGTGTAAAAATTTAGTTTCAGAAACCCCAATGGCAGCACCACGAGTTCGAGGAAAGCCCACTCGAGTTTCAGGCGAAGGATGGCTTTCATTCCTAACTGACCCAAAGAAGCGACAGGATTCCCTTATTGAATTGTTCCACCTTCTCTTGGCCATCCTTCTCTTTGTGTTCTTCGTCGTTGTTGGTCACAAATCAGGATTCATCAATTGGTATCTTCGAGTGGTCCATGAGATTTTGGAGTCAACCTGATCAACATAATGCAATTAGGTTTCCTCCACATCTTCGAGTTGTCATTTTTGTTCAACCAATTATATTATGTATGTAAGTGGAGCGTTATATAAAAGTTTATTACGATCTTTTGCGGTCTTTCTTGAAAATTTAGGTTTTGGGAGTAATCTTGTGGCAGTTGACAAAGTTGAATCAAGCCGCTTTAGTTTTGTTTTTTCTTTGTTTTCTCCTTGAATATCAACTTTTATGTAAATTTTAGGTATAAAAACGGGACGTTTCCATTGGAATGTCATTAATTTTTGTTCGCGGTGGTGTGAAGAGTGAGTTGATAGCAAGATGCCCGAGGAAAACGATCTAGCTCGTCCGCCAGAGACCGAACTCAAGGACGATTCCTCCAATTCTGGAAAGAATGAATCGACCAAACAAACCGGCCGAGGAACCCACAAGACCAAGCATTGGCGGATCGAAACGTAAGACACACCCTTTTGTTTGTTATGCAATTTTAGATTGTACTGTACATTTCATCTTTTAGCCCTACCAATGCAAAGCACAAGATGCCTCCGAAGGGTTGGGTGAAGATCTACATCCGAGTTCGCTTCTCTCCCACCGAAGTTCGCTACATGAAGCTGAAATACGACGAGAACAAGACTCCAGACGAGAAAGACAGGAATGTCAGACATTTGTTCGAGCTGTGGGATGGTTCCATCTTGAAGGACGCTGATTTCCGCCAGATGAAGTCCACTCTCTTCGCCGTTCTCAAAGTCAATGGTCAAAGACAGGCGCTTCAGGTAAGACTTGATCGTTTTTATGTAGTTTTTAGGATATGATGGGCAACAACTGCACTGTGCAAGCCCCCCAATACATCCGCATCAAGGTCCCATTTGGCGACAACCCTCAAGGCGCGAATGCGGAATCTCTGAACTCATGTGCTGAAATTCTTGTCTCTCCGGCCAATTGATCCCTCGAATAAACTTTGTCCTCCCGAATTGGATTAAATTTGCATTCCAACCTAATTCTTCGTCCCATTCGTAATCTCTGACAAGAGAACGGCCGCACAGAGAAAAATGGCCGGAACCTCCGGACCGGATTGGACATTCCGAGCACGCTATCCCGTTTTGTCGGGGTCAGGGCTTGGGGCGCGGCCTGAATTCTTTAGCGTTCTGCGCCCTTTTAAGTCAACTCGGCATAATTTGGCCCCAACTTTAATGGGACACGCGTTTTTTGTGGATTTGAGTACTTTTTGTTTAATTTTGATGGAGAAAAGATAAATTTTACTCTGAATCTGATTTTTCTTGCTAATTCTAGACGTTCCAACGACTTCAGATCAAAGAATGAGCTCTTACAGCACTTACTCTGTTTATTTGTGGGTATTTCTATTTTGGATGATGCATTTAATAGCAAAAAGTCGAGGTAAGAATACGCAATATGACCCAAAGAAATACTTTGATTTCTTCGGCTAGACTAATTATGTTAAACTTTTTCACTGGAAATTACACATAGTCACCATCAAACTTGGAGTCGATGAATTTTAAATAGATAATTATATGTTTTACATACGATTTCATATGAACTTTCTTCAGCCGACCCAGAGTGCAACCGTCATATCCAAGAGGGCGACTTCCAGCATTATGTTGAGGTCTTTTCCGACCCAAGTCCAGGTATGTCATCAAGGCGTATGTGTAATTTATTAATGTAATGCACCATCGACCGAGTAACATTTGAATGATTTTACTTTTTAGAGGCCGAAATAATGGATTGGCTTTTTTTCACCGAGTATGGCAACCCGCTGAATCGGGGACATATTGATGGCTTCGAGGCGAGTCGCCCGAAAATACTTCCGGTGTATCATCGAAGTCGACCATATGGCGTGGTTCGGGTGACTGAGAACAAAGTTGTCCTTATTAAAAAGTATGCACATACATGTATTTGACGATTCTGTGGTGCATTTTAGTTAGTTTTTTGTCTTCCTTTTCTCAAAAAACGTTGATGGGATGGGTTCGAAAGTAATGCGAAATGTCATAAAATAGCATCTCGTGAATGTCTTTTTTATAATCCGTATTCTTACACAAGGATGACAAAAGTGTATTTTAAACAAAATCTTAGGAGTCGTTTAGTCGGGACAAAAAATCCTGAAATTTTGCACCGTGCGGTTTTTGCGCGGTTTCACTCTGAAAAAAAAACGATTTTCCGCTTCGAAAAAGGAATCCTTCGATTGCGACCCCGCTCGATTGCGACCTCGCATCGATTGCGACCCCGCATCGATTGCGACCCAAAATGGGGTAAAGCGACCCCGGGATGAAAATTCCTTGATTCTCTTCGGGAAAAACTTGCTTTAGGGGTTTTCGAGGGTGCTGATTTCGAAAATGATGTTCATTTTACCTCTAGTACTACATAGTGCTGTCTGATACTATATAGTACGAAGTGAAAATATCGCTTTTGACGTTAAATACTCGATTTAGGGGTTTTCGAGGGTGCTGATTTCGAAAATGATGTTCATTTTCCTCTAGTACTACATAGTACTGTCTGATACTATATAGTACGAAGTGAAAATATGGCTTTTGACGTTAATGGTGTTGGTTTGATGCTTAGTACTCTTCAAAAACACGTTTTAAAGACTTGGTGCTATATAGTACTATCTGATACTATGTAGTACGAGGTGTAAAGTTGGCCTTTAGGCGTTCGTGGTGTTGTTCTGGTGCTTAGTAAGCCTATTTTTACTTCGTACTATATAGTATCAGACAGTACTATATAGCACCAAGTCTTTAAAACGTGTTTTTGAAGAGTACTAAGCATCAAACCAACACCATTAACGTCAAAAGCCATATTTTGACTTCGTACTATATAGTATCAGACAGTACTATGTAGTACTAGAGGAAAAATGAACATCATTTTCGAAATCAGCACCCTCGAAAACCCCTAAATCGAGTATTTAACGTCAAAAGCCATATTTTGACTTCGTACTATATAGTATCAGACAGCACTATGTAGTACTAGAGGAAAAATGAACATCATTTTCGAAATCAGCACCCTCGAAAACCCCTAAAGCAAGTTTTTCCCGAAGAGAATCAAGGAATTTTCATCCCGGGGTCGCTTTACCCCATTTTGGGTCGCAATCGATGCGGGGTCGCAATCGATGCTGGGTCGCAATCGATGCGGGGTCGCAATCGATGGAATTCTCCGAAAAATGGGAATCGCGCGCGACGTAAGGCAAAAAAATGCACTGTGCAAATGCACTTTTTGGGTCAAACGCACCATGCAAAGCACTTTTTTTCGAGATTTTCGCAGCAACGACTCAAAACGTTCAAATCCGCACAGTGCAAAATTATCAGGACTTTTTGTTCCGACAGTATGTAAAATTAACCATTGCCAGAGTTGATTCTTACGCAACGTTTGCAATTATTTACTTGACATTTTTTAACAACTTTTTCACTGACTTGAAGACCATTGCGCAACAAACGATAAACGTTGTCATTTTTGAACATTTTAGAGACCTCCAGAAACTCGTCCTTCATCTGCGTGTTCCCCATGCCGACAAAGCGTTTGTCTTCAAAAATTTTGTCTTTCTCAGTCCAACCTCATACATTGACCTCACCGAACTTGCTCCCAAGCATGAAATTGTATATACAAGACGGCCCAGCGCCGCGGATATCGGAGCTTATGGACTAATCAAGAGCTATTTGTCGGCCTCCCCTGACCCTTTGTTAACCACGGAAACTACGGATGCGATGGGAAAAGAGTGTTTTACTGGAAATGTAAGGCAGTTGTGCTCTCCTTTACATTTATTTTAGTTTTACTGTGTAATTGATCAAACGACCGGAGAACTGAAAGGGTCCTTCAATCAGATATATTATTCTGGCAATGAGGTGTCCATATTTCAGTGGAACGAGATCTATGGCGGACAATATGTCATTGATCATGTTACTGGGTAGGTGTCTCATGGAGATATTTAATATATTTTTGTAGTCATTGCTTCCGGATCAATCGAAAGATGCGAACTTTCCGAGGCAATGAACCTTTGACATCGAGGAATGACAGTTTCCCCGAGATTCTCACAAAGTATCCTTTCGTAATGAGCGAGGATGTTTTTCTTACCAGGAGGTTTATGCTGATAGACGAAGAAATTGATCAAATGGAAGGGGAAGATGAATATCCGATAGTTCCTGAGACCACGGCAGTTGTCACAACAACTGAAGAGACTACTACAACCACTGTAACAACTACTCGAGAGGCGATGACAAGCACCGCAACTCCTCATTGGCATGATCATCAAGTTGAAGATGGCTATGACACTAGGCAAGGAGATAACTGGTATGATTTTGATACTAAATAGAACATATCGAATATACTAATCTCTAATTTCATTGCAAACAACTTCCAGGAACTACGGAGAGTACAATTATGACCGTCCAATGGAAGACAAAGTCATCTCCAACACCCCGAAAATTACCGTATCCACTGCCAGACTGCGTGTTTTCCACGTAAAAAGCTCAAGTTGCACACATTTCCCATCCATTCCAGTTGTATTTTATCCATTCCTTTTGCTGCTGACCTACCAATTGCAATAACTAAGGCTTATTGATTTATTTATTAAAAATGACAAGCACTTCCCCGTCGACTTTTACTTTCATCTCACCGCTGGTATCCGAATAGCGAAGATTTTTCGGGCGCCATTGCGTCGTAACGGATGCCGAGAAGTTTTTTAAAAAAAAAGGTCAGCAATAAAAAATGGGATTGGGAGCGGTTGCTCGTGGGTCGAAAATATTGTAAATGACGTCTAAGTGTGCGGCGATAAGCCGAACTTTTACTCCCAACAATCAAAAAATACCTTTGACTTGAAAATAAGCAATTTTGACATGATTTTATTTTCTTCGTTGTTATAGGAATGATCAAAGTTACTGTGACTCTCCACCATTATCATTAATCTAATGGGGTCTATCATTTGCATTTTCACAAAGTGCCTGGACATTGCTCCGCGGTCCGCACCGTGCACAAAAATTCGCGAGTTCTTGCACCGTGCACTCACCTTTTTTTTGATTTTGAACTGTGCATTTGAAATATCGCTGCGACGTAAGCTTTTCTCAACTGCACCGCTGCGATTTTGATCAAAAATGTGCACAGTGCAATCGGCTTTTTTGAGGTTTGCACGGTGCGCAAAGGCAAAAATCCAAAGTGCGTTCGCGACAAGCGTGGGAAAAAGTTCAAGATGCACTTTGCGAAAGCGAAGAAGTGTCCAGGCACTGTGAATAAACCCGAAAAAACATTTTGCACCGTGCATCCAACGGTCTTTGTGGCGTGACGAGTAAGTGCTGATCTGGAACAACTTGTTCTTTTTCTGTCTCTCATGGGAATTGGTAACGGTTGAACCCGATTACAGTGCAGTCAAGCATAAATCACTTGATTCCTGAAGATCCGCGATTCCAAAACCGGGATAACGGATGTTTTCGGGGGGTTTATTATTCTTGAAAACAATGTCGAGCTGTTTTTGGGTGTCTCCTCGGTCACTGCAGTCTATGAGTGCCCCGCCCTTAAAATTGAGAAAGGGCGTGCTGCGCCCGAGGATAAGAAAGATTATGGCGGGCTAGCAGATTGATCCCAGGTTTGCTGAAACATCCAGATAAAACCGGTAGGGATCGGTGACATCTGCATCGCTGCTATTATGTCTTGTTACTTCGGGCGCGGCCTGCCCACGCACAGAATCCAGAAATGACTTGATTCCCAAGTCACCCCTTGTTCATCTCATCCTAAGATCCGCCCACATAGACTGCAAACTATTTAAGCCCACAGTAAATGGCATTTGAGCTTAAACAGCCGGGATGAAGGTTCAGACGGCGACTTTCGCCGCTTCGGCCATCAGTGGCGTCGTTCTGTTGGTATGCATGCTGTTCATGTACAGCATCCACATCGACCTCAGCTCCACCTGGGATGAATTCGATGTCGAGATGGACTACTTCAAAGTCACTACTGACGATTTGTGGAAGGACATGATCTACGTTGCCCAGAAGGTCAACCTGAACCGTCACAAAAGGCAATACGAAGGCGCACGAAGTGGATACGATGAAGGGAAAGGTCCAGTTGGACCATCAGGACAATCCGGAGGCTATGAGGAGGGAGGGCGGAGACCTGGAGGCAACCCACCGGCCACTCCAAGTGCTGCTCCGCCAGCTGGTCCAGCTCCCAGCGATCAATGTGCATGCAAGTCCGGAGCGGACAACAAATGCCCTCCGGGGCCGCCAGGTCCTAAGGGCGTTGCCGGTGCTCCAGGACTTCCAGGAGTTGACGGATTAGATGGAATTAACGGAAAGGACGCGGATGATGTCACGCCTGAAAGCCAAGACACTGGAGCCTGCTTCAATTGCCCAGCTGGACCTCAAGGACCTCCGGGTCCATTGGGAAGACCCGGAATGCGAGGAATGAAAGGAGCTGACGGACAGCCCGGACAGCCAGGAAAAGATGGGCAACCCGGCTCTCCAGGTGAGCAAGGACCTCCTGGACCCGCTGGACATGAGGGACCACCAGGACCTCCAGGAGAAAAAGGTCTTGATGGAAGACACCCAATTGGAAGACCAGGCCCTAAGGGTCTTCGAGGACCTCGTGGAGAAGCTGGGCCAGCCGGAAACGCCGGAAAAGACGCTCCACCAGGACCGGCCGGACCAAAGGGACCACCTGGAGGTCCAGGACCTCAGGGTCCAATTGGTCCTCCAGGCCCCGAAGGTAGTGAGGGACCCATTGGAAGACCCGGAAAGGACGCCGAATACTGTCCATGCCCTCCAAAGACTGGCGCTGGAGCATTCGGAGGCGATGCGCGAGACAGTGGATACAGAAGATACTAATTTTATGTTTATTTTTGAGAAATATGTCTCTTTCGACAAAATAAATGTCATCAAAAGACCCCTTGTATATTCTGTAATCAAAAGGAAATTTCAAATTACACATCAATATTTAATATTTTCCTTATCGATGACGTTCGAAGACCAACTTCGACCAGTTCCTTCAGGTGTGAGTGATCGAAAAAACGCCGAAAAGAGGGAGGAGCTGTTTATTCGACGCCGGTATGGATAAATATAAACAAGCGTTCTCATTTAGAACATGCACTGGCATTTGTACTCGGTAAATAAAGGTTTGGAATATGACTTTGAAGGCGGCCAAGAAGCTTTTGAGGAAAGAAATGGCCACGAAATTGGCGCAGATTAGTGAGGATGAGATTGATCGGCAGAGTAAAGCGGTGTTCGATAAAGTAAGCAGGAGGGAAGAATCAAAGTCATTTTAAGTAATTTTAGGTACGGTCAGCAGAATGGTTCGTGCAATCTCAACGGATCTCCATTTACGTTAACACAGCCGGCGAAATCAAGACCGATGAGATTATCAAATTGGCTCTGTTAGAAAACAAGGAAGTTTTTATTCCATGGTAAGAGTTATGACACACTTATTAAATTTCAAATTATGCAAAAGAAAATGAATCAATGTTTTTAAGGTTCCAAAAGGGAAATCCAAAGATGTTCATGGTGCAGATAAACTCTGTAAAAGAATTCGATGACTTAAAACCAACACTGTGGGATATCCGACAGTTTGAGAGCATCGATGGACGAACCACTTATGATAACACTGGTAATTAACTTAAACTTAACTACAGTCAAAGCACTACAAGCAAGGGACCAAAAATTTGCTTTTTAAAAAGCGGCTTCGTTTCACGGAGGTTCACTTTAGTCTAATTGTTATAAATTTGTTGTACAGAGGTTCCACCGTATTTGAGATGAGTTACTATTGATAATGATGATTCCAGGTCCCCTAAATCTTATCCTTGCTCCGGGAGTGGCATTTACAAGGTCAGGAGACCGTCTAGGCCATGGAATGGGATTTTACGACAAGTTCTTTAGAGAGCATAACCTCAATTTCCCAAACGCCACAGCGCCTTACCGGGTAGCGTTGGCATTGAATGAGCAGATCCTGGAAGAAGTCCCTGTGGAAGATACGGACGTTAAGATAAACTTAGTTTTAACTGCTGATGACTAAACTAATAAATAAGCCTTATCTACGTTTTATTTATTCGCGCGGGAACGCCGCCGGATCAGCAGACAATTGGCAGGAGGCAAAAAAGCCAAGCAATCGCCGAAAAAATAAATACCTCGTTTGGGAGAGGGCTCTAAAAGTCGTTGTGCCAATATTTCTTCGGAAGACCTTTCCTATATTCACCTTTATGTTTGATTTATTTGTAAATGATTTCTCAATTTTATAAAAATCTTCGCGAACTCCTGAACATGTACAGGTTGAATTAGTTAATTTCAGATGGTCCACAAAAGATTCTCCCAGTCAGCCTTAACTCGTATGTTGGAAATGAAGAAGGAGAAGAGAATGAAACTAAAAATGCAAAAATGGTCGATGCGGGAAAGAAAGAAGACGAAGAAGTTTGCTTCGGAAACTGCCGTAATCAAACGAACTAATTGCTCGCACGGCGTCACATTATCGAGGGTTCTAAAAGCCAAAAGAAAAAGATTGAAACAAATAAAACAAGAGGAAGCAGAGGCTGTGGAAAGATTGGCATCCAGTTTCAATTTTAGTGTCAACGTCGAATCCGATGAGAAAATTAAAAATATTTTGAAAAAGTCTGTAAGTACCTCCCTTTCCCAAAAACATTTGGTCATAGTTTTAGTGCAGATCAGTAAGTATTCGACCATTCTGTATTTCAGAAAAGATCTCGCCGACAAAAACGCGCTGGGAAAACGCGGGTACCGGAAGAAAATTCTAAGCGAAACATCTCAGAGGTCTCGATGGAGAAGAAAAAAATGAAGTCCGATGTCGAAAGTTTAGAGAGTCAAGTATCAGGCCTAGCATTGGAGAGAAAATCAACTGAATACGTATGCCTTTGAAGTTTTATAGAATGCAATGCCTCTTAATAAAGGGCGCTATGTTTCAATGGCGAAATAAATTTAGTGGAGCCGATATGTACAACATCATAAAGATTCAAAAAGTAAAATGTTGTGTTCCTTCTCTTTATCCTTGCAATCATACAATGAGCTCATGTGACATATGAGGCAAAAGTCATGCTGGCCGACTTCCGTTCTAATACGTTTGAGGGTATAAAATGTCGCTTTCTTTGGCATTCTGTTGCAAGTTGTTCTTGTTCTTTTTTATTTTGATGTGCATTTGTATTGGGGGTTTTTGGGAGCTAAAGTATTCTTTATAAGCTTTTTTCGTGTTTCTTGTTTTTGTAATTTGTATTTTTGCTGACCAGTTAAAATCATGTAAAACCATCTACTTGGTTGTATTAAATTCCGAGTTGAAACCCCTGTGGTTTGTGTTTAACTTCCCCAGATGTAACAAAGCAATGTGTTATTTTAGGTGAAATAGATCGAGGATGGGCCAGAAGTTGTCCATCTCCGTACGGGATTATATCCATCCCTTGGAGTCTCCAAGAACTGATAGACCTCCAACATTTGATCCTTTAGCCGGATTCCCCAAAGGCCGAAAAGAACGAGAAATGAAAGCGACTTGGGAAGAGATGAATCGATGGGGACTAAGCCCTGGAGAGCGAGATTATTGTGCTCATATTCTTATTGATGTATACAAATGTAGAGTAAGTGCTTACTTTTTTTGTGTTTTTAGAGAGCAGTTTAGTTAAAGAAAATATGGGAAACACTTGGTTTAATAATATCTTTCTATGTTATCTATACGTCTTCAGCGTGAGTGGGCTCCATTGGCGGCACATCCCTGCTCCGATATAAAACACAAGTACGACCTCTGCGAATACGACGATTACATCCTTAGAATGAAAGAATACGAGCGTGAGCGTCGTTTGTTGGCTCGCAAGCGAAGAAAGGAAAAGGCCGCTGCCGTTGATCAGTAAAATATCATTGTATTCTTTTAGGTAGACTGAAACATGTCGCTACGGAAAAATAAAGTCATTTTACACAAAAATGGATCTTTTTTCGACATCCTTATTATTTTTATTCGATTTATTTGACAAGCTGGTTGAATGTCGACTCCATCGCAGGTTAATCCTCCCTCCTTTTTTGAGGATAGTTCGAGGGTAAGATTCTCACCCCAAGTCGAACCTCGGCCAAGAGTTTGGCCTCCGCGTCAAGGAATCGATCTGACTGAAGTCAGACATGAACTCATTCTCTACGGAGAGGTAAGTGGTGCATAAAAAGGACGTGTTGCGATCGGAATAGTTATGTTTATAATAAACATTCCCGTCTTTGCTTCAGATCATAGCCATTGTGTGTTTGGCGATGGCATTTACAAACTTGGCACTTTATCCCTGGGTAGTGAAGGGCCATACGAGTTTTCTGTACCACTATGAGCACATTTTGAAGCTGAACGGTTCTCGTATTGAGGAAGTAAGTGAATCGATGCCAAATTCATTTCTCGTTAGCTCACCGACCTCATTCGCAACATTGAGCTCTGTCCATATGAAAATATGACTTCGGAAGACATGATCCAATCGATCTCTTATACAACGCCATGTGGTATTAGCAACCGCTTCCCAATTGTTGTAAGTTTGTGGTCCTTTCCATAACATCGACCTTTTTGATGGAGTCTTAATCAAAAACAAGGTTTTTAGCCTAACGACACAGACGAGAACTGCGGAATGAGCACGAACTTTTTTCATGGATACATAAAGATGAGCAATTTTGAAGAATACAACAATAAATCCGGCTACATCTCATCCCGAGCACTTCAACATTACCATAAATACGATTGCTGTTTTACAAATCGACTTTTCGGATGTCCTTGCGGTTACCTTGCAGCTAATGCGACAGTTTGCCTTGCCATGTAAGACATTTCCTACCATGTCGCTATGCTGCATATAAAATTAACTAAAATTTGTCGTTATAGCCCTACAAACGGTTCTGTATTTAATTCAGACGATGAAACATACTGCAACGGAATAGGAACGTATAGAAACATAAAATCGCAGACACCCGAGTGCTTGGAATACAAAAAGCTGTTCCAAGAAGTTGGAAGTAAGTTTGAGATTGGTTGTATGTATGGTAAATGCTATATGTACATCAAATTAATACGGACCATTTTCAGTTTCAGCAAAAGAAACAACCTACTGCTCCTTTGAATATGATCAGAAAACGTTTCCATTCATACAGGGAGTTTGTGTCTATGAGAAGACCAATGATCTCATGACATGGATGTTTTAACCGTTAATCATAACTGAGGGTTTTTTTCATAAATAAAATGTCATCAGAACTTGTCGGTTTAGTATTCTCATTGTATGGGTTACAGTGGGCATCTCCCAGCGGGAGTTTCCATCAAGTCGGTTACGGTAGCGGGCTTCGTTTTTTGTTCAAAAAGCTTGTCGTATAAAATGTCGCCAAGATTTTCTTTGGCTAGGAAACGAATTTCTGTTTGCCGTTTTGGAGTAGATCAGCATCGATCATAGCCAACCAGTCTGCGCGTATTCAATGTTATCGTTTCTTGTCTACGGGATCTGCTACAAGGTGCTTTAGTTATGGGGAGAATAATGTAATTTTCGCTTGTAAAAATCTCGTCCTGGCTGAGGAGAGAGCTTGACGAGAATCTGTCGAGAGTACCTTTATCTCTAAACGGATTCTGTTTGACCTATTTGACGTTGAAATTCGTGCTGAAACTTCTTGCCGTTATCATTTTTTTGTTGATTCGATGGTTCTTTTTTCCAGTAGAGGCGTGCGGAGCCACAGATTGTGTCATGTTCAGACGGGGACAATGCAAGCCTAGACAAGAAGTCGGAAATACCTTCCGTCAATTCTCGGAGTGGTGTGATGCCCAACGCAGCCTCGAAAATCAGATTTCCAGCGACAGTGATGTCGAAAATGATCCGCCGTGCTCATATCGGGGTGGATTAGTCTCTCACCTTCCGGGACAAAAGAAAACTGAACTTAGTGCACCAACTACGAAAGAGTCAGGTGCAACGGCTGACGAAATGAAGGTTGAGGAAAAGGAGGAAGGAGAATTAGACGACAAGCTGGCATCTGAATTCCTGAAACTCTTCGAAGACGACGGCGATGATAGCGACTGGGATGACTCGAGAAGCGACGATTGTTTTGTTATCCATCCCGAGAAAAACACCTGGCAGATTGACCATCGTTACAAGGACACTTACTTCTATCCGCGGTGAGTGTTTTGCTTTTTTGTCCGATTTTTTTGCCAATAAGCAGTTGATAAAGATGTTGCAGGAATACCTTCGAAGAGTTCGATGAGCGCGTCAAACAGCACATGGCGTCTTTGTTCGTGGACCTCAGAACTGAATGCAACGTGATCCGTAACATTGTTCGTCCGATGATGGATAAGTGTGGTCTCCATGAAATTGTCATTCCGGACATGACTCTCTTCGACCCAGATACCCACAGAAGAGCCATGAATTTGGTGAAAAGGATCTGCGACTGTATGGAGAACTTCGATCATTGCTATTACCCAGTGTCCTCTGAATACTCCCTCCATTTTGAACAACACGAAAGAGCTCTTATTGGGATTGGTCATGGGATCTATAGATTATTCCAAAAGGGACACATCAACTTTACGAACGAAGACTGTGCCATCTGCCTGAGGGAGAAGTGCCGTCGCCCCGTGGTCTGCTTCCAATGCCTGAGAGCAGTTGCCTGCGCCAAATGCATGGTCCGATCATTCGATTACAGCGAAGGGAATTGCATCGTCAAGTGCTTGAAGTGCCAAAGAAAGTCCATCTTCCATTACCCATACTTCCACTATTGTTGAGACCCAGTCTCGGTCATTTCAGAATTTAATATCTCATCTATAATGGTGTATATTCCCCTAATAACTTTTCAATCTTGCAAACATTTGTAATAAAGTAATAGATTGATTTTAGGCTTGCTTTCTCTCTTCCATAATATATTATAGTATGAGGAACAAATCAAAGAACCAACGGCAATCGTTAATTGAATTTATTGAATGACTTGGTCACACTCCAATAATAAGGGCTGAAAAGGTTGATAAAAACAATACAATGGCTATACACATGGGTACAGATGACAAAAGAGGGATAACAATAGTATGTTAACATAAACTAATAAAATATTCGCCATAAATAAGTTAAGAAAATATAAATAATCGTTAAAATGACCTTGAAGGCGATTGATTTCAAATCAAGAATAACATAAACATACGACGTTAGATCAGAGACGGGATCGAAGAGGTCGACGAGTTGATGGAAGTGTCGGCGACGTCGTGTCTGAATTGGCATTTCCATCCGTAGGCGCAGTGACCATGGTTGACGAAGTTACGGCAAATCTTGGTTTTGTATTTGGGATGAGTCTAAACAGCATTACCATTAGATTAGGGTTATTTTATTGTAAAGAAACCACCGCGACACCTACTGTTACGTAATTCGCTTCCTCCTAAGTCTACCTATAAACAGAAAAAAAACAATAAGACCTAACTCACTTCAATCGGTCGAAGCTCCTCCTTGTCATGAGCGAAACGACAAAATGAACCATACTTGCACTCGCCTTTGGTGGTAAAGTCGTGGCACATGGAGGTCTTGGCCTTGATCTGGAGGCGCTGTTCACGAACATTGCGCTCTTCTTCGCTCAACATTTCCAACGGTTTCCGACTATTCCTTGGCTGAACCAGGGGAATTGGACGAGTTGCTACCAACGGGATGGGAGAGGACTGTCGGGTCCAACTTGCCAATGATGAAGTCGGTCTTGACCAACCAGCCAACGCTTCTTCCAAGATCGGGGTCGGCGAAGGCGGCTTGGAGCACTCGCTGAATCCAGAATCCACCGAATCTCGTCTCTTCTTTACGGGCAAAACCAATGGAGGAGTTGCTTGTCTGTTCATCTTCTTGGCATAGGGCTGGGATCCCACGGCTTTGGCTTGATGCACTGGATCACGGGCCAACTGCTGGAGTCGAGTGCGTTGCTCTTCGTAGACTTGCTTGGCTACTTCATTCAAGACCGACTGCTGCACTTCTTCAATTCGTCGACAATCACCGTTCTTCCAGTCAAACTCGAAGATTCCATCAAAAATATTGTAGACCATGGTTAGTATAATATAAAAATAGGTCAAAATAAGGTTAGATAAAGCGGAATCCGCCTTCCCTGACAGCCGAAAGTGAGTAGAATGACGAAACGGGACTTCGGTTTGCCTCAGGTGTCGATGGACACAGAGGGAATCGGCCAAATACACAATGCCAAAAGCCGCCAAAAATGCGGCAGATCGAGAGTTCAAAGCAAAACAGTTACGTAACAATGACCTTTTACGTAACTTTGTGGATCTCACAGCCGGTAAGACTGAAAAAGGAGACAACTAGATTTACTTCCTAACAACACATCAGGTTATATTAACATAGGCCATCAAGCTCGCATTCCCAAGTCGCATTGATCCGGAATCCCTTCCGAATTGCATCTCGATAAAACCTGCTCTTCTTTCGCATACTCATGTACTTCTTGTCACTACACGCTTCATCATCCAGGCACTCCTTTATGAGCTAAAACAAAGAAAATCATGATTAACGAAAGCTCTCACCTGCTCCACGTTTTCAGTGTACATGTGTAAAAGATCAGCACGGAAGTCTTCCGGGTGGTTGTTGAATTGATCGCGATCGGATATACATCTCTCGCATTCAGGCTTATTCAAAATTTCTTCGGCCGAAACCATGGATAACAAAACAGACAGCGAGAAAAGGGCTCGAAGACACATTTCCTGAGATGAATCAATGTTTTCACAGATTACAGTCCGTCATCACAAAAACTGTATTCAAATTCCAGAAGTTTTCAACGTCATTTGAATAGTCAATATTATTTTGACATTTCATCCGAAAATCCAATAAAGTTTATGACGAAGTGCCAAAAATAAAAATATTTTTCGTTCTTCACGGGTTTTAGTTCTTTTACAAGTTAGACGTCAGCACACAAGTAAGTTGTTGTGAAATCCGTGTAAAATGGGTGTTGACGGCAGCTTTTCCGACGAGGAAGAGCTGGAAAGACAGCTGGCTGCGTTAAACATGGACAAGGTCGGTGGGAAAGGTAAGATCTATTATGTTTGTCTTGATTTTTGGATATTAGGTCTTTTGGAAGGTGCGTTTGAGTTTGCAAAAACAAAGACGTATGATCATATTTGTTCCACTTTTATATATTATCGATGTCAATCAATACTATATCACTTTTATGAATTTCAGTGAAAAAGCTCAAAAACAAAGCATCAAAGCGACCAGTCGATGATTATGATGATGTGGACGACGATGATTTATTGGTGTGTGTTTATACTTTTTATGGAGTATTTAGTATACTTCGAATCGTTTTTTTTACATGACTCATCCTTTATGGATTATGAAGAAAGAAATGGAGATAGGCGGTGATAACGTTCTTCGTTCACGTGAAAACCACCTTGCCAACTTGTTGTTGTTGTTTTTGCGAAAGTCAAAATATTTTGACAATTCTTCAATACTATTATTTTAGGCAGAACTGCATGAACTTATGGGAGATGAAGTCCAAGAGCCGACTGTTTCGCATAAACAAAGACGGGTAGAACAAGATTCCAAACGTAAGTTGCTTTTAAAACCTTTTGTATTTCTGATGTTTAGAAGAAAGAGCAGCTGCAGTTAAGGAAAGACAAGTTAGTTTGGAGCTTAGTGAGCCAGATGATGAGCCTGGAGATGATGAAGAAGCCGAGTTAGCAGCCATCATGGCAGCTGAGTCAAAGTCTCGACCAGCTCCTCCTAAGCCAGCCCCTTCGCATCCCGCACCTCCATCCGGGCCAGTACAAGTTCAACCTCCACCTCCTCCACCTCGAGCTCCAGCTGGGTCTGATGCAAAGACTGAATCTACTCCGCAAGATCCATCTCCATCGGATCCAAAAACACTGGCAAAAGCGACCATCACGAGGAGAATGGCCGCTTTTACGGCCAATGGATTAGCCGCGCATCAAGATGGGAACTCCGGGTATGCTGCGGAATGCGCGGAGACTGTACAAATGTTTCAACAAGCGCTGGAGATGTGTGATACAACCGATATTACCATGGCTGATCTGGAAGGAATCCCAAAAACTCCTCCGCCCTACAAGGTAGTTAATATTTAATTTTTTGATTCTTCATTGTTTAGAGAAAGAATCAAGCTCCCGCTAAGCCGGTTCCCTTCCCCACTGGCCCAATGTCCTTGGAAGAGGAGCTTCGCGCCCGGTTAGCCAAATTTAAATTCCTGGCAGAGGACTTCCAATCGAAAGGAGAGAATGTCAAAATGAAAATGAACCAGCGGTTGGGTAATCAGATCAACCAAGCGCTTGTCCGCCTTCAAAGAGGACATCCAATAGAGCCGGACAAACTCCCGGCTCCACCTGGATTTGGTCCACTTAAACCAATGTCCGAGTATCCTAAGACAACTCCAAGTGCTCCGGCTTCTCAACCAGCTCCCCGACCATCCCCGGTACCACAACAAATGCAACCCGGCCCAAGTGCAACGCCAAAGGAAGTTCCAGTTAGAACTAGTCAGATCCCGCCAGAACCAACACAACCAGCCGAAGATAGCCCAGAGGAACAGAAAAAGGTCTTGGTAGAAAAGCAACAAAAGTTCAAGAAGGCTGCGCTGATGTATAAACAGAATGGCGATCTTAATGCTGCATCGAAATGTCTTAAAGCCGCCAAAGTAAGTCAGATTATATTATACTTGGTGCTTCTTTCATTACGCAATATTCCGCTTTACATTGCAATATTCTGGGCTGTTTTCATAAAGCTGTTACAGGCATTAGACGACGATATCAAGCGGATAACAGCTCATCAACAGCGGTTATCTTCACCTAGTGCAATACCGGCTTCAATGTCAGCCGTTAGTGTGTCTCCGGCTTCTTTATTGATCCCTGATCTAAAGAAACAATTGGAAATGGCTGTAAAAATGAAAACTAAACTTACTGCGGTAAAGAACACAAGCTCCGTTCAGATGTACGAACGACTCATTCAAAAGGTCCGGATTGATCTCCAAGTATGCTCCCGAGTTGCCCAAGGCAACGATGGACCTGTCTCGTAAGTTTAAATGACCCTTTGAGCAATTGCATTGACGTCTCTATGACAGCTTTAGAATATAATAATTTGTTTTATATTGGTTTAGGTTCAAGGTAACCGAAGTGAGGCTACCCGTTTTGGAGGCAAATCTGGATGTCCCGGCTGACATTCTAGAACTCAAGATAACAAAAATAGAATCGTTGAAGTTACCAGATGGCTGGAAAGACTCGGATGCGTCTACTTTTGTCTCTTACGACTTCCCATTTCCCCATGAAGCGCATCAAAAAGGAAAAACGGCTATTGTTTATGGAACCACTGAACCTGGTAAGACTTTGTGGGTTGGTTGGATAGAAGAATGAACTTCTAGCTATATTGGGTGATGTATTTTAGAGTTTGAAGAAGTTTTCCAACTTCAAATCAATCGAAAAGCCAAACAACTCCAAAGAGTCCTCTGTAGATACCCACTGAAGATGTTCGTATACCAAAAAGGAGGCTTCCTAAGGTCGGACAAGCCTTGTGGAGAAGCGGACATTGTCCTGGATGCATTGGACGAGAACGCTAGCTTTAGTGACACCAGAGATTTACTGATCGGACGACGAAAAACGGGAGGGAAAATCAGTTTTGAGGTAAGGCCTATTTGTGAGCAATGAAAACTGATTACTTGATATTAATCCATGATTTTCAGGTGAGGATCCAGAAACCTCTGAATGAACAGAAAATGCTCACTCTTAAGCCACATGTCTGGACAACGCTTACTCAATGAGTATAAAGAAAAACGGGATTTTTATAGACTTATTTTGTTCGTGGCATACGTTTGTGTCCAACTTGTACCGAGACGATACGAAATAAATTATTTCCAATGCTAAGTCGGTAGTTATATTCTTTTGCAGTCCACAAAATTTGTCAACGGCTCGAGTGATCGATCGTCTTGAAAATGCGTCATTGTGACGGAATTTTGAAACAATATTTTCTCGAGAAGGTTTGTCCAATTGTATCTTGTTGCAGCTAATTCGACATGGCTACTGGATTTAGGCGAGTCTTTCCGGTCATTTACAGCATGCATCTACGAATGCTCACTTCGTAGATGCAATTCAAGGTAATTTTTATTGAGTGTTTATCGATTTTTAGGGCATCAACAACGTTTTGACTAGTGAGATGTTGAGAATAGAGATCGGTTTGGCAAGGAACTCAACAATTCTTTAGTTTTTTGGGAACTTCTCATGGGTATGAAATTAGTATTATTTTTTCCGAATTCTTATTTAGAGATTTGCATGATGTCGAATCGGGGTTTCCGCAACCGATTCCTTTCCCAGCAATTGTGTTTTCTTATTTATCGGTTGTTTCATTGACGTTCTACCTTTTCCTCTGAACTCCCGTTTGGCGATGGACGTTATAAACGCACAAAATGGGATTCCGCATCGACATTACATTTGGATGGTTTTTGTATTTTTTCTCACTTCGGTCGGCATCTGTATTTGCGGTTGTATTGCCATGGTGCTGTTGAGATGGGTAGGTTCAGCTTATTGTTGTTGAAGTTTAGGCGTATAAAAATGCTACTCGTCAACGATTACAAGCAATGGATGAGGAGGCAAGACAAGAGGCAATTTGTCGAGGTCAGGCCGAGTTGTACATGCTTGTGGCGGCACTGCTACAACGATTGACTAATTTGGCTTCAAAACATCCTTCAAAAGGCAAGAGAAATTCCATGGATTTTTTTTCTTACCGTGGATTCTCTAACTCAACCAATTTCAGCTCCGGACGACCATCGCTGTTGCAATCATAACCTTTCTGCTCCTGATCAAGTTAAAGTGATTGAAGATACAATAGCCGCTTTAAAAAAGAAAAAATCTAAAGAAAACGGGGAGATACTTCCTCAGAAGGAAGATGGGTTACCTCTAGAAGGATCAGACTACCATAAAATAGAAAGACAAGTCCACTTTGAAGCTCCGCGAAGCCAGCAAATCACAAACATAGTCTTGGCCAAGGATAAGGTCCAAGGACTACAAAGACTCAAAAATATGAGAGAAGGTGGCGATAATAACGTAAGTAGGAGCGTTACTTTGATTTGTTATTTTTAGGATGTAACTGTGATTACTGTTCAAGAAACTGATAGTATTGTTGGAGAAGAGAAGTTAAAGCCAACTCCACAGAAACTACTGATTGGTTCTTCAGCTGCTGGTAGTGTAAGTAATTTGGTTTTCATCCTTTGTCTTGTGGCTTGGGTTACATTATCATTCATGAATTTCAGACAACATCGACTGGATCTTCAACTGTTTCGTCGACAACATCTGTGACTTCAGACATTTCTGATCAAGATACTTCGGCCCCAAGTCAACCGTTGGAATATGTGGCACCTCAAAGGAGACTGAAGAACAAAGAGAAATCGAAACGAGAGAGTCATAAGAAGAAAAGAGTTTCCCCGGTAGTCGATAAAACGCAAGAAGGGGATGAAATTGATGCTTATCCAAAAGTAAAGAAGCCAAAAAAGAAGTCAAGTCCTGAGAAGAGAAGGGAGAAGAAGGTTGAGGACGACGATGGTTCATATAGGGCAAGGGAGGATGCAACTGAATCAACTACTTTGTATGATGTGGAAGAAGAAGTCGAGAAAGCGAAGAAAAAGGTGCGGTAATAGAAGTTGGAATATTTCGCAATGTTGCATGTTGTAGATCAAGGTCAAGCCCAAAACTCTGGCTGGGTATGTAAATGCGATTGCTGCTAACAGCAAACAACCTCCACGACCGGAGAGAAAGGATGTTGTAATGGTCAATGAAGAAAAGAAGGGAAAGTTCAAGACGGTAAATTTTTAAGAGATAGGTGTTGTTGCCGTTTTTATGAGGTTGGGTCTTATGTTTTAGATTAAGGTGCGTCCTGAGTTAGTTGCTGGCATGGTGAATAGGATTGCCGAGTCTCACCTTGTTGATAAATTTCCAACAAAATCTCATCGGAAAGATGTTTTACTGGAAAGGGAAACTGAACGAAGCCCGAAAAGGGTGAGGGCTTTGCCAAATTTTTGAATTTTTTTTTGTAATTGATCAGTTTCTAATTTCCAGATCACAGTGAAGCCGAAAACATTGGCCGGAGTGGTCCATTATATCGCTGAAGCCGCCCCTCAAGGATCGAAACCCGTGGATAAGAAGCATAGATTGGTATACGATGAGGAAGACGAGTCCTCCGAGGATTATACAGCAACATTGCGTAAGAACCTGGAGGAAAAGGAAGAAATACAGGGAGAGTCAAGTGAATGGAGCGATGTGGTTGAGGAATCGGATGAAACTGGATATACTACGGCCACAAGCACTGTCTCTCGTAGGTTGACAAGGATGTGATGGCAATTGGATGGGTATTGTTTTGTGATTTTTTCCAATTTTAGCTCAAGGGTCAAATGAAAAGAGCAGCCCAGAGTCCACAAAGTCTCCCGCCAACACCCCAATTGAGGATGACTCGGTTGAAAATTTGAAGTCCCCAAGCGGTAGGAACCGCCGCTTCAATGCGGGTTTGTCTATGGATTTTTGTGACCTGATGAATTCGTCCCCAATTATTGGTCAAGTCATTCCATCAACTGAATTGGACTCTCCATATTGGAGAGCGGATCCACGAAGAAGGATGGAAACGATTCAGGAGGAGAGGAGGGCTACGGTAAGTGATGACTTTGACTATTTTTGAATTTTTAAATATTACTGTAATGATTTTTTTTTGGCTTACTGTAACTTTGTATTTTTAAGCCGAAACCCCTTCCATTGGCCCAATCGATCAATGAAGTCAAGGCTTTGAGTCGACCGAAAGGTAATCAGAATCCAAGTTATGATCGAACACGACTTGATGAAGTATATCGACAAGCAGCTGGCGCCTCTCTGAACTCGACTTTGCCCTCGCTTACGTCGTTGAATCTACCAAGAAAATCTCCAGCCAAGAACAACTCTCCCTTCGCGATACCTCAAAAGCATTGTGCCAAGGTATTAAATCTCCAATCCCCGGTGTAATCAACGCTTGCTTGATATTATAATTGATGTATAAATGGAGTTTTTGAAGATGTTAGTAAATTATTGTAATTGGCTTGAGATATTTTGAGTTCTAAAAAGGTGCAGAATGTTTTGTGTGAAAATCCGAAAGTTTTGCGAACCATGAAAAGTAAAATCCAGGTGGATTCCATCGGTGATCCCACCTTTTATCAGGTCATTCCATCGACGAAGAAAACGAGGGGATTGACCCCGATTTCCGCCATCCTTTTGTTCCTTCAATTTATAAACGGAATCCCTTCGGATCCGTCTTTTAGTCACCCGTCCGCCATGCTGTACAAGGCCATCGGAGGGGCGACGATTCTGGTGGCCTCGGCCACAATCATGATCCAGATTGTCCTGTTCCCACTGGTCCAACAACAGACTGAACGAATGCACTTGATGTTCGAAAGTCGACTCAAACGATTTCATGTGAGTTGAGCTTGTTTAGAGTCCATGATGTTGTCTGCAGTGAAAAGCAACTTAAGGTTATGTTTTAGCATGACTCCCGGGTGTTCGACGATCAACTAAATCAATTGCGAAGTATTATCTCGGCGTCTGGAGGTCGCCCAAGACGTCAACTTGGTCACAATCACTGCCCTCCTCCTGTAGCCGGGGCTCCGGGTCTTCCCGGACTCCCAGGAGAAGACGGAGAAGAAGGAAACCCGGGATTCGATGGTCCGGCCGGTCTGGATGCTCAAAGTGGGTCATCATTTTATTTTTTTTTGTTGATTTTTCTACTCTAGAAGCCACCAGATTTCTTTATTTTTAATTTTAGCTCTTCTGATGGAAGAAGCCAGAAAATGCGTGATCTGCCCTGCTGGCCCACCTGGACCAATTGGACCGCCCGGTCCTCAAGGATATCAGGGTCGTTCCGGCGGCAAAGGAAAGCCCGGGGATCCGGGAAAAGACGGGACAGATGGAGAACAAGGTCCCGAAGGTTTCAAAGGCCATTCGGGACAGCCCGGGAAGCAGGGAAAGAAAGGAACGGACGGAAGACCGGCCCAAGGAGGGACTGGACCACCGGGCCCGAAGGGTGTTAAGGGCTCGGTTGGTCCAACTGGACCTCAAGGAACTCGAGGAAAGCGGAATTATGTGTATGGACCACCTGGCCCTGAAGGCAAACATGGACCTCGAGGCTACGATGGATTGGAGGGAAAGCCCGGAAGTCGAGGCGAAAAAGGCCCTAAGGGCGAGGCCGGACTCAATGCCAAGTTCTGTCCTTGTCCTGGGGAGTTGAAGAATGGGAAACCGAAGAGTGGATTGCTCCCTCCACCGGTTGCCCATCCGTTGCAACCTCAGGCTCAAGTTCAACGAGAGCCAGTCCAACAAACTGAGGCGCCAGTCCAGCCAACTTCCCCCACTCCCGAGCCAGTCCGCCAGAGTCGTCTCCACGACAATGAACTTTCGGCTCCGCCAGCTCCGACTGGCCGCACTTTCGCCGCCCCGATGGCCGAATCCATCCTCTCAGCGGCCGCTCCAGCCGAGCCAGCTGCGCCGGCGCCAAGAAAAGACTACGAAGACTTCTACCCGAATTATGATCAGGCCCAGAACAAGAGACCAGAGTATGATGAAGAACATGTTGATCAACAAGCGGATCAAGTGATCGAGGACAATCAGGAAAACAATCAAGGAACGCCTGAGGCGGAAGTGGTGACAACCACACAAAGAAGATTTGTTTACGTGACAAAACGACCAAGACATCCATGAAAGGCTGATGTAATGTGCAACCGCGATGATATAAAAATTTTCCCTATTCCGAAATTCATTTGCCCGTATTAAACGGCACCACTTATAAGTAACGATCAGAAAAAATGAATATGATTCTTGCGTTCAACGCTGTCGATTTTTATATCAGTCTGTCGGGAAAATAACGGCGGATCGTCGTCCCTCGGAATCATCGCTTTGCGACTGCAAGCTGCGGCTTGGGATTTGGTGCGCGACAGCGGCGAGACATTTTGATGCGACGATCCGCCGTTATTTTTCCGACAGACAGATAATTTCGACACTTACCGTAAGAAAAACAAATTTTTGCACGGTGCGTTTTCGATAAAAAAGTAAGAAACAAATTTCGAGTGGGTAACGCACTGCGGGAGCCTCACCTGGAGAAAGAAGCGCTCGACCGGATAACGCGTGTAACGTTCCTTGTTAGAAGTATCGCTTACCTGTTTGAACCAGTTTACGTTGGTCTAGGTGAATCAACCGACGCTATGCCGTTTTTCCACAGTATCGATCAAATCTCTCCCCGAAAAGCAAGACTGAGGTCACCAAAATAAAAGAACTCCACCATGGTCAGACATTGCCCAAGCTCAATTAATTTTCGGTGGTTAAAAGGGCTTCGAAAAGCAAAAAAATATATTATTCCAAAGATTATAAGACTCCCAGACTGGTCGGCTATAAAAGCAAAAGCAGGATGCCCAAACCGGTTAGCAGGTAAGGTGCTTTCGAAAATCGGCCATATTAACCATCGCGCTGACTATTATGTACCCTTTGAGTATCACGAGTTCCCCAGCGGAGATTCCAAACATGGAATTGGGATTGGATTGGAGTCTGAAGGAGCAATATACGACCAGCGATGGCGTCATCGTCTCCATTTACTCCTCTAAAGTTGATCCAGTAAGTTTTTCCCGATCTAAGAACGAATAGCCTCCTTATCTCTTGTCAAGGTAACAAATTCTGATTCCAGAAAGCCATTTTGTACAACCTCAAGTCCAACGCCTACCGCGTTCTGCTCCAACGGACCAGCAAAAGTGCCTCGGTCATCGTGAAGAACCGCTCCAGAAACAACTCCATCCACTATTTGCACGCCGAATTGTAGATTTTCATTTATTATTTCAGTAAAGTTATGGTACGAAAGTCGGCAAAATTTATAACAGAGATCACGGGAAAGCTCAGATCGAAGTGAAAATTGTTGTTGGAGCAGCAATGTGGACTGGTATGACAACAATGTTATTTAGACTGAATTATTGAGAAAAATGAGGAAAAGGGGAAGATTTAGTCAACTATGACGTCTTCATCCATTTTGAAGTCAACGGAATTCAAATTACTCATGGTTTCGCAGTCACTGAGGTCGGGAGAGGTCTTCTTTCGACCGCAAACCTGCTCCAGATGCTTGTTGAGGTAGCTTTTTAGGGCAAAATTCTTGTTACAGCTGGTGCATTTGTACTTTTTCTCACCTGAAAATGAAATTTTATGGTAAAACACAAGTTTATTTTCCTATAAATTTACGTTTCGAACTGTGTTTGTACCAAAACATGGTTCTTTTAGTGTTTTTGTCATCAAAACTGCTTTAAAAGTTTCCTTTTCCCTAAGAATATCATTTACAATTTCCTTAAAGTATTAAGAATACTTTACTTCTCCGTCTGACTATACTATGTACTTGTTTCGACGATGCCATCCGCAAACACACCACTTATTTGTCTACAATTCAACGTTTACCGGAATCCCCTGGCCCGTTTCTGACATTTCTCTATTTGAAATTGCCGCATGAAATATTTGCCGGACACGGAATAGGACAATCGTTTTGACTCGCGTAAGCCCCGCGACATGACAAGGAAAAAGAGTTTTGACATTGTTGATGTTAAGCCATGATCAAGTGGGCAGGAGATTAGTTATGGACTTGTGGAATGAGTTATGAGTCGTAATATGCGGGAATAGGGTTACTGTAGCAATGGGGAAAGTATTCAATGTGCCCGTCGTCTTTTTCGACTGGCATCCGGTAAGGTTTTAGGCGAGGGTAAAACTTGGCTCATGGTCATGTTTTTCCCTCTATGAAACTGCCCTATGTAAAGCGTTCGGAGGTTACTGCAGACATGGATATAACGGTCGATACCGTCAGATCCGGTTAGATCAGGGGTGGTCAGCGGACCCTATTTTTCCGATTTTCGGCCCGCGGCCCGGCCCGTCTAATTACGGGCCCGGCCCGGCCCGTCTAGTCTTTTTCCAGGCCCGGCCCGGCCCGGCCCGTGCAGGCCCGTTTATAGAGGGTTCTGCGAACTGCGCCCAAGCTTGGGATCTAAACTTAGGCAAAAAAGGCGTTGATATAGCTAGTAAAGGATCAATGTGATAGTTTTGTGGTATTATAATGGAACTATAGACTTGTAAACGTTTTAGAACTTGAGAAACAGCAACTATAACAACATCAATTAATTTTCCCGGCGCGAAAACAATGAATGCCAACGGTTTGGCATTGTAATTTAGACGGGCCGGGCCGGGCCGGAAAAAACCCAGGCCCGCGGCCCGGCCCGGCCCGGCCCGTGACGGGCCCGGCCCGTTTGTAATTTTCCATTTTTGAGCCCGGCCGGCCCGTTTGGGCCGGGCCGGCCCGTTTGGGCCGGGCCGGCCCGTCACGGGCCGGCCCGGCCCACTGACCACCCCTGGGTTAGATTGCTTGAGGATAACACTTGACTCATGGTCAAGTCTTCCCTTCGAATCAAATGGCCCTTTTACTTTGGCTATTTCTATTTTAATTTGACTAATTACTTCTGTGATTGCGCTTTTTATAAATATTGAAAGCTGTGAATATATAAACATACCAGTGTGGGTGTGCATATGTGCCCTGAGGTTGCTTCGGTCCGCGAAAGCCTTGCCGCAATGCGCACAACGATAGGGCTTTTGTCCCGTGTGGGAGCGCATGTGGTTCTTGAGGAGCCAGCGCCGACTGAACATCTTCCCACATTCCTCGCACTTGTGCTGTTGATCGTGGGTAAGGAGATGCATTCTGAAAATAAAAAATGGGTTTAACTAGTGGTAGGTGCAATAAAATTGGTTTCTGGGACATTACGGAACATTAATTTCGGTAGAACCAATGGACTTTTGCCCACATCATAATCATACATGTAAAAAATGTTAAATGTTTTAACTCACCCTAAGGCAGCGTTTGAAACATAGACGCGTCCGCAATATTTACAAGGCTTTGCGTACGGCGAGTCCAACGACCGATGGGTTTGCTTATGTCGACTCAGATTAGAGCTCGTCGCGTAACCCTTCCCACATTCCGAGCAGATATGTCTGTTCGGCCCTTGATCACTCTCTTCCGGAATGATTTGACGTCGTTTACAACGTCCATCCAGAATCTGGAGATCTTCTACTGTATAATCTTTAAAGTCCGAGGAGTCGAAAGGATTGTGGTCCTAGAAATTATATTATTTTAGTTGCATTGAAATGATATTTTTGAATTAAATGTGAGCTGTTTGGCAACGTGTTTTACCTTAGGCGAAGAGCTGGGCGATTCGTTTTTGAGGAGTTCATCGATGGAGAAAGAGGTGGGCGATCGAGTCGATGTTGGTTCGCTCTGAAATTATATTACTTTAGATGTCATCAAGCAAACTTTAAAAGATTTAAAAGTCAAAGTTTCATAAGTATGACCCAAAATCACCCCCGAATATTACTGTAACAACCTCCCTTCGAATGTGAGCCCGGTCCGCAGTTATTTTCCGCAAACCCCCTCCGGCTAATTGTTGCGTTTTTTGACGAAAAAATGGCCGGTTTCCTCCTCGAGAATTATGAGACAGTTCCGGCGGGTTCCGCTCTCCCCCATACCTATTTTGGCTATCAACAAAAATATATTCTCCATGAAGTTCAACAATTTTGCACAAAAAATAAAAAATATTCCCAGAGATCTTATAATAGCCATAGCGAGGGCAATATTAGGAGAAAATAGGTTTTTATTTTCATGAACTTGCACTTACTTTTATTGGAAGATCAACTTGACATTTGGGTGATATTGTTTGAGGATTTAGGAAGGGAGAAATGGGAGAAAACATGGTGTTTTGACGTTGAAGAAGGAGCCATTGGACTGCTGAAGATAATGGAATAAAAATAAGGTCTTGATTTATATTTTGGATTTAAATGTAGTAAATTTTTAGTTTTCTGTGACGTCTTCCCAAATTTTCGTCACCAAAAAGAAAACTTTATTTCTACGGTAACAACCTGTTCAAGACCAAATCAAACCTCAACAAACTTGTCGAAAGCTCCGTCGAAATCTCTTAATCACGATATCTCGTGTTTCCACCCACTTTAACGCGTTATAACGGGGTCTTTAATAACTGAAGAGGCCGTTTAAATCAACTCACAATAGAGGGCGTTGAGCTGTTGCTGAATGGGGCTGAATTGAGGGGGACTGGAGGGAGCGAATCGTTTTATCAGCTCCGCCAATTGCATCTCCATCGTGTGTTACTGTAATAAAATAAACTGTTTTTTATAAGACGTATTAAATAAATTTAACCAAAAATTTCCTGCTTCGTATTTTACGCAGGCAATAAACGTTTCTTCAACAGTCCAAATTTATACATCCTAACGACTATTTTCAAAGTTTATGAAGCGCCATATGACAATCGGGTGACAATCTTTGGGCGTTTCCGGGGACTGTCAGCCCAAAAGCCCTCAGGGAATGAGACCCGGTCCAAGCAAAATCTATTATGCTGTTGATGGGAGATAAATAAAGTAAATAGAGAGGGGTTTTGGAATCTTTATCTGAACGCAAATTTGAATAGATTGCGGGGGCGATAAGCAACTTTGAAGGAGATTACGGTAGGATTCGGGTATAAAGATATTGATGGTATAATAATGTAAAAAATGGTTGATATTCAAAAACTGCGGTCTAATAAGCTTAATGATGAACGATAAAGTTGAAGCTATTTGAATTACAATCATCAAATTCTTTGAAATTATTCATCAAAGTTGGAATTGAGGAAAAACAAAAATTTTTGATTACAGTAACCCACAAATCATCTCTCTGCTAAAACTCCCCCAAACTGTAGCCTCGACCACCGGATGGACGGAAGCAACCGATTTCATTTGCCGTCCCGGAGTGGCCGGTCAATCCCGGCGACCCTTACGCAATCGCTGTTTTTGTTTCTCGACCTTCGACCCTCGACTCCGCCCCCTTTTTGAGGACTTCTTGAGGACCCAGATTTCAGGGCTACATTTCCAATGTAAACATCGGGTTATGAGTCAAGAAGGGGTACAATTACTGTAGGAGTTGGATTTAGGGTTACTGTAGTTTTTTTTGATATTTGCAAAATTTTATTGGAATTGATGAGAAAATATTGAAAAAGAAATTTTATGGTAAAATGTCTTGGTGGAACGATATGAAACGGTAAGTTGCAGTAATAAAAATGCCAAAAAATATAGGAAAAACATGAGCTTACAATTGGACAGGCGACATTTTATACGAAGAAATTTTCTTTCAATGCCATAAAGTAATTAAGCGAGCGATATATTGGCAAAATTTCAAAAACCTCTCTCAAAATTCACCAACAAAACAAGAAGCCATCATAAATTAGCCAAGCACACCTTGCTTCACCACAACAAGTCATGTAAATCACGTTCCCCGGCCTCAAAATAACATACTCAGAAATTCGAATGATCGTCGAATTAAGTGTAAGATTACTCTCAACAGTTATAATCCAATCGGATATTCATGTAATCCCTCGTTTCCTCTCTGCCCTCTCCCTTTTCTCGGTCTCTTCGTGTTTTCGATGACCTGTTGACCGGACTCTCATATCGCTCTTGTAACTGAGAACAGTGCACTCGAAGGAGAAGATAGCCAAGGCAGGTGTCATCGATCTGCTTGTTGGGGAGATTACACAACATAGCCATGCAGATGGCTTGATTTACTGAGGAATGAGTGGAGATCGAGGGCACTCGGGTCAACCGGAAATTGAACATGGATTACTGTAACTTTTTAATTTTCAAGATTTTTTGTTTTTGTTACGGCATCAAAAATTTTTTGCTCCGAAATTTTACTGTGGCAAAATTATTGTAATCCTTTTGTAACCGTACCGTAACCCAAAAATTATTCCCTCTTCCCACTTTTGTCCCGGCCATTTTTATGACACAATTTTTATGGCCATTAATTTGATCCAATTGTCCTGTCCTCCTCTCTCCCAATTCTTCCTTTCACTCTGATTACCGTAATCCAATTGAGCAGGTGCGCCATATTGCGCAACACGGGATATGGCCAGGTCATCCCACGGGGCTATAAATCATGCCCAATTAGGCGTGAACTGAGTTTCGTTCGGAGAAATTAGCCTAGATTTGTCAGAATTTGGAATAATTGAAAATGGGTGGGATAAATTAGGTAAAAATGGATAAATTTATGGTTAATTTTCATGAATTTTTTTGACTGTTAGAGTTACAAGGCCTCCTTGATGTCTTCAGACAGATTATGATACATTTTGTCGGCGTTCAACTTATTTCTTTTATAAATATTCATTTTTTTTTTTATTTTTCCTTTCGAATCTCCAAAAAAAATCATTTCTTTGAGTCAAGAATTACAGTTACTCTCGATGTTTTTGTGTTCATTATGTTAAGTGTTCTTTTGTCCATCATTCTCCATTAATTGGATGCTTTTCGAGCATTGGGTAAGAGAGCAGTTCAAGTGGGAAGGATGGGTAATATAAGGTCAAAAAAGTTTTTAAAAACCCGATAAATCATCCCAACACGTTACTATTATGCCCTTTGCCGCTTACCGTACCATCAATAAAGACATTTTTTTCAATCGCTTTCCCTTTTTCGCCTCATTTCCATAAAAATATTCTCCTTCCCCTAGTTCTCAATTTTTGGCATTTCCTCTTTCGGTTATTGAAAAAATCGAAAAAAGATTTGTTCCTGGAAAACAAAAAGATTTGGCCAACCGGAACCCCCCATCGGATCAAAGGAATATTAATTAAGCGGGGCCATAAGGACCGGTCTCCTCTTGCGCAACCCCACTGGAGGCGATCGCTGTGGGAGTTCGAGGCGGTTCATTTGAGGTCAGCCGCCTAATGAGATTCATGACATTTGCAGCAAAGGATTGGTTATGTAATTGTGGGTGTAGAGGGGGCGGTGGGAAGATGATGGAGCGGATATTTGGATATCATACCAGATCAAAGACGGGATTTTGGGTAAATAAGACTGTTTTTGTATTTTAATAGGGCAAAAAAAAAGTTTATTTTAGATTATGCAGAGACCTATATTTCGGTGTCTACTGAAAATTTCAAAAATGTCATCATAACACATTTTATGAATTTTTTCAATATTTTTTTTCAATGAGATTTCTTGTCAATATAAAATCTCCATATTTGTTTATTTTTCGCTCATTGGCCCCACTTAATACGGCCAAGCTCTCTATTTGACACCTTGTTGAAGATCGCAATGTACATACGAAGGCAAACACACGGCTTAACAGATGGTCCAACATGGATTTACAGGTGAAATTGGATTACAAATTACGCAAACTGACCAATGCTCTGAAATATGGACGACACTCAAATTTAAAGTTGTCTCCCTTCAAATTGAATGTCCCTTGGTAATCCTTATTGGACGTGTCCATATGGCCATCAACATTTGATTTTGCGGGATTAATGTCCACTGGCAAAAGAAGCGCCGTTTACGATGACAATTATAAACGACATTTCGGGTTTACGTAACTTTCCGACACTTCGTATCTTTGCAAAGTCGGCGTTGGATTACGGTATTACGAGATGGCTGCAATTCGAGATAGGAAGAGCTCCACGCGAGAATGTTGGATTAGCTTCAAATTTGATGTGGATAATCCACGTGGGGCATAAATCGACATCTGAAAATTTTGGCTCGTGCTTTGCAGATTGCGCTAAGATTTTTAACGATTATCTCACTTTTTTAGACCGGAGATCATAATAAAAAAACGGGAGGAGGAAAGTGGCAGAATGCTTTTTCCTCCAGTGTCAGTTTTTTTTGTCCCTTTCAGTGGCAACAGAGATATCCGACAGTCTTCGAACGAGAGAACATCCGAAATGAGGAGAGTCGGCTAGACGAAAAATGGGGTTTTGTCCATAAGGCTTTTTAGTCGCGGAAAAAAGTCCTCGGAATTTTTTGCGGCCCCAAATTCCGTCGCTCTCCGAAAAGTTGATTTGTCGCTGCGAAAAATGGGAATCGCGCGCGACAATAAGGCAAAAACAAGGAAATTGCACTGTGCAAAAGCGCTTTTCGAACCGGATGCACGGTGCAAAATGTGTTTTCGGGTTGATGCACAGTGCAGAGTCGCAGACGATCCCAGGACGTTTTTCCGCAACTCATCAAAATCTGTGTGTCTCACTTTATGTAATAAATAATTTCTTCCCTCAAATTCCGGAAATCCATGACGAGTCTTGAACAATAAAATAATTGCACAAGCAAGATCTTCCTTACCCATGGCGATTGAATGACCAATTAATAATCCCCAAATCCCCTCTAATCCAATAAAAACAATGCACAATACAATACCATCTCCTCAAACAATATACCCATGGAATTTGATCGTTTCTCCCTTCGAAGGCAGATGTTCGCTCATTTTGCGCCCAATTGCTTGGTGTTGCGTAATCGCCACTTCCTAAGCAAATTAGGCAGAGATGGACAGGTTCATGGAAAGTTGATCCCCCGGATCGACGGGGATTACGAGTTAATGAAACCTGCAATTTGGGGGAGGAAAGGGATTTGTTGATGGGACAACAAATGTTTTACGAAAATTTGGGGAAGATGAACGGGAGAGTGGACGATTTTATGAGCCATTGTAAATTGATAGACCACTATGTTTAGGGGTATATCAAACTCGTATAAAATGCAACAAAAAAATTGTTTTAGCCGTGCTCATAATGAAAAATGGCAAAGGAGGATGCGGAAAAAAGCAAAATAACCGCAACTGTTGTTTCTTGACGAACATAGCGTTGTCACCGTGCTCCACACACGGGATAAATATCAGAAGGGATACAAAAGGGATACAGGATTAAAAAAATCTTGGGGTTTTTCTTGTGGAGGCTATAAGAGATCCCTCCAGATATGTGTCAGAGATCCCAATTCTTCTCTCCCAATCCACCGAGATTACGTTGGCAGTTTATACAGACAAATAAAATAAATTAAGACAATCGCTAAACATGTTCATTGCCTATTTTCCAATCGCAAATGGGTTTGTTCGCTGGTTCATCCGCATAAATCGTGATTTTCTCGCGCTAACTTCTTCATTCATCTGTGGAATGACGTCGTTCTGAGCGATTTGAACTGGAGGGTATTTGCTCACTAAAAGACGTTCATTTAAAGGATATAGAAAGGTGGAACGTATTTTACAAACAAATTTGCTTACTTTCTTTCTGACAAGTGCTGGTTCTCTTCAAATAAATGTTGGTATACGGGGCATAAATGGGCTTCTGGACGTCGATTAGGTCGTAATATTCGCAGGAAAAGACCGAGCGGCCACCAACAAATCCATAGACAGCCATTTTACAAGCCTAAAAGCATGGATAATATCATCAAAATTGAATTCAATTTCCAAAAGTCGATAACTAATCCTGTAGTGGTCCGATTTGGACAGTTCTTGGATGTAACAGTAGTAGGAGTCATAGACTACTTAGGGGTAGTTTCCAATTTACAGGTCGTTAGTAAAATTTTATAAGGGTTATGTCAACTGGGGGTACTTTTTAGGACATTTTTTGTCATAAGTCCCAAATAACGCTTCGATGGGCTGAACCACTATTATGCCGTTACTCAGTAGGGTACCCTCTTTCATTTTTGCATGGAGGTGCCGACTCGTCCGGAAAGGGTTAAGAGCCACTTACAGAATCTTGCAAACACCCAGCTAAACATTTGTCTTCAGTGACGTCATACGAGTTGGTGACCACCTTAAAAGGCATCCTTCCCATTCCCACATCACGGTCAGAGTACTCGATAAAACACTCACATAGGGCACAGGGTTCTCCGAAATGGTCTAAAATACGAAGTTATAAAGTAAAAATTTATGGGATGACTTACTCTCTCGATTAACAGCACAAAATGATGATGAGAATAGGAGGAAAAGAGGTGCCAACGCCTTCAATAACCTCATCTGAAATTAAAATTTTTGTTCAAAAAATAGAAATGGTGATCATTTAGATAGCTACTGTCTTCATATTACTATTTACTACCAATTTTTCAAGTTCATATAATTTTTTTACATTCCACTTACCTTGACTGCTATCAAACTTGACTAGCTTGCTAAACGTTGAGAACGGACTGGAAGCCGGCGCCGCTTTTAAACCGATACCGGATTCGAATCAGGGTCATTAACGGAGCGGTTTTTTCGACGAGAACCTTCGAAAAACACGTTTAAAAGGGTAAAATGTCAAGGTTTCAGAGCTAATCTTGGGGAATTCGAAGGGCATTTCGAAGTGTTTTCAAGCATGAAAAGGTGAACTAAGCGTGTTTTAGAACAGGTTATCGAAACAAAACGATAAAAACAAAACAAAACGTATCTTGCCACGACTTTTAAAGCGATTTTTGTAGAAGCGTCTAAATCATCATGAACAAAGTGACTTTCTCTGTGAGAAAGCCTTGCAAGGAACGCCCCCTGGTACGAGAAATACCTCAGAACGTTTATCGCCAACCTTCCACTCAAAAAATATTAAAGTTTTATTAATTTTAGGTTTCAAATAAAATAGAATATTCCAACAAGACGGTGCCGTATTTTACCAGCAGCATTCCAACCTCTGATAATCAAAAAATTTACTATTTCATCAAAAAACTCCTAATTTTACACATACTGTACTGTATTTTCATAACACTTATTAAGTGTTGAACAAGATCAATTATATTACAGTAGACAAAAAAAGTACCGGTTCATAAAGTATACCACGAATTGAGAGCTTTGTAAAAATTTTTCAACATGAGATCCTTGGCACAGTAATAAACGGATACACACATCACCCTGGTGTTGTCATTCAACTTCTTTCTGCACTTCTCGACCTTCTTCATATTGGAATTGGGGGTGATCTCGGAAGGGCCTGAGTAATCTTGGATATGTTTTTTAAAAGATACTTCCCATTTCTGAGCAAGAGGTTTGAGGATTTCACTTTTTCGCATCGTCTTTGTTTTGAACAAATTGTCTCGTTCTCGTCTGGAATCGAAATTTTGCAGATTGATATTGAGTACAATATAAAAGACCTAGGAAAACTAGAAAAAAACAAGTTCTAGACTTACCGCAGATGAATTATCTGTAAATTAGCCTCATTGGCGACCATCATTCTGTATTTGACACCTCTTCCACCAGGAATAAGTTCTCCTTCGGTGAACAAATGATGATGCCCATTGATCACCCGCTCTGGCCGATGAATAAGCTTGGAATAGGCGGGTGGAGGAAATAACTTGGTCTCTACTGAGAGTTGATGGAACCCAGAAAACGTCATATTACGAAAATCACGGAGTAAGAGCCAATCGTAATTCTGAAACAACATTACGTCACCCATAATCTAAACTTATGCAGGGTAAGATAAAACTCACAATAAACTCGGCTTTCCGGCTTTTTATCTGAACAGTAGCTAAATTGGGATGTTTCTCGTATAAAGTGTCCAGATGACGGATCAAATCTGTATTCCCGACCATCAAAACTTCATCCAGATCCAATTGAGCCACATACTTAGCGGTATAGCGAGCTCGATGGAGACAATCAAACACTCCCATGTACACCTCAGTCCTAAAAAGAAACAAATACAACCTTTGATGAAGCATACCTAAACATAAGAAAAAAATCAAGGAAAAAATTATGTTGACCTACCTGAACAACAGCTCATTTGGATTATGAGTGTCGTTGCTCGGCAATTCAGACCAATCAACATATTCAACATCAAGCCCCGGATGGGAGCTGTAGAAATCTAATATGTATTGGACGTGCTGAGCGTAGTTTTGTCGATAAATGTAGAATTTTGTGGCACCATGAGCAATCCAATGCTCGAAAAATTGAATGAAAACTGAAGTTTCATCGTGAAGGAAGATGGTCTGCAGACAAACGGCTAGCTTGTGGACGGGTTCTCGCGGTCGGACATCGCTGAAAAGAATACTTATTTTTTAGATGAAACGATTTCGTGGTGGGACTCAGAAATAGGGAAGATGGATGTAAAATGCGGTCGGAAAAGTTGTCCGACTCAATCAGAAAACATTTTAATGTGTACTGACATAATTGGCAGAGTGATTTCTTCTCCTTTTGTGGACCATAATTGAATTGTATCACTTTGACTTTCATTTATCCGAGGCTCAATCTTGATGACCCCAATGATCCCGACGATCCGACAATTTGGAGCGTAAGTATTACGACAGCCCTTCAAATTACATATTTGTTGTACTGAGCCTGTAGCTGATCCAAATTTGTAATACAAAAGCCGTCTGAACAAAACGTATCATTTTGACCACAGGTGTCATGTACAATATAATTTTTCAAAAGAAAAATCCTTACCGATTATATAAATTCCTTAAGATTGTTAATCGTATCGTCGTATTAGATATCCTGAACGCACTTCGGACATAAAACTGTTCATTTTGTTTTTTCGGATGTGTGAATGGTATCCCGTGATCAAGGCTGTCGTCGACGGTGAAATTGTTATCATTTTGCAAAATGATTTGCGTTATTAAGTCGGCGGAATTTGTGGAGAACACTTGATTTGAGTTTATGAAGTCAACTAAAATAATATAAATTATCAAAGCTTGAATTCAGGATGACGTCATTTCAATTACATTATCCCCACCTGGACTAAACTGCGTGTAAATGTACGTAACACCGATGAAGCAGACTCCACACAGCAGAATCTTCTTGATATTCTTTAGCATCCGCATCTCCAATCGAACCCATCCGTTTTTTCGATTGATTGTATCATCATCTTATTTTCAGTTTCAAATATTGCTCATCTGCAATAAAAATAATAGTAATAATAATGAAAAAGATGATATTTCTGAATAAAGGTTTTTCGAAGTCATATATATGATACAAATCAACGAGTAAAAATAGCAAATTATTAATTAGGAAATTGTCTTTGAAAATCTCCCGACAATTAATGCTGAGTAGCTGGAACAGCCCTTATAACGCGACAAATACGCCTAATAAAGAAAAATGTCGAGTACTTGCAATATCAAAAATAGCCTTAATTTTACAAATGAACATCAATGCATTATCCATGATGACTTTAGTCGTTTCCCTCCAAAAAGTGATTCTTAAAGCCAATATCGCCAAGAAGTAACTGCAAATCAAGTAAACAGACTTCTTGAGTCCTATGCTGTTCATATAAAATACAAATTGTCTCAAAAAATAACGGAAAAAACAAAAATTGAAAGAAGATCTCTAATTGAGAATCCACTAATTGGAAGGTTCCAAAGAATTTCAAAAACATATTTTGTTGTTTTTGGCGCTCTTATAACAAGCTACTAAGAAGTAAGTAGAGGGAAACATGAAAGTGAGAGTGAATTATCAGATGGAGACCATCTTAGATCAAATAATTCTGGAGTCCCCGCGAGACTTTTGGCGGCGTTTTTTATGTTTTGCGCTTAATAAGTGAACTGCAAGTACATTGAAAGTATATTGACACTATTGGATCCCACTCTTGGCAAATCATTTCAGATTTATCCTCATTTCTTACAAAAAATCATCATTTTTGCCTAGTTCATTATAAAAAATTTTTTGATTTCTCAAAAAATTAACTAAAATAGCAAGACGAGATGAAAATCTAGCTGTAATTTACCGTAACCTCAAACTTTAGGTCGATTCCAGACCTTATTTAGCTATAATTACTATTCGACACCCAAAATTTCAGAAGTTTTTTCAATAATTTCGACGATTTTCAGGGTTCAATTTCCCTCCCAAACCACTTAAACACCCCTTCCCGCTCCTTGAACACACACAATACAAGCATTCCCTACAAAAACTTTCGCAAACCGCTTAACAATGCACACTTTTGTCCCTAAGCAACGGCCGGCGACTGGTGACCGCTGACGTTGCCATGTCAGTGTGACAAAAGGGAGCAGCAGGTATGGTATCCGTGCCCAATATCACGAAACATAACGACCAGAGAACGTTCCTGGAAAGTTTATCCGCTCTTCCGGTCCGAATTTTATATTATACTGGGCAAACAATCGGCGGGAATAAGGTGAACTCTTCAACCAATGAAGTATGTTAGTGGCGGTAGGAGGTGATTCTCAATCTAAGAGGCTGCAAAGTTACGCTGATTAAAACTTTTTCAATAAAAGCCATTTTTACGACACTTTTCTTGAATGTTTTTCATCTAAAATCATCAAAAAATAATAAGCAAAGCTACTTAATAAAATCCATGGAATATTTGTGTCCAACCATCTAACCCGTACATCTTTTTAGATACTGTACCAACTTCGAAACAGATTTCATAAAATTTTGAGATTTTTCGAGTTATTTTATATTGTGTTAGGTCATCAAATATCTAAAGTAATATAAAAAAAATTGATGTCAAAACAACAGGGCTTGCTGCCTTAACGTATCTTAAAACCAACAACATTTGAACTCAAAAACACAACGGAAACCCAAGAAGAATATCAAAAAAGACATGTCGAAAGTCCGAGATGCCAATTTATATTGCTCATCCTGTTGAAAAATTAAGGGAAAAGAGTGGGATCAAAGAAATATAAAAAGGTTCGGACCTCAAAACAATCTCGAAGAGGGACAATTGTTGTTCGGGAATATTAAGGGATGTGATCTGGTGTCATATCCTTCACCTGTTTTGAGTGAGAAGATTGATTAAAATATGGGATTATTAGACGGTTAGGAGACCAACTGGTAGCTTTCGAGCCGGTTTGGAGTATATAATCGGGACAGAATGAGGTATAAGTAGAGAAAATGGCGATTCGGGGAAGATTGGAGAAGTTACGAGTAGATAAAGACAGTGGAAAAAGTGAACAGATAGGCCTAGAAATAGGCGTACTAAGGCAAACTAATTGTCACAAAGGGTTCAGAATACACCATTTTTCAGAATCTGAACAAAAATTCACCTTCAACTCGTTGCAGCACCCTAAAATTCCTTTCCTTTTTTAGGGCATTTAAGATCACCGTTCCACTCTTTAAAGTTCGAAATCTCAAACTGTGATCGCCCTAGATCTCCAAGACAAATTCGAAAGCGATTCGAATGCCCAGACTAAACGGTGGTTCCATAAAACGGTTTCCCCGGTCTCCCCTTGCCCCTCCTTTGTCCCTCCAAATCCCCCACGGCGTCATTTTATTTATATTTCAGCGGATACGCACAATTGTTTATTCCCAATTCTGGGCATTCGCATATTCCGAATTTGTTTTTCGTCAATCAAGTTGGTATGACTACAGGAAAGGGGCCAGAAATAAGATGGAGCGTTCCAATCTGATGCAACAAGGGATGAAACAGGCCCGATTACGATGGAATATGCAATTTATAGAGCAACAACTATTTTGAAAGAAATTTTATGCGGTATGGTCAAGATTTATTGCTCGGGAATTAAAAAGAAAACCTGCAGAGAGAAGCCAGATATCGTATAAACGGGCAAATATTAAACTATATGTTACATATCAACTATGTCTTCAATTGAAAATTGGAAATACAGTTTCCGGTCCATTTATCGGTCTGTCGGAAAAATAACGGCGGATCGTCGCACCTCGGAATCGCCCATCATCGCTTTGCGACTGCAAGCCGCGGCTTGGGATTTGGTGCGCGATAGCGGCGATGCGAGACATTTTGCTGCGACGATCCGCCGTTATTTTCCCGACAGACTGATATACTGTTCTTGTTCGCAACCAATATGAATCCGGCGGCTAACAAAAAAAATACAATAGATTTTACACATCAAAAGTCATCACGGCATCAAGAATAATAAATATCTCAAGTGTTTCCCAGAACTTCAGACTGAATACAAAGCCAAGATAAATTGGTTCTCACACTACAAACTACGGTATTTTTTAATCTCCCACTACAATATCAAAATTAGTATTGAAAATATTCCAGTCTGAAGCCATACTGAAGTCCAACGTTTCACGTAAAGCCTCAAATTCTAACAGTGTCTGTAAAGTTTTAGAAATTCTACTCTCAAAATTTACCCCCCAACCACTGCCCAAAACTAATGGCTGACATCTTTATTATTCTCAAATGTACAAACAAGATCTTATTAAAGAATACAATTACAGCTGTGGGAAGACAGGTGTCTCTCAAACAAAATATTTCCATTTCGTTTCCAACTTTTATGCGACCAAAGTGGTTAAAAGTTCGGTAACTTTCTCATCCTTGTCCGCGAATTCCTGAAGTTGGCGGATTAACTCTGGGTCGCCTCTGGCTACAAGCTCCTTCTCCGAATCTTCCAGAAGCATGAAGGAGCCGACTACGAATGGAACAAAATATTGGGGATCTTCTTTGGCCTTGGCGGATTTACTCACTTCGTAGACCTGGAAATGGGGATTTTATATTGATTTAGATGACTTATAAGAATCGTTTGAAGAAAGTATTCCAATATTGACGTAAATTCTTTTGAGGCACATTTGAAAAAATCAAAAGTTAACTATTGCATGTTAACCTTTGCGAGAAGACCACCTATAATCTTTAAAAACAAAATATAAACACTTACAGTTCCCAAGAAGTCCCCAGCCAATGGGCTGATTCCATTCTCCTTCAACACGACCCTCATCGCTTCAAAGAACATCCCCTTGATTTTCCGGTTGGCGAACGCCTTCTTCAGCCGATCAGGCTTGACTTTCGGGCGGAGAATGGCCAAGTAGAGCTTTCTCTCTCTTTCGTTCAGGATATCCACATGCTTGGGACCTTCGGCAAGAGTCCTCTCTAAAATTCAATGTGGGTATTATAAACCGTGAACATCATCATTCTTGCTTACTAAAATCAAACCAAAAAACAAAAACAACTTACCAATCAGACCAGGTAAGACCTTGTCAAAGTCGTACGCAGAAACTCCGATAACCACAGCAATAAAAAGTAACACAAATTTCATGTTGATTAGTAATGAAGAGTGAAATCGGACGACCCTTTTATATCCAGTTGAAGTGCGTTGAGATCCCACCTTCATTTTTTATGTTGAAAGTGAGGAAACGAGTGAGAGTAAGGTGTTCGAGGATAAATTGGATCATCGGAAAGGATGGATTCAGACATTCGGACGCCAAAAGTCTGCTTGATAGATTGATGAGGGAAGGTTAATATAAGGAAGAGGTGGTGGGGAGAGGGTCTGTAATAAATCATTGTATCCTAGAGAGTTTACAGTGGAATAATGTACTACAAGCAATGGAGTAAGATAAAAATTACATAAGACTAGACAATTCTTGATCAAATCATCTCCCGATATTATACTTGCTCAAAAATATGTCACACACATAATTTTACTGCCAAAAAGCTTCTTCACAACCTATTTGAAGCCCACTAACCCCATTTTTAGGTCATAAAACTCTTTTGTTGCCTAAAAATATACTCGAAAACCCATCGCTCAAAGATTTCGGCTAATAAATCTAGAATAACATAAAATAAAACTTCGAAACAGGTTCTCACTTGGGAAAACATTTTGATTGCGCAACGTCGGCGGACTTACTTTCTCTTTTCGTCGTATCACCTCGTTCTCCAGCTTTCACACTTCTTCTAAATCTGGTTTCGAATCATCGGACCTTCGAGAATGTCGGGGAAAGTCAGAGGACAGGGACACTTGCTGAAAGCATCTGTAATTCGCAACAGACATCGGGAAGGGGCAAAATATTGAGTTGTTACCTAAAATTCACTGCATATCAAAAATTTTTATATTACACTAAATTATCATGCAATAACAGTGCAAAGTCAGACCTCAGCCCTAAAATAGAGATGAGCTCATACGGGAGATGGCATGTCGATACTTGGACTTTTCGTCTGCAGACAAAAAGCCCAAACGATTTGTCAACAATAAAAACAAGCAACTTTGACCATATAAAATGTCACAATTTCGGAGATTCTTGCCCCATAAAATCTCCGGATTGGTTGTCTTGCCATTCGTTTTGTTCTACTTGTGGGACCAATCTTCTACAATCCTTATCAAGCTTTCGTGGCTCTGCTTTGGTTTCCGGTCTTACACTAGCTTCAGATGTTAAATCATGAACCGTTTTCCTTCTTCACCCAATATTTCACCTCTTTTATTAACCTAGAAGATGCCAGGGCGGATCATCAGCACGAGGAGATTAAGAAGCAACTTCGTCTAACAGTAAGTTACCCCTTTTTGAATGATTCCTTATTTCGACATAGAGCTCAAAGATAATATAGTTTGAAAACAGCTAATGGAGGCTGGAGATGGATTCGGAAGATTAACCAGCGACTTGTTTCAGCTTTTTGGCCGTCGTGGGATCTATTCAGCTGCCTTGAAGAACCTGTACGCTCTCCGAATTCGAGCTATAAGGGGTAATATTGGAGATGTGAGGTTGGGCATCAAGATCAACCCGTTGGAAGACGCGACCTCTTACTTGGTTAACGAGCATGATTACGTATTCTGCGGAGATTACGTGGATATAATCAAACTGGTGGTTCCGGTGTTCTCTGGAATCTCCTTTCAAGTTGATCAAGACGGACACACCATGATTACAATGTATGGGTTCTCCAAAGGCTGCCCAACTGAGTCTTATACGAGAATTTTATGCAATGGTAAGTCTTTTTCTTTCATTTTTTCGATTTTAGACATTCTTAAATGGAAGTTCAAGATTAATCAGAACAGTATCTGCAGATTGATCGCAGAATTGGCCCCTAATTTGAAGACGATTGACTTTACGTCGTGTGATAATACTTCATACTATCGAGTAGCGGATGTCCTAGCAACAACTCCAGCCATGAGTCTGGATCGAGTCACAGTTCGGCTCCAGGAAGGGTGTAAACCGAGCATCTTTGACTTTTGTGCCATCCACAGGGTTAAACATCTGGAAATATGGCCTTGCCCATGGAAATTATTCCTTCTGGATAAGATTGAGATGTAAGTTGATTATATGTCTTTTCAATGTGTTTAGGTGGGTTTGTTTTTCTGGTTCAACATCTGATTTTATTGTTTCAGGCATTATACTGTCTATTTCTGATGTTTTACTTTTTCAGACGACGGAAATTTGAAGTGGATACCTTCACCATTTGCCTTTTTGGATCTCCGGGAATGGAAACTCGGTTTTATCAAGTGGAACGGCATATTTTAGATTTATTAGAACAAACAATGACCAGGATCGTCACCAAGAACATCAAATTGGCAGTTGATGTCCCGAGTTCCGGTGTGTTCGTCCGTTTCAGCCCGTCAATACGGGAGTACGACAGCTTAATCCAGCGTTTTATGAGCCCCGGTGTCAAGTACACTTTGGAAATGAACCGAGTTCTGGACGATCTCGCTGAAGATATAGTGTCATTGGCAATTTGTGAGATTGGGCTTGAAGATCTGTCAAGTTTGCTCTACAACGGCCCTCCACCCGAGAGAAACTCCTTGCAATTGGTGAACCGATCTTCCCTGGTGGCCCAATTGAGGTGTGATTTGTATTCCGACGTCCAGTTGGAGGTGAACTGGAAGAGAAGAACTAGGTCCCTGAAGGACCAGGAACACATCTCCGTCAAATTGGGAAGCAGCAACGGTCTCTAAGGTTGTTGTTAATATGTTTTTTGTTGTGTTGTTTTTAGTTTTCAGGCTTACGTAAATTGTTTTATTCATTTGTGATGCAACCTGCGGTCAGAGGGGTAATTCACTCCGAAAAAACTATTTTCTGATGCCTGTTTATTATGATAGTTTGTCAAATCCTCAAGAAAGGGTCATTACAACGATACAAAACATAGTTTGACGATATTATAATCCGGTTTAAGCGCGGACGCATTCACGGTGGATCTGGACCTCCAATGGGGAGTTGGTGGCCTCCAAGTCGATGTCCAAACGGTCAGCCAACTTCTGCAGATCCTGGTTTTGGTTGCGGCGGATCTCGCGCAACAAACGGCGGGCTTCGGTGGAGTGACGCTGAAGGCAGACGTAATCGCGTTGCTCGGTCTTCTCCTTGTCCTCGTTGCTGTAGCTCTCTGGTGGGCAGTGAGCGACGGGTTTGCGGGACAAACAGATCTCGTGCTTGCGTTCAACAACGTCGATCACGTTCTGGGGGGCTAAAATCGAGATTTTTATTACAATTTTCGTCTTTTTGCTTTAATGAATCAAGTAAAATCGATGTAAAGGCTTACCGACGGTGTTCTTCTTTCCGCTCTGGTAATCGTACTCATCATCCTGCTCCTCCTCGGATTTCTGTTCCTTTCTGTATTCTCCAGATTCCCATTCGTCGGAGTCCTGAGCTTGGCTGTTCTCCCATTCTTCGTCAGAATCCTCGTTCATCTTGCGGAATCGGCTTTGTTTCTGTTGTTGGTTTCCGTAGAACTCGTTCAGGTGCTTGTCGTCGCATTGTTCGTCACGGACCGAGTAGGAACGGTGGAACTCAGCGACATCGTCGGTCTGTTGGTTGTTAGCAAGACGGAAAGTCTCGTCGTATTCTCCGTTCAAGTGTCCGCAAAGACCGCATTGAGCGTTCGAGAATTCAGGGGAGACCTTGACCAACAGTTTGCGGCCATCGAAGCGAACGGTAACACCGTCAAGACGAGCGTACAGCTCTTCTCCGTCGTATTCCATGTTCTCGATGGGGTGCTCGAAAGCGTTGACCTTCTCTCCATTCAACAACAGCTTCAAGGATTGCTCATCCTTCTTGTTGGAAGCGGGTTGGACCTCAATGGTGACGTCTTGGGCGATGATCTTGACAATCTTGTTGGAGTTCTTCTTGTCCGAGGTCTGTTGCTTGGCGAGGACCACAAACAATGGCTCTCCGGTGTTCTGACAGTCCTTGGCGATCACGCTGAAGCATTTGTGGCTCAAAGGAGCACGGAATTCTACGTCGTTGAAGGCCTGGATGATGTTGTTCTTCTGGACATGGCATTCGGCGCGAGATTCGTCGGCGGCACGGTTCAGGATGGACTGGACGGAGTGGTAGGCTGGGCGGCGCTCCTGTCTTTGGACGTAGAGACCGAGTTTGACTGGCGAGTAGACGTTCTCCAAGTGGAAGACTTCGTTGGCCGATTGGATGGTCAGGTTCAGAGTTTGGCGGTTGACGGGCTCGACGGAGAGACGGGCACGGATGTGTCCGTTCTTCTCGGCATCAGTAGACAGCTTCTGGGCGGGGTAGACCTCGCTTTGAAGGTAGTAGTAGGCCTTGACCAACTCGTAGAGACGCTCGATGATTCTCTGCGATTTCTGGTGGAGCATGTAATCGGCGGAGACGTCGATTTGGTTCAAGAAGAGAGCAACATCTTCGGGGAAGTGGGCTTGAGGGCGGGCGGAGAGGAAAGCCTTGATCTTCTGGTCGAATTGGGTTCCCCATTGGACATGAGCGCGGGCCAAGAAGCGGTTGTGAGCATTGTCTTTCAGGTTCTCAGGCATCAAAGTGTCAACGTTGACCTCGGCCTTCCATTCGTTGGACTCCTGGAGGTAGCTGATGGCTGGGCGTTGGGCCTTGGCTTGGAATCGGCAAGCGGTCAAGGAAGCGTCGCAAGTGGCCTCAAGTTCAAGTTCAGATTTGTGTTCTCCAGATTCGGCAACCAAAACAAGACGGTGTTTGTAAGCCTTGTTGGAAGTTCCGGCGGTGGCGATCTTCTTGTGGTAGTTGGACATGAAGTTGTTGGTGCGTTCCTGCTCTTGTTCAAGAGATTGGTCATCTTCGGATTGCTGTTCGAAACCAGCGGTCCATTTGTCAGAGTCGACGACTTGACGTTGTTGCTTGCTGAACTGCTTGAGCTGGGCGGAAAGAGCCTCTTCGATCTTGACTGGCTTGAAGATGTAACCATGGGCCTTGAAGCTGACAGATCCTTCGTATCCCTTGGCTGGGTAGTAGTCAACGGTCAGATGGTTCTCGGCAGCCAAGAGAGTCTTCAGAACCTCAGAAGGCTGAGTCCAGGAAAGTGGCTGATGAACAAGACCGGAGATCTTGAAGCTCTGGCTCTCGTATTTCAGTTCACGTTGAAGAGATTGGAGTTGACGGTTCTGGATGGACTGGATCTTTTGTTGTTTTTGTCCAACAAAAGTGTAAGGAAGGGATCTGAGGGAGAGAAGTTGAACCTTCTGTTCTTCAGTGGAGGATTGGATCTTAAGACCTTGAGCATAAGAAGCCTCGATCTTGATCTTCATGTTCTTGGGGGTCTGGAGTTCAACAGTTCTGTGGGAGGCAACTCCAACATCCTTCTTGGCGATGGGGTCGACAACACGAAGAGTCTGCTGATGTTCGACAGCGATCTGAGCGCGCTTGATGTTCAAGTGGGTCTTGATGTGAGAGCCGAAGTCAACGTTGATCTCTCCTTGAGCTTTTCCGTTGGCCAAAACAATGGCCAATTGTTGAGATACAAGTGGGAAACCGGTTGAGGTAGGGATAACGAAGCCAGATTCGTGGGCAGAGATCATGGAACTGAAGCGGCCTTCAGCAGATTCAGTGATCTGGAACAAGTCGGCCATCCATTGAGCCTGTTCGGTGTTCTCCAAGAGCATGTTGAAGGTCTTGTCGGTGAGAGGAAGGACGATCTGGTCGACATCCTTGACACGGATGGAGATCATGGCGAAGGGGGTCTCAGTGGACTGTTCGCGCTTCTCAATCTTGATGGATTCCAAGAACTTTTTCAATTCCGAGGCGTTTCTTCTCTTCGAGCTGGAGCGGTTGACCGAACGGGCCTTGCGTACCAGACGTTGGATCCATTGGTCAGCGTTTTGTTGGCAAGCAGAGATGTAGATGCTGTGCTTGTTAACAAATCCATTCAGCATGCTGTCAACATAGGCGGCAACATGAGTGGGAAGAAGAGATTCAGGGCTGAAGGCCAAGGAAGCACCAACAAAGATGCCTTCTTGCTCGGTCTGGCTGTAGATGGGGACACGGATGTGACGAGAGGCACGTCTGAGGCTCTCTTCTTCCTGGATGTTGGCGATCTTCAAGGATTGGCGGAGCTTCTGGGCGACTTCTTGCTCGTAGGCAACTGGAGATTGGGCGTAGGCGCGGCACAAAGTGTAGGTGAAAGCGCGGACTTGCTCGGAGCGCTCGTTCTTCAAGGTGTAGATGATCTGGTCAGCAATTGGACGAGCGACATCGGGTTGAACGTTGAAGGTGGAGGCAACCAAGGAAAGAGAGGCCATGCGGATCTCTGGCTTTTCTTTGGTGTTCTCGAAGATGGGCATGCAGATCTCCTGAACCTTTTGAGGGTGGGTGTTTCTGAATCTTCTCAACGAGTCGATGGCTTCAGTTCTGATGAAGGTGGATTCCTTCTTTCCATGGGCGATCTTTTCCAACAAAGGAAGGGTCTTCTCCAAAGCGGCGTTGGCCAGCATCTTCAAGGCCAAGACCTTCTGGTAGTCGTTCTGAGCGTTTTCCCATTGGCTTTCCAAGATTTTCTGGAACTCGGCAAGCTTGACTTCAACTTGTTGTTCCTCCTTCTTGGTGGGGTGGGCGGCGGAAACGCGAGCCTGTTGTTGTTGTTGGTTCAATTGTCCAATAACGGCGGACAAGGCGACGTAGCAGGTTTGTTGACGAACGTTTTCTTGTTCATTGGTCTTCTCACAGACATCTTGGATGTGCTTGGCAATGCGTTCAGATGGGACAAGCAAGTTTCCGGAGATGGACTTGAGAACCTTGACGAAGTGGACGGTGCTCATCTTGTTCATCTTCTCAGCGAGAATAGCGATGGGGTTGCGGGTAGCAGCCATGGCCAACAGATCCTCAAAGAGTTCTTTTTCAACTTGGTTGGCGTGCTCTTCACGGAGTTGCTTCAGAGTCTTCTGGGAGCATCTGCGGATGTGGTGGAGGGCCTCAGTGACCTTGTTGATGGTCTCTTGCTTGGATTCATGAGCGTTCTTCTCGAAGGCTTCGATGATCTGCTTCATGTTGCTCTTGATCAGCTTAACGCGAGATTCCTCGGATTGTTCGGCATTGAAGGGGTTGGTAGAGAACTCCTCATCGCCATACATGAAGAAACGTTTCTCGTTAGACTCGTATTGGCTGTTGTATTGGAGGGTCTCTTCCTCGCTGAGCTTCTGTTCGGCTTGTTCGGGCTTCTTCTCCTCGACCTTGGTCAAGTGAATACGGGCCAAGGCCAAAACTTGTTGGGCGTTCTGGTTCTCGGAGTTGGTCGATTTCATCTGATAGCTGGATGCAGTTTCAGCAGTCAACAGAGCGATCTTCTTTCCATTGGCACGGAGCTGATAACGGTAAACAGTGGAGCGTTCCAACTTCTCTTGAGGGATGTTTTGGATTCGCTCTTCCTGGCTGTTGGCGGATTGCTCAACAGAGTTTTGGTTATCGAAGAGTTGTTGCTGCTGCTTGATGGACAGCTGGGATTGGGTGTGCTCAGAGTGAAGACCGTAGGCAATGTCGGAGACCTTGCGGCAAGCGTTGAATTGGACGGATTTGGTGACGTTCCATTGTTGTTTACCGGTCTCGGAGACGGTGTATTGCACAGGGCATTCACCTTCCAAGGTGGTCTCCATCTCAGTGAAGGTCATGGGAATGGAGTCGGCTTCTTGGGTGGCCTTCTTCAGGGGTTCGAAGGAGGTTTGTTGAAGGTTCAACTGCATGAGGTTGATCATGGCTTTCTTGATGTTGCGAGACCAGGTGGGGTCGTTCTCAGCGAACTGGACACGTTCCACGATGCCATCGGCAATGGTGAACTGAACGGGCAGACGGAGCTGAGCCATCTTATCCTCGCTGATCTGAGCACGCTCGGTTTGCTGAATGTTCTGGAGTTGGGAAGAGTCAACTTCATCATTCAGCTGACCAAGACGGGCCTTCTGGATTCTGAGGATGGCGGATCTTTCAGAGGCGAAATCAACGCGGATCTGGGCGTTCAAGCGTTGCTGGGCACGTTGAGAGCTGATCCATGGAGCATAACCGGCGCTCAACTGGGCGTCGTAGTTGAAGTGATAGGCATGGTTGGGTTGGGCGAAGGCCTTGGACTGCCATTCAGCGGTCGAGGACTCGTCGTTGGATGAGAACAGGGAGGCCGAAGTCAGGCCAAGCGCCACAAGGGCGACACACAAGAACTTCATCGGGAGAAGTCCTGTGAATGGGGATTCAACTTCGGGAGTCGGATGCTGGACTAGCCGGAGGCTCGGCTTTTATACCTGGGAAATGAAACACTATCAGCAGATTGGATTGACCTCCCGAGAGTCCATCGTTTTGATGGACAGTTTATTCCTTGCACTCCATTTTATTGCCCTCAGGGCTTTCTGGGTGTCACTTTTTTATCAGTCTTCTACAGTTAAGGTGGTTGTTACAATGTCGTGGTTACTCATGATTTAAATTTACATGAAACTATTACCTTACTCTTAATTCTTCATAGTGGATACTTTGAAAGATAGTGGATTGATATATCGCGTTTTGTTTCTCTTGTGGTTTTGACTTGCTCTTTGCCCCAAGTTACAATAACTTTTATGGTTTTGCAGAGCTTCGGACTTCCTTCATAGCCTGATTGTCAGTTGCACATTTTTATTAGCAATCACGCAACACACGAGCCTTTTTTTCTTTATCAAAGAAATTATGAAAATGATAAGGACGGCGCCCGATTGAAGTGTCAGTTCCCATGTTCGGAGCTAAATTTATCTTCCGCACAGGAGTACAATGAGTTTGGTCATTCAGTTTGCAAAGTGTATTCGGAACAAGTTCTATCAGAATGCAATCTGAAACAACTGAAATAAGCTAGAGATCTGGTAGGTCTGTGGTAATATGAAGACGTCTGGGTTAAACTCTTTGTAAGTAAAATTTATTTTCAAGGTGTACTGTAATTTTCCTAATTATCCCTACCTAATGCCCAGTTAAGAAGTTATTGGTCAGAAATAAGCCCTTTTTAATTTCAGCAATCTCCACCGTCGATCGCTCCATTCCTCGACGATTCACAAAGCTTTCACGCCGTCATTACGTTCGCGTCATTAATGGGGTTTTATTCGAATTTTTGAAATCTCGTTCTTATTTTCACTTTCATTCAAAAACGCGGAAACACGATGATTCAGATGGCTATGGAGCGTTCATGTTATGAATCGGATACACTTTGAACAATAGTCTAGAAAACGAGGGAACGATTTACGAAGAGAACGTGCATAGTATGCAGGGTAAGGGATTATATTGATGGTTATTCGATCTTTTTCAAGTTGTACTAATCTTAATTTTTGACTTGAGGGAAGATTGTAAGCTTATGTTATGATAAGAATCGGCAAAAATTTTGGTTTGTTTTCAAAATAAAATATTTTTGAAAATCTCGGCTTAAACTAGCAAAGTGTGAACCGTGCTTTTTTGTCATCAAAATGTTGCACGTTCGCTAATAAAAAAGTGCAGGAATCTCAGTGCGTTACCCTTGATTACATTTGTAATATTATATAAGCGCTATCTTGTAACCATAATACGCTTTCAATTGCATAATTTTGGCTGATATTTGCTGCCTCATTATTCGAATAGTATCCGCTGAAAAGAAAGTGATAAATTGGATTCCCTTTGTTCTCCTGTATTCCTCACTTGTTTTACAATCCCCGGGATGAATCGAACGGTGAAGAATTGGAGAAAGTGTTCCAGAAACAATGGGAACAGACTTCTGAATAAAGCCTTCCACAGATCCGTGGCTCCTTAAATTTGGCTTCAGGGCAGATCTGGGGTCTTTTATTATGCGTTGATGCGGTGTTTAGTGATTGTGATGCGTGTGATTGGCGGGTGCGTGGAGTTGCGAAAATTGCTGATAGACCAGAGGACGACAAAACTTACAGCAAGTTATTCTCTTTCCAAGTTTTTGCTTCTTATGTCCAAAAAGAAATGATTCGCTGTTATTTAGACAAAATTTGTAGGAAATCTGAGCGCTGCACTTCGATAAAGGCAAAAACTATCAATTTGAATTTTTAAAGTCATCTAAATTGTTTCTTTATGCAGTTGATAAAAAAAATTTTCCTTGCAATAAGAGATCTCTCCGGCGTTTTGAAATCTTTAGTCATTTTTTCAAGAAAAATGACATGAAGAATGCTGATGTTATTTCCTGTATGACACACATTATTTTCACATATAACGATGTACATCGTTTTTAACAGGCGTCTTCTTTTCGAGAGTTATGATTAATTCACTTCCATCCACTTCGAATATTTCCCTCATCGATTCTGATGTGAAACTTGCTTCCCAACCTCTTTCAGGACCTCTGTACTGTAACGTCAGCCCGAGAACACATTTCCTGCCCCTTTAATTTGCGTTTGAGCACTTTCGTCGCGTCTCCTTATCACCCAATTTCGATCAGCGGTATTCAAAAAACGAAAAATAAGTTTTTGGGGAACCAGTCGTGGAGGAAATTAAACCGTTCCAACAGCATCACATTAAACGACGACCCGTTAATTGCGTCTTCAGTATTGTTTCGGGCATCATTTTTTCAAGCCCTCCGCTTTCTTACTGTAGCTTTTTTCATCATTCTTCGGTAATGTTGTTGAATTTGGCACCTGACTTTTGCGTTTTAGCAATTTTTTATGACAAATGCATAGCAAATTTGATGTTACTATTGCACTATGCATGGTAGTAATACCTTATGTTTACCAAGATTTTTATTTTTGTGTTTTTATAATAAGGGCTAAAGAGTGAATAAGATGCGGATTGCACCTGGAAAATTTTGAACGCGTAGTCTGCACGTTGCAGAAGAATTTGGTCATGACAATGTGAAGTGCGTGAGTTTTAGGTTGAAAGGGAGTTTTTTAGTGGAAAGGAGTAGACGTTGTAATTGTAAAGTAATTGTAAAGGTGATCTAGTAGAAATTTTGATATTTACATTTGATTTCTTTTCATTTTTGGTATCTTTGAAGTTCAGAAAAGGTAGATCAAGTATAGCATGTATACTAACAAAGGTCTGAATACGAATTTTATGATAGCAGTTGGGAAAATGACATAAAAATTACCAGTAAAATCCCGCTTCTACATTGCTAATAAGGTCCAAAAAGACATGGTCAAAAAAATTTTAACTATTTTTTCAATCTCTATTATCCTTCATCTTCAAAGCTTGTTGGAAAACACTCAATGTCTTTAAAAAACGCCGTTTAAATTTTTTATAGGAATCGTTTCTATTTTTGTGCCAACCTGTATACATAGAAACTTTTATTGGAACCCGAGAACCTCATTTGGCATTCAATTTTTAAAACGAAAAGTTTACAATTAGTAACCATAATTTGACAGCCCTACAGTAACTCACCTGTCCCTAAGTTAAATTGATTCTGCGCTCTCAAAAATGCAAAATCAATTATATGATTCGAGTCAGTGGGCGTTCCGTAGGTGGACCTAATTCCCATCCTGCGCCCTGCGGAATCAACCCGTGGCACGTATCGAGTTGTTATTACAATAACACTTGTTTACCACAGGTACATGAGTAAGTGAATTGCTAACCAGTTTGCAAACGCGGAGGCCGTGCAATAATCGTAGTTCTGATTAATTATGTCTCAATGAAGGGCCCTGAATTATTCAGCGGCTGGAATTATTTTAATCGCCGTATGTTTCAACCTGTGTATGAAAAAATAAAAAAAGTAAAACTTCATTGATTTTACGCCCACGGATTCGAACAGAGCCGGAAACGGGGCGGAGCTTGCAGGGAGATGTGCGGATTCGCTGTTTGAAGATGTTTTTCGAGTCGGGCCAGGAGAGGCCACGGCCAAAAAGGCGGGTTCTCCTCTTTTTGGAGCTCCACTTTCAAGTGGTTATCGATCGCTTGACTGGTTCCACAAGATTTGAGGTTAATTTGGAGGGAATGAGGTCAATTACTATATGTGTGCGTTGATCAGGAGTGTTCTAAGTTAATGCTTTTTATTGATTAATTTTTTTGTGATTGAATTTTTTGCAAGATCTTTTGTTTGCGGAAAGACAGGGAATTTATGTCCAAAAAAAAGTTTCAATGGTTTTCGAGATTTTATGGACAAAAGAATCATCAAAAAATCAATTAAGCTCCTAAAGATTTGGCTAAAAACTCTTCCTCCCGACCTTTCCTTATCCGTTATCTTAGAAGATGCTTTCAAAAAACTTTGAATTTTTCAGCGGAATCTTCATAGCGCAAGTAAGAAAAAATTTCAAGTCATAGTTTCTGAGATCGGGAGAGCGTTTTTGCGAAATTTGAGATGAGTCCGCGAATTGCCCAAAATCGAGCTCTCTTCAAAAAATCACCCCATTCTTAATCCTAATTTGTTTTGTTTTTCCATTTTATTTTTATTTTTATTTTTATGACACCCCACCGTTCCCATGTTATGTAAAGTCAGGTAAATTCCCACCTTATTTTCCACAGCGTCCATTTTAAACGATCATACCGAATGCCTACCGTACCTGCTGATTTGTTATTCCAACAAATTAATTTAATATTATTTTCTTCTCGCCAAAAAGCAGGGCAGATGTAAATCAAGGGTGGTATTTCCGAGGTACTCATTGTAAAAGCGGCTGTCGGTCGGAGGCTTGTTTGGACTTGTATGGAGTGAAATTTGGGAGAGGAATGTAATTTATATCTGGGGTAGTCAAAGGGTTTCGACGTCGATGAAATCGATGATCAATTTCCGTTGCTTTCAAAATTTAGAAAAAAGAGCTTTGCAAGATGCAATTTTTGTATAAATTTTTGGCAATTTTTTCTAATTCATCTGCAATACGCTGGAAACCTTTCCTGAAAATTTTTCTTTACTCTTTGCAGAGATACTCAACGATCTTTGTGACAGTCATTATTACGATGACTTGGTCGAGGATAAAACTTTACTAACTCATATCTTTGACGGTTCTGTGCGGAAAAGGTTTTTGTTTTGCATAGACGTACTACACCGGACGTTAAACAACGTGTTAACGTAACGCCCAGAGAAATTCAAAAAAAAAGTGCCAGCAATTGATGAGTTTAGGGGGTAAGATTGCCTGTGACTTCTTCAAAGTGAGAGCTAATAATTCGACATGTACCCTAGAAAGGGCTGGCGTAAACTTAGATTAAGTGAAGTCAAAAATCCAAAGCCTTAATAGAACTATGCTTGCAAGATTGTAGCCGATAAAATGTTGTGTTAAAAGTGATATAAAGGACTTTTCGGACTTTGGCAATTTCCCTGAAACCTGTCTTGATCACATTTTGAAATTCACAATTTACTTTGTTGTTACATCCGAACTGGTCCCAGACCTCTCTCCCTTCCTCTCCTCCCCTTCTTCTCCCTTCAGTTTCCTCCTCTAATCCAGTTTGTATTCGTGGATGGGAACTCGAGGGCCTCGCCCCCCTTTCGCTTATTCGCTTTTTGGGGTTTACGGTTGTCCCCGGAGACAAATTTGGGACAAGTTTAAAGGAAGGTTTCCTTTAATGACCGGCCTTTATCCGGGTTTATCGTTCGATCGGGGATTATAAAGGGCCCGGCCAGGGCTGCGGAGTGCAAAACAAGGTTGCTGTTCAGGATTTTGGGTGGGCATTGTTGTCTCATTTGGCGGTAAATCTGAGTTAGGGTTACTGTAATTGTTAGCAGAGTAAAAGTGGAGGCGAAAAAGTTAAGTCAATTAGACTATGCGCAATGGAAGTTTGCTTCTGTGATAAGCTGCAGAATTTCTTTTTTAGCAGCTCTTTTAAATACATAGTTCAATAACGTTCGATTTGAGATTGAATTTTAGCGTCTCTACGGGGCAGATCTTCCTCTCACAACTCCGTTTTACAGTATCCGACAACTGGAAGTTCGACTTTTTGTATTGCCTGAGCCTACCCATCTTCTCCTTGAATTTCGATATATTGCTGGATGTCTCTTATCGCTCTGAACCACTTGTCATCCCATCTCCTGAGGCCATCTAATCTCAAATTTGTTCTCAACACTTCCCCCAACGTCCTCAAGAGGCGGGTGTTTTGGGCAGATAACTCCAATGCACTGTGCGGCTATATAAGGGTTTTGTGGGGGCTTTGCGGACAGCTGAATATGACAGCCCACTCTTGTTTGGAGACGGCAATCTTGGGGCCAAGGGTTGGCGGGAAAGTTGCGGTTGATGGAGAGATTCGGACTTCTTGGACCGTTACTTTAGATGGCTTGACTGTTCAAACAAATGCTGCGCTTAAAGTCGGGAGCTGGACTGAACTCTTGATTCTTATCTTTTCGCTGAATATACCAAGTAGCCGTCTTATTTTCATGACGTTTGCTAGTTCTTCTTTTCTTTTGCAACCATTTTTTGTGATATTGTAGTGGATTTTGCGGGTTCATGATGTGTTGGACGAGTTCTTGTATCCAAGAAAAGAGGAATACGTATTTCCACAACATAACTGAGTCCGTGATCCTCCTAAATTTAATTTTTGAGCTCTTTGACTCGATTCTTCGACCCGGAAGATCTCCTTCGCTGATTATATCTGAGGTCTCGCCTCTTCCTCTACGTTTACTATATTATATTTCCTTACGTCTTGGCGGAGCCCCCTTTCCGCACTAAATTCGCATATTCATCGAGTTGACCCTGATTTGTGAAAAAATTGTGTTGTCTACGAAAAAGTAATGTAATCTACGGTAAGGGCCAATTGTTTTTTGGGATTAAGTATTCAGTTTTCAGGTCTTTCCAATTAGTTTTCGAGTCGAACGTTGATTTGGAGCATTTCAGGTGCAACAAAAAAGTGTTTTTGTGCTAGAAAAAAGCCCATTTATTATGTTTGGGATTGACAGAGCGTATTTTTGTTTGAATTTTTTACTGGTTTACTTCGCAATGACCGCGTATTTATAGAGTAGAAACTTCAACATCTGAGTTTCATTTTTCGATCTGAAATATGATTAATGGTTCGAGAAAACGATGATTTTTGATAATTCTTTGTTTTTTACCTCTAAAAAATATAAATCTCCTCTAAATCGTTTGAAATTGCCTAAATCTGGTCCAACTTTAGTTATGACCTCTCTGCCCGGTCCCAACTTTTGTGCGGCCTGTCAACAGCCCATCCACGACCAGTTTCTGCTCCATGTTTTGGACCAAACTTGGCATTCCCATTGCCTCCTTTGCGCCGATTGTAAAGAGCCCCAAAACGAGAGTTGTTTCTACCGAGATGACATGATTTTATGTCGGCGCGACTTCATTCGGTACGTTTTTTTTCAGCTGTCGTTTACTGTGTTTTTTCATGGCAGCGTTGGGATTAATTATATATAAAAAAGCTGGAACTAAAATTTTGATTTCAACATTTTCTTTTTCCACCCTCACTTCACTACTCATATAGTAGCTCAATGTTTAGCTGTTAAACCCCCCTAATGCTCTATTTCTCCCTATTTTGTTCCATCTTTACCTCCAGTCTCACAATTTCATCGTCATAATCACCAAAAGCCATCGAAATCTCCCACAGTTATGACAACCCCTCCGATGACTCAACTCGTCCCCCGCAACGAGCTGAGAACTTTTTTTATGTGGGAGCCGGGTCAAGAACCCATCTAAATTTACCTTACTCTACCTTTGGGGGATCTATTTTTATTTGTAAAAAGTTCTCACGAACACAACTGAGCGGCCGAAAATTTTAAAAAACTTGGCTGAGGAAATGCTTAGGGTTTAATTGAAACTGAGGGACGATGTAACCTATGTAACAAGTTAGAAAAAAAATTTGAACAAAAAATTTATGTTATACTAGACGATCAAAAATATGGCTTCGTTTTTCAGAAGGTACGGCGCCCGTTGTGCCGGCTGTAATATGGTGATCGAAAGAGAGGAAATGGTGAGGAAAGCGAGGAATCAGATCTTCCATTGCCGCTGCTTCTGCTGCTCCGTTTGTCAGAGGACTTTGGATACCGGGGAAAGGGTAAGTTTCGTTAACTATGACCAAATAATAGGTGAAAAGGTATAATAATTGAGAAAATCGAATACCATAAGGTGCGGAAAATATAAACTTTGCCTCTGTTAGTGGTCAAAGCCCATACTCCCACACACTTTTGCCTAGTGTAATATGTAAAAGCGAGAAAACAAAAACACTATTTTTTGGTAAATATATTATAGTACCGCTGGCGTATGAACCGCGTAATATTTTAGTAAGCGATTTTTGCTCAGTATAATACAAAGTTTCCCCCAAGAAATCCTCTGTTAGGTAAACATTTTGATCTCCCACCAACCTAATTTGCATGTTCTAGAATTTTTTTGCGGCTTCAGAATCTGAGCCCACGTCTCTATTTATCTTCGTCGACTTTTTCTGTTTGTCTTCGGCTTTTATTTAAATTCGGTTCCGGCCAAAGAAATATTGAGAGACTCGCGCGGACTGACAAATTGACCGGTTGGTGGATGTCGGCGCCTTCCAAAAGACGCCCGGGATGTATGATTTTTTTGCTGACAATATATTATGAAGCGCAGTTACAGCAAAAGTCGGGATTACGGTAGGACTAGGTTAAGCGTCTAGGGTAATATAAAACGGCCTAAATAAGGTAACGCATGGCTTGTTGAATTGGGAAGTCGAGTTGACAGCCATCAAAGGCTCCCAAAGAAACTACCATACGTTTTTTGGCCTCAGGGGACTTCAAGTTTTGAAGGAACGGCTGCCAAAATGTCATAACACAAGTTGACGGTCAAAAAAATTTAAATTCTCAATCTCGGCTGTCATAAGCGAAAAAGAGGAATAGAAAAGTAGAATTCAGATAGCAAAACACTTGTGAAATGACTGTCAAACATATTTTTGCATCAAAAAATGTCATCATTTTCTAATTAAATTATAATTTCGCCTAAACATTCCAAAAAATCAGCATAAGTTGCGTAATAATTTTTTTCTGGCCAAGTCCGTTTTTGTGATATTTTTGAGTCCCAATCCCCCGGGGATTTCGAATTTTGATATCGGATCCAGGGACGTCAATCTAAGGGCCCTTGACAGCCGAATGCCCGGGAACTCAGTCGTTTTTTCAGTCGCTAAGTGGTCGGGGAAATTCATAAACACAAAAAAATAAAAGGAAGAACTTCGAAGACACTGCCGGACAAAAGTTGTTGATTTGGCGGATGTATGGTCCTTAGAACATAGATTGCAAAAATTTTGTTATTTCTCCTAAAAAATGCATTTTTTTATTAGAAAAGGCCTACTCCTACTTGTTTAAAAGCCTACGTTTCTATTTGGTTCTGACACAAAAGTAATAAAGCAGAGGTTTTCGCTGCAGGACCCAACCATAACTAAAGTAAGCCAACTTAAGATATCTTGAATGAAACGACCTTCCTTGGACACAGTCATATGCTACTGATATTTTCGGTTCACAGCTTTCTTTCTTCCACTCCAAAAATGTATTCTACCGTACAGTAAAAAAACAAAATATACTGCCCGCCTTATCCCCTGGGGCATGAAGTTTGGGGACTCAAAAAAGTTGGTCATACATCATAAAAGTGTCAAAACGCGAACCTCCGAACGCTTGCTGGAACGTCCTTCCACCACGGACCTCTGCGGATGTCGGGGGATGACATATGACCAAGTATAATATTACCGAGAAATACCCGCTTGCAGATGTAGTCCATGCCATAAATAACACCAAAAAATGTAATTTATTACTTCTCACAGCGTTCTAGGCATGGCTCCGGGCCGGGCCTTCCAAAATTTTCCGGCCCGGGCCGGGCCGACTAATTTCTCGGCCCGTCCCCGGGCTTCGATTTTCAGGCCCGGCCCGGCCCGGGCCGGCCCGGTTTTTTTGAAATCTGAGTTTTGCCCGGAAAAAAGGTGAAAAAATAAGCTTTTTCGATAGAATTTTTCATTTTTTCGAACACAATGCTGATAGCGAAAGTAAAGTGACCTTATTTACCTCTCGCCCAAATAAAAAAATAATTTTCAAGTCAATTTGAAAAACTTTTCGGAAATTCTAAAGTGCGACCTCAAGTTAATACGCTGGCAAACAGAGAAAAAGGAAAATTTTTCAAAAATACGCAATACGCTTGTAGGTTTTTTCAAATCCGATAAAAGATTTGTGATAAAATATTTTTGCTAAAATTTCGGTGACTATACATAAAATTTTACGATTTTTTGTAACCATATGGTAAGACAATTTATGGCGACTTACAATTAGTAATTTATAAAAATAGTCGAGCGGCAATTGCACTATGTATAGGTTTTGCTAAATTATTACATTTTGCGAAAATGTGCCATAATTTTCCCTTCATTTCCTGTTTTGTTTCTTTCCAGCCTAGTACAAAAATTTTCCGGGCCGGCCCGGGCCCGGGCTTGGAGATTTAGGCCCGGCCCGCAGGCCCGGGCCGGGCCGGGCCGGGCTGGCCCGGTTCGCAGCCATGCTTACAGCGTTCGCAATCCAAAACAAAGCTTTACGAAGTGAATTGGGGAAGATCAGGTTTTCGTGGTGGGACTCAAAAAAATTCATGGAACGTAAAATACGCATAAAAACAAGATCGTTATAGCTTTACGTTATTGATGGAAAGAAATTCGTCTGCAAAAACGATTACAACCCCAGTAAAATCCTTGGAAATGCGATGACAAACAGATCTTCTAATGACGAATGCAGTTCCGATGAAGAAGTTGATGAACACAGCGATGATCATGGTGGGTTTTGCTGTCGGCAATTACTTTTCAAGGCTTATGGCAAGGGTCGAATAAAAAGAAACTCAAAATTTCAATTTTATTTTTTGAAAAATCAAATGTTGAGCCAACTTCTCCCGCTAAATTGGTTGAAAAATCAAAATCGACTGATTTTTTGCGGTAAAAACTACTGTAACATCGCCTGATGTCTACTAACTTCTCTCGGCTGTCTACTCATACTCCAAATGCTCTGAAATTTCCCGAGTTTGGTCTTCATTTCCGTCGAATTCTCTTCCGAAACCCCTCAAATTCTGTGTTTTTGCTTCGATTTCATTGGAAAAGCGAAAATTTAATCAGAATTCCGGAACAATTGGCTCTGATATCTCCTCGATCTTACAAAGCTATCGTGATTTGGTTGAATATGACAATGGATGTTGATAGAGATGAGGCTGAAGGGGAATTCATCGACATCCATTGCTGGAAAGTGGAGGATTTGGACTCGACGGAAACATGGCTTCAGAATCCACCTGGATTCCAATTTTTGATTCACAAAATACAAGTAAGTAATCATCCTACGATTGCGAAAATTTTGAGATTTTAGATTCAGTTGATGAAATCCATCGATAACCAATTTTATCAGCCGATTTTCATGGAAATTCCTCTTGAAAACCTTAAAGAAACTGATGATTTTTGTGAAGATGTTGACGATTTACAAAGTAGATGACGTTATAATCGTTGAAGATGTGTTTTAGAATATGAGGAGCTCATTCAAAAGACAATTCATCGATGGAAACCCGAGAATTGCACGGCCCAAGGGACACAAGTGGCCACAACCAAAGATTCGACCGGTTCTAATGCCTGGGGCAGTTTCTGGCGGAAATATTTGTTTCAATAAACTGGTCTAGTCTTGTTTCTTGTCTCCTCAAGCTGTTTCAGGAAAATCAATTTACGTTATTCATGACAAAACTTATTTATTCTTGCAAAGGGCGATGTTACCGTAATCCAAAACGCAAAATTAGTGATCATTGGTTTGCTGTCTCTTCACAATTTATTTTTACAGGTGATACGGCAACAGTGAGCAATGAGAGCAACTCCGGAGCGGAGGAAAACAGTTCCAAAGGCGATGAAAACCATTTATCGCAGAAAAGAAGAGGACCCAGGACAACTATCAAGGCCAAACAGGTTAGTTATTACTTCATTTCCTAGTTTTATACTCTGGATTTTACAATCTGACCAATCCTTTTCAAAAAAAGTTTTCTTTGATGTGGATTATAATTTAATTTTTTAGTTGGAAACCCTAAAAGCGGCCTTTGCATCAACTCCCAAGCCCACAAGACATATTCGAGAGCAGTTGGCTGCTGAGACGGGCCTCAACATGAGGGTGATACAGGTAATTCATTACTTTAGTCAAGTAAAATTTATGTTTTTTTATGACCTAAACATATGTAAAGAGCCGAAAAGTTTTACCGTAGATGGTCGTATCTTTGAGTTTAATTAGTTCTAAAGACTTTCGGAGCTCTCGAGACGCGAAAACGGATTAAAAAACTCGAAAAGGCCGAAATCGAATAAGACCGGCGAATGAAAACTAATGTCCCCGGGGACTACGGTAATCTCCACTAGACATGCCTGCAAGAAAATTCGAGTTCAGGGACCGACCAACCTTTTTGTAGGTATTTTGGGATATATGGGAAAATATTTTGACATAAATTTATATTGTACATGACATTTAACAATCGAGTTTAACCCCATTTTTGTTGCTTATAATGCTGATCAAAACTGTTGGAATTTTGCATTTTTGCTGTACAGGCTCTACTTTTTTGATTTCTTTTAGTTCCGATTCAAAACCCAAAATATTAAGTTTTCGTTGCGGGACCAAGATTGGATGTCCATAAATTTATTCTGCCTAAAATAAGCTTATTTTAAGAAAGTCGTTCGTTGATGTGTGTTGACATCCTTATAGGACATATTGCTTCGTAAATACTTGCCTATGTTTGTCCTCTCCCCCAAAAATTAACACCTGCTAATGCAGAGAATTAAGTGTTCAGGCAGGCGGAAGAAATGCAAATTCGGCCGTGTGGTCAAGGGGGATGGGTCGGCACTTTTAAGGCGGGTTAGCTAATCGAAATGACAAAGGGGCATTTGGCCATGAGAAAAGTGCCAAGTCGAGAGATCCCTTTTCCCTTGGGAGTACGGTAGTTTCATACTTACCGTAGGTGAAGAAGTTGATGAAAACGTGCAGAAAAATTGAGATAATTAGAAGGAGTTGCAGTGTTTTACCAGATCATATAGAAACTTTAAATGATTTTTATGCCTACTTTGTAAAATGGGCCATTTCAGGTATGGTTCCAAAACCGCCGGAGCAAGGAAAGACGGATGAAACAAATGCGAATTAACGGAAACTACCGAGGAAATAGGAGGCAAAGACAAAATACAAGTAGAGAAGAGGACGAGAGCAACCAGAGTATGGGGGAATTCATGCCCTTAGGTGAGGAAAACATCTAATTTTTGGCTTATATTATACCAACCAAGCAATGATTATTTTCGATTCTGGTGACAAAATTAATCTGAATTTAAATTCCAGAACCCTCCCCTCGCTTCCAAACAATTCAATTTGCTTCGAATCCCCCTCAAACTTCGACGATTCCCCTGATTTCTCAAGCTCCTTCCAATCCGCCCTCTCTCAGCACCTACGAACTCTATGGATCCACGGCCAATTCGGTCGATGAAATGCCGTTGGATTTCCTCGGGAATCCCCTCGAATCCTCGACAATCCCCTTCTGGGCCGCCCCCTCAATAGACGACTTCAATAAACTCACAGCGAATGTCTAATCTCGCTTTTATTACACTTGATCCACTCGATGTCATGGTTAAAATCGCTTCTAGATCTGCTTCTTTCTCCCCGAATGCCATAATTTGAACTTGTACTTGTGTTAATTGATCTCTCCGTTTGTTTTCTCTGTGATTTCTCTATTCGATCTTCTGTTACGACATAATAATTTTTAGAGCATAAGATTAGACTCTTACCGATCGCAAATATTTATTTTTTTCGAATAAATTTTTAATTATCTTACTGTAAGTTTTATATGTACTATAACTGGTTGGAAAAAAATCGCTAATCTATGGGTTGAATTTACTAACAAAAAATCGGACGCCAAATTAGGATGGGGTTTTTTTGTTTTGCGAACAACATTTTTTGGAGATTACTTTGTTAATACTGTTCGCAAACTCCCCCAGTTGCCTTTACTGTTTGTACTGCTTGTATGAAAGTAATTACAACTCCAAATTAACCATCAAAATAATCAAATGCTGCTCAGAAAGTCCCTTACATAATCTGCTCCCCGTCATGATGATTCCACTAAAATACCCGCCAATTCGTAATTTCTCCGTTACATTGCGTAATGTTTTATGCAGTCTTTGCGAACTTATAGTGTAAAGAAAAAATACAGCTGACCAAATCGAGAATGAAATCGTCAGAGATGAGTAGTTCTTCCGCTACTACATCAGCTGTCAGGGACTCAATTTTCTCATTTTTAATGACTTTGTTAGAGTCATCTGATGCTTACATCGATGTTTCGCGTTATTGATGGAGTTGGCAGCGACATCTAGACAAAAATTGAAATCTCGATTGGTTATCACGGTCAATGTCAAAAGCAAACCAGTCATAAACAGAGTCCTTACGTCCATTTCCAGTTTCGAGATTTCTTATATAAATATTGCTTAGAACATGCTGAAAAAAAGTATGTTTTCCCATCTGTCATATTATTCAATGTTCGAACGTTCTATTCCTTCTACGGTCGCGGTGTTTCCATAGCCAATCACCTCTTCTCTCCTGCATAGACGAAACACTTGTCTCCTTTTAGGGGAACACTCGACCCAAATGAAAATAATATTTTCTCCTCGAATTTTTTTTGTCCTTCTTGCTGGTTCAGCATTTCCGTCCACAAATGGGTTCCAAAGATGTCAAGGATATTGTTGGATTGGCAAAAGATGATATTGCCAAGTCGAAATCCATTAGGGTATGTTTATATTACACTTGAAGATTTTGTTTTTAGTTGAATCGGCCACCAATGAAACGGCCCACAGGAATGAGCAGAGAAGTTTTCAATCTCATTGCTCATGGTCCAAATGAAGAGAATTTGTTTACTGCGATTCCGACAAAGAAACTTGAGGACAAACATCAGATGAAGAAAATGGTAGGTCGATCCCGAAGCTTTTTGTAGTGTTTTTAGATTTTGTTCCGTAAGGTGAGGAAGTGGAAGTGGAAAGAGTTTGAGAATGAGGGCAGAGCTGATGGGTTCAAGCTCTCACATTGGGAGAGAGAAGATCGGAATCCAGCGGAACCCTACATATTTGCGAGGATGAATAAAGTAAATTTTATTTATTTTTATTGTTTTGGAGTTTAGATCAAGTTGAAAAAGAAGGATATCTGACTAGTATGGCCAGTGGTTCGGTGTTTTGCCTTTAATTTTTTTCCATAACCTTGATTCCGGTTCTGAATGGTTTAGGAAATGTTACTAATAACTTTTAGAGGTTGAACCTCCCCCGTTTCTCACAAGAAGAATATGAGCGACATTTCCAAGCAGAGAAGTGGACACATGAGTCGACAGAATATTTGTTTGATCTTTGCGAACGCTTCGATCTTCGATGGGCAATTATAAGTTCTCGTTTTGAGCGGGAGAAGTATGGCGATTTCAGCATGGAAGACTTGAAAGAGCGATTCTACAGAATATACAACATTCTGAAGAGAGATCGCTGCTTGGAAGGCCCTATCTATAGTTTTGATGCCGAGAATGAAAGGAAAAGGAAACAGCAGCTAGAAATGTTGTGGAGCAGAACGGAGGATGAGGTAAGCTTCTTTCTTTCTTTTTGCTTATGTTTTTAGATGTAATGTTTCGATTAGTATACATTTTTAATTCATGACAGATCAAGGAGGAAGAACTTCTGCGGGCTCAGATGAGGAGAATTGAAAGCCGCCGAAAGGAAAGAGAAAAGAGAACCCAGGATCTTCAGAGGCTAATCAATGTGGTGGAACGGAGTGCCAGTCCTGAACCGTGGGTTTATTTTATTCTACTTATTTGATGTTGCACTGGGTCTTTACTAGAAAATTACTCGTTTTTTTCAGGAATGGATCGACTTCCGGTAGCCAAGTCCGCTCAAGTCGCCGAGCTCAGAAACAACAAAAGACACAGCTGATGTCGGCCCATCTTTTCTCCAACGACGTCCCGAATCTTCGATTTGCAGAGTTCAAATCCGCTGGACCTCATCTGAGATCGCAGGAGATGAAAATCCCCAGCAATGTTGGACAAAAGAAGTTGAAAGCGATTGAGGCAGCGATTGAGAAATACCAGATCCGTAGGTTTCATCTAAGCCTATTATCTTCGTCATGTGTAATATAATTTTGTAAATATTTTCAGCCCTTGCCCTCCCAGCCTATGAAGAAACAGTCCGCCTGTTCAACGATCTTCGAGCCCGTGTCGTCTTGGCTCAGGAACTCCGGAATGCATTGCAAGGAACACAGTGATCTCACATTTGTTGTAATCTTTTTTTTGCGAGATGCTTAATAAGGTAATCTAACTTTATTTTTGTCGAATTTTTTGTTTTTGAAGAACGTAAATTTGGATTCATCTACAAAATGAATCAAATCGGCATGTTTTCTTTAGTGCCCAGTGACTAATTTTCTATACGATAAGATCCCCCAAAATTGCGTGTATTGTCCGAATTTCCGGCTAAACAAACAAATTTCTCCGGGTTTTTGAAGCGCCGCCAATTTGAGACGAAAGTGGACCCCCTTCTGTGGGCTCGATTCTCTTCAGATTAGGGCTTTCTGGTGTAAGATTAGGCCGATTATTTGCAGAATTGACGAGTTCTGAGTTGAAGGAGAAAGATTATGATGCCTCGGGATCCAAAATCGACTCGTTTTGTTACCAGTAAGATCGTTGTTTTTACCAGTCAAATTTCGTTCCATCCAAAAAAAAATTCCACTGACATTTTTCGAAATTTTTCCGACGTTTTTTTTGAATTTCAATTTCGATCCGAGCAGATGTTTCTTTTTTCGTGACGCTTGTCATCTTCGATTCGTTTCGCGCATTTCTCCGCATTTCAAATTTTTTATTTTCCAAAATTTTTCATCCCCAAATCTCTTGGCCATCAGGCCCATTTGCGATTTTAGGGCCCGCTCATGAGATTAATCATCGCGTGAACTTGGGCTCTGAAATGGAAGAGAACAATGGATATGCAAATGTCATTTTCCCGTCTTCCCACCTCTGCCAAACACCTGGAATGGCCCGAATCAGCCGCATTTTTTGCCATTTTCTTTCTTTGCGTCGCTTTTTTGTGATCTTCGCAATGCTTGGTGGATTTGAGGGGTCATTGTTATAATTTTTGATGTCCAGAAAGGGGTTTTGGAGGAGTTAAATCGATGATTTACAAACTGGGCACTCCGAAAGCGATTTAATTACGAATTCCATCGAAAATTTAGCTAATAGTGTCAGAGCACTTTTAAAAATATAATTTTTTGTTGTTTTATACAACTATATTATTGGTTTTCGAACTAAATGTATCTGATTCTCTCTCATTGTTCCATTTCTAAACAAAGAATTGAGATTTGAAAGGCCAAAAATGATGCGCCCTCTTCTTTCCTCGCCCCTTCCCAGTTTTTGGCTTGAGTTCGGCGCAGACAAAATGATGGAACGGTTTCAAAACATGTCAAACAGTCGAGAGAAAGGGCAAGGCTCACTTTCCGATAACCCATAGTTGATTTAAAATACGGCTTTCTATATCCATCACTTTTAAATTAAAATTTTATTTATATCGTACTTGTTGCTAATAAAAATGGATGACAAGAAAAATTTTAAAATTTTAAGTAAGGTTGTAACTGAAATCATGGTTGGGAACACTGTTCCCATTCCTCTGGCTTTTATCTTATGGTTATCTTTTGAAAAAATTGTTTATGAACTCTCCAACAAATCATCGTAATGTCCCACCTTATTCACGTTGCCCATTCCTGTAATCCGTCTCCATTTTTCATTACTTTCCGTTTTCTTTTCTTTCGAGTCCATCCCCCTTCGAACTGTCACTTTTGTGCGTTGACAGTTCGGCAAAATGAGAGGGAAATCGATATCAAAGGACGGGATCAATGGGATGGGGAAGTGGTATTTACTCACGAGAGCATTTTTGGAGAATTTAGGATCTTGTTTGGTTATTATTATTCTCTGCCCAGTACAGATATTTATTTATGATTTTTTGGAGCCATCTTTGCATCGTGCAGAAAAATATTTTCCCCTTTGCACAGTGCGTTCTCCAAATCCAATCTCCATTTTTGGAGTTGTTATGACTTTCCGGTGTCTATTCTTGGAATTACTATGATTGTTTGTTGTCATTGGCCACCTAATTAACCCCTCCGAGTTCATGACCGCTATAGCGCCGAGTCTCATTTTGCCTGACCGCCCGCGCAAATACCACTAATCTTTTGGGAGCACAAGCGAACGCGACCCTCATCTCGATTGCAGGCGGACCTCATTCATTATACCGCCATCTCGGCCTCTCATTATACCGAAATTTGCAGGCGATTGGGCTTTTTTCTGATCAGCTTGGTATTTTTTAAAACGCTTCTCGGTTTTTTTGATGATATAATGCAAGAATGAATCGATTTCGTGGTGGAATCATTTACTGAGTTCTTAATTCCTTACGCTTTATTTTACACAAGACATTCTAAGTCAAAATATCGTTTTAACTTCTTTTAATCATCCAAAAAATTGCATTTCCACCACAATTTGCAAAGATTGCGCAACGTTCCGGCCTAATTTCCAAGCTAATCGAAATAACTCAAAAAAATGGTCGATTATATTCGGGGCAAGCGGGAGGCGCTTATAAATTTTAATGGCATCGTATTCGCACTATCTGTCATTTGTCGAAAAGGGCGGCGATTAATCGCCCGTCTTCTTGTGCTGTTTCATTCGACCGGGAAGGGTAAAAAAAAAGGGGGGGGGGGGGCTTTTGTTTCGCGGGCTTTGATTTATGGTCCCACGGAGAAAATTTCGGAGGTTTCTTGGCCCCTCGACCCGCTGTTTCTCTGGGTTCTCCATGAGTTCGCGGCCGCGATGTTGCTATTTCCTTGGCATTTTTCGCTTCTTCGACGTTTGTTTTTTGAACGCCGAGATTTTTGGAGAGGAATGTCCCGAGTTTTTCGATTATTCTTGAGGGAAATTTCGAAACTTTGGAAGGCTGAGGAGCCAGATATGATTTGCAAAGGATTTTAGGCAACTTTTGAGGCGATTGGCAGCGTTTTGCGGCGTTTATATTAATTTAGACACTAAATGGGTAAATAAAATTTTCGTGTTTTTCCTGTAATTTTTCTGATCCATAGCTCTTAAAATGGGATAAAAGTAGCTTGAGAAGACTTTATTCCCATTCTTGGACCAATTTTTCCGGAATTTACTGTTGCTTTTTTACCTTCAAAACCCGTCCAAAAAATCATTTGTAATCATTTACCAAAAAAATTTTTATCGAATTTCCGAAACCTTTGTCCTACTGTAACTTCCTCTTCTACTTCCTAATGTCCATTCTCGAGATCCGTCTTCAAATTTGAGCGAATTAAACGGCGAGTCGTTATGTTTCTGACAAATCGCCTTCCTTTCCTTCGACGACTTGTCGGCCGTTCGCTTCAATTGTTTTTATGGGCTTGTAATTGGGTTTGAGAACAGCTCCCACCAAGTTGCGAATGATTTATTTCTTCCCGCAGGAGGTCGGGGGGAGAATGGGATGTCGATGAATATGGATCATTTTATATTATTATCGGTAGATTATAACAGGTGGATGGGGGAATTTTTGACGAAAAAAGGTGGGAATACGACTTCTAAGGGGATCTAATGTCTCCAAATTGTAGATTATGAAATCTTTATTCTATTTTTAAACTTCACTTATATTATACTAGGAGAAAATTTTTTAAAATCACAAAAATCAACCTAATAGATCGTATTGGATAGGGGAATTTTGATGACTAAAGATATTTCTAGGGCTTGTTATAGTTCCTCTCGGAAAATTACAGTAAACATCCGAAGCCGATTCAAATATTCAAAAAGTATTTTTTCTTCGTTATCTCGCAGCAATATTGGAATAATCAATTCTGCGACGCTCTTTTTTTACAGTCACTCGCCGTATGTCCGCTCATCCGTCTTCTTACACAGAGAATAAATGAATCAATCCCTCAGCGATCGAGTCACTCGCAACATTTTTTTTGCCTTTACTCGAAAGCCTCTTGCGTAAGGTGGGGGACTGCGCCATAAACAAGATGGCGGCAACTGGTGTTGCTCGATGAACAGAGTGCTTGTTGTTGTGCAAGATGGCTGGGGGTAAAGATCAGAGGGGGCAAAAAGGCTTAATCTTGGGATTTTCTTTTTGTTTTTTTTTGAGGGTTACTGTAATTACCTTGGGAGAGCAACATAAGAAATTTTTGCATGGGAAGTGGATCAAAGGCAATCTCAAATTCAAAACATCGTTTTCTAACAATAAGCTATTTGCAAGACTTCTAGGGCGCGTTTTTGAAAATAAGATTTTTTAAACCGAGATTACCAAAAAAGTCACATATTTTTTGCGATTTTCAGTCAGTTCCACTCTCAATTACTAATGTGGCATATAACCTTTTTTTCTAATAAGGCTTCTGCAATCCTCTAATTACCATTCTCATCACCGGCTCACTGTAAATCCTCCCGTTCCCCAATTTATCCAACCTTTTCTATCAAAAAACCTCTCCATTGCCCCCGGAACACCAAATGGCGTCCTGGATTGCCTGAGGACCATTGATTATCCCATATATCTTCCGTCGGATCAGATCCAACTTTCCGGCCTCTCATTTTGCGAATTTAATGGGATTTTTATAATCTCATTTAGAGAAGTGGGACACTTTGAGGTCGTTTACCGATGATTTGTGTACCCAATTTGATGATCATATTATCATTTGTATTTATTTTGATGGCAGTTTGATAATGGGATTGTAAAACACGGCCCTTGAGGCGTAAAATTAGTCTAAATCGAGATAAATATGGTTCAATTTTATTTTTCTACAGCTAGTTATATTATCGATGATGATTTGGTGTATTTTGATCAAAAATCCTAATTCTTCTTCCTTTCTTTTCCCAAAACTGTCGAAAACAAGCCTTTCCCACGAATTCCTGGCCAACACTGCGTAAAACTCCCACCTTCCCACCTAATTAATATTCAGAATGGACTCCGCTGTTCATCTAAATTCAGATTCAAATCAGATGGGGACAAGCCAATCGGTCATCGGAAGAGTCCAGGTTGCCTTTTCACTCATTCCTGGCCACTTTTTGGCCATTTTCCCCATAAAAACAGGGTACCTTGTAGCTGGGAAACACTAAAGAAAAGTTCTGGGCTAATTAGGGTACTGTAAACAACAAAAACGTTCCAAAACTTGGCCATATTGGCCGTGAGTGTGTGGGAAATCACTTCGCGTGGCCTTCAAGGAGTTGAGATGCAAAAAGGAATGCTTTTAGATTCTTAAAAACCTTGTATTTACCCTAAATTGATCTAATTTACAACTGTTTACCTTTCCACCCCAATCAACTCACCAGTACTAATTTTATGGTCCACTTGACAACCTTTTCTCATGATTTTATGCTCCCCACATTCATCATATCAATGAGAAATGAGAGGCACACCGTTTGCCACTACTGATAACGTTGATAACCCTCTAAATTTGCTCATTTTACTGCCTTTTGAATTATTTATTAAAATTTTTCACGATTTTCGTTACTAATTTGTATTTTTATTTCATTTTCGAAGGTCGTCAATACTTAATAGAACGAAAAAATTTTTCTCACAGGGGAAGTACCCCAAGTGCGACGCTCAGATTTTGATGAAACTTGGAACAAATTTAGAATAATTCTTTCTAAGATATATGCGAGAATCCTAGCTCGCGCTTTGCAGAAACAACCGAGATTTTTAGATCGAAAGTCGGCGAAAATTTAGGACTTTTTGCCGAATTTCGGCACGAAAAGTTTCATGCCTATTTCTACTGTAAAGGATAATGTTTCTACAAAAAATCAAATTTTTCCGCACGAAACTGCCAAAGTTATGGCCAAAAAGCGCTTTTCTCTCTGACCGCTCTCCACGTTTAGCGTGCTCTCTCGGCGGCAAAAATCGTCCGATATCTCGGCGGCGCCCGCAAAGCGCGAGCTAAAACTTTCAGGAATTGATATTTGGTCTATTCCCGACGTGTGTGCAAAATTTAAAGAAAATCTGAGCGTCGCACTTGGGGTACTTCCCTTGTCAGTGCAAAAACAATCAGAGTGCACAGTGCAGTCCATAAAAAATCTGCACGGTGCAGTCGAAAGTCGGCGCAGGGATTATGATGTAACAAATAACTTTCGGCAGTCGTTTTTTGAGGCTCTCCCAGAAGCGCTCACGGACCATAAATTTCGATCCGAAAAAAATATTTGAACACATCCGACGGCGTTTCATAAATTTTGGTACGGAGTTTGGGGTAGCCGGAAAAGAAAGTGAACTTTGCATTTTGGAGATGTTTTAAAATCCTAAAAGCTCTGCCCAATCCAAAAACAGCCCTATTACAGTATATTGGAACAAAATAAGAACAGTTATCATAACGAGGGTCATTCCGTTTTATAAATTATATTATCCATGACCTTGCTCCGTCTACAAAGTCCCATAATCTATTGTCTAGTTGATCTTATCTTCCCTTTCCAGCACTCCATAACCCCTGATGGGATGTTTGTGTTGTAATAAGCGCGCGCGACCATGTTTTTGATTAATTGGCGAAAGAAACCACCTATTCATAAAAAACCTCTAATAACCCGAGTGTAATCACAATTTCTGATTTTATGAGCTTGGGAACACTTTGCGAAAGGTGCGCTGATAATTTCTGAAGATGGCGTTGGGTTTATGGACCATGGTTGATGACGCTCATTTTGTATTCGACTTGGGCAATTTATATATTGGACTATGCCAAGTCTAATATCAAGTGTAAAATAGCTCTAAATCAGTCGCCGGACCGAAGACCACTGTATTTGGGCTATCCGCTCACTACCCAAATTGAGTGCCACAAGAAGTTGTGCGCGCGATTGCCGGGTGCCCTCGGGGGAGCGGCCAAAACCCGGGGTGTTATGGTAGTGACCCGAAGCCCCGAGGGCATTTGTCTTCCGGGGTTTTGTGGAATGAAGTTGGGAATGGGCCAATTTTTTATATTTATAGAGTTTTTTCGCCCTTCGCGCATTATAAGCGGGGTTTATTTGAACCGCCGGAAGATGGTTAAGTTTATTGCCGCAGGGCAATTTAATTAGGTTAGGGGCGGGGAGTTCCGATGGTTTGCGAAATTCCAAGCCCGAGGGCATTGTTCTGGATGTGTGTCAAATTCTGAGTCACTTGGAGTCGGTTGTGTCATTAGTGTTGCAGAAAGGCGTCATTATGACATATTTGGTAATGGATAATATAAAAATTAAATTTTGACATCGTGAAACACATTACCCTCCTCATTTGTAAACTAAAATCGCCCATTCTATCGACCTTCATTCGTTCAGAAACCTGTTTTCCAAAAAAGGCGTCATCCTGACTTATTTTTTATATTTTATTTTTTTCTCGTGTTGGACACAAATTTGCTCGAATTGGTTCTAAAAATTTCAATTTGTTGTAGACGACTAGCCCCAATAAACCAATTGGTCATCGAATCCAACGGGATTCATCGGCCAAACAAGATGGAGACATCAAATTTGACCTGGATTTTGCTGGTTCTCCTAGTTTTAGTGGCCGAAAATGGATGTTTCGGACAAGTTCGCAAGGTCAGCGATGAATATCAGGTGAGGATTAAGGTTTATTATTCATTTCCAGGATTTTTTGGCCATTTTCGATAGATTTTCTCAAGGATAATACAAATTTGAGACCTAATTTCTTACTGTTATTTTTCAGACAGTCCGACACAACGACAAATGTGTTCCTATCACGATGGACCTTTGCAACGACATTCAATACAACATGACTATCTTTCCCAATCTTCTGAAGCATCAAACTCAGGACGAAGCCAACTCTGAGATCAAGTCCTATGAGATGTTGGTCAAGGTCAAGTGCTCTCCGGATTTCAAGTTTTTCCTCTGCACATTGTTCGCTCCAGTTTGTACAATGTTAGACGAACCCATCCCACCTTGTCGGCATCTTTGTTTGTCCGCTAAAACCGGATGTGAAGATCTGATGAAGAAATTTGGGTATCCATGGCCGGAAATCTTCAATTGCGACAAGTTCCCGGGCCCAAATGAGATGTGTGTGGGTGAAAATACAACGAGAAGTGCGCCAGTGAGCAGCACAGTTAGTCCTCCAGAGAAGACTTTGGAATGTCCGCACACAATGAAGGTTTTGAGCAAGAGCAGGTGGGTCTTGATGGAAAATATAAATTTCTTGGATTTTTATAGTCCGGGTTGCTTACAGACCATTTTAATTGAAGGAGTATGTCATTTACAAACTTATCTTTTCAGTTACCGCCTTCAAATTGCCAATTCTTCCATCCAGCAATGCTCTTTGCCTTGTGAATCAGATGAATTTGTTCCAATTTTTGGTTTCACAGCTCCTGAACGTGGTCTCCTTCGTCTAACTGCATGGTTATCAGCGGTAGTATGTTTGGTATGCACTCTATTCACCGTCGTCACTTTCCTCATCGACATTGAGCGCTTCGAATTCCCAGAACGGGCGATATTATACATGGGCGTCTGTTATTTCTTTGTCAGTGTGACTTATCTGGTCGGAACTGTTGCTGGTAAGTGCTATTAGGTTTGGTGATTTATTTTGAGACGTCAGAGATGTATTGATTGTTATTTTAGGCGGTCCCGTTTCTTGTGGAGCCCTTTCTTCGACCCAATCAGCCCTGGTCACCCAAGGAGTAGACAACTTTGCTTGCTCGGCCGTCGCGTTCATCAATTTCTACTTCTCCACGGCCGCTGCGGTTTGGTGGTTCTGTCTGTGCTTTGCGTGGTTCCTGGTTACCACTTTGAAATGGGGAGAAGCACCGGTTGGACAAGTCTTTGGCTCTTATTTCTCTCTTCTGGCTTGGGGAGGACCAGCCGTTGCTGCTATCGCGGTCCTTGTGACGAATTCTGTTGATGGAGATATGTTCACAGGGCTTTGTTCGGTGGGAAATCTCCAACCGCAGGCAATGCTGAGGTTTGTGGCCATCCCACAAGCCGCTCTGATCGGTGAGTATATTATACTTGATGTCGAAGGCAAAAATTGATAGTCAACCTTTATTGTCGCTGTTGCTTTTCTGGTTTATAGTTTCAAAAGAACCTTGGCGGTCTAATGATGTTGTTTTTTTCAGTGTCCGGCTTCTTCTTGTTCGGCTGTGGCTTCATCTCGATCCTCCGGATCAGATCCTACATCAAAGGTCAGAAAGCCGCTCCATTGGGAAAATTGGAAGCGGCTTCTGGGAAGATCAGCCGATTGATGATCCGAATCACCATGTTCGCGGCGTTATACATGATGGCCAGTGTTGCATACTGCGTGTTCTTGTTCTATCAAGCAGTTAATATGGACTCATGGTTAACATCTTGGTATGGAACCAGGTGTCTGCACCTTCAGAGGGGATCTTTTGGTTTCACTCAGCCCAGAGAACTCTGTCCAATCAATCAAGCAGCCCTCACCAATGAATCTCCGGATCTTCTGATGTTCTGCGGGAAATATGTGGCTCAGTTGTCAGTGGGCGTGGCCTGCGCGGTCTGGACGATAAATGGAAAAACATTCAACAGTTATGGGGATTTCTATGCGAGAGTATTCCTGGGCCGGTCCAGAGTTCCCACGAGGCAATCGTAGGTCGGTCCAGCCGAAAACACGGCCGAAATTTTACAATTTAGCTCATTTTTGAATATTTTATCGTTTTACTATGGTCGAATGTAGTAATAATGCTGCCACAATATTGTAAATATCGTCTTATTCAGGGTATTCGTCTTTGTCTTCATGATTTTCGCATTTCTCTCCCCAAAAACCAAATTGCCATACTGTTGGGTCAAGTCTTCCTCTGAGAATTTCTCCGAGGTTTAGACTTGTCCCTTTCCAATTTCTGTATATTACGATCAAATCGGGTCCATTATGTTCGTCTCTCTTCCATTTTCAACTGTAACTCATTATTTATTATCTTACAGTACCCATCTCAGGCTTCTAAATTTGTGTTTCAATTGGTAATAAATTTATGATTGTATTGTAATATGGTGTCATACATAACGAGAATATCTGGACAACAAACGCATGGACTGTATATACACGTGATAGGTGTCAGGCTGTATTCTTGGCCTCATTACTCTGACTACTCTCATCTACAACATCGATGATTTCATCGGCATTTGATTCTCCATTCAGCCCATGATTCCTCAAATGAACTCGATAATTGTCTTTCCGAGAGATTACTCGGTTGCAAATGGGACAAACGAATCGTTTCTCAATCGAATGGACTGTTGTTTGATGACGGCGGATCGTTGACTGGTCAGCAAATCGACGGCCACAATGTTGACACTGAAATTGGAGTAAAGTTGGACTAAAATACGGAGATATTGCTCAAATTAGTGCCTGTTATTAAAATGCAAAGTGTGAAAAAACAGCGTGAACCATGGGCACAGCCCTTTAGCATTTTTCGGTCCTTATTTCAGACCTTTGACCTTACTTTATACGGTTTCTCGCCGGTATGAGTTCTGACATGGCTCTTCAAGTAATGTTTCCTCCCCTTCTTCCCACAATATTCGCACGCATACACCCGCTGGGCATGTGATTTGGCATGAGATTCCAGATCCAGGACATTCGCGTCCTCGGGGCATACGAGACATCTGTTTTGTTGGTTATCAGCATGAGCTTGGAGGAAATGCTGACTCAATTCATTTGAATGTTTTGCTGGCACGGAGACTTTCTCACAGACCGCACACAGGAGATAGGAAGCAATCCCCAGTATAATATCCGAAGAACTCGACTCGGAGGATGTATTCATTGGAGTAGGGAGGGATGGGAGGATTGAAGTTGTTATTGGATCAGCTAAAGTAAGGTGGATTTACGGGGGAAGTGCTCAAAGTGCGAAACTCGGATCTTAATGAAATTTGGTACACTATTTGATTCGTCTTTTCTAATACATATTCCGGTTTCCTAGCTCGCGTTTTGTAGAAAGAACTAGATCTTTTGGGCAAAAAAGTTGGTGAAAATTCGAAGCGTTTTTGAGAGTTTTACGGTGAGGATCATTCTCGGCTGCCCTGCAAAGCGCGACCTAAAGCTTTCGGGAATAAATACTCGTCCTATGCCTAATGCGTGTGCAAAATTTAAAGACAATCGGAGTGTCGCACTTGAGACACTTGGCTTTGGAAAACGCTTTACTCGGCTTGTCGTTGTTCTCAGTCTCCGTATGCTCCTCGTCAATATCTTCATCATCCGCTTTATCACAGCACTTCTTTCCCATCTGGGCTAACGCCTTTTTTACCAACTGATCCGTTTGATTCATCAACGATAACTGTTGTTTCAGTCGTTGATTTTCGGTTCGGACTTCATTCAACTCCGTCTCAACTGTTGTTCTTTCATTCTAAAATAATCGACAAAGCTGTCACACTACTGTTGTGTTTTAAACCCGCCCTCATATCGTGAATAATCGACTTCAAATGGGCATTTGTCTCCTCGAGTCCGGCTTTCTGAAGGACCACCGAGATTGAGGGGCATTGTGTTACCGTGGTATTCCGCAGATTCAAATATAAGCTCTTTTCCGTTGTTTGGGCCACCACGTCAATTATTGTTCTAAAATTTTTAACCGTCAATTCTATATTTATCTTACCCTTCATCCACAAACATTTTATGAAAAGTCGCCGGAAATTTGGTGGCGCATAATTTGAATGCCGAATAATCAGCAGGCTTGAGGATAGTGGTGTAGAAACTGATCGGTTCGTCTATGAATGACATTGAGAGACGGAAAACAATTGGTTTCTCGGCCAGCAGCATCGTTTCAAATCGGAGTTTTATTACTGTAGTACTAAACTAATCTCTTAATCAAGTCAAATTTCAGGTAATTCTGCAGGTCTCAAAGATCTTTAAAACAAAAAATTATTTCTTTAGACTTTTACACTATCTTATGATGGAATGAAGTCGACTCACTTAAATCCGAAGTTGACTTTCCGTTGATGAACCCAAAATCCATTGGTCAGATCCATAATTCAACAAAAACAATAACAACAAAATTAATGGCAAGGGATCCCCTGCCCTTTACAGCAAGAAAACAAGACTTTTTTCATTGTGAGCAGCTTTTTTGCCTTTCTTATCAGCAAGCGCTCCTTTATTTTTGAGTGATTGGACTTGACCATGGAGAAGATGGAAAATAATTAACTTCATCTGTTCTCATACAAAAAAACCGTCGTATTTTGCAGGATTCTCCTTCTTGTTATTGGGTTTGAAGTCTGCAGGAATTGCAGCAGCCTTTTATACGGAAAGAACATTATTTATATTGCACTTGCCTAATTTGTTAAAATAAAAAAAACTCTTTTAATTTCTTTTGTCAGGCACTGTCTAAGGCTTCTATAAATAACAAAGAATAGATCCTCAACCATTTCTAGGCTCAAAACCCTCTTTAATTTTCCAAAACATCACAAAATACAATATTATGACTAGTTTACAGTAACAATTACCATGCTTTCAGATATCTTCGTCATTTCTATTTCCAATAAGTAAATCTTGATGGCAGTCCAGGACGTTGGGTTCATTGAGCAGTTCTCGTAATTCCTCCACATTCATTCCCTCGGCTCGTTCCACCAGCACTCGGCAGGCCCAGGCTTCCATAGCGGCGATTCCCAGGTAATGGGCGAAATTGGCGGCTCGGATTATTGTGTTCGACTCGATGTATTTGGCAATAAACACCGCGTCCTCGTTATTTTCGATCTTAAAATTGGTTCATCAGCTTTTAAACTGTTCAAAACATTAAAGTGATATTACCCTTCATGTATAATATAATTCAATGCCCAAAACTTCCAAAAACTTACAAACCATCTCGTCCACCAAGTGATTTCCTCTGCGCCATGCCTTTTTAGGACCCCGGGGAAGAAGAATACCATGCCGTGGATAAACTGCTCCAATATGATCCCATCTTTTACACTGAACATCTTGTCCACCAAGACATGGGTAAACCTTTTATTTGGGAGTAATTTCAGACGATTGGACATATTGGCCATAGGTGGGGCGATATTGAGACGTTCATTGGTCGAGAAATGGAGAACAAATCGAGGGGCCAAAGGATCAAAACGGACTTGCTGAAATTTTTTTAAATGATGATATATGTTGACCGTACCTTTCGCTTGGACCTGATGATCAATCTTCTAACCTTGAACCAAAAGTTTTCTCCCCATTCCAAAAACAAACTCTCATCAAAATCCTGAGGCAATGACGGCAACCAGCTCTTGTTTGTTGTTGAAACCATACTGCTCAACAAACTTCGGGGCTCTTCTTTTAGGATCCCATTAGGTCTTGGCTCTAAAAAACAAATATTTTTGATCAACTATATTATCCATGACAAAAAAAAGACAAATTTAACGAGATTTTACCATTTTTAGGCTCATCTTCTCTCTCCGTCAAGTCATAAGTCACATTTTTGATCTTAAAAGGCATCAGACTAGTATCTATCGAGTTCCGATTAGCGGATTTATCACTTTTGAGAGGCACACAAGTGCCGTCATCATTCTCGATGAGTCCATATTTATTGGCGATTACTTTCCCAATGGCCTCTTTCGTCGCCGGAGCGTCTAAAGTGACATCCATTTTCTGGACAGTCTCTTGGAGATAATCCCTTTCAAGGTCTGCGCTTTGATCAAACTTCTTTTTGCGCCACCGCCAACGACGTCGGTAATTGCGCCAGTGATGGATACCTAAATATTCGAAACATCAACAATACTAATATAAACCCACCCTTCGGCTGCATCCAATTCTGATTTGACTGGCCTTCATCATGATAAACATCGCCTCTCCAAGGGAATGGAATCCTCCCATCAGGCCCAATATTCTCATAGATATGATCATCGTCTTCGTATAAGCGAGAGGTAGAGGTGGATTGAGATCCGAGCGAATGATCGTAGCTTCTCTTGTTCATATTTACAAACTAGGCGTTATCTACATGGTAGTGATGAAAGAGAGGGAATTAAGTGAAGATGGTCATGAGAAATGTTCACCGGTCTGATTATGTCGTATATTGAGTGTTTCTGAAAGCAATTACGGTATTTTTACATTACATTTGACATAAATAATACTAAAAATTATCCTGGAACAAACTTGTAGATATAAATAGGACGATAAACCGATAAATGACAAAACAAATATATAAAACCGCTCTTTTTATTATCCTTCAACAATCAACAAAGGTAAACAATGCGAAAACACCTAACATAAAAAAGCCCCTAAATTTTATTCATCCCTCCTCCTCAAGATGTCCAAAATATCATCATCTTCCGTGAACGGTCCCTTGGTATGGAAGTACGGCTGTTCTGGCTTTAATCCATGTTTCTTCAACTGTTCCGCGGATGGAAAAGTGATTCCTTGAGGGTAAAGCGACTAAAAACCGAATCAAAGCTACGATTTAAAATGAACGTACCTCAGCATTATCATCCGTTGTAACATGAGAGATTCGACCAACCATTGGCACAACATATTGATTTGAAAGCTAAAGATATCAGCTAAAGAATGAATACGACCCACCACAACGTAAAACCTGACCAATTTGGCTTCCTGTTCAAAATCTGGACCCTTTAGAGCACTTTGAGGCGGGACAACGATAGCGTCAGGCTTGGCAACAACATCCTAAACTCAAAAACATTAATCACAACATAAATTTAGATACCTTTTCGAAAAGCGAGGCGCTTATAATTTCTGGCGTTATTTCCCATTTGTTCTCCATTGAAACATGGATCGGGATGAGTTTATCCACTAGTTTTCGGCCAATCAAAATGAAGTCATATGGGATTCGGATTCGGGATTCCAATTCTTCCTTCATCTCCTAAAACAATGTAAAATTAGATATAGAAACCTAAAGATTAAAGAATATAAAACATCCAAAGTTAACTTACCTCACGTTTGCGGCCATAATACTCCAAGTCAAATGGAGAAGCGTAAACTCCCTTCCTGGGCAACAAAATATCGTTGTGGGCTTGACTACGAGGTAGCTCAACGACGTCAAATTGATGGCCAACACCTAAAACAAAGCATTAACGGCATCTTTACATCAAGAAAGAACTATGGGAGCAGATTTCCATGTATTTCTACCTTCTTTCAACCTGAACACCAAGAAAAAAAGTAATATTTACCTTCCACATCCTCCAAAAGTATTACTTTGACTGGTTTCGTCTTGAATTCCTGAGGATACCGCACGACTTCATACTTCTGAAGGTTTTGCAAGTCAGGAGGCCGTTGGGGTTGACCTTCTGGGACAGCTGGAGGAGCGTATACATGTTTCAATACCCATAAATTCTAAAAGAAAACAATCTTACATCTTCCAAAAATCAAAAAATTAAAATACAACTGAAAAAACAAAGTCAGTAGAAAAACACATGTGCAAAGAGGACCGTACAGCATTGTAAATTACATCTTTCTTCATTTCCAACATAATAACATTTCAAAAAAACTGGAAGACAGCTTTCAACAACTTACTCTAGTCAGATTAATCCTTCCGGTAAGCCTCAGAAGAAGACGCGTCGTTATGGCCATACCCCCGGTCATAATTATCTCGAAGCCAAATTTCCACTGCAAAAATTGGCCAATTTGCGAGTTTCATTCCGATGGGCCAGGTTTTGCTCTTTGCGTCAAGTTTGGGTTTGAGTCAAGTCTTGCAAAAGGCGTCAAGTCTTACGTCAGTATTGTTTTTTCTCGATTTTCTGTCAGAAGAAAAGAGGACATCGACTTTGGTGCGGAATCATCTGGATTGTGAGTTCCAATTGCAGAAAAACGCAGAGTAAGCTGCTATATTTTATAGGGTTTTGTTATATTGTAATAGGCTTTAAAATAAGATTCCTTTCTGTTTTTGTCTCGTTGAATCTGGTTAATTTCGTTTTCCTTGTTTCAGCACAATGTCAGTACCACCAGGTTTCGAGAAGCAACCGAATAAGATGCGAACCGAGTTTACCAAACGATTGGTTGAGTTGGTTCCGAAACAAGCACCAGTTGATTTTGTTGGTACCCGAAGAATAGCTAATCAATCAGTCAGTGATAAAGGTGTTGCATATCCAGTCTGGAACGGGAAGTTTGGTCCTGTTGAGGAGAAAAGGTAAGCGTTCGCAACTTTGTGTTTGAATTTAGGAGGAGCTTATCTCGTACAAGGAATTCGGATCTGTTTCTTATTGAATATGCATCCTGGATTATGAGGACAGAAAAAAATTTCTTTGCATATTTAGTAGTCTAACTTTTTTCAGTATTGGATGCGGATGCCGAAAGGATTTCTACGATCAGATGAGGGAAGACTCCAGAAGTCAGTTCAAACATTACCCTTTCTGTCTGGATATAACGCTGAAGGCTGGTAGCAGCAAACGCGAGGGATCCACATAATTCACATTCATCTTGGTTGATTGTATGATCTGGAGATATTGTTTATACTGTAATTTCATAACATCGGGTAGCATCTCCCTTCTTACGTTGGAAAAGGTGCAGTTGTAATTAACTTTTCTATCTTACATTATTTGTTGTAATAACTAAACCGTGCTGAAAAGTAAAAAAGGAGTTCTCGTTATGAGGGATTATGATTTGGTATAAAACCGAAACGTTTATTGGATTTATGAGATTAATGTTTGAAGACCGAGTTTATTATATTGAACCATTTTTAATCGTATGTATGGGCTTTCTCTCTCTCTTTTACAGGTGTTTTTGGTAGTACTGGATCATTTGATCTTTTTTGGAATAGTTTAAACTTTTTCCATTCTAATCGTTGCATCTTTTTAACCATTGCAAATCTGATTCCATTGCCCTAAAAACTAAGAAAAATAAATTTTACACCATATGATTCTTCCGATCTTCACCCTCGCCCGTTTTGCTACCAGGAATCCGCGAAGGTCACAGACAACACATTCCCATGATTTTACACCCGCAAACGAGCATGAGATGGGTAGATCGTCCGGCCTTTATCAATTATGAATCGTCTCTGCAAGAATCTCTTTTGTTGTTTCTTTCTCCTGAGGGTTTCGTTGAAATGTAACGCGTTGAACGGGGTTTGAACTTTTGACCGGCCCAAGTTGCGTTTATTACGTTTTTGCGATGCGAAACGTGATTTTTGGAAAATCCGAAGGTCTGGTACAATATTAATTTTTTAGTTTGGCTATTGCGCAGACATGGGTAGAACTTTTGTATTAACAGTATCCCTGACCTTAGAGGGTATTATTTTTTGTCGGACATCACAGTTTACCTCAGAGTTCTTTGCGCCCTGTATTATTGTAGGCGGCTTGAGATCACAGTTCACGCCAGACTTCGCTTGTCGTAACTTTTTTGAAACTTGATAAGAACGACCTTTTGGGGTTGCGGGTTTCATTATTATACTCCCCGTACAATGTTTTGACACCCCTCCTAACTCCGTCCAAAGTGTACTAATTCGGACCAAATTTGGTATGTAGTATACTCACAGGCTAGTAACAAAAAATAACATAGCAGGACATACCTTATAGCTGAATTTCAAAAGCCAGCGGCAATTTTCAAAAATCACCTTTAAAAATCGAGGAAAAAGTTTTGACCCCCCTTAAAGAAAGTTAGATATCGCCAGCAGATGCCACGCAAACTTATTGTAATCGACGTCCCATACCTGAATACAGGTTAATATATGGTTTTCCGTTGAATGCTTCGTTGCATTTGAGGATTCAACGCGTTAAACCGTTTTTGATGTAGAGCTGCCCAAAATTGTAAAAATCTGCCCTAGCGCTTTCATAGAGCTCCAAATTGGGTTTATATTATGTACTTTAGACCTGTATTTACCTTCTCCTTTCAATAAAAGTGCATGGTGGCCTGGCGGTGTAGATTCGGCAGATACCCTCTTGTCATGCCCAGCCTTGGTGAGCCATTTGCTCTTTGACTCAAGGTCGAGATGTGGTCATTAGGTCCTCAATGTAATCCTGAGACTCCTAGTTACTCTCAGCAATGTAAAATGTTTTGATTTGACACGTTTTGTAATGGGTTTCATTCACCTTAATCTTAACTTTGCCGTTACTGTAGATGACCCCGAGTACGATGACATCACCACCTCCCATTTGGCGTTTCATACGTCTCAAATGAGTATGGTAAGTGCTGTAGCGTCTTAAATTACCTGGTCCATCAAATGAAAGCTGTCTTTGGTGGCTAAAAATCCATTTGAAAAACGCGGGTTTTTCGTTAAGGTGCAGATCGGCGAAGATGCGCCTGCAAACCATATGAGACCGTGTCAGCCGGAGTTTATTTTTTCTTTGAGAGTATCTAGGAGTCTCAGGATTGCATTGAGGACCTAATAACCACATCTCGACCTTGAGTCAAGGAGCAAATAGCTCACCAAGGCTGGGCATGACAAGAGGGTATCTGCTGAATCTACACGGTCAGGCCACCACGCACTTTTATCGAGAGGAGAAGGTTAACACAGGTCTAAATCACATAATATAAACCCAATTTAGAGCTCTAGGAAAGCGCTAGGGCAAGATTTTTACAATTTTGGGCAGCTCTACATCAAAAACGGTTTAACGCGTTGAATCCTCAAATGCAACGAAGCATTCAACGGAAAACCATATATTAACCTGTATTCAGGTATGCGACGTCGATTACAATAAGTTTGGTGTGGCATCCGCTGGCGATATCTAACTTTTTGTTAAGGGGGGTCAAAACTTTTTCCTCGATTTTTTAAGGTGATTTTTGAAAATTGCCCCCAGAGTTTGATATTCAACTATAAGGTAGGTCCAGCCATGTTATTTTTTGTTACTAACCTGTGAGTATACTACATACCAAATTTGGTCCGAATTAGTACACCTTGGACCGAGTTAGGAGGGGGGTCAAAACATTGTACGGGGAGTATATTAAGTTTTGGTGTAGTTTTAGGGCTGGGAGATGTTGATTGTTAGTTTTGGAGGGGTTGGTGATGGATAACATAAATCGATAGGGTATTATACACAGACATGGAGAAAGGGCCAGACTTTCGTAAATTTGGAAACGGGCCAGGCCTGCTTTTCATTAGGCCGTGCTCCATGCCCAAAAGCCCGACCCGATTGCCATTTCTGATTGTACAATCAATGCCTATTGGACACTCATTTTAGTTCAAAATTCGGTGTAAATTTTCTGTCCCACTTGTCCGAAAACCCTTTTGATTTTTTCCCATCTATTGTGCAATCCCCGATCCCCTAAAATTACAATTTGTTCGCATATTATCTTATCTTCTCTATGTCGCGTGTCTGTTCTAACCCGATCAAAGTCTATCGCTGTAAATTAGACAGCCTGGTGATTGCAGACACCACGAGTACAGCTGCACTTGTGGTTCAAAGAATGCGAAAATAGGAAGGAAGGAGCGTCAAGGGAGAAGATTTTTTTTTGATTTCGCGTCGATTCAGAGAAGACAAACCATAATTTTGAGTAGGCGACCGAGTTTTTTGTTGGTCTATGGGTAAAATAAGTCCGATACCATTTCTGGGGAATTAAAATATTTATTGAAAGTAAAAAAATCCATGATGACAAGGCCATCGAATATGACCAGCTGTCGTAAATATCCTGCCATGTTGTTATAATAGATTTGAATCAAGTCATCCAAAAGCTAAAGGACGATGGCTTTATACTTTGCCTAGTGATCTGGAAAGTTGACTGCCAATTCAGGTATTAAAGCAGGACATTAACAGGTCGTAATTGATTTTTTTGGGTCATAATGGCTAATTTGTTGTTATCGGGGTTTCTGAAACATCAGCTGGCAGAGTAGCAACCAAAAGTTGCCTTGTTTTTGTTTACCGTTTAAAGTTTCATAAGTCGCGACCAAAGTCCGTTTGATTACCTTTCGTTTTCTTTATCAAAATCGGGGTTTTATCATTACTTTTACATTACACTTGGTAAAAAATGTAAACACGTTTCTGTTTTCTGGTTTTACGGCTGGATCCAACTTTGTTTTGGGGGAAAAAGGCTGGAACTAAAAGAAAATTATCTTGGAAACTTTGGTTTCTCATGTAAAATTTATGGCGGTTTTTTATTTGAATATTTTCGACCGTTTTTCTCACCTCAAATTTTGAGTGTCCTTGCAATTCCAAAACCATTTTCAATTCCCAATTTCAGGCTAATTTTGCTTGGGACTGGTCAGATTTGCGTTGCCGGGTAGAAGAAGATGACTTCCATGGTTTTTAGTCGATTTGTTCGTTCATTGGTTCGGCCAACTCAAGTGCGCCAACTCTCGATGACAACGGGTTTATTTGGTATGTTAATGTACGATTACTTGCTGAGCTTCTCTGTTATTTTACTAAATTAAGGTACGATGCATTTCTGATCGAAAGTTTTGTCAATTTTTATAAAACGCCCCAAATTTTTATATTACTTTAAGAAAATTTCGTAAAAATTTGTAATCATGTATGTTTATTGTGTGTATTTTGTAATTTCAGACCGGTTCTACACGAAGAAGCACGAATACATCAGTGTGGACGGGTCCAAAGGCACAGTCGGAGTATCAGATTTTGCTCAGAAATCCCTCGGAGATGTTGTTTATGTGGAGCTGGCGGAGAAAGGCGCCCAAGTGGAGAAAGGAGACACAGCCGGAGCCATTGAGTCAGTAAAGTCGGCCTCAGACATCTACAGTCCTGTCTCGGGCACCATCACCGATGTAAACAATGCATTGGACGAAAAACCGCAGCTGATCAACAAATCCCCTTATGATGAAGGTAAAATTTCTTGTTTTGGTCTTGTTTTAGTGTCTAAGAAATTTTTTTGGGTTGGAAATGGACCTCATAGGCAATTTAAAAGTATATAATAATTTGGTGATTATATTATACTTGACATAACATGATATTTTCAGGCTGGCTATTCAAGATTGACCTTAAATCCCCCGAAGAGCTGAAAGATCTCATGGACGAAGCTGCATACTCCAAGTTCTGTGAAGCCGAGGAAAGCGAAGAATAATTCTGTTCATCTAGATCAATTTTATTACTTTTTAACAATAGCCCTATAAGTATAATGAACTTATTTTGAGGTAAAATTTTAATACATCTGCTAAATTTACGGCTTAGAGCACCAGAAATAGGTAACCGGCAAAAATGACTAGTGTATTTGCTATGAATTGAGCTGAACTACCGTAATCTCTCCAATATTTGGCCCGGCCATCAAATAAATCGTCGGAAACTCGAGTATTGTTCAGATCGATTATTAGATTGGCTACATTTCCCGAATTCCCTAAGACTTTCGGCCAATTTGAACCAGGATTTCTGAAAGACGAGTTGAATTCTGATATTAGAGTAGCGTAATGTAATGTTCTTTGATATTTCTCACCCGGTTTTTATAAAGTTGGCGATGTAATCACTGAATTGTTCGGTCATGGCCAAATCTTCCTCTGTCGGTTTATATTCTCGAATAAGATCGATGCCGAAAATGTACCGCAGGTCGTCGCAATGGGTGGCACCTAAAGTATGTAATATTACAGCATGTAAAATTAATATTCATGGCGATGGGAAGGAAATAAAACTGGATGAAAGTTGGTTCAAATTGAAAACACAATTTGCTAAGCCAAGTACGAGATTTTCAACTCTTCTGCATAAACCACAGGGATTTTTCTACGTGCGTTGCGAAAGTAATGGCTAGTAATCATACAGAAGTTTAACGTTCAAATCCTCACCTTCAATGACCCTTGGAAATACCGTTGTGGCGTCTCGTTTTTGATAAAAATCGAATCGATAAACAAATGTATTCCGTTCATCTTCTCCTGCCAAACCTTCAGCACATTGATATATCCCGTTGTTGAAGGTGAGGTCCGAGATTATATCCAGGACTTCCTGGGTGTATTCGGTTGAATTTGAGAGCAAATCTTGATGGACAAAATGATGAAAAAGATCTTCTTCTTGAAGATCAGTAACTTTTAGATGCTTGGCGTCACAGTATTCGCTGATTTTCTCCATAGCGCAGGCTGTTAGATTGGGATTATTGACTGCAAGATGACAATAGAAGTATTTAATACATAGGTTTAAACAGAGAAGTGCTCGAAGTGCAATGCTTTAATAAAAATTCGCTCAAACTATCACTAAACTAAATTCTTCTTCTCTACAAAGCGTAAGCAAAATTTTCAAGAATTGTCTGAGCGTTGCAGCGGGAACATTTCCTTTGCAAATTGTCTTACCAAACATTAATCCTTCATTCCTTGTAACTCCAATTAGAACGTTAACTTTCGGAGCCTGCTTTCTTAACTCATCCAGCGACCTTGGCAACAACTCCCCATCAATTACTGTCCAAGGTTTCATTGTTATATTTGGATGATCTTTTGTATTCCCGCCGAAATTAAGGGAGATCTTTTCAGCTGGTAATGCACTTAAGAATTCGACCAAGTCTGCTTCAGAACTTGATTTGAGACCTTCCTCCTTGGCAAACTCTAAGATATTTGCATAGAGTTGAGGGTCGGCGTGAGGTGCCATCGTATCATAATTTGTGCCAGACATGAGAATTAGCTGATTGATCATGCCTAAAACATATAATTCGCAATAGAAAGTCGTCAATTAGAGATCAAAGAAAATGAGGAATCAAAAAATCTTCTAGTTTGGCCTGGTTGAAGGACCATAATTCTAGCTCGTTGTCCCAAATAACCGCAAGAAACAGAGCCGGCGGAGGCTTGTTGAGGGTCTGGAGTCTTCAATCAAGCCTTCTTGATTTGAATCAGTTAGCTCAAGTCGCTCCTATCCAAGTCTCTGCGGATTCCAATGCACGTGAGCTAGGGTGCGCGAACCATTGGTGATTTGACCAGTCAACAAGGCAAAAGATTGAAGATCTCTTGATTCCCCAACTCTCTTTCCAACAAATGGCGAAGTCCATGGAACTGCTTGATTCCACTTGCCTTGACTCTTTGGTGACAGAAAGAGTAATTCCGACGCCATACTGCCCGCACTTTGTCCTCCCACCGTAATCTTTGCCTTGTCCCCTCCAAATCTCTCAATGTTATCATAAGTCCATTCTAAAGCCAACGCCATATCCCAAAGTCCTTGATTCCCCGGCACGGTGCCTTCTGGAGTACTAAGAAATCCGAAAAGTCCCAATCGATAGTTAACTGTGACCACAATCACGTCTTTTTTGGGTAATATCTTGGCTGTTATCTCTAGTCCAAAAAATGCGGCTGTATCCGTTAAATATCCACCTCCATGGATGTAAAATAACACTGGCAGTTTGGTGGATGACCCTGTTGGAATACTTGGGGCATATATATTGAGGTTAAGGCAGTCTTCTGAGAATGGCGGGTTGGTTAGGAAGGGCCGAGGAGTTGGTTCGAAATAATGACAACTGAAGCCAAAACTAGTGCAGTTTTTGGTTCCAGCCCAAGGTTTTACATAGAGAGGCTTCTGAAATGACGCAAAATTGGTTGAAAATTCATTGACTATGTATGGGATTTGAATTATTTTCTTATTTCCAACCCAATTTTCTCTTACCTTGAATCTTCCAGCCCCGACGGGCGCTTCTCCATAAGGTATCCCCAGATACACATTTATTTTCTTTCCCTCCAAATCCAACTCCAATCCATCCACTGGTCCCGAGGCTGTCTGAACAACAACGCCAGCAGCCAAATTGAACGACAGTAATCCAATAATAATCGAACTCATAACCTCGACTTCTCTCGGGGCGCTCCTTTTTATTCCATTTTATGCCAATTTTATCATTGACCTTGAAGAGGCCGAGGAACGGGCAAAACAGCGCCTCAGGCAAACAACAAATAAGTTCCAGATCAAGAATTGAAGCTGATTCAATGAGTATTTACATAACACGGAAGTCATTAAGATAGAGGGTGTTGTCATTCCCGGAATTACCGTATTCAGACTGCGAATTAGAACTGAATGGGGGAGGTGTAATTAGAGGGTGGCTAAGGGGAAGTGAGAGGGTTTGGGGCGGGGAGAGGGACAAGAGTGCTGGAGTATTGAACTCGCAGGTAAATACGTGTGCCCTAAAGGCATTTCTTCGAGCAAATGACAAATTAAGCGGAAAATAGAGATAAATACCTACTCAAATTGCTATTAGTTAAGCAATTCGAGTAGATACCAGTCAAGGGTTTAATTATGGGAATGATAAGGCGTTTACCGGGAAATTGAGACAATTTAAACCTTAATGGGGTACTGTCTTCGCCTCCAAATTTCCAAACAAATTTTAATTTTTTATTTTCAGCCTCTAACCCTTCAAAAAAGTGTAGCGAATAAAAGTTTTTGTTCTTTTCTTATCGTTAAACAAACAGTAAGTCATTCAGTGAGTATTTGTGTGAGCAATTTGAAAAAAATTCTGTAAGTGATATCACCAAAACAAATAAAATCTTATGAATTTTAGTCTGCAGCGAAGGCCCAAGTCTCAGCAAACAAGAGTTTTTTTTTTATGCGGCGTGCTGTGGAAGATTAACGAAAACTCTGTTTATACCAGAAAATAGGTTTTGGCAGCTTGACAATGGAAACAAGAAATTTATCAGCTATGTACGTCTCTGCGTATTGCTGTAGAAAAGCAAACTCCAAAAATCAGATAATATAATAATTTGTTTATGAAAACAAAACTGTCATAGATATACATACAAAACCTGCACTTTTCTTCTAGAACACTTCCAGATAATCCTGAAATTTTTACTAAAATACAATCATCATTGATCAGCTCAAAAATAATTATGTCCTTTTGAAAACAAACAATTTTAATTTTTAATCTCAACTGATGAAAATTCATATGTAAAAAGAACAAAAAATATGTTTGAATTAGACAGTAAACACCGGTATCTCATCATTTTTCTCGTCTACTCGCTTCGAATCCCCTGTCTTTGGCGTTTCTTCACCGTTTTCCAACGCTTCCACATTCAACTGAGCGATCGATGGGACAGTATATTGTTCATTACCGTATCCTTTATCTTCTGTTGTACTTGGAGGAGACGTTACTGCCCAAGGCCGTAATTTCGCTTCGGCTGTGAAGTTGAAGATTGTGGTGAAAGTGATGACAATTATGCCGGTGGCAATAAACAAGGCGGCCCACTGAAATTTGGGGTTCAAGAGGCGGAAAAGTGTTTACCTCGCCGGCGGTGCCATTCGGAGCAAAAACCGCAACCATCAAGGGGATCAGAAGGACAATTACACTCGTAATTACCATATTTAACGCCATCATGAAGTGAATAAATCTGCCGGAGATCTAAAATTAGGTTTGATATCAAGTGTAATACAAATATTATGATCAAGAAGTCAAGAAATTGCGAAAAATCAACCTCTAAAGTTCTGAAAACCATAATCAAGAAGTAACTTGCCAGTTGACAACTTTTGGAGACTCCCACCGAATTCATTCCGCTTGAAACAATGGCCGCGGTGAAGAAAACCCGCGATAAAATCTTCTGTTCGGCCGAAAGAAAGGCCAGAGTGATGAAACAAGCGCCCATCGAGTACAAGGAGACTGATGCAAAAATAATAACTCGGCCCTTGTCACCAACATATGGGATATTATCACTGAATGGGCCCACAATAAACTTGACAACCATCGAGATTACGAAGGGAAAGGCGGCCGAAAATCCCGTATTCTGAATGTCCAGACCTTGGACCTAAAGAAATGTGGAAATATAAAAGACGGCAAGGTTTTCTGACAATACATTGGCCAAATTTTACCTGATTTAAATAGACCGGACCATACTGATAAAAGAACTGGAAACCCAAAGTAGCTCCGAACAATGATAACAGGATTCCAATAACCGACCGGTCGGTTAAAATCTCCTTATAAGGGATCTTGTGATTGTCGTTGTCAGCTCCAATCAAAACCAGCTTGTTTTTCTGCAGAGTTTTCAGCTCTTTTTCACTGACATGTCTAAAGTAATGTCATCAAAGCTGCGGCAACTAATTTTACCGATGGATGGTCGGAGAATCTTCAAAGAACCACCAGAAGATGGCAAAGCAAATAACAGTCGCAGTCCCCTGCAAATAGTACAACGCCGGCCAACTCCATTCACTTTCGCATAACTCTCCGGCCACAGGCATGGTGAAGATCTGGGCCAACTGAAGATGGGCTGAAAGCCAGGCCACAAAAGTGCCCGACTTTCGGAGAGTAGCCCATTCGGCGATAATAGCACCCATTGCGGGCCAGGAAGTGGCGACAGCGACTCCTTGGAAGAATCGGAGAATAAAAACGGCGCCGAAGCCGAAGGGAACCATCAAGGGGAAAATCAAGGTGGCTCCGGCGGAGATTAGACCGTAAATTGTAAAGATTATCCTGAAATGGATGGGGAGTTGTTATGACAAGATGAAAAACTATTTTTAAGTTTTTGTAGCAAAATTTTTTGAAAACTGGAAGTTACAAAAAAGAAATAAAATTGATGAGTAAAATCCTACTTCATCCCCCAAATTGGAGTCAACAGTGTCAACGGGATTGTCCCAATCAGCGTGCCCATAGCCACGGCCGCAAAAAGCCAGCTTTTCTGGATCTCGCTGTACAATAACTCCGGAACCACATCTAAAATTGAAATTTTTAGTCCATTAACTTAATAAGACAATCACGAGAAACAAAAATGAAAATAATTTGGTACCATACCAGTCAAATTTCCATTTGATATCGGCTCATCTGTACTGTTATCCTTGAACATACAGATTACGGTAAAATTTAGTGCCAACGAATTACTCAAGATGCAGGTTAAACACAACGTAGTTAGAAATAATACCACTAGCCGAGTTTTATGGGCAAATATAAATGCGGAGCTATTGGGTTCGTTGGGATCCGCTTTATTCTCTCTTTTGGCAAGTGTAATATCATCATTGGACAGAACTGGCTCGATTTTTTGGGTATTCATAGAAAAATTTGGAGCTGAAATTTAAATAAATAGCATGGTGAAGGGTAATAAAGGCTAAATTAATATAAAGAATAAGAAATTGTCGGCCTATCACATAAAAAATTTCAAATTTAGAGGAGTGAAGATAGACTCATCTCTAAATTTATGTTCTTTTGACCTGCAGGACCTCCGTCAGTCTGGGTTTTTGCTCTCTGACGGCTCTATGATCTAGTGGGACTAATGATTTGACGGCATGGCTTTGACATTATCAGCAAAAACACGAAAACAATCCCGTTCTTTGGAACTAATCTAATATCCAAGTACAAAATAAATCGTAGAAAAAAGGATTTAATTTAATAGCTTCGGAAAGAATAATCATGATGAAACAGACTGCCAACTAGCCTTCACAAATTTCAAAGGGTTTATTCCGGAAAAGAAGCGGATTTTCGAATTGGATTTTGTGCTGATAAGTGGCCAGTTTTTAGTGGGAAAAGGCTCGAAGAACTGACGACAAAACTACAAAATCAGCTAAACTAGAATAAGCCATCATGCGGTATCTGTTCCAATCCCACTATAAACCCGGAATAAACGTCTGACACCACTGGTTCTTATGTCTGTCGGGAAATAATGAAGGACAGCGCCGCGTGCAGAAATTAATTTCGCTACGACTTCTCGGATCAACGACAATTTGACGATACTTTGGGGTGTCTCAAAAATTAAGAAAAGTGGGGTTAGCAACAGCCAAAATTAGGGAAAGTGGTCATGTTGCAAGTCTCCGCCAAGCATTCAGCGGCTTTCACAGGAATTGTGTCGCCGCAAAATGATATTATTTTTCACTTCAGCGACAATAATCAGCGTCATTTTTCCCGACAGACAGATACCAAGTATTGAGTAAAAATAAATTTGTCCTTCTCCCATGTATACCATCATGTTTTCCCTTCGTTCTTTCTTGCCCCTTGATTTCTCTTCCATCTGATGTCATTTCAAACTCTTTTAGAAAAAAATCCATGGCCCACTTGTAAACTTCAAGGGGTTTGGACCCACAAACTCCAAAAAGCCCTCCGGAAGCACACAAGTTTCCACGTTTCTTGTCATTCAATTTGAAAAAAACACAGCTTGACGAAAGGCCTCAATAAGCCACAGAAATTCCACAAAGTATCACATTCAAAAAATTTAGCGTTATAATTTATTAGAAAAATAACCAAAGGAATAAACAAGATATGGAGTTCAACAAGAAAGCTATGTCTCAAGGCAAAATTTAAAAAAAAACTCTAACAAAAACTAACCAAGAGTGTTTTCACAACGGCAGACGTTCACATTGAGAAAACCCAGATAAATACTATTACAACAACAGATCTTTGAAGATAATAATCATCAGCATTAGTCATCAACTTCTGCCTACTACAACATCATCAATTTATTGTCCCCACAATTGAAGTCTCGATTGGATACAAAATTGATGGAATTGTGGAGAGCACTGATCTTCCAAATGCAGTATGCGCCAGGAAGGATTTCTCGTCGTAGTATGCCTAAATGAGACTGTTATAATAATCATAACAACGTTAGAAAAAAAAATAATCAAAATATTCCAAGAAAAGGCTCGAACGAGTTCAGGAAGATGAAACGCCCTCTCTATACTACAGGCTTTCCTTAATCCAGCTATAGTAAATTTTTGAAGGAATTCAAATTTATCCCGAAAATGTCATAAAAATTCTCAACATAACACCACCCTCAAACCACCCATAATCTTCTAAAATAGGCCTACAATACACCTACCCTTGACTCGGTTTCAAACTATTCAACATCATCGATCTGCCAATTTTCTCATAATTGTAACCGTCCGCTGCCATCAAAGCAATGCCGATTCTGGTTCCTCGCAACAAAGCTTCGGCCACCGCATGCCCCTCGTGACATTCGCGTGGACGGGGGACTCCGATGTAACTGCCTAAATTCCGAACAATCCAAAAAGCCCAAAGCACAACTTACTTCTTAAATTTTGTCCATCAGCTATAACTCGTTTCTCTATGGCGATTTCGACCATCGGTAGCAATTTGTGGCCGTTCATCCGAGGCTGAAGGTTTGGGAGAGCTCAGTATCAGATTAGCCATAGAACCATCTAAAATTAAATATATAAATTCAAAAAATACATCAAAAAGCTAAAGAAATCGAACAAAATTTTCAAAAACTCACCAAAAGTATGCCATACAGTCAAAAACCTTTGTCCAAACCCGTCCTGAAACGTTCAAAATTCCACAAAAAAGTCCGAAATTTCGCCACGTTGCAAGAAACGTTCCAAAAAACTGAAAAAAATTGAATGAAAATTCGAAAAAAGTCGAATTTTCCCACAATTTGCATAAAAATTCGAAATTTGCATATTCGAAATTCACCAAAATTTCGTTGGCATTTTTCTCATTTACCGGTAATTCTCCGAATCTGGTTCACCCATCTTTATGATGTCAAGCTCAAGCTCCCCAAGCTCTCCAATCCGCTCCGGCGATGAATCCGCCATTCAGGCGATGGCCCCGACTTCCTCCACCGCTGCCGTCCCGGTGGTTGGAGTCGGGGAACGGCCGACGGGTAAGTCCAATGCTTTTTGGGATTTTTTTTGGGGTTTTTTGAGAATTTCAAGATTTTTTTTAACTAACATAAGCTTAGGGATTAAAAATATAAAAAAAATATCAATACTTTAAAACACGATTTCTGAGTCACTGAATTAGCCGTGGACATAGAAAAATATCGATTTTGAGTTTTTTGTTTTAAAATGACCGTAGGCTTCCAATAAACATATGACTGAAATATTTTTGTCTAATTCTCCCATTAACCTACTGTAATTTACAATTTAATGTTTTTACAGTAATCGACTATTACTCCAAAACTACGCATCGTAAATAGTTGAAATTAAGAATACTTATGTTTTAGCACATGCTCGTCAAAGTGAATACAAAATTTTGGCACTCAGGTTACTGTAACATACCGCAATATAGGTTCGGCCGCACAAAATCGGCCGTAAAAAAATTGTTTCTGAAAACCCGCAGCTGATTTTTACATATGTTGTTCAGCGTAAAATTCTGCCCTAGAAACATTTTAAAAAAGTTTAAAAAGTCGTGCCCCGATTTTCGTGGTGTAGTGGATTTTGGTCAAGTTTAGTAATCCGAAGGTCGCGGGTTCGATCCCGGTGGAACCAAAATCTGTAAAACCGCACAAAACTTCAAAAAATCGTGTCGAGGGGAATTGATAATATACATGCAGAGTACCAAAAACTGTATCATGGGTTATTCGCAAATTAGAAGGCATTTTTCGGAGTTAAAATTATTATTTTGGTCTTCGCGGATTCTGGCCCAAATTTAGTTAAGCAAAATGGCTAAAAATGATAATATATACCTTTTCTAGCCTTCTGAGTTCAATGCACCCAATTTTTCGGACCTAGGATTACTGTAACATGGCGAAAACGGATTTCGGCCGCTAAAATCGGCCGTAAAACTGTTCATTGCGAGTATACGCAGCTAATTCTTCGATTTTTCGAATCAGCGTGAAATTTTGCCCCAGAATCATTATATAATATTTCTTAGCTGACCATTTTTATTTCGCAGAAATTTTGCACTGAAGATTACATACAAATTTTTTGGTTGAAAAAAAAAATTTAAAAATTTGGGTTTTTGGTCTATAAATGTGTGGATCCATCGTTTAAATTCAGATTTGAAGTATTTTTGGCTTAATCCAGAACTAATGCAGTTTTATTTACAATTTTCAAACTTGAAAGTAATTCACCACAGTGAAAAAAGTGTTTAACTGAGAAAGTCAACTTTGAGTGTCACTAGTGTGGAATTTCATGCTGATTCGAAAAATCGAAGAATTAGCTGCGTATACTCGCAATGAACAGTTTTACGGCCGATTTTAGCGGCCGAAATCCGTTTTCGCCATGTTACAGTAATCCTAGGTCCGAAAAATTGGGTGCATTGAACTCAGAAGGCTAGAAAAGGTATATATTATCATTTTTAGCCATTTTGCTTAACTAAATTTGGGCCAGAATCCGCGAAGACCAAAATAATAATTTTAACTCCGAAAAATGCCTTCTAATTTGCGAATAACCCATGATACAGTTTTTGGTACTCTGCATGTATATTATCAATTCCCCTCGACACGATTTTTTGAAGTTTTGTGCGGTTTTACAGATTTTGGTTCCACCGGGATCGAACCCGCGACCTTCGGATTACTAAACTTGACCAAAATCCACTACACCACGAAAATCGGGGCACGACTTTTTAAACTTTTTTAAAATGTTTCTAGGGCAGAATTTTACGCTGAACAACATATGTAAAAATCAGCTGCGGGTTTTCAGAAACAATTTTTTTACGGCCGATTTTGTGCGGCCGAACCTATATTGCGGTATGTTACAGTAACCTGAGTGCCAAAATTTTGTATTCACTTTGACGAGCATGTGCTAAAACATAAGTATTCTTAATTTCAACTATTTACGATGCGTAGTTTTGGAGTAATAGTCGATTACTGTAAAAACATTAAATTGTAAATTACAGTAGGTTAATGGGAGAATTAGGCAAAAATATTTTGGTCATATGTTTATAGGATGCCTACAGTCAATTTAAGATCAAAAACCCAAAATCCATTTTTTTCTATGTCCGGGCCTAACTGGCGGCTGATTCAGTGGCTCAAAAATCGTGTTTTAAGTCATCTGATGACTTGAAGTACATCGAAATTATATTGCTGAAAAAAGAGCTCAAAACAGCTCAAAATTGACAAACCCTATACTTAGTTGCAACTCGAAATTACCGTAGTTTTTATTTGTGACCTGTAACATCATAAATTTCATTTTTGGCTGGTGGGTTCCTACCCTAAATCCCGCCAAAAATGGCAATACAAAGGCCTAAGGGCCTTGAAAATACACTATTGGACCGTGAAGTGTAATATCCAGGCCCAATATTACATAAAAAGTCGCAATTTTGGCTGGTAGGGATACTGTATTTTCCCGCCGAAATCTATTTTAGTACGGTAAAATACGGGCAATTTTAGGTCCAAATTCTTTGCGTTTTACAGTGTTTAGAACCCCGAGAGATCGACCGCCGTATTTTAGACGGAATACTGAAAAATTTCGAACCACAAAGGCAGGTTTTCGGTAAATTTCAAAAAATTCAAATTGCGGATTTCATTTTTTTGAAAAATTTTTGAAAAAAATGCTTTTTTTGACACACCGTTAGGCAATAAAATCAAAGCCAAGTTAGCATAAATTCTGAGTGTGCTTTTGATATAAATTTCGAAACATTTTGACAAAAATTCCAACCCCTTTACCCAAATCTTGCTTTCTGATGACCAAACCCAGCCCGCAGTCTCCCGGATTCCCAAAAACCCAAAAAGAAAGACTAAACTATTCATTTTCATGGCCAAAAATGGTCCTACTGTTTGTGTTCTACTACAGTTGTCATCCAACTTCATCTCCAATCTCCTTCGTGGACCAGGTAATAATTTTATTTTTCTTCCTTTCGCCCTTTTCAGTTCGTCCAGGCAGCCATTCCAAGATGATTCAAAGCTCGATGGCTTCCCCCTTACCAAAGGTCCATTTCCAATTCCGTTGGCGTCCTGAAACATCAACCATTACAATTGGATATCCTTATTATTACATAAATTCTAATTGTCTTAAATGTAACCATAAATACTTACATGATCTTATACTATCCACGTAAATTGATCATTTTGTTACTTATCACGGGGTTTGCACTATGAGACACCACCCGATGACATGATGAACTTCCTGGATCTCCTCATTTGGACCAATTCAATCACTGGGTTGATTGCTGAAGATGAACATCAACTGGACCATGATCATTATTTAGGATAGGATTAGGGTCTTACTAGACTATTTCCCAGGGGTGGGGAGCTCGTCTCGTCCATGGATGGATGTTATTGATGTTGTTCTTGGCACCCGTCCTCGTTTTTCTTGTCAAAATCTTGTTGAATGACCTCTTGATGTGTTCTGAGTAGTGTTCTCCAGGTGGACTTGACTTCTCGTCGTTCAGGCTCGTCGAATTTGTGGTTGCGTGTCGCGTGGACTTTTCAGAGACTCTAAACATCGATTTCATAATCTTCGCTCAGTCTAAACATCAAAAAGCCATCAAATCGACCTACCGGCTTGAGTAACATCAGAACTCCGTACCATTTCCATCAGATTCCTTCAAATTACCACCTTCAAACGACCAAAATGTTCGCAGTGGAAATGAAGGCGCATTGACATTCCATTTAATCAACATCTTCACCATTAAATTCGTTTTTACATCAGGACCCCGATCCAATTGAAATTTTCAATCTTCGCCACAATTTTTGGAATAATGATCTTCAGCAATGCTTTCTTTAGCCTATCCATTACATCAATATCGCCTTGGAAGTGACCGAAGAATCAACGAATATCTGAAATGAAGCATTTAGAGGACGGAGGAAACAAGGAGAAAACATAAATTACGGAATTTTTTAGACGTTTTCGCCCATCCGACGATTGAACCTACATTATTTTAGCTCAATTCGAATATCCACATACCAATCTGACCATTTCATCTCCATGCATCCAATCCAGCACCAGTTTTCCATGATTTTCACGTCGAAATGGCCCCAACTCACCCAGAACTTGTCCACCCGCACCTGATCTTCACCAATCAAGGACCAACAATTATCTTGGTTCGGACCACCACCTTTAATTTGGTTCCATCTCATCTTCTGGAGTCCTTTTGAAGGATCTCTCTGTTCCACGTTGTCGTTTGATCCAATCTTTGGGTCATTCAGTGTTCTACAGCTTTCGAGCTGCTGTGCTGTCGATTTCCTGATCACCACTATAAAAAATACGCCTTCCGGTCGCCATCAACATAAAAAAATCAGCTTCGGTTTCTTGTGATTAATACGGTTTCCGTCACTGCACTTCAATGTGGATCAATTTTCGACGTATGTGGAATGTTTTCTGGAGAAATAGCAAATTCTTCGCAGGATCTTGATTCAAATATGGAGTCTTCGGTCATCGTGGACCCTCAAGATTTTGGATCGTCATCATCTGGATCTCCGCCTAAAACCAAAAAGGATTACTTCAGAAAAAGCATAAAATTTTTAGTGGGGAAAATTAAGAGAATATTAGAAAATAGGGACCTTAGTAATAGTTTTAGAATTTTTGGCCATGCTTTTTCAATTCTTCGACTAATTTTGGTAATTTTAGTGTCTCCCAACACCGTCGGTCATGGCTCGTGCCCTCCATCCGAGCCTGAAGTCCATGCCGTGCGGGCCGAACTCCTGCCGGCGGTCATGGCCCCTCCTCTGGTTGGCCAGAACCAAACCGGCGTCCCAGAGGAGGGTAAAGAGGGGCCAAGCCCAACACCTGGCCTCTCTGGCTTCGGCCTAAATCCCGCCCCAACCGTACAGGCCGAGCACCTGCCGGCGGTTGAGGGCACGGAGAGATCGAGCTCACCACTCGATCTCTCCGCCCCCAGCACGTTGCAGTTTTCGCCCGCCTACAGCACAGGGCACTCAACGCTGCATGGGGTCCCCTCAATAAAATCATTGGAAGTCTTCGATGAGGGGGAAGACTGGGCGGTGGAGGAGACGGTCGAAGCCAAAATCGACCGTCTCGAATATGAGCGAAAACTATGGAAGACCGAATGCCGGAAGATGTGGCAGAGGCAAAAGACCCTGGAAAATAACGTCAAGTACTATGAAGGGGCAGTTGAAGAGGCCCAAGCTGAAGTCAAGCAGGCCAAAGAAGAAGCGGCCGCCGCAATCAGAAAAGCGGAAGAAGAAGCCGAAAACAAGATCAGCGAGCTCCAAAGAAAATATTTTGGGGCCCTGACCGAAGCGGACCGTGCTCAGAGGAAGCAAAGGGAGGCAGAGTCAGAAGTCGCCCGCCTCCAACAACGCCTCACCGAGAATTTGAAAAAGACCGCTCCCCGGTCACCAAGAAAGGAGCGGTCCAGAAGTCCACTGCGAACGGCGCGGGCACGAAGTCCCGAAGTCCAGCCAAGTGCCTCGCCGATACCTGAAGCCAATACGCAAGTCGAAGAAGAACCAGAGCTTTCGCACCCGTCCTTCGACGTCCAGGCCGAACAACATGATGCCCCAGGGCCTCTCCGACGAATGCCGAAGTGCAGGAGGCGGTGCTGCCAGCCGCCGCCTCCTGCCAATCAACCTCCTCGGCCTCCTCGAAGATCAAGGGAGGCTGAACAACTCGGCCCAATCATTGAACCCGTCGTGTTTGATGAAAGGCCCAGGAGGAGGAGCCGCCAGCCTCCAGCCCGACTCGTCGTCGACATGATGAGAAGAAGCTACGCATCAATGCGGAATTCCTTGATGCCTCGTAAGTTTATTGGCTCTTTTTTTACTCGTTAGGCCAAAACCCTCTGGAAATAAACCAAGCTGAGGTGTTTTTTGAAGAAAAAATACATTATCCGTATATAATTCTCAATAATATCTGTTTTTTTCAGGTAGAAGGACTCAAAGGCCCAATGTTCAGGACGAGGCTCCTTGGTTACTTATGTGAACAACCCATACTGAAGACAGAGCTCCGCCTTCAGCACCTAATTACGTAAGTTTTTGGCAGTCACGCCTCAATAACCTCTATTTTTCAGTAATTGGCAAAAATTCACTCCCAAAATTAAAAAGAACTTACCATAAAGCTCTTCGGGGACCAATCATCCGTTGTTGACCACAATACCCCGCCTATACATCGTGCAGTTGATCAGTACGAGAAAATGTAAGTTCTCTTTTATTTCCAAAAAAATAATTATTTTTGCGAACTGCGCCCGAAAAAAGAACGCTTGCTCTTTTTTTGCCATACGCTGGTGAATTTCGCGGGTATAGTATAATATAATTGCAGAAGGTAGTGCTAGAACTAGGTGTAAAGTCGCGTGTAAACATCTTTAAGCTTCATTTTTTTCTGGACCTCCCTGACTTTACGGTTTTTTTTTGAGTTTTTCCCCATTTTTTGTCTAAAATAACATAAATTTTATTTATTCTTTTATTTTCAGCCAATGCCAAGTCCAGGAAGGCACAAAACAAAGGTGGAGCACCCTAGCCCCCCGAATGAGCCCGGGGGGCCTTCGGAAAATCAAAAAGGGTGCTCACCTTTTGTTTCCGGCCCTGGTGTGGACGTTTCTGGTCGAGCCGGAGCACCCCGGCCCTCCGTTTCACTCGGGGGGCCTTCTGGAAAATCACGGGTGCTCGGCAAGACCAGATAAAGCACGTTTTTATGGTCAATTTTGTGGATTTTGGACTAAAGTATGGTGAGTTATCATGTTCAAATTATATTTTACCTTTATTTTTTCAGAATCCCCTCAGTCAAGACGAACTGCGGGAAAGGAGGAGCACCCTCGCCCCCTGAGTGAGCTCGGGGGGCCTCTGGAATTAAATGGGTGCTCTTTCCTAGTCCTCCACGTCCATGAATGAGCTCAATTGCGCTTGGACCAGTCCGTTTCTTCATGAAGAAGATCCGACCCAACAGTTTTTTGCCAGATTGGACTCTTCGAATCGCTGAAAATGGAACAATTCGGACCGGAATGGAGGTAAGCTTGCTTGCTTTACTTAACGGTTTTGCTATTGTTTTTACATTTCTTTTTCAATGTGGGCTCATTAATGATTTCTGTATGTCATCTGCAATTTTTTTAGAATTACGCCAAAATGGTCTCCACTCCGGCCAGCTCGACTTTGATGAAGATGTAGGTCAACGTCGAGCTGGCAACCTTCAGGAACAGTCCAGAAGCTTTGAATTGTGAGCCCACGAGCAGGAAATGAGGTAGGTGGTTTTTTTATATTATTTGTTTGGTGATTAGAGAATTTTTAATAGAATTTTGTACGATGTTGTAGTAGATGTTCATTTAACTTGTCTTGGCGAAAACCTGCACTTTTCGGTCAAATATCTACGTGTTGTTTTGTGTTTAACTTACGTTCTTGATGGGTTTAAAAAAATGTAAATGTTTTGTGTGATGTTGTAGTTAGACACCAACTTTTTTTGCATCTTGATTTAGTCAAAACTTGGGAACATTTTGCCGACACAATTTGCCCGCGCTCAAAAGTTATTTCATTTTCATCCGTCTAGGTCAACGTCGGTGCATATTTCGTTTTTGCCGTTGCAATTTACCGTTTTTGCAACAGCAACGTGCACTTTTGGGCGCGATAAAACCCGAATTTGCATGCGCGGCGTCTTAAAAAACCCGAACTTTCGCACGGTGCGAAAATTGTCGGGACTTTTGAGCGCGCGTATTTTGCCGTAGCCCTTTCCAAAAATGCAGAAATCTGTTTTTCGACCGCCCATATTTTTTCATGTTGTAGTAGACATCTGTTCATTTAACTAGTCTTGGCGAAAACCTGCACTTTTCGATTAAATTTCTAGGTGGTGTTTTGTGTTTAACTTACGTTCTTATAGTAGACACCAGACCTAGTACTAAGCCCTTTCAAAAATTGGAGAAATCTGTTTTTCGACTGCCCTTATTTGTTCCTTGTCTCTTTGTGCGGACATTTTTATTCGTTCCTTTTTCAGACTCTTCCGTTTACGTGAGCTCGTGCCCCGATTGGATCAATCCCTTTACCATGGATAGATCTATGCTCTCAAATCCAATTGGACAAAGATTGAATCGAAAAAGAAAAAAGCCAAAAAAGGCAAAAAAAAAAAAATAAAATAAAAAAGGCAAAAAAAGCCTAAAAAAAGAAAAAAAGCCAAAAAAAAAGAAAGAAAAAAGCCAAAAAAGAAAAAAAGGCAAAAAAAGCCAAAAAAAAAAGAAAAAAAATAAAAAAATGTATATTAATTAAAGCCTAAAAAATAAGAAGGCAAAAAAATGCAAACAATGTTATTTATTCTCCGTCATCGGTAGTCATCACAAAAATATAACACCACTCCTTATGTCACAATGCATTCTTAGTGGGACTTGATCATGTAAGTTATAATTTCGGCTTGAATTTTACCTTGCTTTAGTTTAAAATTACATAATTTGGATCTTATTTCAGTATTTTTGGAATCTACGAAATGAATGGCAACTTACCCTTTTCGATCAAGCAGCCAGCAGAATTCGACTTCAGATCGACATGGAAATGAAGAAAGTCCATGGTCAATACGAAGCAGTGATTATAAAACGTAAGTTTTGGTTATACTCCCGGACATTTCCGACCGTCCATATCTCAATTGAATCTAACTCAATTGCTTTGAAGCTTGGCATGTGCGCTAGTCATGACAAGCAGAATCTGCCACTTAAAAATGTTTTTTGTATCTCTGTCCTTAAGCGAGTTATGCAAGGTTTCCAAAAATAGGTGGACAAAAATTTCTGATCACCGAAAATAACTAGGGTTTTCCCGATCACCTTGAGTAGGCGACATGGTTCAGTTATCTTAAAACAACCTTTAGGGACCTACAAGGACGATGAGTATATTTTTTAACACCAGGCTTATGCCCTCAAGCATATCGTATCATTGCAACGCTTTTTTTGTGGTAAAATCATGCTTGAACCGACTACGGGACCTTTTTGTTTCCGCGTTGGAGTTAGCGATACAAGATATTACGCTGTGGAATATTCGATCTCTGAAGAATCGCAGGCGTTGTTTAAAATCTGGCTGAAAATTCTCTACAAAACTCTTTGATACATAGTGAAGAACGTAGGAATTCCGATTTTCTAATTACAAAATTGTTAGAAATTTGCCAAACGATTCTCGAGTTTTGGTTTTGGTCTAGTTTTACCTCGAAGTTACAAGAGCCCGGTTCACACGCCAATTTGTTTTTGGAAAAAAGTATATTTTTGTCAAAAGCTGGAGCTGCGCCCGTTCTTCGTGGTAAAATCATGCTTGAACCGACTACGGGACCTTCTTGTTTCCGCGTTGGAGTTAGCGATAAAAGATATTACGCTTGGGAATAGCCGATCTCTGAAGAATTGATCATAACCGCAGGCGTTTTAATTAGATCAAGCTGAAAATTCTCTACAAAACCCTTTGCTACATAGTGAAGAACGTAGGATAACATTCTCCACCAATTTTTTTCTTTATATGTGTAAATTAAGGCAAACCCCCAAAGAGGGCGCAGTGATTTCGATTTTCTAATTACAAAATTGTTCGAGTTTTGGTTTTGGTCTAGTTTCACCTCGAAGTTACAAGAGCCCGGTTCAAAACTAACATAAATTTAGTCTGCATTGTGCAGGGATAAACCATGTTTAACTTTGGCCGGTTCGGACAACTTTTGAAAAAGTTACAAGCCGCTAAAGCCTGGCGGGCTGGTGAATTTGGTACTGGTTTTCGCATTCTTGATGAAAATCCTGATATCTATCTGTATAATGGATATGAATTTACTATATGTGTTCAATTGCATAATGCGGTGCGCTTTTTGCTTTTATAGGCCACCTCTTACGTTACTAACAAAACCGTGTAAAGCGCGGAATTGACAACCCTTTGCGATGCATGTTACTATTCCCCGATTTTTTTTGCCATAAATATGCGCTTCTTTGTCTGTGCTATGCAGTATTAGCAGTTTTAGCCCCCTAGCAAATATTTGCCGGCAGTTGCAAATAATTTACCTAAGTGATCAGAAAGTTTTGTCCACCATTTTTTTTGAAAATGTCGAAAAAACTGCCCTCAAAGTGCAGGGATGAAAAATTCCGTTTTACCGAATGTTTTGCCGCTCTTTTTGATAGGGCAGTAAAATTTGGAACTGCAGCTCAATTACTATAGCAGCCGAGCTGAAAGGTGGTCAGAGAGTCCGGAGTATAGATTGTGGAATGTAGAGGACTTTAAACGTGTTTTTATAATATTACCATTCGTGTTTCGACGTTTTCTTTATTTATTTTTTATTTTTCAGACATTTTTGATCACCAAGACCCATTATTTGCACCCCATTTGGAAGCTCCTTCAAGATTCACTGCCAATTTTATGGAAAAAAAAGATGAAAAAAAACCAAAAAAAAATAGAAAAGGCAAAAAAAGAAAGAGAAAAAAGGCAAAAAAAAAAGAAAAAAAGCCAAAAAAAAATAAGGAATAAGAAGAAAAAAAATAAAAAAAAAAGAAAAAAAAATAAAAAAGAAGAATAAGAAAAAAAACTTAAAAAGAAGAAAAGATGTACTCTCCGTCGTCGCTAATCATCCCACAAATTTATCCCCAACTTGTTATGGATTCTTAGTGGGACCTGATAATGTAAGTTATCTTTTCGGCTTATATTTTACCTTACTTTAGTTTAAAATGACGTAATTTAGATTTTACTTTCAGTATTTTTGGAAATCTACGAAATGAATTACCCCCGTTCCGACCAAGCAGCCAGCAGAACTCGATACTTTGGAAAGACATGGAATTCAAGAAAGTTCTGGTCAACACGAAGCAATCAATATAAAATGTAAGTTTTGTTTAGATCGTGGAATATAGAGGGCTTTGAACATGTTTTTATAATACAGGGTGTTTCAAGAAATTCCGCGAAAAGTTTTTGTCGATTCCTTGGCGCTCAATCAAGATATCCAAAAAATCTTTTTGCAGGGTAAAGAAGATGGGCGGTTTTTTTCCTTAAAAAATCATTTTCTACGCCAACGCGGAAAGCAGTTGATTCGGCGGAGACATTTTGGCACTTTTTCGGTCATCACACTAATATTTCTTGACTGAGCGCCAAGAAATAGACAAAAACTTTCCGCCGAATTTCTTGAAACACCCTTATTAGCATTCGTGTTTCGACGTTTTCTTTATTTATTTTTTATTTTCTAGGCATTTTCGATCACCAATACCCGTTATTTCACCCCATTTGGAAGGATTCACCGCCAAGTGTATGAAAAAAAACATAAAAAAAAGTAAAAAAGCCAAGAAAATAAAAAAAAGAAAAGAATAGTGGCTAAAAAAATAAAGAAGGCTAAAAAAAGAAAATAAAAAAATAATGAGAATTGTGAAAAAGCCAAAAAAATCTTACAGGGGAAGTACCCCAAGTGCGACGCTCAGATTTTGATGAAACTTGGCACAAATTTAGAATAATTTTTTCAAAGATATATGCGAGAATCCTGGCTCGCGCAGAAACAACCGAGATTTTTAGATCGAAAGTCGGTGAAAATTTAAGACTTTTTGCCTAATTTCGGCACGAAAAGTTTCATGCCTATTTCTACCGTAAAGGATAATGTTTCTACAAAAAATCAAAATTTTCCGCACGAAACTGCCAAAGTTATGGCCAAAAAGCGTTTTTCTCTTTGACCGCTCCACGTTTAGCGTGCTCTCTCGGCGGCATAAATCGTTCGATATCTCGGCGGCGCCTGCAAAACGCGAGCTAAAACTTTCAGGAATTGATATTTAGTCTATTCCCGACGTGTGTGCAAAATTTAAAGAAAATCTGAGCGTCGCACTTGGGGTACTTCCCTTGTTAATTAATTAAAAAAAAGAACGTAAGAAAAAAGGCTATAAAATAAAAAAAAAAAAAAAAGAAAAGAGAAAAAGCCTAAAAAAAATAAAAAGAGAGTAAAACAAAGCTCCAACAACTCCATCTTCACCTTTCTCTCTCTCTCTACTCCCACCACCTCCCTCCCCCTCCCCCTCTCCCTTTCCCCCCTTCCCCCAATCATCAGAGGCTTCTTTGATGATTAAAGTAAGCTTTTTTATCACTTTTGTAGTATTTTGTTCTTCCTTATGAGTTCGGATGCTGCACATTCTATTTTTAATATCTTTATTTTCATGAAATCCGTCGAAAATCTGACATTTGGTGCCTGGCGAAGACAAAGAAATCAATGTTATCTGGGAGAACATCGTCGAATGGAAGAATCAGGTCAGTTGGGAGGAATAACTGTGGAGAACCGAGTTGTAGAGGGGATAATAGGAGCTGTTTAATCGAGAAAGAGTTTGGTTTTGTGAAAGGCCCGCTATTACGACATATTTTTTTAAATGTTGCGGTAGGGATGACTATTTTCCCTACAAGTTAAAAACGTGGAGAGCGGTTAGAGAGAAAAACGCTTTTTGGCCATAGCTTTAGCTGTTTCGTGCGGAAAAATTTGATTTTTTGTGGAAAAAACTACCCTTTACGGCAGAAATTGGCATGAAACTTTTCGTGCCGAAATTCGGCAAAAGGTCCTAAATTTTCTCCAATTTTCGATCTAAAAATCTCAGCTGTTTCTGCAAAGCTAGGATTCTCGTATATATTTTACAAAAAATTATTCTAAACCTGTGCCAAGTTTCATCAAAATCTGAGCGTCGCACGTGGGGTACTTCCCCTGTTAATCCTTTTTTTCGAGTTAAAAAATTGATTAGACTTACGTTAGGTTGAATTTTTTGCTGATTTATATTGTTTTTTTTAAAGTTTTTCGCTTCTTAATACATTATTCTTTCAGAAAGACCTTCATCCTTCATGTTTGCCTTGTGGTCGACAAGGAAGCTGGAATGATCGGAAACGAAGAACAAGTCACTCTGCCGAAACCTGCCTTCCATGGAACGGTCGGCTTGTTTGAATATGTACAGTTCAATTTGTTTGGGGGTAAGTGAAGCTTCGAGTATAGAGGGTGACTTTGGTTGATCTATAGGCTGGAAGTCCGTTTTAATGTGGGTTTTTGAAACATGTAGATTGCCAGATTCGCCGTCATGACGCATTTTTTAGCCCTCTGCTGTGTTATTATATTTGGTCGTTTTGAGGGTAAAAGTTGATGAAGACACTTTTTGCTCCATGAATTATCTAATTTAGTGGTAAAGGACTTGCTTAGTAGGGGCTTTATGTTGTTAGTTAAATTTCCTTTTCAAATTTTTCCATTTGTAGTAAAGCATTGCTTCCAGGTTGCCCGTCAAAGTTTGTATATGAATGGCAATTGATATAAGATTGAATAAATTTGAGTGTGGAGCGGTGGATATCAAGGACAAAGTCATCATCGTTTAGTCTGCACAATGCAAGAAAATTATAAAAGTAAGTGGGTTATCGGTTATTAAACTGATCTGAAATTCCGTAGGTGGATTACAGGGGAAATCAGTCAAATAAATTATAATTGAATTATGGGATCGTGACAGTTTTTGATCAGGTGTCTTTTGGTTTGACGTTTTGGTCTCTAATGTGAAATAAGCGGGATAAAGTAAATTCAAATGCGATAAAAGTATATAGGGCTCGTGCTTTATAAGTTTCGTCGGCTTTGCAAAAAAATGTTGCAAAAAGGCGTTCAGAATTCGCTCTGAACGCCTTTTTGCAACATCAGTTCAAATCGTGAAAAATCGTGAACTGATTATTGCAAAATCAGTTCACGGGGTGAACTGATGTTGCAAAAAGGCGTTCACGATTTGAACTGTTGTTGCAAAGTGGCGTTCAGAGCGAATTTTTTTTGCAACATTTTTTTGCAAAGCCGACGAAACTTATAAAGCACGAGCCCTATATGCTACTAAATATTTTTGGCAGAATTTTTATCACTATGATATTACAATTTTTCGAGATCTCTATATTAATCATGAGATTGTTGAACTTGATTTTTGATTTTTTAGCCTTCTAATCTCCTTTTCTTGCAGATTCCTTCAAGTTCCATTAAACCTGTCCAGGCAACTTTCCAGCCAAGAAGAAGAAGAAGAATCTACGATTTTAATTTGATCTATTTGTTTCTTTTTTATTATTATTTTGTTTGCTTTGAAAGGGGAAGGGGAAACGAGAGAAAAGGGCGGAGAAGGTAAGTAATCGGAATTGGGTTGAATGGGGTTGATGCTGTAGTTGGGCAGCCTAGGACGAAATTTTTATTACTGGGCTGGAGAGCATTATCGTAGATATTGATGGTTTAGTCTGGAGGTGAGGGGTACCTAGAATTCTTTTAGTTTTTGGCCCTGAAAGGTGTTGAAGTGTAGATTATTGCGGGTTTGTCGATCCAATTACTTATATCCTCTGGGACATTGGGCATTTTCGACCTAGGAGACAGGCATCGTGGAAGGGTAGCATGCATAACACGTAGGAGGGGAATACAGTATGCGTCATAATTACAGGGTGCGCCAATAAAATCTGGACTAAACTAAATTCCATGTAGCCTTTTCGGACGGCCTACGAATGGAAACTTTTAGCACTTTTAGAAAGGGTAACAACCGTGCTGTAAAGCAACGATAATGCCCAGGTCGGTGCCTATTGCCAGAGCGAAAAAATAATCAAAAGTTTTTGGAGGTGCAGAAATTTTTTTTCCAGATGATGACTGGGATATTAATTCTTCCATTATTTCTGCTAAGGAGGACTGACGTTCTTCAAATTTATTGTATATAAAGTACGTGCTGTTAACTTCGTAACAGCCAACGGAATCATGGTTGGCGGCCGACCTGGCGGCGCTGGTGGCGGAAACAAAAAAAGGCCCAAAAATTTGGATTTTGATGTTTTTAAGGATCTCAACGCCAGATTATAGCCCGTGTTGCTCCAAAATTCCGTGATTACAGAGCGTATACATATAGAATTGTTATAGTGTAAAAGAAAATCCGCACATACAAGGGGCAGTTTCTGCATAAATAAAAGTTCATGGGGGGAATTCAAGGCACGGTCATTCGGGACTTGAAACGTTTTGGCAATTTGTAACAAGTTGGAAAGGCCTTAAGCGTAAAAATCAACATAGCGTTGTATACTGGATACATGCTAATGTAGCCAAATCACTTTTAGAAATATCTAGTCCAAGGTCACTCGCATAGCGAGCATATAGTAAATTATGCCGCTGCAGTCACTATTTCATCCCCAGAGGCGGCAGATAGAAAAGTCCTCTTTGAAAGGCGACTAGGCAGACTCTGGTTATCCTTGCAAAAGTAGTTCTGGTGCTTAACATGTTTGGAATCACGCAGGGAAACTTCTACATAAAAATCTTTGATTTAACGGAAGTTTTCGGGAAAAAGGGCCCGTTTTTAAGCCAACTTTGGCGAGCTGTAAAAAGCCTAATTGTCATAATGAGGCAAAATCAGTTTCAGTGTATAAAAACCGACCAGAGCTCTATCAGAAAAAGTAAATTTCAGCCCATAGCATGAAACGGTAAAGATAGCGCAACCATTTTTTGACCAATTTGGGGTCCGTGTTTCAGGCGCCTTAGTTGTAAGCACTTATAATGGCAAAACAAGTGTCGTAGACGATTATATTGTCTGAAACTTTAAAGATAGCTTCTTAGACGTATTACACGTGTCCACAATCGCCCACTTTGTTCTCGTACTGTTACAGCCCGCAGGGCAAGCAAAAATATTAGTCCAGATTTTATTGGCGCACCCTGTATAACCGCACTTTAAAAATGAGTGTAACTTTTGTGACTGCGAATAGAAATGTGTCATATTTGGCACCAATGTGCATCAGTGTACTAGAAATGATGTCCCAAAAAATTATTTTGAAAGCTTTCCGTTTTTTAGAAAAAAGCTGCAAAAACCAAAATTTTGGTACTTTTCGGTGCGTCAAAATTATAACCGCACTTGCGAATTTTGGCTATTAGTCTAATGAAAACACAGAATATCAATAACTGATGTTTAGTTAGGCTCCCTGAGGCCTCAATAACGCCCATCACACGACTCGGAACCCTCTGGGAAAATTTTTTTGGCGCATCCTGCCCATCTTGTGCCTGAATCGGAAAACGGCAGATTTTTGCGCAGTAAGACCGTTGGGCCCAAGTTGTGAGGAACTTTCTGGTCGCCTCGGAAGCTTTTAACAATTCTGAATGTTATGGCAGACAAAAGTTTACCACTGCTTCCGGTTGAAAAGAAATAATCCGCCGGGCTTCTAATTCTGCCATCTCTGGGGTTCACTTAAATCAAGCTCTGAGCTCCAGTAGCAGCGGGAGCACCGTGCTGAGAGTCGGAAAACACAGCGACGACATCACATGGCATTATGTGACGTTGTGACCCCAGCTGACCGCAGTTTACGGCAACCTGCGGCCGAAATTTGCCAAGGATACATTCACAACAGAGGTTGACTAGTGACAGATCGCTGAAATCGACGTTTGACCGCTGCAGTACCATATTCCTTGTAGATTGGGTAGTAGCGTGATAGCCTTGACGGTCTTACATACCAATGGCATGAGATTAAAAACGAATCGCGTTACTTCTTATGCCGTAATTATAGAGGCCGCCGGCTGATGATTTGGGTCGCCTTCAAAAAAGCCGGAGGCCTTCCGTTGACGGCCACAGCGACTCAAATGAAAGGTCTTGATTACTACGAAGTCTTAGGCGAACATTTGGTACCGTACTGGCAATCTGGCTATACTTTTGTTGGAGAATGCCCACGTCCACCATGGCAAGTCGACATGCCAGTTCCTTTGACAGCAAGGCATTTGCCACCATAGACTCGCTCGCATATTCCCTGGGTTTAAATCCGATAGGAAACTTGTGGGGCCTCCTCCCCCGTTAATTGCATCGCTACAACCAGCGGTATTCTACCGTAACTGAGCGAAAATCTGCCGTTTTCCGATTCAGGCACAAGATGGGTCAGGATGCGCCAAAAAAATTTGCCCAGAGGGTTCCGAGTCGTGTGATGGGCGTTATTGAGGCCTCAGGGAGCGTAACTAAACATCAGTTATTGATATTCTGTGTTTTCATTAGACTAATAGCCAAAATTCGCAAGTGCGGTTATAATTTTGACGCATCGAAAAGTACCAAAATTTTGGTTTTTGCAGCTTTTTTCTAAAATACGGAAAGCTTTCAAAATAATTTTTTGGGGCATCATTTCTAGTACACTGATGCACATTGGTGCCAAATATGACACATTTCTATTCACAATCACAAAAGTTACACTCATTTTTAAAGTGCGGTTATAATTATGACGCATACTGTAGCTCCAGGAAGAACGGTTGGGTTCGTGAGGGTTGTTTTATCCTTTGTTCGGCCGTAAAAGCGCCATTTCTGTCGGTATTGTATTGTTTGAATCGTGTTTCAAAGCCGAGAATGGGAAATCAGTCAACTAGGCTGATCCTGGTCGGTAAGTTCCAGGAATCCAGCGGCCGGGTGTTCTATGGACGTTCGGGGGTCGTAGTACTAGTCGCTCCAGAAAGTGCGTGCCCCTTTCGTCGCAAATTTTTCGTACTGTTCGTTTGATCTTTTGCAACTTGCAATTCAAAAGTCTCAGCGACGTAAGCGGCAAAAAGTCTGCGCACTTTCTGGAACGAGATTATTATTATTTTCATAAGTGCATGGACATTTGCACTGTGCATTTCGCTTTCTTCGCGCGACACGATCCTTTCCAAAATATTTTTTCACGATGCAATTGTCTCAAGTTTCGCGGTGGCGCAATGGAAAAAAGCTTGTGTCGCGGCGATTTTGTTTGAAAAATCAAATTGCATTGTGCAGTCGACCTTTTTCTTGCACAGTGCGGCGAGTGACGAAACGTCCATGCACTTCATGAAAATGCTAATAGTAGTACTACGAGCGCTCAAAGGTCCTGACAATTTTCGCACCGTGCGAAACTTCGGGTTTTGGACGTTTGTGGCGCGCAAAAGTGCAAGTCGTTAGCTCAAAAACGGGGAATTGCGGCGACAAGCGCGAAAGATGCACCGTGCGGATGAAAATGAAAGAAGGATGAACAGTGCGACAATTGTCAGGACTTTTGAGCGTGGGTAGTATTTCCTGGTTGTTTGCGAAAGTTTTCTACTTTCTGGTCGAAATTGTTCTTCTTCGTGTAGGGGGTACGTTCAACGGTCATCCGATGGAAGTCTTCTTTCCGCTGTTCTTGTCAGCTCACTGGCTTGTTCCGTTTCCCAAGCAAGCCATTAAACATTCGCAGCAACACCTCATAATACGGTGAAAATTCCGCCTCTTGTTTTGATATTCGTCTAAGGCCAGGGAATCACTCAATCCTAAGCCGTTTGGTTTTCCTCGAGAGGAACCCCTCGTCGAGAGGAACCCCTCGCGAGGGGTTCCTCTCGATTTTTCCGAATATGGAGGAAATTTGTCGATGTAGGGGGTTTCGAGGGCGGGGATTTCAAAAATGATGTTAATTTTTTCTGATTTTTACTTTGTTTCTTAACTAGTAGTGCTAAAAAGTAATTTTTGGAATTTTTTCTATAAATACTCGATTTAGGGGTTTTCGAGGGTGCTGATTTCGAAAATCATGTTAGCTTTCCTCTTTATAGTACTATCTGGTACTATGCAATACGAGGTGAAAATATGGCTTTTGGCGTTAATCGTGTTGTTTTGATGCTTAGTACTCCTCAAAAACACGTTTTAAATAACTGGTACTGTTTAGTACTGTCTGGTACTATGTAGTACGAGGTAAAAATTTGGCCTTTAGGCGTTAGTGGTGTTGTTCTGTTGCTTAGTACTCCTATTTTCACCTTGTACTACATAGTACCAGACGGTACTAAACAGTACCAGTTATTTAAAAAGTCTTTTTGAGGAGTACTAAGCATCAAAACAACACCATTAACGCCAAAAGCCATATTTTCACCTCATACTGTATAGTACCAGAGAGTACTATAAAAAGGAAAGCTAACATGATTTTCGAAATCAGCACCCTCGAAAACCCCTATTTCCAGTACTTTTAGAAAAATTTCAAAAAGTTACTTTTTAACACTACTAGTAAAGAAAAAAAGTCAAAATCAGAAAAAATTAACATCATTTTCGAAATCCCCGTTATCGATTACCTCTATATCCAACATTTACTACTCGGGGGTTCCTCTCAACGAGGGGTTCCTCTCAACAAGGGGTTCCTCTCGACGAGGGGTTCCTTTCGATGGCATTCAGCCGTTTCACCTGTTAAAAACCCAAAACGCCTGGTTTCCGCAATACTCAACAGCCATCTTCATTTTGTCCTTACTTTTTGATGGGAATTTTATTCAATGAGACGGAATTTCCGTCGGAAGAATGGAACTATGACGATTGGGGAAAAAGACGATTCGTGATCTTTACTTTTTTTCCTTAAGCAGTACTGTAAAGTAGTAATGTTTTGAATTTTTTTTATCAATACTCGATTTGGGGGTTTTCGATGGTGCTGCTTTCAAATCAGAAAAAATGAATAAGACTTTCGTAAACAGCACCATCGATTATTCTAATTTCGACGGTTGCATCGAAGAGAAAAATATTTTTCGGTTTCCCCAATCGTCCAACTCACGCCGTCCTCTCTCCCTAAAAAAAAGCAGCGGGGAAAATCAAATCCCTTTTCGGGGACTGACGGGAATTAATTTGCAGGTGGTCAAGTGTATTGCTAGGCTTCCAGAAGTGCGTACTTTCACAGAAGAAAAGTGGATCCTTCCTTTTTTTCTTTTTTGAACCTGGGGCGCATCTCTCCCGCATCAAAGAATGACTGTTTTATATTGTAAATTTGTTCACCACGAGAACACACATTTTCTTAAGAAAATCAGAGTTCCCAATGTCGAAGCCTAATATAAGAGGCAATGATGCTGGTGTTCAAGGCAAAGGTGACGGACTAGAGAAGAATTGCCAACTGATCGGTAGGTGTGGCAACATGTAGAGAAAACGAATTTGGGTGATTAATATAACAAGTTGGCTTCTTGAAGTGCCGGAGGAAAAGGAAGAGAGGTCAACAAAGAGGGGGAAAGCCATGTCATGTTGCGTCACATATAAAGGGGCACTTGAAAATTGGGAAACGCACGACACGTAAAAGTGACCACAAATGAGTCAATTGATAATGAAACCTGCTTCCTTGGGCACAGACAGCAGTCTATCATCTGCATTTTTTATATACTTTCAAAAATAACGCGTTTCCGTTTACCCAATCTGAAAAACAAACACAACTTGACGAAAAGTCTCAAAATCTCGCAGAAGCTCCATAAAACATACCAAAGAATCCCTAAACGAAGTTCCAAAAACACCGACTTCAGCACGACAATTTATTAGAGAAAAATAACCATAAGGAATAAATAAAATCTGGAGTTCAACAGGAAAGATATGGCTTGAGGCAAGATTATAAATACTGAAAAAAAAACTAACTAATAGTGTTTTCAAAACGGCAGACATTCACATTGAGATAACCAGCTTAAAGCAGATAAATCCTACTATATCAACGGAACCTTGAAGGCAATAAAAAAATAAAAGTTTCCAAAAAATGACAAAAAAATCAAAAATTATGTCCTAAATTCTCAAAATTACTCGTAGAATTTTTTTAATCCAATAACAAGACCCATATTCTGATTAAAATTTTACCCATTTCCACTTAAACAAAGTCCATGTTATTCAATTCTGCTGACAGTTCATCCATATCCACATTCACCTTGCTCGGCTCTTGAGATGTCGAAGGTTGATTCACGGGACCTGGAACTTCTGACCTGCCCGATTTCTGGACGGTAGAATTAGACCAAAGCAATTCTCTTGGTATTTCATCATCATCCGAACTGAAAGCCTCATCTAGATCCGCAACTCCTTCTTCAATCGTCGTTTGATAGGCCTGTTTTTTCTTCTGGGGCTCCGGTTTGTTCAACTCCTCGACGCTGATCAATTTAGCTGGCCTTTTCGGCATGGGAGGAACTCTTGGATTAAGTGATTCCTGAGGGGCCGGCACTGCTCTTTGAGGCTAAAATTCACAATATTACACTACCTTAACTCTGTAGAGTATCATGAAACAGGCCCCTCTAGTCACCTAAATCTCTATGCACATCCTTTGCCCGCCTCACCTCTTCTTTTTGTTCCTGAACACTCTCCGCGGGTTTCTGTTGTCTGTTGCTCGTATTGATTCCTCTGTATTCCATTTCCTCCCGATCTTCATATTCCTCCTCTGGCTCTTCTTCTTCCTCACTATCGTCATCCGAAAACACCATATCTGGATTCGCGCTAGTGTGAGTGGCCACAGTCGCGGTACTTATTGGATTTTGGAAGCTTTCATTGGCCGGTGGGGGAGCTTGTTCGACAGTAGTTGTAATCCTGGTAGTGGTATGTTTGTGCGTCTCCGTTCTGGAGGCAAATCCATCCGATTCACAAGAAGACGGGAACTCGACAATTGGTCCACGAGTCTAAAAATACAAAAGAAACTTCATAAAAACCATATTAACCATGACAAACATCTAAACCGATGTAATTCTTACCTGCACTTCGTCGGCTTCAATTATTTCTTCAATCTTGACGGTCTGGACTGGCTCCGAGATGGCTGGTCGTTGTGGTGCAAATCCACCTCGAACACGTGGTGGATTCATTCCCCCGCCTCGATTATACGAACTGTCATTCCACTGTCTGTTGCGGGTTTGGTATCTTTGATCCTGACGTTGCGATTGTTGGGATCTATTGTTAAAATCTCTGCTTTCGGATCTTTCTGTTGTATTCCAGTCGCCCATTCCAAACCTCGGCTGATAATCTGATTCATTCCTCAAGTCAAGCTCCTCTCTTCTATTTCCAAAGCTCGAGTTCCTTCCGAATCCTCGGCTATCATCATAGTCAACAAACTGGGAGGGGAAGTTTTGAGTCTGATTGTATCCGAGCGAGTTCTCGTCGTATCCAAACCCTTCTCTGTTCGAATGAGCATTTATACTTCCAGAATGTTGCCTTCCATGATCATTTTCTCCATACTTTTCTTGATGACCAAAGGATTGTTGAGCTGACTGTCTGGATGGCGGGCTTCCAAAGTCTGGTTCATAGCTTCTCTGTTCTGGGAATGACGTTTCCTTGGCTGAATTCTGCCAGTTCCGTTCGTTTCTCCCAAATCCATCCTGATTTCCATAATTTCTTTCTCGATTCGACTGTTGAATTTTGTTTCGGGCTATTCCAAACAACGGCTGATACGAGTCTTGCCGGGACGTCGATCTTCGACTGGTTGATCCTTTCTTGGGAGGGGCAAAGACATCATCATCCACACTTCGATGCCGGAACTGTTCTTGATCGAGGAGGGTGGCGCTGCTCCTCCGAGTTCCAGTCGACGATTTCGTTGGCTTCCTTGGAGCTTCGTCGAAGGGTTTGGGGCGCGGGTACTTACTCATATCAATATTAAGGATCTAAAATTCAATTCTCAACAGTTTTTTGCTCCAATCAAATTAATCGTCAAGAAATTACCTTCACTTACAAAAAAACTGTCTTCCTGCAGAGTCCATTCCCGATTCACCATCCGCGCAATGAAGCAGTACGGTTTCTTTTCCGTTCCCGCGCGTCTGCCCAAAACAATTTGGCCATATTCGGACCGCGCGATATATCTTCCATCAATAATTGTGGGTTTATAAAGCTCGAAACTGGTGAGATACAAGAGAATCTCAACACCTGAAGGAGTAGTGAGTTCGATAATGTTGTGCGAATTGATTTCCGGCTCGTAGGTGGTGCTCCAGGCGTCCCTCGACTTCTCCTTGGTGATCTTTCTGGTCGCAATGAAAGAGTAGAGGTCCTTTTCCAACTTTTTGAGACCAAATATCTCCACTCTGACCTTCATTCCCACCAAAAGATCGTAGCACATGCTGAAAAGAAATTACAAATAATTGAAGATAGCCCTGCGACTGATATAACCATCAGTACACTCATTGCATAACAACTACTCACTTGTTTTTGTGCATGAATCCGAATTGCCCACTCTGAGGCTCGTAAAGCACTTCTCCGACATCCTTGATTCGGCGGAGGATCAGACAATCGGCGTCTCCTTTTTTGACAGAACTAAACGACAATTGTTCAAAGCTTGCCGGGATGGGATACTGGACGACAGTGCCCAAAACGGCATCCAGAATGTCGGGCTCAATGGTTCTTTGTTTGAGGGACTTGTCAATCCTCATTTCTTCGCTTTCCTATAAAAAATTAAACAAATGCCTCTAATCCATGATAATATGAACCAACGTTGAATAATATAAACGCATACTTCATCATAAATTTCCAATCCCTTTTTCTTCCATGGTCCATTCTCTTGTTGCGGCGGTCCAGAATTGTTGGTCACATTCTCATCCAGCACATAAATGGCGGTTGACGGACGAGCAGCCGAGATTCGGGTACTCCGTCTAGTGGCTTGAGAAGAGGGCTGGGGGTCGGGCTGCTTTTTAGCCGCGCTGCAAAAGATTTTAATATTCTCTGCAGTCAGATATAACACTAAAACTGAGAACAACACTACAAATCAGACTTACGCGTCTCCATTCGACGGTAATCTCTTTCTGACAGATTCGGAAAAGGTTGGAGGAACACCGGAGAGATTTCCGACCGGATGACTGCTATTAAACGTGTTTGAGACGTTCAAGTTAGAAGTTCCGTGGAAGTTGGACTGGGAAAACACTGAGGATCGACTGGCTGCTCTGGGCGGGGAAGGGCGGGTATCTTGCGGGTTTACTGGACCCGTTGACTGCTCAGCGAATTCATCTCTGGCAGACTGAACTTGGGCACTCTGCTGCTGATGAAATGAGCGCTTCATTGACTCCGGGATGCTCGATTCTGTTCGAGAAGAAGAGAATGGAACCGGACGAGGTCTCTGAAGATTCGAATCAGGTTGCTGCGATTGCGTAGAGCCATCGAAAACAGACGATCTTCCATGAACTGAATTTCTCAGATCATTTAAGCCCGGGGTCGCTCTAGCTGAAGCCATCATTGCGGGACGAGGCCGAGAGGGCTCCTGAGTCGCTGATGGAAGAACATTTGAGGGCCCGGGGCGCTGAGGTTGGCGGGATTGAGTCGACATCGCCGTTGGTGGTCGACTGGGCCGAGGATTCGCTTGGTTCTGATTGCTTTCTTTGTCTAAACTATCAATATCAACTCAAAGAAACATAATCAAAAAATCTACTCAAAGGAAAACGTACCATGAGCGGTTTCCCGAGACTTTTGTTCGTTCCACGAGAAATTCAACGCCTCATTCAGTTCAGTTTCCGAATCCAGTCCATCTTTTCTCGGAGGCTCCCTTTTCTCAAAGTTTTGCCCCGGCATTTGGAATCCTTGCTGAAAGTTCTAAAAAGCCAAATAATTTTCATTAATCATATCAAGAGCTATCAAATCTCGTCGAAGATTTAACTTGCCTGTTCCTCGTTGAACGATCTGTATTTCTCGGCTTCTTTCCGATGCCGTTCCTCTCTTACTTTGAGCTTGTTCTCTTGGATCATCTTCTCGGCTTCTTCTTTTGTAAGCACTTTCTTTTTTGGCTTCACTTCCGGGAACTTCGGCTCAAATCGGAAGTCAGTTTTCTCCAGATAATCCAAGTTCACGGGGATTGGCTCCAGAATTTCTTCGTCGCTGTTGGTGGTGTTCTTCTCCACGCGACTAAAGTCCTCTTTGTATTCGGCAACTTTTTTCATCAGATAATCGCCCATATATTCAAGGGGTCTAAAACAATATAAAATCTTGTTCTATAAAAGCAAAAAAAAGTCCAGAACCGACCTTACCCTTTCTCCTTAGCCATCCTGATTCGAAGCCTCTCCAGATCTTGACTATAATATTGTATAGGGCATCTCTCGTCCTTCATGGCCCTGCAGAAAAAGTGTCTCATCCTTTTCTGTGTCTTCGTCTTGTCTTTTTCAATTTTCTCAAAGAAGAAACTTTGCTCATCTTTGAGAACCAACGGCCCGCTGTAATGTCGATGTTCTTTCCGGATCTTCCAGGTGTCGGCATTCACGTTGTACTCGATTTCGACCCACATTCCGAAAGGGACTTTCTGGCCTTTCCTGATCTTCTCCCTTATCTTTTCGTCGAACATCTCATCCGTCACCGGTCCGAGGTACTTGTTGAAATAACTTCCATTCTTCATTCGATCCACTTGACAAAAGAACTACAAATCAAAACCAAAGACAAATTCACTTACAATCATTCTGATACAGCCTCGTTCGTAGATTTTTCTGGTATAAATCGGAGATGGGATCACTCGGGCCCGCACAATCACTTGGTCCACGATTTCACAGAGAAGCCAGGTGCCTTGGACAAGTGTCACGGCCGCTTTGGCCATACCCATATGAGTCTTGACATTCGAGATTCCGTCCTCCGAACATCCTAGTACAACGGCCACAGCCGCCGTATATCTGGAGGAGCTCAACCTGAGAGCGCCGCGGTATTTGGGGAGTGGTTTGACCAGTGGATCTGGCCGGCCAGTGGGGCGGACATGGTCGTCTGGAAAGCGATGGCCCGAATCTTCGTCCGGATCCGAGTCTTCCGCGGCGGCGGCATCCACCTCCACGGGGAATGGGCGCTGATACTCGACGTCAGAATCTGCTCCGTTATCTGAGTCACTGAAAAAAATAGATTTCAGTTGATCTGGACCACACAAACTGAAAGGAAAAATGTTCTGTCTCTCAATCCCACCTTTTGTGCCCAACCCTTTCCTCGAAGCTGCTGTTGGCCCAATCGTCATTTGAGGAGTCATTCACAATACTGGCGGCATCCGACTCCGACTTGAATCCTCTCCGAGGGATCACAAACGGCTTTTTCTCAAAGCTTGGATTCGTATCCTCGAACACCTCAGATTCACGAGCCTCGGATTCGGCAGGCTCGGATTCAACACTTTCAATTTCGCTCAGGCCAGTGTCTTCGATCCCAACAAATCTGAAAATAACCATGAAAGAAACAAGACTCAATTTGAACATAGATATAACTCAACCTACCCTTTGCCTCTTCTCCCTTCCAAAGTGATCTCTTCCTGCGGCTCGTCCCTCCATCTGGCAACTTTTGGAGGCGTAATCCGCCTTCCAACACAATCATCTACATCTTGGACATCATCAAAAACGGGATTGGAAATCTTTTTGGGCATGTTTGCAAATCCTCGCGTTTCCACAAATTCGCGACAATTGCCATTGGATTTATTTTGTTTAATCCCTGAAAAGCATTAGTGAACATTTCCTATCTTAAATTCATATTACACTGGATAATAATCTACAGCAATATAATTTCTTACCTGATGGCCCTGGCTGATCTGAACCAAAAGTCTGAAACGCCGAACTCCGATGAGGAGCTATGACTGGAGTTGGCTTCAAGACTGTTTGCTTGTTATCCGCTGGGAAACGACAATTTACTCGGATCGGGGAGAATGTCTTAGAAAACTTGTTGTATTCTGTCAGCAATGAGTCCTGTAATTCGTCGTAGATTTGGTCCAGAGCTGGATTGAACTTCAATTTCGTCTGCAACAAGAGGTATTGCAATTAATCGAGCCTAAAAGGCAACAATAAAAGTATAAACCTTACCCATTCTCCATTCCGATCTCTCAAAAGTGCAGGTGCCCACTTCCCCTTGAGAAGCCTCTTCCCCTTGGCAGTTGTGGGGTCGTTCATCTCCCTCACCGCAGCTGTAAAGTCGTTTACGGTGTCGAAACAAGCCACCTGAACTCAAAAATAAGCTCAAAATATTCTCTAAAGCCAAAAAAATAAATGAATAAACCTACAGTAATATCACCTCTGCAACATCTCAAAAGCTCTATATTATCCTCGTCGACAAAGTCGAGTTCATCCAAAAACTTGTGACGAAAAGCCTTGTCATCCATTCGACAATCCCGGCCAATGAACCTCGTCAAATCCTCGTATTTTATGGGGACGTGGATCTGAAAAACATTGTTGGTGCAAGAACAAGGTCGAAATTGCAAATATCGGATACTTTTTGCAAAAACATTTCCCCTAAACATCAACTGATAAAAAGAAAACACTCACAACATTTAGAACGTTGTTTTCAACTTTCAAATCTTCGTATCCAGTGTCATATTCAGGCAAAAGGAAGATCTCTGTTCCTCTGTCCTTAACCATGTAATGACGACCCAAAACCAGTTGACCCTCATTCTGAAAGTATGTTAGTTGGTTGTACAATGCTATTTACAAAAAGTGTAAACTGTATAAAACAAAAAAAGTCGTAAAGTTAAGACAACTTTGTTTTAGGGCATGTTTGGACCAAGTATAAAGCGAGAAGTCTTCGAATTGCAACTTTTTATTCGATTGCTACAGACATACCCCATAATCAAAAACACTTCGTCTTACCTGTTCATCATAGAAAGCATCCTTGAATTCCGATTTATAGAAGATTTTAGCTCGTCCATGTTGGAAGGAGATCAACACTCCGATGGGACGACCGTCGGCAACAGCTATCCGACTCTGGCGGATCTAAGCATCAAACTATCAAAAATAACACGCATAAACTTACAAAATCAGAAGGCATTCCTGTATTTGAGCATGAAAACGGTCTCTGATAATATCAACCTTGTTGTCTAAATTAATTAATATATGGAATTTCTCAAAATTTTCGCGATAACGTAATAACAAATTATCTCAAAGGGTTGTTAATCATAACGAAGAAAATATGATCTTCGATGCGCGCAGAACAAAGAGAAAGAATAAAGTAAAAAAGTTACGAGAAATGTCCTCCATGGAACATTTTATACGATGAAAGCTGTTCGCAATACTTCGTCGTGTTGAAGCGTTGCGCAGGTATTTATAGTCAGGTTGTTAAGATGGATTTGGAATTCAAATATATTTGATTAGTTGTTCATAGAGGTTGAAATTTGATGGGATGTTTTTATATTTTACATAGCGTTAGTTTTCCAAAAATAAACGGAACTTTCGAAACTGCTGTAAATTCTTGCACCTATGACATTAGAAATGCCGTTAATTATATGAAAGTTCATTTCCGCAGCTATCGTCTTTTCTGTTGATATTTCGCGTCTTAATTCAATTTATTCAATTCATTCCTTTCACGGCATTTCTTCGTTGTTTATCATGTTCGAAAAAAGTGTATTAAAATTTTGCGTTTACGGTATACTGAACCAAACACTTTATGATGCTGTGTGTTACGGTCTTTTGGAGCTTGGACATGCGTAATTTGTTGGGATTAAGATATCGGAAATGGTTTCAATAACGTCAAATGGCGAGCCTTTTAATGCAAAACATGTTCTTCAGTCTCCGAGGGGATTAATCACTCCATTTCGGTCTGGGACAGCTACTCATGGGGACCATTTTCGATATGATTGTAGTCTGGGACCTTCAAAACCCTTGTTTCTCACTTATCCTTGTCTTTTTCCACATCAAATGACGTTGGCCTTATAGTTGGAGATGATCAATGAATCACGGTGATTGACTTTTCTGGGATCCTTCACCGTGCAATCAAGACTCATAAAAGTCTTTGTACTCATTTATAGTTTCATTGTAACACCGGGCTACTGTAATCGGCTTAGCAACGCTTTTAATGCTTAGAAACAGTTGTTAATCAGCGATAACAAGTTTTTCTAGAAATTGGAGGAGTCTTTGTGCTGAAAACTTTATTATTACACGGACACTTTGAAATCGAAATTTCAAAAAATATCTTGTTATCTCATTCAATCCCAAAACTACACTGTTTCGTACTGTAGCGCCCTCTCTAATCGGTTTACTGTTAGTAAATAAAGAATAGATTTACGAAAACCTCTCTGGAGTATGTGTAATCTGAAGCCCTTGGGTTAAGCCTGAAAACGCTGTGTTCTCTGCAATAATTGTTTTGGTAATTGATCTCTGGAATTTACAAAGTTACTAATGATAAAATAGACAGCCGTTTGAAGCAAGTATTATTACTGATATGTATCGTACCATAATACTGACCTGGATGAAGATGGGTTCAATGCTAGAACATAATCCTGGTTGTTATCATACGCTTTTCAACAAACTTGTTTGCAATTTTATGTTGAAAGGGCAAAGATCATTGGGAAAAAATGTTTTCCTCCGACCAACTTGTCACGACTCCTCGTTTTGCATGCTCTCTCGCAAAGAAGACTGTTGGATACTACGGCAATCGGTGGAAATGTAAACTAAACCTTTTGAGGAGTGGGATAGTGAAGAACCTAAAAAAATTAAATATTATACTAATAGATTTTTGTGTCGGACCCACTTTTTTCAAACATTATATCTTATAGTCTGCGACTCTTTTGAATATTTCATCCCTCTGCTTCTTGGCCCCATTAATCTGAACTACAATTTCAAACCCCCATACTTACAAAAAGGGGTCCCTTTCACAACAAATTGTAGTGCAGCGGTTACAATTCCCTGACCTTTCCTCCGTATGTACCCTGAAGAATACAATCTGTATTGTAGTCGTTCCGCTGATATTGTAATCAGTCCTGTTCTTTTATTTTCTTTTTGTTTCGAGAACCGCCGAGTGGACAATGACCGGAGGCGATGAGAGTGCGGGGGCTACTTCTTTGACTTTGTTTGTTCGACGTGATCACAATGCGAACGAGTTTTGTTTTTTTTTCTAATTCTACGTGGGGTTCTATTGGGGATTATCGATTTTGCGGCTTGTGGACTAGAATTTGTATCAAAAAATGGGATTTTCTTCAATTTTTGTTTTAATCGTATTTTACGAAACCCGGGAAGTTATTCTGGTGATCTGCTGTTTGAAATGGACTCTCAACTAGTGGTAAATCATACCCTGGAAGTTTGAGTTGCACCTTTTGTGACAGCTGGAATGTTTCACAGTCTTGTCCACGAGAGAGCACGCAAAATGGGGAGGGCCGGTCAGACGAAAAGCGGATTTTCTCCAAAACCCTTTTGGATCTGCGCGGAGAATTTTGATTTTTGGTAGAATCTTTATGCGCCGCACTGGCAATCATTATGGTGCGAGAATTGTGAATTAAAAATAATTTTAAATTTATTTTTTCGCAAATTCAAAAATCAATTTTAATTCCAATTCGCCGTATACTAATCAAAATTGAAATTTGTTCTTTGCTTTAAACCTTTACAATACTGCCATAAATCGAGACTATGGGATCAAAAACTTCAATTTATGGGTGTTTTTCGCCGACTAGAAACCTGTTTCATATCAAATAATAATTCCTTTCGATTTCGTCGATGATGTTTCACTTTTTGCACGTGCGCGGTCTCACTTTCTTGGGGTCGAAAAGAGTTTGTATTTGACTGGAAGTGGAAGTTCTGCTTTTTTACTTGTATTTAAATTAGTGACCATATAAGTAAGCGGGAAGAAGGGTACTTTGAATAGGCTGTTAAGGTCGTCTTATTGTTACAGTTTCAGCGGGAAGTTTTGAAAAGTGATATCAAATTGAGATTATTTTGTATTTTTGACACTTAAAGGTATTATGTATATGTACAAAACAATGGTATATGTATATATTACAATGCCCTATACATTTATACTGTACTTGCACCAAAATTTTTTACAACATTTTCAGTCCAATGTCATGAACAATCCCTTTATTGCAAATGTAAAATTTTGATGGAATTTCAAATGATTTGCTTGTCGGAAATTACATCAATCGGATTAAGAAAGTTTGTAAAAGCCGGTTGCTTAAATAAAATAGGGACTTTCGAAAGTAAAAAAAAAAAGACTTACCGTCTTCCATACAAATTGCTACAGATTACGGAAGTTGCAAAACACGGGTCAAGAAGGTTCTGCAATTTCCTCTCTTTCCTAGTGTACTTTTCTTTCTTTTTTTTACTGTAAATACTTGCAAGATAATCCCACTAATCATGTAAATACAATTTATGTATCTTTTGGCCAATTCTTTTGTCTTTTGTGAAAATATTTCTTTATAACAAGGATTAAACTTACCAGGGGGGATCAAGTTCGAAAAAAATAATCGCGACTTTGAAATGTATTTATGAATTTACAGCTTATTGCAAATTCGCTTTGTTTGGGAATAAAAAAGCGCCAAAAGGTGACTGGTCGGGAGAAATCTGGCGGGGTTTTAACGATCATGTCAGCAGTAGTGTACTAAGGGAACGGAATTTGATTTTTGTGCCTTTCCGGGAAGACTTTACCGTCAGCCACAAATCATTCCTTGCAAGTTTTAGCTCGCATTTTTTATCGACCTACATAATTTTCTGTAAAACGTACCTTAAAAATCTTACTTATGTCAACAAAGATTTTTGGTGTTCTATTGTGAAAAGTGTCGTTGATCTGTCGGGCACCTTGCCTGAACATCACGAAACAGGTCAAATTGCATTTATTTTTAGCAAATCCATGACGTTATTTGAATACAAAATGGGTCATTTGCTAAATTAACTTAAGTATTTAGAGTGAATGACAGTTACTAACTAATCCACACGCGATTTTACCATTAAAAAATTATGATTTTTGCTATTTAATATGCAAAGACGAGGGATTATGGGAATCTTCGAGGGACAGGTTCTCAGAGCAAAGTTTTGATATCATTCTCGGTCGGGACTGTAATCTTCGTTTTGGGAAAATGTAAACTAAAAATTGAATTTTTGATTTAATTAAGAGCCAGCAATTGTAAGAAAGGAGGCATGGTAACGTTACAGTATCTTTAGTGTCTATTGCAAAACATTTTCCACAAAAATTGACACAAAACTTGCTGCAACAACCCTTAAGCTTCTTAAGCTCCACAACATTTTTTTTGTTCAAATTCGCCATAAGCACAACGATATTTTCATTGCACAAGTCTTTTGTACAGCTCTCCGTGATATGGTAGGCCCCGTTTCCCACGCTCAACTGTCATAATCCAACGTCTGAGCATGTCATTCAAAGTTCCATTAGCTCCTAGTATTTGAAACTTTAATCATCAAATGTGTCGTCAACAGTCGGCATACAGGCAGGGAGAAAATGGAAATGGTCATTGAATCGAAATTCTTACAGTCATTCTTAGATTTGGGGATTAACAACGTCTTCTGTAAGGCCAAACAGAAGACGTAATCGTCAGGTATATTTGGAGAGGTGTTCTTCGGATTTTACGCAAAGCTTTTGTATCGTATTTTTCATGCTTATGTATGAAAAGTACGATACAAAAGTATCTTGTAGTATCGCTTTCTTTATTAACTAATTCCAAAAGTTGCAAGAGAACGTACTTTTTCACAACGTCCAAGACTTTTAGAATGTATTGGAGTAAATTATGTAAGATTTCTGCTAATTCAAGCTTGGCCAATTTGGCTACAAATATTTTTTCTATAGCCCTTTCTCCCAATGTGTATTCCATTTTTTTCGAAGTTTTGTGTAACGCATGTGAATTATTATACCGCTATTCTCGTCCGTTTATCTCCTTAAGAGAATGTGTTGAGATCCTATTATGTCCGGACACACTACAATCCCTTGAAAAGCCCGTCGCTACACGACAGCGGTCACAAGTGAGATTATAGATCAAGCAAGTAAAAATTGCTGAAGTTTTACATTATTGTGAAACTCTAGATCAAAAAATATGGCTTTGATCACTTCACAATTAATAAGTCGTTCTAAAGCATTTTTTGAAACGAAAAGCCGTGCTTTTCATACGGAAATTAGGCGAAATTGAGCCCGCTATATACATCTTAAGAAGTTGTGTCCTAAGAGGATAAAGATGTTGTAAAATTTCTGCTGTTACGTACTGCGCTTGGCGAGGCTTGTGTCTGGTTTGGCCTACGTAGTATTGTAAAATATGGGATAATCGTATGAGCGGCTCTTCACAACTATCTTAACAAAAGATTTAGCACAATTACAACGATGAGGAAAGACAGGAAAAGTACCGTCTAAGCTCAAAATGGGCTTACAAAAACTTCTGATCCTTTTAACTTCTCGGACATCGCTAATTGTGAAAATAAGGCGATTGAGGAGTATTAGACAATTCGAGAATCACAGCATCCCTCGTCTCTCCCTTCTTTGCCACCCAATTTCCTGGTTAGTCTTCAAGGCCAACTCAGTGCAACGCATTCGTCTCGACGGTCGTCGCAAGGCGAGATTGCGCCGTTGGCATGGGCTTTGTTGAAGAGAGTCTCTATAAAGGCTCAGAAGATTCTTCTGATGAGCATATTTTGGCCGAGCCAAACTGAGAAGTAAGCTAGCCAATAACCCGGACCTAAAATTTTTGGTCCGAGACTTATTTCTACGTATATTCACGGCTTGAATTTGTTTTTATTTTTGTAAATTAAGCTTCCAAATATTCTGGAAACGTTTAAATTTGCTCAGCCGGTGATCCAAATGTGACTTTCAAATATTTATTGAAATTTTGGAGGATACTTTTTACAATCTTTCGAAACTTTTTAATTCAAAAATGCAATTGTTTGTTTGCTGTTTGTAATTTTTGGTCACATTTTTAATTATTTTTAGGCTTTAGTTTCAGTATAAAAAACATGATTTTAAAGAATACCAATAACGAAAATTATATTTTTTAAATACCAATTCATTTTTGCTCCAATTTTACCTAAATTTGTCAAAATAAAAAAAAATTTTAATCATTGTTCTCTAAACTTCTTAATGTTTTACCTTCGAATTCTTGCAGTTTGTTTACTTATTTACCCTTGGTATTATTATCATAATGCCAATTGTATTTGTCTCCTGAACTTTTCTTTCAAAGACTAATGACTCATTTATTATCTTGTCCCCTTCCTTGAATTTGAATGCGGATCCCTCAAAGAGACTTTAAAGACGTAATGGATTACCAAAATTTACGTCTTTCGCCGCTCTTGCCTCGAGGCTTTGACCTTTTCTGTATTTTTTGAGGGACTCGGGGCTCGATACGTTTCTTTTTCACTCGGCTCCTACGGTAAATGTCATCATTAACTTCCAAAACCTTTTTTCGAATGGAAATTAGTTTGAATTTTTTTCGGGGGAGGTTGAATTTGGTATGCAGATAGTAATGTAATTGGGAGAATACGCATTTGGGTGAACTCGTAGGTGGGATGTTGGGGTTAAAAATACAATGAATTTTGGATCTTTTGCCAATTAAAGATGTCATTTTGACCTTTTTAAAAGTGCTAGTGCGTCAGCAAAGCTGCGGCAACTTTTATCTTTATTTTTTGATTTTAAAGATTTTTTGTTGCGATGACTAAAAATCTAAGTTTACATCTGCAAGTCTGGGCATAAAATTGGGGATGTTCAGACGCAGGGTCTTTTGGGTGGTATACCTCGGCATCATCTAGCAAAAGACTTGCGAAAACCGGTCTGGGATGTTCCTAATATTCTATCCCACGTGCGCCATGCGGTCAGAAAAATGTAAGGCGTTGAGAGAGCGTTGAAAATAAGGACATTCCTGTAGACGAGAAACGGAGTTCATAAGTTACTTCTTTGCTTCTCCCAATCGCTTTCAATTACTCTGTTAACCCAACTTCCCAAAGAAAACGTGGTTTTAATCCCAATTTTGACGCCCGATCATCGAGTGTTTGATTGGGACATTTTCTTGACGTTTTAATCCTTTTGGCCAACAAATTTTCCATCAAAATTTCAGTGGGAATCTTCGAACTTTTTCTCTGATCGGAGAAAAAACACAAAGCGAGAGTATTTACTTGTTTAGCGCGTCACCAGAAGCTTGAACAAATTTTCGAGCACAATCCTGAACTTTTAGATTGGCCGTAAATTTGGCTTCGAGGGTTTCTGATCTGCTTCTCGATCTGAAAGACCTTTTGATTCTATTGAATAGCTGTTAAATTCATGTGGCTAGATAGTATTGTAAAATACTCGTTATCGAGTAGCATTAATGTCGACGAAGTTCTAAATGAAGGTAAGGGTTTTTTGCATCATTATGTATCAAATTCTCTGTGTGCAAAATATAAAAAATCAGGATTAATTTCCGAATATCAGATATCTTCATAATTGAGGCTCGCAGGAACCCAGATATCTTCTCAAAAATCCACAGGTTTGGCCGGATTTGGAATTTAACTCTTGTGTTTGATTCTGTAAAGCTCTTTCATCTTGTTGTGGTATCAACCGGTTTTTATCTAAATCCCGGCTTAAACGATTAGTTCAGACCTGTGTCAGATTGACTGAAATGTCGGGTTGTAGTCTAGAATTGGATAATTGTATTCATCTGGAATCTTCTCGTACGATCGCTCTGGCATTATTTTACTTTTGAATTTTGAAAACAGGAATTCATCAAAGCAGCTTGAAATTACAGACCTCAAGTGGTGTATAGAAGCTCGCGAGGACAGGCCAAGAGGAATCGGAAGGTGGGAAAGCCCTAGTTTTGAAACTAGGAAGGTCCATGAGCTTACGAGGACACAGTCGGTCCTGGCCCTGGAATCATCAACCAAGGCTCCGCTGACGGTTTCCGGGGTATTCAAGCCGCGCATTTCCAAGAGTCGCCGGAGTTCCGTTCAGCCTCCGTAAGACAAGCGCAGATTTTTTAAAAATTCTTCGTGCCTTTTTGCTCAAGTGACGAAATTCATTCAAAACCTTTAACCACAAACAGTGCATTTAATTTTTGAATTTGAAATTAAAATTCATCTTTCATTTACCTTTTCCTGCACCTTTTGAAACCTCGCTTTTGCAAAATCCTCGAAAGCTCCTCATTCGATCAAAGAAGCAGTTTTGCCGTCGGTTGTAATCTTTGTTCGTTCCGTTGTTATTTCTCGAGTACTGTAAGTTCAATTTACCATCCGTACGAAGTGCCAATTTTCGTCTTTCTCCCACTACAGTCTCTCGTTTGTCGTTTTGTTTACAGCAGGTCTACCGTTCGATAAATTTTTACAATCTTTAATTTTTCAATCTACTCAGACTGTAAACTTCGATTATCCCTGTGGGCTGTATAGAGTTAAAGGATTTGAACCCGGCGACTTTTCCTTTTCCCCAAATGGCCCAATGATCATGGTCAAAGGCGCTTTTGACGTCGTGGGCCCAGAACCTTTGTACGGGAAAGAAATCGGGTTAATCGTCGGCTTTATGGACTAATGTCTTGTACAGAGGCGTTGTGAGTCAGCATTGTTTTTGGGCTGGATACATAAAGTCGGAAGTAATTCTGATTAGCAATATTGGAAATGGCAAAAATTATATATAACGTTTTGTATTACTCTTTAGAATTTCTGGAATCAAAGCTTTATATAAAAAGTTAAGCCTGTTCTTGAACGTCCAAAGTTTTTACAACTTCCTGTGGCTTTATGACTCGTTGCTGACTCGTTGCAAGATATGTTTTTTTTTTGATTTGAACCCTAAAACATTTTTGATTCCTCTTTTCTACGAAAACGATTCATTTTTTGGTCAAGGTTCGGAAAATTCGATTCGTACTTTAAAATGGGCGGGGTTTAACTCAACACGTACATTACTAATTCAAAGCTTGCGAAGACCTACAAATCCTTTGATATTTGACGTTGAAGGTTGAGATCTTTAGGGATGTCTTTTCGTAGAGAATAGAGACTGTTCTAAATAAACACGAAGCCTTTCAAAGTGCACACACGCCATGAGAAACGGTCTATTTTGGTCTTGGACCTCCGATGGAATCATTTTTTACCGTAATCGGTGACTCCGAAAATCCGTTTCTTTTATCATCACTTTTAATGGCTACTGTAATGTTTGCGCCGGAAAATTACTTTTTTAAGGCGCTTAGACCTGGTTTCAGATCTGTTTTTGACTCTGACTTGCGGAGATGTAAGACGTTTAGACCTACATCTATTTTCGTAGAAATAACGCATTTCCTGCTCGTAGGGGATTAGGCCAATCCATTGAATTGTCTACAGTAGAGAGAGATAGTCATCCGAAAAGTAATGATCTCAGCGGAATTATTGTGCAATCAGGAATGTCGATTTCTCAATTAATCTCAATGTTTTCTAAGGCTGATTAATCCAAAAAATGCTTGTAGATGAAAACTTGGACCTTGTTCTCAAATTAAACCGTCAAATCGTAGGCCTTTCGCAGACAGAAGCACTGAAGACTAATTTCTTACCAATAGAAATTCTGCTAGTAGCTCTCTCTAAACAATTTGGTTTACTGTTCTTTCGTCACCCGTACTTTTGCTACAATTATCTCTGAAACTCTTTGCATGTGTTGAGAGAAGGTATCCGTCGAAGCGGGACTTATGTTTTTATGTTTACAATATGCGGAAATCTTTCTCATCCGCCCACTGAGAGTAATGTAGTGTTGAAAAGAAGTACTCCAATCCATCTTGAAGTCTTTCGTACGTTTTATTTCTACGCCTTTTAGAGCGAGTACGGTAGAGTGGGGGCAAGTGTGTATTTTGCACTTTTGCAATTAGGAGAATTTAGTTGTTGAAACATTTCATGCCTATTTGAAGCGTTAGACGAGGAGTAGTAGTTGCGTTATTTGAGACGAAAGTTTGATAAAAGTGGTAGATAAAGAGCTCGGCAAATTGGTATACAAGACAAGGTCGGGCCTATATCTATAATATTTTTTTTGAGCTTTTGTTGGCTGAAATATTTTTTAGCCTTATGCCTCGGAACTTCGCTCATGATTCTGTAGAGGACCTATCTGTGAAGTCACTGCCAGATATCCCAAATCTTTTCCGGTCTCGGCGAGAATTCACAGTCATTCAGCTGAGTGAGATTAATGTTCTGACCTGTTGGCCTAGCCAGCCATGGGGAAAACTAGAATTTTTGGTTGTTCAATTGGTGCTTTGCCAGTGCGGATTTGTCGTTTTATCCAATTTGAATTCCGTTGGAAAGGTTTAGCCGGATTTGATATATGGGAATTGATGTATGGCTTTCGTAGATAATGCACGCGAAGTTTAAAGGAAAATGAAGTCGTCATTCTTGGAGGATTCGTAGTCCCGAAAAGACGTTGAATCAAAGTTTTCCTACGGTATCTTAAAGCCGGTAAGAGTCTCCAGCTATGCTGCAACGTTGTTTAAAATTGCATCCACGGTCTGTCTACTCAAACTCTTTTTGATTAGTAATTCCCTAAACAGGAGATTCTTTATGCCACGTTCGCCCCGCCTACACTCTAAAGTTCACCAAAAATACGAATTTAGCAATCCCCTTTCTCTCGGTTGTATCTGTGGGGATTTGAAGGGCTTCTTTAAAAGGACTCTGAGGTATGTATTACTGTGAATCTAAACAAAGATGGGTGGGGTTTTTTGGTGGGGGAAGGATTTGATTTATTGAAATTTTTCATTTTCGTTTGACGTCAGGGATTTTTAACTTTAGCTTATTGACTTTTTTATGGCAAATTAGTAACTTGTGATGATTGCCAAAGGATAGAATCGCTCAAGTTTTATTTTCAAGCCTTTTTAAAATAGACTTCTGAAATTTAAAAATTTAAGAACTGTACTGATGATCTCCTTAAAGCCAAAGTTTGTTAATCGTGGGCAGTTTTGAATTACATTTGTTTTAACCTTCCCCTTTCGTCCTGTTGTAAATGCCGTTCATAATGTAAATCCCTGGATTTTACAAAAATTACTGAGCTCCAAATGACATTTATCCCTATTTTTTTTAATTGTAAATAGTCAAGGGAAGTCACGGGTCAAGATAAAATTAACAGTATTTTTTGGCTTTCAAATTACTTTGGTGAGGTCTGATAGGATGAAACAAGAGTTGGACTCTGTTTTAAGCGGGGATTTGTAAAATTTAAAGGAAAAGCTTAGGATTTGAGTCATCTTCTGGGATTTGTAGTATGTATTAGTTTTTACAACAGAAAATGGTTTGAAATCTGCTTCAGGACTCATGCAGGGTATACAGTGGGGTCTTTTTGAGTGATCGACTTTTTTTGTGGTTTACGGCTGCGGCTTACTGTACTTTTGATTCGAACTTTTTTAAATTTGATTCTTTGAAAAATTTTGATTAAAAATTAATGAAACATTCCGTATTTTACAAGAAAACAATTTTTGTTCTTGTACTATGGCCGTATTTGTCTTCCCAGATTAATTTGTTCTGAATCCCATGGTGTATGTAATGTGTTTTATCCCCCAAAACATCATGAATGGGCGGGGCCGACTCTGTGTTTACACCGGTTTCACTCATTCTGCTGACGGTCGTATATTGTGCAGATGTAATCCCGTTTTCTTAATTGAATATTTTCTTTCAGTGATGCGACGAAAAAGTATGGGTCTAGTTGGAGTGCTGGTGGCCAGCATGGCGCTTCATATCAGCCGATCGGCAGTCGGCGCCGACCAAATGTCCAAGGTCCCCATGGATAGCAATCGAGGTAGGTGGGTGGAGGCTAATTGTTTGGGGGGCGGAATTTAGAATTTGATGACATCGCTTTATGCAAATTTTTTGGTGTTTTGCGCAGTGCGGATTAGTTGCGAGGATCTTTTGCAGGGGTCTTTGGGAGGCTATGGTAAAGCTATATTTTGCATGGTAAAAGTTTTTACAATACTTGTTACCGAAATGGATCTTTAGCCATATTGGCTACATCATAATTAAACTTTGATTTTTTTCAATTTGCCCGTCTAATTCGACCTCATTTTAGTCGACGACTCGGCCTGGGTTCGACAATCAATCCAGAAACTATGGGAAGAGCGGAAACGGATGGGCTACACTCCGTTAGTCCAGATGCGAATTCCCGGCTCTCCGGAGATGGATTTCTACTTCAAGGATGAGTCGCGATCCCGTACCGGCAATCTGAAGCATCGGTTTGCATGGTGTTTATTTATGTGGTCATTGGTGGAAGGAAATGTGAATAGGAATACGACTATTTACGAGGCATCTTCGGGAAATACGGCCACTTGTGAGGCCTACTTTTCACAACTTATTGGTGTTCCATTTGTCGCTGTGGTGAGTTAATTTTTTGTATAGTGTGATAAGTTGACATTTTTTTTCATTCTCCGTGATTTATTATGATTACGATAATTTATACTGTATTTTTTACCTTATGTTTTTAGATCCCCGAAACAACGGACCAACAGAAAATCGACAACATCAAGAAGTACGGCGGCGAGGTACACAAAACAAAGTCTTCGCAAATGTTCAAAGACGCTGCGGAGTTGGCGGAAAAGAACCACGGTTTCTACATGAATCAGTTCCAGAATGCCCATCATGCCGAGGAGTTCCATGAAAGTAAGAAATTTGTTCCTAGAAAATCTGAGCGCCGAGCTTTAACAATTCAACATTCAATTTTTTCCAGGTGCCAACAATGGCCTGGAATCAGTGAATGTGTTCCACGAGGTCATCCAACAGCTGAAGACCGTGGATCGGAGCGCGCGCCCGGTTTATCCGGACTATTTTATCCACTCTGCCGGGACTGGCGGGACAATTTCATCGGTTGGGAGATATGTTCGGAAGTATGGTGCAAAGACAAAGGTGATCATGTCGGACACGGAGTTCTCGGTTTATTATGATTACGTGATCTTCGACAAGTTCTCGAACGAGAGTGGAGCCTGTTATTGGGTGGCGCCGGGAATGGCAGGGACTGGATTCGGGTACTCAGGACCCGCGATTTTGGGAAAAACGACGAGGTAAGACATTTCTACTTGTCTTTTCGGGCTTTTTGATGATTTTTGGAGTCGACATTTTATTTTTGAATTTTTAAAACTCTTTTATGTTACACTAGGAAGACCTTGACATGAATCAAAGTCCCGAAAATTAATGTTTGATTTTCAGTTTACTGCCCTCAGTGATCGACAGAGCCTTCAAAGTCCCAGACCTTGCCTCCACTGCCGCCATGCATGTCCTCAAAAAGTTGGGTGTAAATGGAGGAACTTCGACCGGCCTTAACTTTGTCACCGCCCTCTCAATGGCTTCCCGACATCGCAAACGCAATCCTAATTCCAAATTCAGAGTTGTGGCGATTCTCGCCGACTCCTCAGCCCTCTACGAAAACACCTATTTCAACAAAACTTGGATCGGGCAAGTCTTCAAACCGCATGGTGGACTCCCCATGTTCAAGTGTTGGCAAACGATCATCGAGAAATCTTATCGAATTGGGATCGATCCACTGGTCGCAGGCCCGAAGAGATGTCGAACCGAGAACTTCCAGCCCGGCAAACTGCTCTATGTATAATGGATGGGCAATTATGTTATATTTGAATACATATGACAGTTATTTATTTAGTAGCTGAATAGACTTGCGGCTCTTGTCTTTGAATTTATGTCAAATTTAGAATAGCATTGTAATTAATCTCGATAACTCGTATTGAAACCGGTTTCGCAACGATTTTCACACCTTTTTTGTAAGGCCATCTGATCGACTATTCGATTTTTTGAATGTTTAAATTTCCCGCCAAAAATAAAAAATTTATAAATGCCCTGGAACGTTTCATTTTGGAACTTGAAGCTTTATTTAGCTCTCAAAATTAGGGCAGCTATATTGAAATTTAGATCAAATTAACTAGCTTATGGTGCAATGCCAAGAATTTAAAAATTTGTCGGGAAATTCAAAGTTTTCGAAATTTTAGTCTAGATTTTTCAAAAACATGTCTTCACTGTCTTCCTTTTACAACGATTGCCTATACTCCACTTCCATGAATCATCTTTTTGAACCCAAGTTGTATTGTACAAACCCGTTGTTTTTTTATAATATATTATTACCACATGAAAGCCTCGTCTTTTCCTAACCTTACCCTTATCGTGTTGTAATATCGTCTTCAAATTATCCCATTAACAATTTCAACGCTTGCAGTCCAAGCTCCCTTCGTCATGAGTTGTACATTTGGTTTTTTTAAATTAATTTTTATCCTTCCATCTCGACTCCTATATTTAAACTGTTTTAGTTTTAATAATATAGAAACATTTTTGGGCCTGACGGATTTAAAAACTAGTATAGGGCAACCGTTTATCACGAGCTTTACATTTAAAGAAACCTAACTGTATACTGTCGGTTTGATCCGAATGCGGGCAAGGACTGAAAAATAAGCCCACGAAGGCTAATTGGCTTATATTTTCAGTGAAATGGCTAAATATGTCTAGGGCAAGATGCGGCTATGATTACGATAAAAAAGTAAGAAACGAATTTCGAGTGGGTGACGCGTCATGACGTACTGCGCGACTTACCTGGATAAAGAAGCGCTCGGCTGAATAACGCGTGGGAAAAGTAACGTCCCAATAGAAGTACCTCTTACCTGCTTGAACCAGTTTATGTTGGACTAGATGAATCAACCGAAGCTACCCTGCTCTCACATTATCGATCAAAACCCTCTCCGAAAAGCAAGACTGAGGTCACCAAAATAAAAGTACTCCACCACGGCCAGACATTGCGCAAGCTCACGCCACTGAGTAAACTCAAAAATGTAAGGATGGTGACATACAAATCAAATCGGGTTTCGTGGCCAGAAACCGCGATTTCTTGTCTGTTAGGCTTCTAGACAAGAAATACGCAATTCTTGTCCGAGCAGAGCAAAAAGAAAAAAATCTTCACGGGGAGAGAGCAGAAATTTGCGCAATATTACGCAATTTGAGCAAAGTTGCACAAACCTAACAGACAAGAAATCGCGGTTTCTGGCCACGAAACCCGATTTGATTTGTATGTTAACCCTTATATCACCAAATTACCGATCTTTGGAGCCCATCAAGGACCTACTGGCCTTTTCCTGCAGACAAAATACGAATAAATGGCGCTTTTACCCTTGCTTGATGAATAATCATCAATGATAACATAAAACAAACAAAAAAACGAAAACAAACAACAAACAAACGAAAACAATAATAAAAAAAAAATCCGGTTCGAAGTCCATGCGAATCCAAATCTGATTTGTTAACGGCTCCATTGTCTCCAACATCCATAAGAGGCTTTCCAATATCCATTGAACCGGAAAGTAAAACAATAATTAAAATTTCATAAAAAATCAAGTATGATATGAAGAAGGATCAATCTTACTCCTCGCCTCATCTATGTCCCAAACATACCCCCCTCTAAACGCCAAAACTGCTCTTGATGTTGACTGTTGTTGCTAATAATTTTCGCGTATTACCCATGATTACGCAATTCCAAGTCAAAATGAGGATACAAAAATTGTGGTGGACTGTCTTGACCATACAATTTCAGGTCAAGATCAGCCAAGAAATGGGGAGAATAGAGGGAAGAAAAAGTGGAAGATGAACTGCAGACCTCATAATACTAAGGTCTATTAAACTTATGACCTTATTTTAGGTTTAAAACGCCTTCTCATCAGCTAAATCAGTCTGAATTTTGTTTATTCTGGGCCGTCAATCTTTTCAGCCATGTTTTATTGGGATAATTCCTCTTTTCAAGTCCGTTTTTATCTTCTCCTTGGGCTTTTTATCTCTTTTTTCTCAAGTTTCATATTATGTTAGGCCATCTTTTGACGATTTGATCTTTTCTTGGGCATCTTGCGACATTTTTCTTTTATAAAATTCTGTCACTGATATAGCTGATGAGAAGAGGAGAGAATAAAGAGGGAAGTCCGTATTACAACGTCTACAGCGCATGTTCCGGAGATTGGAAGGGGATAATAATTTGGAATACAATTTTATTCAACTTTTGTCATTTAATCAACTTTTGTCATTTAATACAGAAAGGGCGATGTCCCCCACCATTCAAAAGTAAAAAATTCTTCAAATTCAACAGTCTTACTACTACGTTAGCGCCCTCACAGCTAAATATCAAACACAATAAAAGTAAATTGACTTACACAACAAATCCTTGGATCGCTCTGCTTGATGGATAACATGGGAATGGGTGGGGCTCCGCGCTGAATTCGTCTAGAGCATGAAGACTCTGCAAATATTGTCTGTAAAACAAAATAAACCCATGAAAACACGGAAAAAGGACGTAAATTACGACGAAAATCAACAAAATCCGACAAGGACAACACAAAAAACTCAAAACCAACTAAAATCTAGCGGATTTCACCAAATTGGGCCTTAGGGCTCGTGAATACGATGGAAACGAGCGTGCCACGAAAATTCCCATGAATTTTCCCACGTATTTGGCATACTTTGCTTTGGCGGGAATTTTAAATCGCAAAATTGAAAAAAATCGAATTTCGGAAAAAAATTCTCGAATAAATCCTTTGTTTTCCTCGCAAAAGTTTTACCAAAAACCAAACGGATGTCTCCGCACTTGCAGAAAATTGTGCTAACTATGAAACTCTTCTGCCCACGCAGACTCCATCGATGAACTACAAGTTTTGGAAAGATAAATGAATAATTGAACACTTATTGTGACCCCAACCCATATGACCTTCCTGATAATAATACTTTGCTCTTTGAGTTGTGATTTCCTTTTGGAGACTTCATTTCTCCATGCACTTTATAGTTGAGGCGGTTCGTGATCATGCTACGACTTTCTGGAATCGTAAGTTTTTTGGGATCTTTGGAGGATTTTTAGAGGAATTTATTTTTATCTTTGAGCTTTTTAGAATTTCGAATTAAATCTCTTTCGTACTTTACACTCTCCCACCCTCTATTACAATGTAAACAAGTGTTTTTGTGTTCTCCTGTAGGTAAATATCGAGTATAAAATACAAACTCCGACTATAATGATTATATTTCTAACGTATTTTAACCCCCGAATCTGCGTGATCCTCTTCATGTTTATGCTGCAGAATGTAAGAAAAGCAAGTGATTAGGGTCGGTTATAATCTTATCAGGCAGTTTTCCACATTTCTTGAGGCGTTGATAAACTCTGAAGAACGGATTCTGCCGTTTTCGATATAAACATGTGGTGAGGGAAGATTGGTCGTTTTCGGATGTTTTTGGAGTTTTAGATAGGTGGGGACAGTGTTTATTAGAGGGTTTAGAGGCTACTGTGATTATTTATATTTATACAGTATAATGAAGAATTAACGGATATACTGAAAAATCAATTTTCTTGAGACTGTAGATCGATTTTTGCTAAAATTTCTAAAATTTATGGATTTTTTGCGTAACAAAATTTATTTTGTTACAGTATCCTAAATTTCCAGAGGATGTCCCAGCTTACCCGTTTTGTGAGTCTAGACGAAGTGGAACGCCACGCCATCCAATTATTGCCCAAATCTGTCCGTGATTACTATCAAAGTGGAGCTGACGATGAACAAACTCTTGCCAGAAACGCCAGAATGTTTTCCAAGTAAGACTTTTCCTTAAAAATACTTTTAATTAACCTATGAACATTTAAAAACCTTTTCAGATACCTAATCCGACCCGTCGCTCTTCGTGATGTCTCTCAATTGGATCCAAAAACTCACATTATTCTCAAGGACAAAAATGGAAATATTGCGTTTGATCACGTCTTCGATTACCCTTTGGCTATAGCTCCATCTGCTTTCCAAAAAATGGCTCATGTGGAGGGAGAAGCAGCTACTGCGAGAGCTGCCGGCGAGACCAACACCCTCATGGTGAACAGCACCATCTCAACGACCAAACTGGAAGACGTCGCGGCTGCTGGGAAACCATCGGATGCCCAATTATTCTTTCAGTTGTATGTTTATAAGGACAGATCGTTGACGGAGACGTTGGTGAGAAGAGCCGAGAGCGCCGGATTCAAAGCGTTGGTGCTGACAGTTGATGCGCCAACTTTTGGAAGGAGAAGGGCCGATGAGAGGAACGGATTCGAACTGCCGAAGCATTTGGAGTAAGCTGAGTAATTTGAATCAAACTTTAAAGAAATTTGATCAGTTATTAAAATTTTACTTTCTAAAAAGATTTTCTTGGAAAAAAACTGCCACTGCAAAGCGCGAGTTAAAACTTTTAGACGATGATTTTTTATTTGTAGAATGGCCAATTTTGCGGATCAATTGCACGCCCGGACAAAGACTGGAGCCTCTGGAACTTCCGGTCTATCCGCTTATACTAACTCATTGTTCGATCAGAGTCTCAATTGGAAGGACCTGACTTGGCTTGTCAACACCACCAAATTACCCGTAAGTATTACAATTTTAGACTTGATTTTTATTGGTTCAACATATTTTTTCTCCTCTTTAGGTTATTGTGAAAGGAGTGATGAGAGCCGACGATGCCGTTAAAGCCATTGAACATGGAGCCGCGGCTATTATTGTGTCAAATCATGGGGGCAGACAACTTGACCATGCTCCCGCGACTGTAGGTTGCCATGCTTGGACCTTGTTTTACTCCTTTCTTTTCTAATTTGATGTTAATTTTAGATCGAAGCCCTGCCAGAAGTTGTCAAAGCCGTCAACGGAAGAGTTCCAGTCTTTATTGATGGGGGAATCCGCGCTGGAACTGATATCTTCAAAGCCTTGGCGTTAGGCGCCTCTATGTGCTTTGTTGGAAGACCTGTTTTGCATGGACTGGCTGTTGGAGTGAGTAAAAAAAAATTTTTTAAGTTTGATTTCTGCTCTTGCAGTAGAACACTACAGAAATATTGAAAAAGTAGGATTGCATTGTGCAAAATAAAAATTTTTAAAACTGCACAATGCAACAACGTTTCGAAAAATACTAGAAATAAATTCTTTTCCGATCATAAGGTTTGCTTTTTCAGGGAGCGGATGGAGTCAAACATGTCCTGAACATTCTCCGAACCGAATTCAAATACGCTCTATTACTGGCTGGATGCCCATCAATCAAATCAATTAGGGAAACAAAGGATATCGTTGTACATGAACATTACTATGCTAAATTATGATTGAAATTAGCTGATGAAAGGAATAAACGTACCATTACACTGAAATAAAATTATTTTTGCAATCATCAGACCTTATCACCAATAATTAATAGACGCTTACTTATTGTTTCTTTGCAAATCGAATGACTCGTAGAATTTGAAGTTATTTTGATCCTAGTGTCACAGGTAGTTCCAAAGTCTAGCTTCCGACTCAAAAGCAAACGAACTATAAAACTTGTGCTTTTTCTTTTTTGATTGCGGAAAAAGAGCCGTTCCTGTGTTAAATTTAACCTTACTCATTTCTATCGTCTTTCGGAGACTGAAAGTGTAAAAGCAAACTAAATATTATTATTTCAGTTGGACACTAAACCTTTATTTAATTTTTAAAATTGTTTTATTCAGTTCTAAAATGGAAAGGGTAGAAGATCAAGTCGAATATTTGAAGCAAAGGTTTCAAAGGGCATTCGTGCCTAACACTTTATACACAGAACCTGGACCAACAGTAGAAGGGTGTCAAAAGGAGGCCTCGATTTTAATATTACTTCATTGGAAAGGTAAATAGTTTATATTATATATATTCTAATCCATTCGGAGAAAGTCTAAAAGGCTAAAAAAGCCTACAGTGATAGAAAAAGTATTATTACGTTAGTCAAATTGCGATGACAAGGAATCGGGAGCTACGCCTTTTGCAACCATCATAGCTCCTTAAGATGATACCAACTAAGTATGTGTGCCTTCAGATAATGACTGGCATGTCTTCCTTACCCTCCGATCAGCTCATTTGAGGGCTCATGCAGGCGAAGTCAGTTTTCCTGGAGGCAAAAGAGAAGAACAAGACGAAAGCTTTGTGGAAACAGCGCTGAGGGAGGCGAATGAGGTGAATAATATTCTAGGAACCGAAATTCCGAGTAATCAATACTGAATTTAGTTTTTTAGGAAGCCGGAATTCCCTACGACTCCGTCATCATTGTTGGAGCTATTTCTCATCTAATCACACGAATGGGTATCCAAGTCCGACCCATTCTGGCTGTCCTTCGAGAGGAATTTGAACCAGAAATCAACGAAGAAGTTGAGCGGGCTTTCTGGATGCCCTTGAGTGTTTTCCTGTCAAAGGAACATCACGAAGATCTTTATTTCCCTGAGGCCAAATTAAAATCGCATAAAGTTGAGGTATGTCATACTCTGGTGTAAATCTTGATTTTTTATTTTTTGCTTCCAGTATAATGGAGAATATATCTTTGGCTTTACCTCCTACGTCGCCATCCTGATTGCAATGAATGTCTACAATAGGTTTCCAGAGTTCGAAATCAGCAATATGAACACGTCCGAGTCTCCAGAAGAATGTCTATGTAAGGAGCTCATGGTGTATAATACGATGCCCCAGTTGGTAAAACAAGAGGAATACGATTCAATGACCAAAAGCAAACTCTAATTTATGATTGAAATACGTTTGTACATTTTCATTGAAATTTATACAGACAATAAAGGTATCTTACACTTTTGAATATAAGTTTCTTGGCAATGAGATTTTTATTCGAAGTTTAATTTTCGGTGACAGGGACTTCATACGGATCCGGTATTGGGACAGCTTGAGGATCAGGGGTTTGGAAGAGGTCGTTGTTGTGAAGAGAGCGTTTCCGCCTTCCGTAAATTGGCTGTGCTCCTGGCGGAGGCAGACAGGCCTGAAATTACAATAGCCGATTTTCCACGAGATGATGCAGCTACAGCCAAGATACCCTGTCTTAGAAGGTCAGATAACAAACTCGTTATGTGCCAAAATTTAATCTCAGGGTAGAATGAACCTCCGAAAGAACATTATATTGTCCCTTGCGATTTGTTGTGTGCAGAGGATGTACTTTATTTACTATGTGATTTTTGTAAAAGTTACTCGAAATAATGGTTTTAAAAAAGCAATTTCTTGTTACTGACAAAATTTAAGGCAGCTAAGAAATGTCACAGTGGCTCCAGTGACTCCATAAACCGATCAAGAAGACTTACATTCACAATCTCCACCAGAACGAAACAGATCACAAACAGGAAACACAACAGTTTCATGTCACCCTTGACTTTTCGCGCGACTGAATAGATGACCGGAAATTGAGTGGGCTTTATAGCCGGGATATCCAGGTGACTTTCCTGTTTCCGAACCCCGCCGAAAAACCTGTCGACCACGCCCATGGACTTCAGACAAAAAACTTTCGTTCAGATGGTTTTTGCCGGATTATGGAACTGGTTGGTGTCGCTGAAAACACCCTGGACATGAGAGGCAGGTCCGATAAGTCGGCGGCATTACGTAAAATAACGTTGGATCAATGACCGACGGAAGGATTGCGCTGGGGAAAGTGGGATTAAAAAGGAGCAGAAGGAAGAGTGGCAGGTGATGGAACAATCAAAAATTTTCTGTAAATGAGGGTGCTAATAAATAATTTAACCGAGGTATTCATTGGATACTCTAATATAAAACTAGCGTATTTTACAGTGTTCACGATTTATGTTGGACTTTTTGAGAATACAACAAACACCTTTATCTTTATGATGACTAAAAATATTATTGTTTTTCTTTAGCCCCAAATCTTCTTTAAAGATTATCGAATATGCCTTCAAGGTTACCGAACACAACTTTATTTTTCTGATCATTGTTTCGGAATCCCCACCGCAGCGAATTGAATAACACTGTACAGGTCGTTGACCGCGTATTTCCAGTCAGAAGGGTTGCCCTTTACAACTGCAGCCTTCACATCGGCGTAACACTTCTTGAAGAACTTCTTGCTCAACACCTGAAGAATTAAAAAGTAATCAGCACTTAAATAATGAAGGCATACCTTGGAGAATTTGTTATCGAAAACGGCGGTAGTCTTGACGTTCTGCTTCTTCAGCTAGAAGAGAGTGGAGCTTATGGTGAAAGAAAGATTACACTTACGTTTTTGAAGGCGGGCTTTAAGCAAACTGAAATTCCTGTAGTTACTTCGGAAAGGATATTGCTGACGCTGCTAACGTGACCCGACAATGTCAGCGCAGGCCCAATGAACTTTGACTGGGACATTACTTTGTTTACTGCCGCATTCTTGAAGTCTGAAAAACGACAAAATAATAAAATAAAATACCAGGAATAAATGCATTGGATATTATGGCCGAGTGCTTACTAGTTATAGCCACTTTGAATGTGGTTTTGTTAGCCACTGATTGGTAGATGCTTGTGATGCCCTGAAATTTGATTTCAAACACTCTTTCTTTCCAACCTACAGCAGTGACAATGTCAGTTGTCAGCGCACTCGACAAGTAGTTAGAGACTGGTACCCTAGTCTTTGGAAAGTCATCGGCCGTGGCAATGACCGCCAAGAGCACGATAAACAACGTCGACCTCATGCCTCAAATGTGTAACTATTTGTCCTACGGCTACAACATTAAATACCATAGGACTACAGATAAGCTGCTCGGATTATCTTCCATCAAATTGGATCGCTTTTGTCTACATGTGGCGACATGATTGTTTCTCTTGTTTTGCTCGGTAAAAACAGGAGGCTTTGGAAACAAAATTGGTCTTCCGTTTGTTATAACCCGTCTATGGTATGGGAAAGAGAAGCTAATGGGTACAAATGGTTGTGCACTTCCTCTTGTATTTTGGAAACTTGTAAGCGGCTTCAGAAGGTACGGTAATAAAGTTTTGTGATCCGTCAAGAATCCAACTTGGTACCACTGAAGAGATCCGGAATCTGCAAATGTGCCTTTAAAAAATAAAAATTGAAACAAGGATTTTTTAAGATGCCGATCCTCCTTTTTTGCACTAACCAATCAAATTATGATTCTCCATAAGTCAACCTCGTGTTCATAATTTACAATTCTAACATTTGCTTCCTATTAACTTCCCCGATTACAAATTATTGAACAGGTTGAACTCATTACCATTGTCCGTTCTTCCGGAACCGTCGCTTTTTACTTGTTTTATCCTCATAAACATGTCAAGAGTGAAAGGGAAAACAAAAAAATTAAAAATAAAAAGGCAATGGGGCGATTGTAGCGAAAAATAACTGCGGGTTCAAATTTGATTTGCATAATGTTGAAAATCAAATAAAGTGTGTTACAAGACATCCAATTTGTTTCGTTTGTCAAGCCTTTTGGGCCAATCCTATGTCAAAAGATCTTCAATTTGTAAACTGGAAAGTGCAATTATCACTGTAAACAGTAATGGCTGTCAAGGATCGATAAGTGCATTAAGAAAATATAGTAAACCATATTTTCTTGGTTTACCCTTCCCCTAGAATTAATTTGTTTTTCAATTTACTGTTAATAGTATATATTAGACGGCTATAAAGGAAAAAGTATTTTTCGCGATGAAGATTCTGTCAATTGTCTGTGTTTTCCTTGTCACCAATGTCTTGGCGACGGATGATTTTGCCAGTGCAAAAGCCGTGGTTATAAAATACATTTCTGCAAATTTTACGGATGATTTTTTAACAGCGGTAAGTCTGTTGAGGGATGGACTTAAACGGTGATTATTTTAGGCGTTTGACAGCATTTACTGCTCTGTGCAGAACAATGCCACATTTGTTGACGCGCATGAAGGTAAGAGCAACAAGATACCGTTTCTATTCTCGCGACCAAACCCTACTTTCGAGGCAACCATTCAACGCAACAATTTTAGAGTTTGACGACGAAATGCTTCCTCTTCTTTTGACCCAAACAGAATTCGTTGAGCCCTTCACTCAACTAAGCTTTCACGTTGGGAGTATCTCAGATCTCTGGGATATACTCAGTGAAACGGTGTCACCAAGTCTACAGTCAGCCTACGATACAGTTCGAGACGCCAAACCTGCGACTCAAAGGGAATTTTCAAATCTTATTGTGAAGGTAACTATCACCGTTCGTATTCATTTTACACTGCATTTAGGTATTACCAAAAAGTTTTTTTGCTGAAGCGGTAAATAATGTACAAGCTGCTCTGGACACAAAAACATGGAAGTATTTGGTCAGCGATCTTTACTGCGTGTTAAATTTTAGTGTTTATGGAATAAAGAAATCTTGAATTTTTTGGTGGAATACTGTAGCCGAAAATATAAAGTATTTTCCCCGAAATGTCTTTAATTTATTTTCTTGATACCATAGAAATTAAAGTTCACGACGCTATACAAGTCATGTACGGCGTGTTTCCAAACTGTGGGGCCAACCTGCGCCTCGATCTGTTTGACGCTCGTAGTAAAGAACTTCTTGGTTGCCGCCTAAAGTATCTCCATTATCGACAATAGACCTCTCCTACCTTTGCCACCAGGTTTGAAAACACCTTCTTATTTTTTGGGTTCTTTTTCTTGATGTTGTTGTAAATCTTGGTCAGCTTTGGACTAAAGATACCAACGAACACGTCAATATAATCTGTGGCATTAGGAACATGACCCAGAAAGGCCATTGCTGGGCCAATAAATTTGGTTTGACTCATCACTTTGCCCATCAGGGCCGATTCTAGGTCTAAAATTACGTTGTGGACTATAAAAGTTTGCAGTCCATACCATCAGTCGCGTCGCTCAAATTGGCCTTCGATATGACGGAGTTGTAAACGCTGTCACATCCCTAAAAGGAGGTAGGAATGGACCATTTGCGAAGTTATTAAAATTTTGTGAAAAGATCCCACAATGATTACTTATTCCTTTACTTACGGCTGTCAAAAAAGAGTCGGTAAAATAAGGGCTTCCATATTTGGCGATGATCTGTTTTATCTTCGCATAACTATCAGCCTGGACTGCTGTAAGAAGTAAAAACAGAAGCGGCAGACATTCTCTAGCCTTCATTCCTGTCGAAAATAAGCAAATTGGACTTGTTTACCTTGAATTTTATAGCATTTCATAGCAGATTATCCTAGTGCGTTCCGAGGAAAGCAAGTAGTTCCAGTTTAATGGTATAATAAATATTTTTTGCTTGTTCTGCTGTTTTTTGAACACTTCCGCATCATTTCCGATCCTAATCTTATAATCAACACTCTTGAAAAGTTTTGTCAGCAAAATTTATGGATGTTTCATTCATTTCATCAACATGCAGAAGAAAAAAGTGGTCGAAAAGTAAGTTTAAATATTTGTTTTGGCTAAATAAGTTGTTTTAGACAGGTTACAGCAGCTGATCGAACTAAATTGAGGTTCCTGAGCTACATTCGTTCCAAGAAATGGTTCCAGGAGATGGAAAAGGAGGCGGGTTTGAGGAGCGAGCCAGATGTAAGAATATTTTTGAGCGTTTTTTGGATTTACAGAATTTTTCGAGAGGTTACGGTAGGAATTTCCGAAAATTGGCTTTTTCTTGTAAGAGTACCAGGTAAATTGAAATATTTTCCGGCCATGATGCTCGTGTTCGGCCCCAAATTGTTTTCCAACAGAAACGTCAGATCTCTTGCAGAAATCCTGGGGCCTGTCCCACTAACAAAGCGTAGCGCGAATCACGAATTGGAAGCGCGAAAAATCATGCAAAAGCGAGAGAGGTGAGAGAAAAAGCGGGCTCTCTCGGAAATCCGCGCTACGGTTTTTTTGTGCTAAATACCGAAATGTGTTTACTTTTTTGGCTGTAACTCCTTTCAATGACGTCCGATTTACATGATTTCAAAAACCATCAACAGAGAAGACACACAGCTTCCAGAAAACGTAAATTTTGTCTGCTTTGACGCGGATTAAAGCTCCCCGCCAAGACGAATTACATTTTCCTCCTCAAGAATCACGATTCCAAAATGTCGTATTTTCAAGTAAAATGTATCCTTAAACTACTCATCATAACCCCCAAAGCTGATATTGTCATTTATCAGCCCAAACTGCCCCTTCCAAGCCCAAACTGCCCATTCCAAGCCCAATTTTGATCTCCCCTTGCCATAATTAGTTTGAATCACAAAAACATTTACGTTTTAAAATATTTTTTTGGCAGGGCAAATTTGGGCTGATAAAACCGCCCCAGTCCCTCTGGGAGACGAATCGAGCAATTTTTAAAAAAAAAAATTTTAAAACGTAAATGTTTTTGTGATTCAAAGAAATTATGGCAAGGGGAGATCAAAATTGGGCTTGGCAGGGCAAATTTGGGCTGATAAAACCGCCCCAGTCCCTCTGGGAGACGAATCGAGTAATTTTTTAAAAAAAAAAATTTTAAAACGTAAATGTTTTTGTGATTCAAACAAATTATGGCAAGCGGAGGTCAAAATTGGGCTTGGAATGGGCAGTTTGGGCTTGGAAGGGGCAGTTTGGGCTGATAAATGACAACATCAGCTTTGGGGGTTATGATGAGTAGTTTAAGGATACATTTTACTTGAAAATACGACATTTTGGAATCGTGATTCTTGAGGAGGAAAATGTAATTCGTCTTGGCGGGGAGCTTTAATCCGCGTCAAAGCAGACAAAATTTACATTTTCTGGAAGCTGTGTGTCTTCTCTGTTGATGGTTTTTGAAATCATGTAAATCGGACGTCATTGAAAGGAGTTACAGCCAAAAAAGTAAACACATTTCGGTATTTAGCACAAAAAAACCGTAGCGCGGATTTCCGAGAGAGCCCGCTTTTTCTCTCACCTCTCTCGCTTTTGCATGATTTTTCGCGCTTCCAATTCGTGATTCGCGCTACGCTTTGTTAGTGGGACAGGCCCCTGATTCCTTCATTTCAAATTCTCCTATACTCCCCGCCAAAAGTTTTGACCCCCCTTCTAACTCGGCCCAAAGTGTACCAATTTGGACCCAATTTGGTACGTAGTCTACTGATAACCTTGTAGTAAAAAATATCATAGTGGGACAAACCATATAGCTGTATTTCAAAATCCAGGGACAATTTTCAAAAATCACCTCAAAAAACGGGACAAAAGTTTTGACCCCCCTGCAAAAAAATGAAATATCGCCAGCGGAGGTAACGAGAACCTTTTGGAACCTGTGTCCCATACCTGAACATGGGTTAATAAATGCTTTTTTGTTGAATGCTTCGTTGCATTTGATGATGCAACGCGTTAAACTGATTTTGATGTAGAGCTGCCCAAAATGGTAAAAATCTTGTACTTTCGCTTTCTAAAAGTTTCAAATTATGTTCACATCATGTGATTTTGACGTGTTATAACCTGCATTAATCTTTTATTTTCGAAAAAAGTCCATGATGGCCTAGCGGTATCGATTCGGCCGATATCCAGTTGTCATGGTCAGCCTTGGTGAGCCATTTGCTCTTTGACTAAAGGTCTAGATGGGGTCGCTGGGTCCTCAATCTAATCCTGAGACTTGTGTCTACCCTCAAAACAAGAATAAACCCCCGCTGACACGATCCCAAATGGTTTGTAGATGCAACTTTACCGATCTGCACCTTAAAGAAAAACCCACGTTTTTCAAATGGATTTTTTGCGAACAAAAACGGCTTTCATTTGATGGGCCAGGTAATTTACGACGCTACAGCACCCGCCATACTCATTTGAGACGTATGGAACGCCAAATGGGCGGTGGGGATGGCATCGTACTCGGGGGCATCTACAGTAACGGCAAACTTAAGATTAAGGTGAATGAAACCTATTCCAAAATGTGTCAAATCGAAACCTTTGTCCCTGCTGAGAGTAAATAGGAGTCTCAGGATTAGATTGAGGACCTAGCGACCCCATCTAGACCTTTAGTCAAAGAGCAAATGGCTCACCAAGGCTGACCATGACAACTGGATATCGGCCGAATCGATACCGCTGGGCCATCATGGACTTTTTTCGAAAGGAAAAGATTAATGCAGGTTATAACACGTCAAAATCACATGATGTGAACATAATTTGAAACTTTTAGAAAGCGAAAGTACAAGATTTTTACCATTTTGGGCAGCTCTACATCAAAATCAGTTTAACGCGTTGCATCATCAAATGCAACGAAGCATTCAACAAAAAAGCATTTATTAACCCATGTTCAGGTATGGGACACAGGTTCCAAAAGGTTCTGGTTACCTCCGCTGGCGATATTTCATTTTTTTGCAGGGGGGTCAAAACCTTTGTCCCGTTTTTTTGAGGCGATTTTTGAAAATTGTCCCTGGATTTTGAAATACAGCTATATGGTTTGTCCTACTATGATATTTTTTACTAATAGGTTGTCACTTGACTACGTGCCAAATTTGGTCCAAATTGGTGCACTTTGGGCCGAGTTAGAAGGGGGGTCAAAACTTTTGGCGGGGAGTATATTTCTCGATTTTTAATCATTTTCCAAGTTTTCAGAAGCCGAACCTCGAATATTCACGAAGTGATTTGATGCAAATCAACTTTGATCCCAATTTCAACGTTGACGCCTGGGATTACTTGGCCGACTTAGACCACGATTTTAAAAAGATAATCGCTGAGGAAAGAGATGTCACCAAACGAATTGCTGCCAAATTCTGGCAGTTGAGGGAGAGCCGCAAAAAATATCTCTTGTGTGGCCTTAGAGGGCAAAAGGCCAGTAAATCCGTGGAAAACAAACGGCTGAAAGCGGACTATAAGAATCTGAAGGAGGAGAAGAAAGAGCTCAAAGAGTGTTTAAAAGAGATCAAGCACTTGAATAGTAAGTCTGATGGCACAAAAAGCTTCGTAGAAGTCCTGTATATGCCCCGGGAAAGTTTTACCTAACAATAAGTACATATTTGTCAAGTTTGATTTGTCAAGTTTGACTGAATCATTTACAGATATTCTGAAGCCGTATGCCAAGCAAATTGAAGCCAAGAGACGCGCAGAAGAAGCCTTTAGATCTTTTGGCCCAACAAAATCGTCATTGGAAACTGTTCCGAAAGATTTTTTGTAAGTAATATTTCTCGAGGTTACTGTAAAATACGCCATGGTTATTACAAAACAAATATTGTACACGCTTCAGCGAAGTCTTGCGAGAGATTGAAGAGAAAAAAGATCAGCCAATCTCTAGATTCTCGCAAATCGAAGAGAAAATCCCATCTTCTGATGACTCAACATCTGATTCTTCGTTTTTGGACCCACCAGTGTTTATATGTAAGTTTGGGAGTTTCGGTTTGGCCTTAGACAGTCTTATTTTTTTAGTTGAGGTCTCACATAGCGATGAAGTAACATTTAAATCCGATAATGAAGCCCCCGATTCGATGGTTTGGAACGACGATTACCTCTCTGATTACATCATTGACGTTTATAACAAATGTCTGTAATGGCAATCCCAAATAAAATAACTTGGTAAACGTAAATAAAAGATGAAATAATTTTCCTAATCAAATTCTGTACGTTCCAAATTTCAACTTCATACAGATGCCAGGTTTTTCGTAACCAATAACTGATTTCACATTTCATCGTAGAGAATGTCGCCGCAAGTTGCGCCCGCATTTCTTGTATAATTTCTCGAAAGTTTTTGCTTCTGGCGGAATTGCCGTCCGACTGTTTTTTTCTCGCCATGATGGTCGAGTTCGCGACCTATTCGAGCTTCTTCAGCCTTCTGGTAATCCACCAAGAAGAAGATGCGTTGGCCCCGCCTCTTCAGTCGTCAACGTTCCCCGCCTCCAGAAGACAGTTCTCCCGAGCTCACCTCCGGCCAAACCACATCGAGGAGCGGGGATAAACCCGGATCATTTAGCCATCTTCACGACTTTTGGGAAGAGTTTACCTTTTTCGGCGTTGATCCGAATGACCGTCCCGTACAGGAACCCCCAATTGTATGTACGGTTTCCAATCTTTTTTGCTTGCTTTCTAGGTTGAAGTGACTCATTTTGTACCGTTGGTGTTCTAAAGAAAAAAAGGCCTTCAAATTTCAGTGAATTAGAATTAAGTATGTTATCCATGAGTGATTTATAGCCCGTTCCGTTTTCTACAGATTGACTTGTGAAGGCGGGAATCAGGCGCTAAAGTAAAACTTTCTCTGAAAAACACCATTTAGTTTCCCGTTAATTTTCATATTTGTTCTTCAGATCTATGGTCGATGGTTTAATCGCGGGAAGCCAGTTGGACTAAAAGACGGCACTGAATACAATGTTCTTGTTTCGGCAAAACCAATGATCACCTGGAAAAACATTACCGAAGCAAAGTTCTTCGCTTACATAACTCCGGAAAGTCAAAAAGTTGTGTTGAGAGATCTAAAAGAAAGGGCGGAAGTCGTACACTTGTTGATCCTCCGCGGAGTGGAAGAGAAGCTCTGGCGCAAGGTTACCACGAAATTGAACAGTCTGTTTTTTTAAACGATTATTATTTTTTGTTTTTAGCTGCAAAACTGCAAAGATTGGAGGTGACGATGTTTCCTAAGGATGAGCCCGCGCCTGAAGGCTTCAGGACGATGCTGTCGGTGTTTGGAACGAAGGTCAAAGGTGTTCAGACCGACAAGAATGGACTAACAATGGTACCAGACTCCCTTGTCTTGGAGAAGTTTCTGCTCAGAATGAGTACCCATTTTGACGAAAGGCAGGAAGAAGCACCTTTGGATTTGGTCGCTCTCTTGAGGTTTGCTTTACTTTATTTCTTTGCAAATTAATTTTTAAGCAAGTTGTTTTGAATGTAGGTTGAACACGACTATCCTGATCATTGATGGCCAGATCGACAAATTTAAAATGAAGCTTGATGGACTGGATCATACGCAACAGAACCCTCACATTCAACGGATTGAGTATCGAGCAGAAGGAACGGAGTTTCGGGAGCTTATCGAGCTGATTAAAGGATTTCGTCGAATTCTTCCGGGGTTGAATGCTGTCAACTTCGGAACCTTAAAAGCGCGAAAAGTGGATGTTCTGGTAGGAGTTTTTGATATATTAATTTCACCTGCTTTTAGCCGAGTCAGAAAAACGTCGTCGAACAAATAAAACGCGCTTTCAATACTTTGAAGTCTCAGATTGACCGGCTTTTGGATTATTGCCAAACAAACTCCATCGATTTGACTGTAGAAATCGGGTTCGAAGCCACATTCAGAATCAAATTTCTGTCTTGGACAACCGACATCCTTGAGTCTTTCCCTCCTGACACCGAACATGTCGGAGAAGCAGTCTTGTCTTTTTGCGGAAAAGGAGAGGCGGAATGTCAGGATTACGTGTACCGGCAAGCAGGAGTCAAAGTAAACATTAAGGCCTTCAATACTCATGGGCGAATATTAGTGATGGCAAAGGATAGAATGGAACCATTGCTGACGCCTAAACAGAGCCAAGAAAAATCGTCGGAAGAATCATCAGGAGACTTGCAGGAACAGGGGCCACATACGTCATCTATTGTAACTCAACATTTGGTTATATCAGATATTTAATGTTATTATTGTACGTTAACAATATGAATTAATGTTGGAAATGTAAATAAAATTTACGGTTGATGGGTGACTAGGTGTGTTAGTGTGACGATGCGCTCTGTGTGTTATGCAATCTTTCGTTTGATCCGAGTTTTGCTCTTTGTCGTATAAAATGTCTCCCCAGTTTGGGGCCGAAGAATCGGCGGATACTCCCTTTTCTTCTGCCTCAAACTTCTTCGAGTGTCTGCATACTCCGTGCTGTCTTGTTGAGTTCGTTGAAGAGAAGGCGCCGCTCGGAGAGCTTGAAAGACCTGCAATTCCGTTAAAGATGTCTCAACCACCCAGACTGAACAGAGCATCTCGTGAATGGACCATGCGCTGGTGTTCTACGCATTTCTTGATGCCTAAGCAAAAGATTTGCGTATGTTTTTATGGCAGTGTTTTATTCGCAGTTGGACTGTAGTGCTTTTTTGTAGAATTTGAAAATATACGACGAGATCCGAATCTCGCATCTCATGGATAATATAGGAAAATACTAAAATTGAACTTGCTTTTACTGGTTTACTGTTCAGTTTTTGATTTCGATTTCTTTTAGATTGTATCCAACAGCTTTCTTGGAACGATGCGACTCTCCGGGAACTTTGATTTGTTCATCTCTCCACTTCGGGTATCGTCTGATCACATATTCACGACATTTTCAATAAGCGAAGCCAGTCTTATCACTGCTCTTCTGCGGGTACGCAGGCACATTACACTTGACATCTGGTTGGCGGCTGCGGCACAGTTTTCTGTAGTCAAGAAGGCTGTCACAATGCTGAAAAGTAAGTCCATTCGATGGGTTTCTTGTATTTTAGGTCTACCATACCTTAAGACGATCAGCTTGTCGTTCTTCTTCCCAGGTGGACGCCGAGTTGCTTTCGATTATTTTGTCCACAGTCTGCAACGTAAAATTGCTAGGATGAATACAAGCTGGACGTTGGCGAAGAGACTTCCCGAAAGGTTGGACCTTTCCGAATTTGAAGGTCATGTAGCAGAATATTTGACGGACTCACCTCCAAGCCGACAGAGTGAGTTCTTATTGAACTAGGTTCCTTAACATTTGCGAAAAAGATTGTTGCATAATACGTTGTTTTTTAGATTACACTCAGATATTTGCGATAAACGTTCAGAAGTTGGCCATCAATGGGAGGCTTGACTTTAGAGACGTGCATTTCGAGAGGTTCATTCCAAATACGACAGTACTCGAGTTCAGATACATGGGCAACCGATGTACTCCATTCCATCTGATACGGGCATTTCCTTGTTTCAAAATGCTTTTTCCGCGGATGAGGCAAGCCTCGTTTGAGGTCGAGGTGGAATTTCCTCTTTGTGAGGTAAGAATTGTTTTATTACGCTTGACTTTACTTACCAATTTTATAAATTTTATTGCAATCTTAGAGTGTAGACCACTTCGTCATGTTGCTGAAGTCCTTTATACGAAATCTGGATGATTTGAAGGCGATCTGCAATTCAAACTCGGTCAAACTGAAGCTCCTGAAGGCCGGTCTAATCAGCCAAGTTCGAGTTGCCCCACCAGTCAATCCAAATTGGTATGAATCCGTATTAGAGGTCATTCAGATGAAAGGTGCAACGCTGCTGGACTCTGGGACTTCCTACACCGTCACTGAACCTCATCAGTACAGTGCTAGTGTCAGAGGAAGATATATTAATATTGTCTATGACAATGGAGACGAAATGGAAAAGCGGACCATCAGAATGACCATCTGGCAACTCCCGTCGTTTGTAAGTAGAGGAAATGCGACCTGTTGACTCCTAACTTGATTTTATATTTAATTTTTATAGCTCTCATTTTTTTATTTTTCATCTATTTATATTTTTATACAGCTGGTTATTAGTGCTCACAAATTTTGTACATTACTGTTGAAGACTTATCAGATAAGGAATCAGATTTCTTAATAAAAGTTCGGTTTCGAGTTGTTTTTGAGGAGAAGGTGAATGATCAGCTGATTTTAATGGTACATTGAGGTTGTCAATGAAAACCCAAAGGCCTGCCAATACTGGGAAGAAATTTCTCTGCTCACCGTTCTTTCAACTCCATCTTCTCCATCCTGACTTCAAATCACAACATCCAATTCTGCGAATTTTGTTTGTGCAAAACTCCATGAGAAGTCTCATTTAGACCCATAGTCCCCCGAAGAATAACACCATCTAATTTAAGGATGATAAAAATTTTCTGAAGTCGGGGGACTTCCGTTTCTCCAGTCATGTACGTTCATCCCGAGACTAAAACGTAAAGCGTCTTGTGGAATGAATGCCTCAGGTAATGAGTTCCGCATATAAAGCTGAGTTGGAGTATTAGGGGCTTGTAACTCAGGGTTTTTGGGTAATGAAGTCGATGTTTGCTCGCAATAATGTTTACGGTAAGAAAAAGGCAACTATCTGGAATATGTTGTTGTCAAAAAACAGGCTAATTTCCTGGAAGGGTTTTTGCGAAAAATTTTGCATAAAGATCAATTTCCCTTCATCCTATCACTCCAATTACACAAGCCCTCCTCGTTGAAATTCCTTGGCCAGCTGGGCCGATGTAATCGAATAAATTTTACCTTATGTTATGGCCGCGACTTAATGATATTGTAGACGTTGGCGGGTGAGGTTAGAAAGACAAGTACATTGAAAAAAAGTAGCGACATTTTTATTGGAATTTGCGGAGTCAAAGTTTAATGGCATCGAGTTTAATGTAATTTGCCGACTTTCGCCAAAAAAATTGCAATTACGGGTGTTGCACGTTCATCGTTTCGTCGGGGGCCCTGTTTTCGTCGGGGGCTGGCAACAGTCGATTTCAAAAGTTTATTTTGATACTGCTGTAATTTAATTGAAAAGGGTATTTCAAAGGTTGAAAATTCAAAAATTATTGCATAGCATACTCGATTTATTGTAAATTAAAATAATCTAATGTATACATTGCGCAAGAAACAGTTCCCTCACGTTTAGACCTAATTATCCTCAGGGTTGATTGCATTGAGTAGAAATGAAAATTTGATTTGAGGTAGTGCAGGTAAGTACATAGGTTTCAATTTTATTGTCGTTCTCATATTTGATTACCGCTGTCCACGCAGGGCAGCCCTAACGTTAGCTTCAGCTCCGATTCCGGGTAAAATCAAGGTCATTTGAACTATACTTTTATAGGTTTAGCACTGATTATAATGCCCATAAGTGACAAAGATCTTTTCAAGGTTTTATTGCGGTTTTCAGAATATTTTTTTTATAAATAATATCACTTTTGACCATGCTTTCGACTCTGATTTGTCATCATTTTCCTAAAAGACGAGATCTTTTACTCCGAAATATTTTTGATTCTACTTTTGGATTTGTTAAGCCGTTAGTTATGTGTTTCTTTGCTGACCACGTGTTTAGTTCTTAGAATGTCTAAGACGGAGTTATTTTTTGTTCTGAGATTAGCTTGAGCTACACAACGGCAAGCAAAACAGAGTTTGCATTTGATGTAGCTTGAGTTCTCATGTGACTTATACAAACAAAATACTGTTGCCATTAGTATTAAATTAAGAGGGCTCTGATTACATCTTAAAAAGGTGACGTTCTTAATGTAAGGGGTTAGGGATTTTTTGTCCCAAATAACGCTTTGATGGGCTGCACCACTGTTATATGTACAATATTACTCACCAGAGTACCCTCTCTTATTTCTGCACGGAGGCGCCGACATGTGCAGAAAGTGCTGGTCCCTGGGCCCAGCGGAACTCAACTGGGTTGATTCGAATTTTTTTCTCTCTTCAAGGTCATCCAATTAACCTCGAAAGCCATAATCTAACTAAAATTAATTGATGTCCTCTCCTCCCGCCTCGCAATAATGTGACAAACTTTTGGATCCTTTCTCCGACAAAGTCGTCAACGAGATTAGTCGTCCAATTTCATTAAGGATCCGTTCGTGCCATTGTAATCAATTCTCGGAGTACTTGGAATTAGATGGACGGAATTTTACTGAAATATTTTATATTTTTAGAGCATCCAAATTTACTGCAGCTCGCATATTTGCGGAATTTTGGATGAGTGGTGACTTTTAGTCTGTGAATTTCTTGAGAGAATAATTGTTTGAAAATATTTTTGCTACCATGGTTGCCTTATGTTCAAAAAATAGTTTGATAATTCTAGAAAGCATCCCGAGGACCTCCTAAGATCCGCTTCTTTAAGAAGACATAAAGAAAAAAGTTTAGAAGATTCCCGGTAATATTTCAATTTATAAATTGCCCCCTGATCCATGATTTATCCCCCTTTATAATTCACGAATCTGGCACTTGTGTCGCGAGTCTTAATCGATCATTTTTGCTCTAGCCATTCTATCTATTTGCACGTTTCCGGTGGAACGGCCGGTTGTTTCGAATGCACGGTGCAGAATAGAACATTCCGGGGTTGTGGTCTCCTGGGGTTATGACGTGATGGAGAAAGGGGGAACGTCCAATCAAAAATCTCTTGGCCAGTGGTGTTTCCTATTGTTTCTCGGGCAAAGGAATTCAAGGGGCGGATTTTTGAATCACTTCCAAGAACGCCGCAAATTTGACAGTGTAATTTTCGGTAGGGAATCAGTGGGGGATAAAAATATCAGATTATGAACAAATTTCGTTTCAAAATTTTCTTTGACCGTTTACAAACCAAGTATCAAGCCACTGACCCCGGCATTCTAACTTAATTACCCCAACAATCTTTACATCTGTACTAAAACAAACTTTTGTCGAACTTTTAAAGGGCAATATCACAAGCTCTCCAGGCCAACATTACAGCCTCTCAGAAATGTCCAATCCCTAACTTCTGAACTTTGGTAGATGTATTTCATCTTGCTTTTTTTGCGCCATTCAGTTTATTCGGTTAGCCTATTACTGTTTCCTTGGTTTTACACGTGCCCTGATTTCACAACTAATGCAATCAGTATGAATAGACATACTTTAGTCTGGCTGAAAAGTCAACCTCAACATGAGTTGCGGGGAAATTTTGGGTTGGCACGTATTTGACTTTAATTATAGGCTTAGCTCCGTTTTCTATACCGAGTTGATTTGCATGAATAAGGGTTGATCAGAAATTAGGGGTCTCTTTCGGCCCTCCATACGGCCCCTCGCAAGCGGTCCTACGCCTAATTCAAGTGTTCAAGCTCACACGTCAAAAAAATTCTTTCAGAAAATTTGAAAAACAAGGAATCTCGGATCATTGATTTTTTGCGAAGTGCCACAGAATTATCGAGCCCGAAAAATTAGTTTTCTCGAAAAAAAACTTCTGGCAAAGTTTTCTTTTGTGACTCGTTATTCGGTGATATTGCGTCAAAAATCAATGATCGATTTCTTGTTTTTTCAATTTTTTTCGATGCCCAAACTTTTGCAGTCTTCCCACAACGTTTTTTCACGGAACTCTGGTCGCGTCACGCCACGAAAACAAATGTTTGGCGTACTGTTAAATAATGTTTTTTGGCTTCTTCGAGAAATTACAAAAATTGTAATTTAGCCCAGTATTGAACAAAATCTTGACAGAAAAAAGCTATAGACCCTATCAGTGAATTTTTCTTGTTATAGTAGGTCTGGTTTGTCTTTCAAAAACACCATGTTTGATGAGTTTGATAATTAAAATATCTCTAGTTGCGGAATGCCACGGATTTTGTCATTTTGCGAAAAGCCCGGGCAACGATTTCAATCATTATAATAGCAGGAAAGATGGCTCAATAAGTCGAGTTTCGAGCCAGAAAACGTTCTGAAACTTTGCATGATGATTGAGAATGATGTTGTAGTGCTGATCGCCCATTTTTGTAGGATTCGTGACTAAACGTCGCCCGCTAGGCGATTGCAAAGTTCTCAATTTTGGGAAGTTTGAAGTCGAATATCTCAAAGACTGAATAACACATACAAATTTCTGAACCTCTAACAGAGAGATAACTGTCTACTCTTTCCAATTCACCATTTATCAAGTCGCTCAATTTTGGATGATCGGGTGAAAACATCGTATCTTTAAGACCACCTTTTTGGAGCCAAGTGTCACAAAAATTCGATCGATAATGGCGCAATTAGAGCTCGACTTCCGCTTTTCTAGTTGTTTCTAAACGTTGTGTCCCAAAAAAATCCTAAAGCTTGTATCACAGCACTCAATTATACGGCAAAATAAGTTATTAAACGGCTATTTTGACACCATTCTCCCCATGACTTCCATTATTATCCAATATATTATGTGCAACTACCTCGTCGTGCCACTTGCACGAACTTCTTTATTTTAAGGTGATTTGCGGTTGAATTAGGACATTCCCAGATTCTTGTCCGTTTAATAGGTTCACAAAAAAAGGTGTCAGGAAGTGGTGTGGGCCAGAGAATTGTGAGCGGCACCTTGTTACTCGTTGATTTAATTTGTCTTTTCCGCAAGCATGGCTTTTATGAACGTGCATTGGGCAGATGAAATTAGCGACAGTCCAGGTTGATGTCGTTACAGCTGCCTTGGGAGACGTGTATCGTGAAGAGGACGATGATTGAGAGCATTGCTGTCTGTTTCAGTTCTTGTCGTAGTAGAGGGGTTTAATTACGTTCCTTTAAATGGCTGACGACATGGCTCTAATCCTTTACTGTGGCTTGTTTAGAGCTCAAACGATGACGATCGTGGCTGATTGCTCTCATTGAGGGTTCTATTCAATTCGAATTTTCGAAATAGCGTTGACTTATAAATCATAGTTCTCTTCACCAGTATGTGTACTCTGATCTTGTGCCAGTTTCAAAATCGACCAATAATGAGTGAAGTAATATCGTTACGATGTGGCAAAAATGTCACCAGTCGGCCTTAATCTTGTTCATTTGTCACCTTCCATTTTGAGCGGGAATCACAACAATTTTTTTGGCTGATGAATTATTGAAATCTCTGTTTAGATATTGGAAAAACGCTTATTTGTACATTAACTTTGTTATTGGGGCTTTCGTTAGTGCGGATTTTTTTATTTGTGCTTCTGAAGGACGTCCGAGGTGTGGACTCTGGATTTATTCTGATCATAGGTTTGCAATTCCATTAATTCCTTTGCTGATCACGTTGTGTTGTTAACGTTGTTGTGCCCTTTATTTGGAAAGCCTTTGATACTATTGTTTTTTATCTCCGGCTTCAAGCTCGTTCAGGCGGTTAACAGATGTCGGCGCAACAATTCAAGCCATTGTCATAAAATATAATCAATAGAAAGTTTCTCACATTAGAGCGTTTGCTCTTTGGTACACCCTTCTATATTTTTATTCCCCCTTCTTTATGACGAATATTTTACCTTTCCAGGTTCATCTCAGTGAAAGTCTCTTCCGATAGCAATTATTCAAATCGGTCCGTTGGGACCACTGGGAAAACATGTTGTAGATATCAATTCCTAGTAATGTTTAGCGTTCTTGTTCTTAATCTAGACTTGTCTAAGCGTTAAGAGCCGAACCAACATCTTTTTAAGGCTTAAAAATACACTTTAATTTTATAGTCGGGGCCTAATTATACATTTCTGTTAAATATTCGGAATATGCCTGTGGCTTTCATGAATTTTATATGTTTGTCCGTACAATGACCAGATAATTGTCCCTGAACATGTCCTTGATTGCATATGTTATAGCATTCTGTTGCGGTTCTGAGCACAATTCCTTGCAATTAGAGCACTATTCATCGTCATGTGATTTGTTTGTTAATAACCTGAGGTTTCTTGTATTTTATAGTGATGGTTAGTCTGCAGTTAGAAGCTTCCGAACAGAAATTATAGAGAGAATTATAGAGACATCCAAAATTTTATAGTTTTTTCCATGTAAGGATGTAATATTTAAATTGAGAAGAGTTTCGAAAAAACTCAAGTGGGTCTTTTAAATGGGCCATTGTTTTCTTCAGAGGCCTTCTAATGAACCCTATGTAATTTTATGTCCCAAAGCGTATACCGCACTATTTTATGAGCATCTTTTTCTGCCTGTTTCATGTAAGGAAATCCTTTACTTTGAACGGCACTCTTATCTTTTCTCAGCTATTATTCTTGTAGTTTAAAGGCATGAATTAAAGCCTACGTGTTACGTTGTTTTCCCATCGTCCTACATACAATTTGGATGTTCAGAGCATTTATTTGTGGAATTTTAATATTTTTTTTTCTAACTTACTCCGCGAATTGTCTTAAAATATAAGTCTCGTGATTTAACATTCGTTTTTTCAGATACAAAAGAGACTTTGGATATCGGTGGATAATCTAGCCAGACTTCCCCATCTAATTTGTTTTAAGACTACAAAAGCTACGCCAAGATGTGGTAGGTTTGCATTTTAATTATTAACAAGGAAAACTGCCAGAAGGTTTTGTTGAAAAACGGCGTCAGGTTAAAGGCCGATAAAATGGGGTTTCAACAGCTGACTAAAAAGATACGAAAAAATATTTTGTGTAAAAAATCATCTTTTTCGATAGATGTGTCGAAACGTTATTCCTGAACATCTCGGAGGCTCTGCAAAGCATGCACTAAAATTTTTAAAAACTGTGCAGCAGTTAAAGAAAATCTAAGCGTCGCACGAGAACTTTTTTTTTGTAAATCGAGTTTCACCGACTAAATTTTTGTTTTGAAACGCCCATCTAACTTGTTGCATGTTTACGTATCTTCTCATCTTCTGATCTTTGTTCCGCTTCTAATTTTTTTGGGCTTCCTCTTCCAAATTTTCTAATTCAAATGCAAAACTATTCCATTCACGGTCTTCATGCAAGATTAATGCAAATGATATTGATCTTGGAATGAGGAGAGCCGAAATCCAAAACGAGTAAACAAAACGGCCTTCCCCAAAAGGAAGAAAATATTTTGTTGCCAATACAAGTCTTATCCGGTTTATTATATAAGAAATGAGATTACCCTTGGGTTGTTGACGGATTGCAGGTTGATTGAGTTACCGTGGGAGAGAAGGGGCTGCAGCTCCAAGTTCTCAAGAGATCTTTACTTTCGGCCGATTACAATATCTTATTTCGGTTTGGGGAATTCGGGATATATATAGTTCAATCGGTAAAGCGCTCCATTTTCTCGGCGTGACTCAAATTTTGGCTGTTTTTTCTTTCAAGGCAGTTACTTCGCTTCCGGCAATGTCAAACGAGAAAATATTATGGAAGATGCCCTTTTCGGGATTTTAAGAGCTTGTCGACCCTTCCCAAGGAATGCGGAGGGTGCCGTTTTATAATAATTTTTTGCTAAGATTTCCAGCTTTGTTTATTTTATGAGTCTTCCGGGAATACGAAAGGAGTTCGTGGGGCCAGGGAGGTCTACTCTGCTCTTCTTTTGCTGTGTAACGTACGGCAAGGTCATAATAAAGTAAAGAGCATGTCAAAGGCTGCAGAAGAATTTGGAACTTGAGCTTTAGGAAGGAAATTTTAAAGGGTATTCTTGCAGTTTTCAGGCGTTTATGTATTTCAAAATCAAAGATTATCCAAGGCCCTTTAGAGATTCAAATGCGAAGGCAGGTTTCAAGATGTTTTATTTAATCCCTTAATTGTGACAAAAACTTTGACTTCTTAAGCGAAAATCAGCATTTTCAATGAAATTTCTTGAATAGGACCCAAATTATCTTCCACGTCTTGATGATTAAATTCTAAACATTTATTCATGTTCGTAGATATAAAACGTGGTACCTTCCAACTAATCAGATTTATTCTTTTACCCCACATGTCGCTCTAGACTTCCCTCCCAATTTGTGTGAAGCAAGAAAGCCAAACTTCGATGTCCACAAGCATTCTGTCTGTTCCCAGTTATCTCATTCAACATTTAACGCTTGAGGAAATCTCCGCACCGCCTTAGGCGTTTCATGCATTTATTGGCTTTTACGGGAGAGGTATTGGATTTCCGGTCAATAATCGAAGCCTGACGGCTTTGAACACCTAGACTTTGGTCATGGGGAAGGAGAAGGTTATTAGATTGGCACAAGGAACTGTAATAGGGGCCTCGCCGTTAATAATCGTGGAGGTGAAAGGGCAGTAATTAGATCTGCGGTGTTTTTCTTAATATTCTAAAATAGCATCGTGGGTGTAGTTTCGAAAGTGGCGAGGTTTTTTTCAGTATAGTTATCCGCTTGATAGGCTAAAGCAGCCTTATCAAAAATTAAAAAAATTAGATCCATCAATTTTATCGGTGGAATTTTTTATCATTGGCTTGTCATCTGCGCAGAAAAACGAATTTTGAAGTTTCTAAATTTTAACATGACCTTTTTAAATACTTGCTTTTGTGCATAGGCGTTTCTTCCTTTCTAAATTAAGATACTGAAAGGCACAATAAAAAAGGTTGATTAATTTTCCATGGAACGCAATTTATTATATTCCACAATGCCTGAAGCCTTGCGGTTTCAAAGGTTTCCTGGAAAACCTCAAAAATTATTTTCTACGCTGTCTACTGCCTTCACACATAATTGAGGTATCACTGGTTTGCCACTATTCTTGGTTAACGAATAGTTTTTTTACTTTTATTTTAAGCAAACTTCAGGGTGAGTAGAACATTTCCGTCCACCAAATTCTAAAACTGAATCTTTCGCTCTTCCCCATTTTTCATGCCGTAAATAAGCCAACATTGTGGGCATCAGCGTTTGCAAACCTCCAGCCTACGTGCCTTCTGGCACGGTTAACTGATGACTCGCCAATTGCTGTTTACTCATGATGTTTCGAATTTACTTGACTTATCCAAAGTACTCTCTCAATGACGTATGTTCTCTTTCTGGAAATCGAAGGAAGGGTGGCAAAAGTAAATTCGCGGCATGAAGACCAAGAAATCACGTGCTGGGAGCGGCCCGACGGGGTTATAAATATTTTTCGATTTTCCGTTCTTACTCAGTAATGGGCTGCGGCGATGTTGGCAACAGTCCTGTAACCGAATAGTTTATTTACATAATTCGATTTTTACGAGACCATGAAAATGGAAAAGTCGGTTAGGGAGGCTTCATTATCCGATAAAGCGGTTTCTGAAAAAGGAATTTACGTGAGTTCCCGGGGAAGATGGACCTCGTGGGGGTAACTGTGTGGTTCAATATAAGAGTTCGTCATTTTTTGAGTATTTTTGGAGACTTCCTTATTTGTTGTTTATCTGATCATATTATTTTATTTTTTTCGCGGAAAATCATGTTGAGAGAACAGTTAAACCTTTCTGATATAGCCACATATGAAGCACGTCCCCGTGCCCACTTCCATCTTCCACAATAATGTGGCCAACTCGGGACATAAGCTGTCCAAGCCCTCCACGGAGGCTCCACAACCACCTCAGCATCCACCGTTTACCTGGAGATTTCCCGAGCTACAGCCTTTGCTTCCGAGTAATGACACCGTCGAAAGGTCGACGGAGTTCATCAACCATGTGTAAGTACATAAAAAACGGCTTGGGTGAATTGATCAACTACGCAAAAATGCATTCTATAATATTACTCTCATTGTTGGCATCGTCTTTCACAAAAACTTCTGCAGCTGCAGAACGCTGGACCTTTGTTCAAAAGTGCTTTTAATACTTCCGATAAACAGTAATACATATAGCAATATAGGGTTGACTTTTATATTTATTTGCCCCCAACTGTTTTGGCTCTCTATTTTTACTCTTTTCCGAATTTCAAATTCAGCAGGCACTTTTTGGCAGGAATGAAGCGTCCAACGTTTCGGCTCGCATCTCCTTAAATGTCGAAAAAATTGCGGCCATGGGGAAAGAAACTTGGGATAATCATAATCTAATATCCCGCGAGTCAACGTTTCTCTTCTCGTTGTGGCGTTTCCGGCACGTCTGACGGTCTCTCCTTGTTATTGCGGGGGTACACTCATAAGTTTAATGGAGGGGCTTCTGTTGAATTTCGGAACTTTGAGGAAGGACCTTTGTAATTTTTGACGACTATCTCTCGTATCGCTTTTAACACTGCTTTTCACTTGATCTCAAAAAGCCTTAAGATCAAAGGTACCCACCTTTTTTATGGTCTTTTCTCGTATTTTTGTTTTTACGATAGCTGGTTTGTTTTTTTAACCCTTTCTCCATTGCCAACCCAACTTTTGACCCGTTACTCCTCTCGTTTCCAATATTGCCCCCTTTCCAGCGGGGTTTAACCTAATGTGAAGTTGTAAAAGTTTTCAAGAATTTCATTAGAATAATTTTTTCGAGAGGAACGTCTCGTCCCTTCCGATTACAGACTTTATTTTGGAACAGCCCGGAAAGAGGCACCAGTTGTTGGAAATTCGACTAGTCTTCGAAAAAAGTGTATTTCTTTTTCCGTTCGACTTATTGTTTCTCTCCGTTTGGCAAGAGATATGATGGGATGGGATTTCAAAAGTCTTGTCAGGAGTGGGATCCCGTGGGATGTGGAGTGGTTACTTTTAAAGTTTCGGCGGTTTCTTTGGGCGATAAGATTGTAATTCTGCCAAAGTTTACAGGTTCTTGACTTAATTGATTTCTTATCGACTTCCGCTTAAATTTGGGTGTTTACAAAACAGTCTGATCTGTGTTCAGAACGTTCTTGGCCCTGCTTTCCGCCTTATTTTTAGTCTCTAAAATGCGGTAAACTTTGTTGCCTTCTTCTTCTACAAGTTGTAGAAAAGACCGTTCTTCGTTTTGAATCCAATTCGAAGGCCAATGGTCGGAAATTGAGTTAGTTTTTTCGTTGACCCAGAAAACTTATTATTCGTCAGGAGGCTTGGGAGCCCTTCGGCCGAACGCCCAAACTATAAATCTCGATTTTCCTCAGTTTTAGTTTTGACTTTGCTCCAGGGAATAAACCTTGACGCTTCTATTGGTTTTTGAAGTTTTTCTTCAAGGAGAAGCTGTAACGGCCGGAAATGGTTGCCCCGGATGGCATTTCAAGGATGCAAGATACGTATTTATTTTTCTCATACTGAGGGTGAAATTACTTAAGTAAAAAAGAATTAGCATGTGCGTTGTTTCTTTCATAATGGGTAAGATTAGGGACGCCAAGAATTTGGGGCTCCGTCTTTAAGCTCTTTGTGATACTATTACTTAGTCTTGTGTTTGTACTTCCTTGATATGTTGTGCGTATTGACCGTGTTGAGAAACATCTATCCTTCGCACCCTTGTTTTGACACAAAAGATCTTATTACCTTTCCTTCAACTCGTTAGAATGAATATCTACATGTCCTTAGCAGTATATTTCTTTGGTAAAATCTGGCACATTGGTTCCAATTTGTCCCATTTTTTCGACCCCTCTAAAGTCACAAAATGACGTAGTCTTAAAACAGAATAAATTGAGAATTTCAATGACAAAGGATTTGAAAAAATCGTCTAATACGATAATGAGGGGTCGGGTCTTGAAGCAGTTTTGGCTTCGATTGTTATGAATGTATAATTGGCATGTCGTACATAGTCTATGTAGACGCTGCTCGAGACCTTGTTTCTTTTGCAGCTGTGGGAAAGACAATGGAAACTATTTTATAGCTATCATATGGCCTCTGGCTTTTTTGTGGTAGTTTAATTTGCAATTTCCTTTCCAAGCTCGTGTTGCTTTTTTATGTTGATTTGCAAGCCTTTGGTAATGTGCAAAAACATTTCGATTTATTATGTACATTATACGCTACGGAAAAGATTTGCGCATTTGGAATTCCTCTATTTTTACCGAGTTTCGGCTAATCTGGGAATTTTCCCTCATAAATTATGCCGACGGTAAATGCAAAAGAGACAAAAATTCGGTTACATACGAGAATAAAAGATCCGCAGAATCCTCGCCAAATTTGTCTGCATTTTTTATAGATTTGCGTCTTTTTTCTTTGCATAAAATACGAAATCAAAAAAAAAATTTTACCAGAATTTTTAGAAGGCGTTGATTCACATTTCACAAAAAGTCAGTCTTTTTAGTAATGCTGGAATCATCGACATTTCGGATTAACGCAAGACAGACAAAATTCCACGTTTGGAATTTTAATGTGACCTTGCCACCTGAGCGCGAATATGCAAAGAAGTTTGTTTGCGTAACAACTCAGCAGTTTTTTGCAAGGATTTTACAAAATTTCGAGACTTTTGGCAGTATTCTTTGTGTGGGGAATTAAAAATTTGCACGTTTAAAATATTAAATTTCAGCGGCTGTTCCATGAGCTCATACTTGGCCAAGATGCCGACCTTGGCACGGCAGGCAACCAGCTTCGTGGCCAACCTGTTTACCGGCGCTTCTCCGTCGACAAAAGTCGGGTAGGTTCCATTTACAATGCAGTTTTTTGTTACCATCTTATTTTGTTGATAGAGCAGCCAAAAATTTTTTTTGACATTCTGGCTACAGGTGAAATTATAAATGTAACAAACAAAGGCAGTTTGTACTTTTAAAAAGTTTGTGGCTCGTGATGTTTACTGTCAGATTCTCTGAACCGGTGAACAAAAGTATGACTTCTGTAAGATCCTATACTTTACTCTTTCAGGTCATACTGTTATATGTACTTGTTGAGTGCAATTTTAGCGCCGTACTTATAGTGTAATGCAATACTTATGACTTCTAAGCTTCTGACCCCCGTAATTTCTTTGTCTCAACTCTCAAAGTTTTCTCTTCTGTCTACAATTTCAAATAACTCGAACTCTGTTATTTATACTCCATTTTTTTTGAAGACTTGCTTCTACTACATATACATCTCTTTTTTGTCTCCAAAGTATTATAATTGGATGATGAATGGGTAGAAGCGGAGTTCCCGGTATTTCTTAAAAACTTGGCCGTCGATGAATAATTAATAGAGCAATTGCTGACGGGTACGTTCGGGGCCATGTAATTTCCCTGTTTTTTGTGAGTGGAGTTCGTTGAATATTCGGAATACGAGAACTTGGGAAGCTCTAACTTTATGTAGGACATGTCTCTTCTCCTTTTGAAACATTCACAAAATTAATTCCTTCTTTACAGGGCCTGTGTTCTCGGAGTGTTTATACTCTCTTAGGAGTGGGTTTTCTACTTCACTATACTTTATGATTTTTCTTTATGCAGCTTTTGACAGGGAAAGGGAACAAACACACAGTAACTCAATCATACTACGCGCACGCAAAAGTCCCGACAATTTTCGCACTGTGCGAAAGTTTGGGTTTTGGACGTCGCGCCCGCAAATTCGGGTTTGTCGCGCGCAAAGTGCACGTCGCTAGTGCAAAAACGGGAAATTGAGGCGACAAATGCGAAAAGATGCACCATGCGGAGGAAAATGAAAGAAGAAACGGTGCCAAAATTATGGGGACTTTTGGACTCGGGCAAAATATTTCGTCGAAATTATTGTGTACCAAAAAGAAAAGAAACTTGTGGCATTACCGCAGTCTATTTTTGCTCACCTCGTTATAAATTTATGTAGGTTTAAAAATTTATTTTCCTATCAAAAATTCGTAGGAAAAGCCCCTGTCAAGAAATGAACGAATTAGACCGTAACTTTTCTGACATCTGAACTTTGGAAAACAGGTGAAATTTGTTTCCTTTTTGCTGTTTTTTACGTATGACATCTTGTCCAATGAATTATTAATGTGTAAAGTCTGAAATTCAGCAATGGCATACTATACTCACAGGTCTCGGATGGAATAAGTTTTGTAACTTTTTTCCTTCTTTATTATGTAATAAATTTTGTAACAAATTCCTTGTGAAAGTTCCTATTTTATTCAAAAAATCTGCTGTAAATAATGTAAGGTTCCCACATAGACAATAAATATTTACGCTCTAAGAAAGGATCTATGCTTCCTCAGAATTACTTTGCGTTTTTAATAACGTCACAGACTTGAGAAAGAAACTCCTCGCTCTGTATAAATATTATTATTTTAGGGATGTTTGTCTTTAAGGAAAGTTGAAAGTTCATTAGAGTGAGAAAAGAGAGCTTGTTGCGAAATTGCGGAAATTATAATTTGTAATGTTGGAAAGAAGTCTCGATATCTGCGTCTATTTATTGTTCATTCCGAAACACATATTTTGAAATATCTTTCGAGTTTGCGGAGATCACATTTAATCCTATGTTTGTGCAAAACAGATATATTGCAGTGTGAAATACCGGATCATATAGTTCATTAACTTTAACTATGGGGTGTCAGAAGCCCCATTTGCATTTTTCGAATATTTTTTTAAGGATCGTCCGTTCTACAATGATACGGATTAGTGGTTTCTGCACTAACACAAGATCTTTTTTGTGATACCCAGGAATTAATCTTCCAACCGTAACAAACATCTTGCGAAAACATAAAAAGTAAGCATACTGTAGTCACAAAAAACTGCAACAAATTACTTCCGTAATATTACATCTTCCATTCAAACCGACTAAGCGCTCCAGGGCATATGTCTTTTCGAACCGAACAGCACTTCCATTCCTCGATATTCACCGATGCTTATGATTTAATAATGTAATTTCCTGCGCTTCCATTTCCTTTGTATGGTCCTTGGGAAATTTCGGGTTTTCGATGTTTTATAAACGCTCTAATGGCGTTCTGCGTCCATATTAGGTTATTATCACAATTATGGTATTGAAAGGACACTCGTCCTAATTGTCTGAGTGGTATTTGTAGAGGACAGGCGGATCAGAAATATTATATTCCGCGCATTTAATTTGGATCAACCTGGATCTCAAAAACTAAGCAAGGCCTGGACTTGATTCTTTTTGTATAATAATCTATTGTCATAAAGAACATGTTTGAGCAACAAACAATCACATTTCAGGCAAGTGTAAAATTTTAAATTGCAATTTAAGATTTCGGGTGCGCAGAAAATTTGGATCAACCTTGCAAAAAATTATTTTGCTCGCTGAGGTGGTCGATTTTATTGTTGTAAATGGTGAATACGGATACTACGGAGAAATAATATTCAGAGGGTATCAATTTTGTGCAATATTTCTTATGACACGGCCTATTTAGGGAGATACCAAGGAATACGGTAAGAAAAGTCAAACAAAGCCCAAAAACTGATAATTGTAACTCCTCAAATTGCTTGCAAAGTGCACTAATATTTACTTGTAGGCCATGCAAAGTATTTTAGCAAGGCATCCAGTGGAGTTCACGGCATCTACGACTTCTACGAGACATAAATCAGAATTTTTCTGAAAAAAGTTTCTAACGGAAAGTTTACGGTACCTTTTAAAAATTTTCTAGTGCCTGTTTTGAGGGTTCAGCATATACAGGACATGATGTGGCAGCTTTTGATTTTATTAGTTCATACGATTCGTTGGTATCAATTCCGTAGGGCACAAAACTTTAGCAATATTTTGAACCCGCAAAAATTCAAAATATGGAAGACTCGTTGAGAAGCTACAGTGCATCCGAGAATTTCATCTATTGTTTGCTTATTAAATATGCACCTTGTAGACTGCTATAAAAGCAAATACAACGGTGGTTTTAGTTCAGGGAGGGAATTTCCAACCGAACGCGTGTGATGCACGGTGTAGTTTTTGATCCCCGCTCCGTCAGGCGACTTCAAACAGTAAAAATTGACAAATCTTTTTACGCAGAAATTTCAGCAATGTTGTTGTCTTTTTGCCGGCGCATCGAACAACCCATCAGAAAATTTTTAAAAAGTACCGTAAACTTTCCGTTAGAAACTTTTTTCAGAAAAATTCTGATTTATGTCTCGTAGAAGTCGTAGATGCCGTGAACTCCACTGGATGCCTTGCTAAAATACTTTGCATGGCCTACAAGTAAATATTAGTGCACTTTGCAAGCAATTTGAGGAGTTACAATTATCAGTTTTTGGGCTTTGTTTGACTTTTCTTACCGTATTCCTTGGTATCTCCCTAAATAGGCCGTGTCATAAGAAATATTGCACAAAATTGATACCCTCTGAATATTATTTCTCCGTAGTATCCGTATTCACCATTTACAACAATAAAATCGACCACCTCAGCGAGCAAAATAATTTTTTGCAAGGTTGATCCAAATTTTCTGCGCACCCGAAATCTTAAATTGCAATTTAAAATTTTACACTTGCCTGAAATGTGATTGTTTGTTGCTCAAACATGTTCTTTATGACAATAGATTATTATACAAAAAGAATCAAGTCCAGGCCTTGCTTAGTTTTTGAGATCCAGGTTGATCCAAATTAAATGCGCGGAGTATACAATGGTCCCTCTAAACGTTTTGTTTGGGTTATCAACGGGGGTTTTTAATCTAAAAAGGGCATGGGCGACCATTGGAGCCGACTTTGAAAAGTAACGAGCAAAGTATTTTCTTTGAAATTAATTTTGCACCGCCTTGATTAATCTTGTAAATCCCAAAAACAACTGTATCCTCTCTAGATTACAACACATGGAATTTGTTCCAAAACGTGAAAAATCAAAAATAAATAAATCAAAATGAACGCCACGAGTTTACCGGATAATTACTTTGATTAACATACGAGGAAATTAAGAGCGTTTTGCGGATCTGAATTACATTCTTGGTTACTAATGAGAAATTCTTGAGATTTTTTTCATTGCGCTTCGACGGTTTGGAAGGCACAATTTGCCAATTTGCAGCAAGTAAATATCATCCAAATTTTGATATTCTTTTTCCAATATTGGACCTTTAGTCTGGTTTCCAAGATATTTCATTATTCCATAACCTATGCAGAAAATGCTAGGGTATCGTGTCAATGTGTTGTGGAATGCAAGAACCGCCCTCTGTGGTGAGTTGTTCTTTGTGTCGAAAGATTATCGGATATGTGGTAGATTGAGATATAATTGTCTAATTGTTAGAGAATTAGTTGGCACGTGTTGGCAAGCAATTATTGGGTTGTTCTATGGTACTTGAGGTCGAGTTCAGGATTGTTTAAAGCTTTCCTCTCTGTGGGTATTTATTGTAAAAGGCGGAGCTTCGATATGAATAGGTGTAAGGGGAATTTAGGGCTGGCCCTAACGACTTATCTGATTGGAAGTCTCAACGGAACGCCTCAATTTAGCTCTTTGTTTGTTTGTACATTGGAATGTCTGGTCTTCGTTGTTGTCTTTGTGCACATCTTTTTTTCATTTCCATATGTCAGTTACGGTGCAATGGCCAACTAGGGATTCTCAAAAATATGTTTTTATTATCTTTTCCTTCCTTCGCTCCTCCCACATATTGTGAATCCCCTCTATGATATTGTTCCATTTGGAATGTCTATGTAATTTGAATCTGTATTTTCCTGTTTAACCCGGTGTACGCCCATTTTTGGGGCGTCAGAGAAATTAGATTCCGAGTAATTACAAAGTTTTGGGCATGTGCGCGAGAACGGTGGGCTTGGGATTAAGT